CCTCCAGAATCCCCCAGCACACATTTGCAGGCTGGCGCGGTGGACTCTGGAGGGGCGCGGGGAATCACATGAAACGAAACAAAGAGACAGAAAAACCAAGAGGAAGCAAGTGGCAAAAGCCGCTAAGCGGAGCACTTCCAGGACGAGGAGGCGGCAATAAAGACCGTTTTTGTGCAGTTCTTAGTTGACTTAGCGCCATTGTAAATTTGTTTTCTCTTCTTCCTCCATTTTACAACTACTTGACTGCAATACTCTTAATGTTAATCTAACTATTTCATTATAACTATTCTATGCGTCTGGATCTGCTAGCAAGGACTACATTCTCATTCAAGTATTACATAGTAAAAATCAGAGCAACAAATACAAAATCATCTGCGTATAGATGTGAACAGCGAACAGTTACTACAACACTTAATATTCATGACATCAAGCATTTCATGAGTTACAATTTATTACACGCACTACATTGAATGAATTTATGATTATTTATCAAGATTTTTTTCTACCTCTGGTTCTGGTTGTTCGTTCAGAAAAAGCCGAAGTCTCATATTAAGCAACTAGTAGCGTTATAGTCTTCCTTCACCAATTTACTTAATATTCGTGAAGTCTTCCAATTTATTTAATACTCATGCTCTTTCCTTCTTCTTTCGCCAATTTATTTAATTTCTGAGTAACGCATTATAGCCAAGAGACATTCGTAGTGCCTTCAATTCACATTTTCGCCTTATCCCTCTTGCGTCTCTTCTTTCCCTCATTATTTTCATGTTCGTCATTAGTGAAATTCACTAGGAGCAACGCCGATAAGAAAGAGAGGACACAAGAAGGGCAACGCGGTGGAAAAGTCGAGTCTTCCCGCGGCTCCGCTGCTAGAAGAAACCGGAAAAATACCAAAAGCGAAAGAGGAAGAGGGGCGGGAAAGGAGGAGATGCATTGAGAAGAGGAAACGAAGACTAACGCTAAGCCACTAGTAGAATTTAGAGTTCCTATGGAGAGAAAAACTGTACTCATTCTCAAAAACGAGACTAAAAAAATTTTTTTATGTTGAGAATTCACCGCTTGGCTGGCAAGCCACAACGAGGGCCGAGCGCCGTAATTATAGCAAGGGCACAGACGTGGCGCGCGAATCCCAAAGAAAAACCAGCCAAAACCACCAAAAGCGGCACAAACCAGCCCAAGAACCGGACGCCAGGGGCCCGCCGTCTGCACTCTGGCGCCAAGGAAGCGGCACGCGGCTCCTGGGAGCAATCCACCAAAGCAGCGCAAAATAGGCACCCACACCCGGCGAAACGGGGGCAAGAGTGGGCGCCGCGCTGCGGACCGTGAAAGCACTCAGCCAGAGAGCCAGCAGCCGCCGCCGCCTGTCAGCTCTCGGAGCCTTTCAGCAGATTCGCCCAAGAGCTGCGCCAAGGGTATCGGGCCTGACTGGAGCACACACCAGGTGGCGGATTCTAGTGCTGGAGAGGCTCGAGGGGTGAATTAAATTGCGTCTTTTTTTCAACGTCCGCGTCTCAGGTGTGTCCGACCCTCAAAATTCAAAGGTTGAGAAAAAGACGCATTTTACTTCGTACATAGTCGGAATCCAGTGGGAAAAGGCTCGCGAAGCTTGTCCAGATTTGCACGCGCTGGAGCCTTCCCAAATCTGGACCGCTCTCGGGAGCTTCCTCGCACTAGATTCCTGCTATCTTTGAACTAAAATGGGCAATCTTCTCAACGTCTGGATCTGAGGGGTTGACTCACACCCCAGACGCAGGCGTTGAGAAAAGTATGCGACTTAATTCAAACCGCTTGAGAAGGTACAACAACACACGCGCACCAAGTCCCCAAGATGGTCGCGCAGCGTCACCGCTGTGCGCCGCCCTCGGAGAGGTGCCGTCTGCGTGGCTCTTGGCTACTCCATGAGTGGGCCTTGTTTCTCTTGGCATAGCATCGCTACGAGCTGTCGGCGTGTGCCTCGTCACCAGCGACGCACATGAGCACCGGCACCCGCCGCGCGTGTGCGCGGGAGACTCCCTAAGGCAGCAAGGTGATGGCGTGGCGCCAGAGCCCCAGGGAGGAAGAGAGCGCCTGGCGCCCTTGTTCCTGGGCTGGCTTGTGTCGGTTTGGGTGGCTTTGTTTGACCTCTCTCCTGGGTTTCTTGTGCCACGCCTGTCCCCTCGCAGTATGGATTGCGCCCGGCGCCGGTTGTGAGTGGCCAGCCAAGCGGCGAAATCTCAACACGCGAAAAATTTTTGAGTCTCGTTTCCGAGAATGAGTACAGATTTTTCTTCCATAAGTTCCTCCACCAATTTCATTAGCATGCATGTCCTTACTTAGTCCAAAGCATCCTTCTAGTTCACGTCAGCAATCAGTTGCCGCGCAGCTCCATCTAGGGCAAAAAGTGTTTAAGTTGTTTAAGCGGACAGCGCTCCGCCGCCCAAACGTAGCATTCACAAAAAGCGCGTGGAGGTGAGACGGGCAACGCCCCGGGTGGCAGGTGCTAGCTGTGTAATTTTCTAGGCCTTTGCTCCTATTTTTGATCATTGTAAACCGTAGGGGCATTAGCGTAGTTGTTAAGGAGATTAAGAGCTCCCCCCTACGCCGGTAGCTACGCGGAAAATATGTAGGCAGGTTCTTCCCGGAACTCGCTCGCGAAGTGGGCGCTTTGAGGCCTTCCCGCCCGGCAGCTCCTCGACAGACCTGGCAAAGGTACCCAGGCTGGACCCCTCTGGCGTGGTCCACCCCCGATCCATCCACAGGGGGGGGGCCTCCCTCCCTGGTACATATTTACAGACACAAATGCACACTAAGTATTCTTCGATTTGTTCATCAGACATAATCATAAAGATAAATTAGAAAAACTCCAAAAGGAGCACGAACAACCCATGGATTCAGTATCAGCTTCTCTTCCTTGTATCATGAAAATCAAAATGATCGACCATCATGTGGAGGAATTTTATCTCCTTGGCGGGTCGTCTCATTGACCTTGGTAATAAAGTGAAAGTGCCACTTCCATATGGGAAGGTGTCAGACAAGTCTGTGTCTGAAATCCTTGTTCTTCACTCAGAGAGGTTGAGGGCGAGACGAAGATCAAGGACAAATGAATAGTACGAAGCTCTTACCAGACCTAAAAATGACTTCATGGTGTAATGCGAAGTGCCTCAACAAGTAAACACAAGAAGATATTTTTCGCAATTGTGGCTGGTGGCAAAAGGAGCAATAACATGCTCACTCTCGACGTTTGCCAACCCATAATGCGATGTCCTCACAATTGAAAATCCGTATCCTGTACCGAGACGAGGTCTGGCCCATCGACGTACGCGGTAGCGATACTCTAGGAACCCTAAAAAACCGCATTTACGAAAAATGGAATAACGTGGAACCCGATCAACAGAAGCTCTATCTCAACGTCTCAGCTGAAGACCGTCGCCAAATGGCCAAGCCAGGGTGCGCTAGTGCCGTTATAGCTGAGAAGGAGTTGAGGGGCAATTCTACTACGTTGAATTAAGAGTAGGTTAAAGGTGCTTGTTTTCTTACCGCTTTTTATGCCTCTCCTAAGGGAGAAAGGCATAAAAAGCGGGGTAAGCGAGCACCAAAAGCCTACCTCTAATTGAAGGAGTTGCTTCAAGGAGCGGCGTCGAGTGCGAATAACGAGATTCTGGTGAGGAAACGATTCTAGAGGCGATTTTCACTACGTGGACAGGGGCCCCTTTACTCCTCTCTCGTGAGGTTAAGGCCAAAACTCAACTACAAAATGCAGTTAATAGAAACCGCCGTAACCCTCGCTCCAGGTGAAAGTCTACCCTTCGTCTGCGACCCTTGCGATCTAGACCTAGTGGCCACATCACATCCGTTGTATGGGTTTTACCGCTGCAACTGTGTGTCGTCGAAGGAAGATGTCAATCCTCATTTAACGGGAACCCATTTGGAATGTGCTCTGCATGTGTTACCCGTAGAAGATGTAGTCTTACCTGGATCTGGTGCTGTTGGAGGTACTTCCGATCATGTAGGAGTAGGAGGAACCACACAGACAGATGGTAAAACGAGAAGTACTTCTACAAATGTAGCAGAATTAATCCTGAATCGCATTCTCACCGAGCACAATCACAGCGTAGACTCGCTGCTGCTTCGGATACCACGGTTAGAGCGCACAAAGGTGAAACAAACAACAGATGCTGAACGTGCTTTGTGTACATTTACTGTTGTCGAAGGGGTTGAAGCTGGCGGACAACTAGAAGAGGGAACTACTCAAAATGAAGATGCGGAAGTATGAAACGAAAAAATGCACTCACACTCAAGAAATTGGCTAGGATTTACAGAGGAAAATAGCCACTTTTTCTGAGTGTGAGTGCACTTTTGTCTTTCATAGGAAGGGGATGAACATTACAACTTCCTGTGCTGGCAAGGAGATGCTTCTTCTTCTGCAAAGGATAAAGAGGAAGGACACGACGAAGAAGAAGAAGTCTTCTTTTCCGAACCGTTGATAACGAGAAAACACCTTCGAGATGTCATAGCGCATATGAAAGAGGCGAATCGAGGAGTAGAGGATTTTGTTTTTGAGGACCTAGCAAAAGGAGTCCAATGCGTTTGTCTGGATGTAGGGGAAATAGTAGACACAGATGAGCAGACCCGGATGAAGACTTCAAAATTTCATCTTTTGACATCGGTATCGGAGAATCAGAACAATGCTGAAGATCAAGAAGACAAGAAAACAACTCACTCCGAAAATACGAAACCTGCTGTGGTCGATCTCATTACCGCCGACTGGGCCTATCTGAGTAACGACGCATGTCTTTTCCTGCGCCAAACTTTTCCTAGTATGAAGGTGTTGCTCTTGAACCAAATGAGTGCAGAAAGGGAGAACTCAGGAGGAGGGATGTTCAATCACCGCTTGCTCTTTGGGTTGGATAAGAAGGTGGTTAGCAGGACAGCAAGAACCAGTGGGAATGGAGAGCTTGTTGGAGATTCTCCTCACGGTCACGGAGACGCGTACTTCGATCTCCATCAACGTCCACGTCAGTCTATCTTGCCGGAAGCTGTGGGTGGCACATTGCCTGACTTTTTGATAGGCGAAGGCTTCTGGCTTGGCGATCTTTCTGTGGAAGATGACGAACACGAAAGTAAAAGCAACATGAAAAGTAGTAGATTCGCATTGAAAGCCGTGGAAACTTCAGGTTCAACGTCTTCTACAGCTTCTTCTTCGGGCTCATGGGATACAGGTTTGAATAGACCAAGATTAGATGTAACAAAAGTAACAAGGTGTAGTTTTTCAAAATGTTGAAAGTCAACATCAACAACACTTGTTTGTTTGTATTGATGCGCTCCGGGCAACGCATACGATCGCTTGAGTGAGACTTATATGTAACATTCGTAGTTCCTCGACGAATGTCCATGAAGCTGTGAGTGTGATTCTGATGTGTGTTCCATTTCCAAATGCAAATCACCTGGGTGTACGAAAGCAAAAAAGACAGATTTGAGTGTCAAAATATGTTGTTCTTCTGTTTTCAAAATCAAAAACTTTTTTAGAATCTGTATTTTCTATACTGAGAGTATCAAGTTCAACGACCTTGCATGTGTGAAATAGTGACAACTCCAGTTGTATCTGTCCAGAGCGATCTCGATTCTTTTCTGATTGCTGAGAGCGAGCGAGCAACTGACCTTGATTCCAGGCTATTTTTTACCGACTAAAAGATAAAATGATTCATCATTTTTTCACCAAACGTCCGTTCGTTTTTTCAGGCCCCGGCGTACGTTGACAGCTCCATTGGAGCTGTTTTTTTTTCTACGGTCAATCAATAAACAATCCAAAGCGAAGGTTTTTTTTCAAGAGATTACTTTCATCATTTTTGTTTCTCTAGAGCTCGTTGTTGTTGTAGAAAGATTGATTGAATGAGAGGGAGACTCTGTATCGTCGTCCTCCTATATTCTGAGTAAGTAGGTGTGTTTCATCCACCTTCATTGAAGTTGAAAACTTTTCATCAGACATCATTGATCTAAATAAGTATAAGTCATCAAGCTACATTAAAACTACGCACTTCTGACCTGTTTTCCAAATTGATGATGATGTCATAGAAGCAGAGAACCGCACCAGTGAAATTGCAATATTTTTATCCATCGTCATCTTTTTGATACTCTGTTTACTCATCATTCATACATCATCAATCACTTGAAGATAGAAGACACATAGTAACGCGTCGGACGCTCCCAAGTGGTCGAGAATCCATCGTCCTGAAAGTCGTACACCAAGTAGAACAAGTTGTATCAGAAAATTTTTTCACCATTTTTATCAATCCTGTTTTCAACTCAAAGAAGTCATTATCAAAAAATGTTGCGCCATCACGGAGTGATCAATCAAGTCCGGCAACAGTTTCGGTTTGCTAAGGTCCTCAATCGTCACAGTCCTGTCCCGATCGCCATTCAGGCACGTCGCATCGCGACGTTTCGTAAGGAATATGAGGCTCATGTTAAGGCTTACAACAGAAATTCATCCTAAGAGTATAAGAACAAGCATCTTTCTTTGACTGCTTCTATTTTCATCGGGAAAACCAATACCAAAGCACTTCAAGGTCATCAAAGATGCTTTTGCTTTTCATCAAGATGAAAGAATATACGCAAGGTCTAATCATGTCGCAGAACGAGCGAAAGAGGGTATCCCACCCAAGCCTTTGGATCCGGCACAAACAAAACGAGTCTGCGAATTGTTGACGGAAAAGACGGGGGCGGATGGTATTGGGGAAAGATTCCTTGTTCCTAGAATGAAAATCGCATAAAAAGCAGAAGCACGCTCTTATTTTTTCTCATCTTCTCATCTCTGTACCACTAGGACAACTCATGCTCATCTCCTTAGACCTATACCTATATTCTTCTTCTCATCTCCACAAAAATCCAGCCGAATGGCTCAAAGAGCTGTTGACACAGCGTGTCCCAGCTGGCGTCGATGATGCGGCTCGCGTCAAAGCCTCCTTCTTGGACGATATCACCAAGGGCAAGGCCACCTGCTCTGTCCTGACCAAGGCAGAGGCAACGGAATATCTGGGAACTATGTTGGGAGGTATAATAATTATAATCCGTCGAACAACAGAGATAGACTAGTAGTAGGTGATTATGATTTTGATTACCACAACAACTGCGTGTAGAAGTTTTTTTTAGTTTCAACATTCTCCATTTCGTCCTCCGGGATGATCAACATCAAAGATGGTTGTAAATTGTTGGTAGAATCATGTGAACGAGTTGATTCGCAATTACCTCATCCATTATCCGACACTGACAGGTTACAACGTCCAATCTTTGATCGATTGCCTCGATGACCCGGAAATGGCACCGATTGCCCAGAAAGCCCTCTCTCACACCCTCCTCGTCTTTGACGCCTTCCATGACGTCGAGGAGAAGAGCAAAGCAGGCAACGCCGCTGCCAAAGCTATCATGGATTCGTGGGCGAAGGCTGAGTGGTTCCACGCCAAGCCGAAGGTGGCGGAAAAGATCACCGTCACGGTGTTCAAGGTGACGGGAGAGACGAACACAGATGACTTGAGTCCGGCACCGGATGCATGGTAATTTTTCAAAAAAAAATTTCATCTTCTAGATAGCATTTTCTCAAAAACAGATAAAGTAGATGATTCACATTCATCATCTGCCTCTCTACAACCCACCTCAACATCCAGGTCCCGTCCCGACATCCCTCTCCATGCCAATGCGATGCTCAAAAACGAACGTGACGGCATCCACAATGCCAAGGAGCAGATCGCCGAACTCCAGAAGAAGGGCCACGATATTGCTTACGTCGGTGACGTTGTTGGCACGGGTTCTTCCCGCAAATCCGCTACCAACAGCGTCATGTGGTACATGGGTGAGGACATGCCTTACATCCCCAATAAGAAGGCGGGATCGGTCTGCATTGGTGGCGTCATTGCCCCAATCTTCTTCAACACTATGGAAGACTCCGGAGCATTGCCGATCGAGATGGACGTCTCGGGTCTGCATATGGGAGACGTGATCGACATCTTTCCGTACGAGGGAAAGGTGTGCAAGCACGGAACTGACGAAGTGCTCACCAACTTCAGCCTGAAGACGGAAGTCTTGCTGGATGAAGTGCAGGCTGGAGGTAATACGAACATTTTTGTTTTTCTTTGAATATATCAAACATCAACATCAAGTTAACGTTTTTGTAGTTGAGCAAAAATTGCAGATGAGTTGTCATTTTCCATCCCCATGTGCTCTCTCCAGGTCGTATTCCCCTCATCATCGGTCGTGGGCTGACCCGCCGTGCTCGCGAATCGCTCGGTTTGGCTCCTTCCACCGACTTCCGCGCCCCCAAGCAACCCGATACTAATGTTGAGGGCTACTCTCTCGCACAGAAGATGGTCGGCCGCGCTTGCGGCGTCGAGGGCGTTGTCCCCGGCACCTACTGCGAACCAGCTATGGGCACAGTCGGGTCGCAGGATACCACAGGTCCCATGACTCGTGACGAGCTAAAGGATCTGGCCTGCTTAGGTTTTTCGGCAGACCTGGTCATGCAATCTTTCTGCCACACAGCGGCATACCCAAAACCAGTTGATGTCATCACCCACAACACTCTGCCGGAGTTTATGCATGGTAATATTTTGTCGCTGGATTATTTCGCGTCTGGGAAATCTTAGGCAGCTCGCCGAATAGATTCAATTCATCAATATTTCGCTGCTATAAGTTTATGCATGGTAACATTTTGCTGCTATATATTTAATGCTACAACATTTTGACTTTGATGTGAAAGATGGAAATCGAAATGATTTACCCGGGGCGTTACCCTGCTGTGCACAACATACAACAAATTTTTTTGCTTCTCAAGATATAAGGAGAACTAGATGAACTACTGCTTTAATACCAACAACACCCCTCATTTATAATTCTTAATCTTTTCTCTCAGACCGCGGTGGTGTTGCGCTCCGCCCTGGTGATGGTATCATCCACAGTTGGTTGAACAGAATGCTCCTTCCCGATCAAGTGGGAACTGGTGGTGACTCTCATACTCGTTTTCCCCTTGGTATCTCTTTCCCAGCTGGATCTGGTCTGGTCGCCTTCGCCGCAGCCACCGGGGTCATGCCGTTGGATATGCCGGAGTCTGTTTTGGTCCGATTCTCCGGAGAGATGCAGCCGGGAATCACTCTCCGTGATTTGGTCCACGCTATTCCGTACTATGCGATCCAACAGGGTCTCTTAACCGTCGAAAAGAAGGGAAAGAAGAACGTGTTCTCCGGAAAGGTCCTTGAGATCGAAGGATTGAAGGGATTGAAGGTACTAATATAATGCCATGACATGATTACAAATGAAGATAGCACGAAGAACCTTCAACTACAGGTCGAGCAAGCTTTCGAGCTTTCTGAAATTAAGGTATACTATAAGAATTCTCTCCAACAACTACAGGTCGAGCAAGCTTTCGAGCTTTCTGACGCCAGCGCCGAGCGATCCGCCGCTGGCTGCGCCATCGATATTGACAGGGATAGCGTTGAGGAGTACCTAAGTTCTAACATCACCATGCTCAAGTGGATGATCTCTGAGGGCTACAATGACGAGCGAACGCTCAAGCGCCGTATTGGAAAGATGGAAGAGTTCTTGCGGGAGAAGCCGGAACTCCTGAGGGCAGACAAGGGCGCAAAATACCACACCGTGTTGGAAATCGATATGAACGATATCAAGGTACGTCTATATGTATATATAAAGAACATTAGCTATGTATTTCTTGTTTCTTGCGTGGTACATGAGCTAAGCGTTGTCTGGAGATTACCGTCAACGTCATTCTTGATAAGGACCTTGAACAAGAACAAGATTTACATGTACATGAGTTTGACTCCTCGGTGAGCAAAATAAACAAGATTTTGTACTGAATTCCCTATGTATCGTAATCTTAAAATCACAATCACATCAACCTACAGGAACCCGTCCTCTGCTGCCCTAACGATCCTGATGATGCTAAGTTGCTGTCTGACGTCGCTGGCGAGAAGATTGATGAGGTCTTTATCGGTTCTTGCATGACCAACATCGGTCACTTCCGTGCAGCAGCACAAGTCTTGAAGGGAATGGATCCGGCGTCACCAGGTACTAACTTTTATTGGCTTCTCTTGATTAGCTTCTTCTTTCACTTGATGTTGATGCCAAACTGTAAAATTTTATCGATGAGACTTCCATCAACCCCGCCCAAGACATCCGTCCCCACCCGTTTGTGGATCGCGCCACCTGTCAATTCCCCTTGATACCAAAAAATATCTACAGCCGTCCCCACCCGTTTGTGGATCGCCCCGCCGACCAAGATGGACGAAGCCCAACTCATCCAGGAGGGCCACTATTCCACTTTCGGAACCGCTGGAGCCCGCCTCGAGATGCCAGGTTGCTCCCTGTGCATGGGTAACCAGGCAAGAATCGCTGAGAAGTCAACTGCAGTTTCCACGTCTACCCGAAACTTCCCCAACCGATTGGGCAAGGGCACCAACGTGTACCTGGCATCCGCAGAAGTCGCGGCAGTGGCCTCTATCCTCGGAAAGCTGCCAACGCCGCAGGAGTACCAGGACTACGCAAAGAGCCTGAAGGCCGATAGCGGCGAGATCTACCGATACCTGAACTTCGACCAACTGCCCCAGTACGAGAAGGCGGCGGATTCTGTCAAGATGTAACTCTAAGTACAATTTAAGGAGAGGGATGATGATGTGATGTTCTTGTACAACTTGCTGTACCTCCACGCAACCTGATTGTCGTAGTAGAAAAGTCCGAAGATTTATGCAACAAGAACTAATTAAAATTAGTTGCTCGTAGTCAAAATGAAGCCTTGAAAGAGGAGGTTCTTGAAGTTTTGCATGAACCACTACAAAGGTCCTAATTGTAGCTCGTTCTAATCGGACACTAGGTCGTCATCATGAGTTTCTCATGAACGAGGGTCAAGATCTTCCTGCAAACAACAAGAATTAGAGGAGGTCCGCTGGCGCGACACCTGCAAACATTCAAATTTTCCATTCGAAACTACAACAATTATGAACGTTTTGTGATTCGTTAACATTTGTAGAACCACCTTCGTATCAAGAGCAAGGTTGCGTTCCAGTCCTATACGTATGACAAAAAATGAGTAGAAGATGTGTGTGGAACGACAAGTCCTCTACCTGGCTTTTCAGCATTGATGCCTGCATAAAACACTTGTACTTGATATAGCAACATCTTCATCCAGATCTACATCAACATTACAACATTGAGACACTTCCATGATCCACCGAGAATCTATTTACTACGCGCAAGAATTACGGACAAGGTAATGAATATGAACAAGAAAAATGTCAAACTATTTCTATTTCACTAGCATTTATTTGTTCGACAACAGAACGAACATCATTCTTACGATGGAAATCGAAATCTCGTGATAGAAGATTTACATCCGTATCACAAACACACTAAAAAAACTACTATCTTCTGTATTTCAACTGTTTTCGGTCAATCAATATTATCAATTAGCACCTATTCATTAGAAAAGTAGTGGGTGTGGGTTAATCAATTTTTGAATTTTGTAATTGATCAAAGGATGAAGATGCAGCATAATAATTGCTCTACATCAACAATATACTCAAAGTCGACCAACATGTCACTCTAAAAATCGTAGAAAAATCTCAATATTTCTTAGTTATCCTGTAATTGTCATATGATCAACATCTTGGACGGGTCAGTTCGTCTAAAAAAACTAGTTCTGCCTAGTTGAAAACTTTTAATAGTTCTAGCATCAACATGAACATCATGTATTCTTGTCAACATATGAGTGGTAAAACACAGCATAGAATTTTGAATCTTTTCCGATAAAATGATCTCATTGTTGATTGAAAAATGAATGAACAAATATGGGTCAACTACAACAAGCACAGACACAGTCTAAAAACGTTGAAAAATGCATAGTTCAAGTTAAGTTTAACATAGTGAGATCATAAAAGATTGTTTTCGTATTCCGGGATAACTCCAAAGTAAGCAGTATCCGTATCGCACGCTGATGCTGCCTCTACTGCCATATTACAGTGATGAAGAAGATACGGTGTTCCGCGAAAGAGGCAGAAGTGATCTGCATGTGTCACAGCCGAAGAAAAAGGGTCAATATTGACAACATCAACGCAACAGTGTACCGAAGATCCTTGTTTTAATCTTATGCAGCCACTGATGTCTGCTAGTTTTCCTAGTGGACCCGCAGCTAACCTAGTAACCTTTGATCCCACTGGTATGTCGAAGAAGTAGACCTATACAAGCTAAAGCAGTAGAAGTAGTAAGACTGCAGAAATTTCAGATGACGGTGTGGGAAATTAAGATGACGGAAACATCAGGTTCTTTTTGTTTTTGGAGCTATCTTCCGCATGCTTTGGCATTGCTGTTCTTATTCCCTCTATCTCGCCCCTGCTCCGCGTGTACTAGTTTGTCACTACCCGGCTTAAAAAGAGGAGTCGGACCTTCCTCTCGATCCACCAGCTCTGTTTCGTCAAGTTCAACAGCTAGTCTTTCGTCACGTTTAAATGGTTCCTGGCGATGGGATCGCGACCGGCATGCCTGGGCCTGGCATCAGGACCAGCGTCCACCAGTACCACATGTAGAACCTCGTGAATCTGTGGATGCGGAGACTTTGCGGAGACAATACCAGCAGAGACCGGGACGCCGGAGAAGGTTTCATGTTGAGGAAGAAGAAATACGGGAGATCATAAGGGAAGAAGATGGGGAGGACGATACAACAAGAGGACCCGACATATCAGATCATGGGAGAAGATTCAAGAGCGAAGATCCAGATCGAGAAGAAATTCTAGAGCATGGCAACGAAGGACCTGGCACAGAAGCTTCTGCTACTTCCCTAGCAAGTACAGAGTCCCTCTCTAGTACAACCCCGCTTACAGAACCTTCCTCCCCCGCTTACAGAACGCAGCTTACAGAACCTTCCTCCCCCGCTTACAGAACGCAGCTTACAGAACCTTCCTCCCCCGCTTACAGAACGCAGCTTACAGAACCTTCCTCCGCCGAAGACTCGTCCACTGGTGTCAACAGTGTAGTTCCTGGGTCTTCTACAAGTACTCGTACCCTCTCCGTAGATGAAGATCCGAGTGCGGCAGATGGATGTCGTCCGAATGTCCGAGAACAACAGGATTCACGTTCAGGCGCAACTGCTTCTTCGGCTCTGAAACGGCTTCCTTCTCGAGTACGAAATATCTTTTCCCAAATCAAATCTGAAGAAGCAAAACAATGGGCGCGCGAGGGGGTGGACCTGGTGTTGACTGAAGGCTGTACCTATGCCTGGCTCGACCACATGGTTGGAACGCCTGAAACCATAGGAGGCCACTTTCTCGCGACGTGTTTGGGTCAAGTTGTGCGAACATTTCTGCGACGTATCTTGAGAGAGCTGAAAGCAAGGATTAAGGGTAGGGTAAAGGTGCTTTTGTTCCCGCTTTTTATGCCTTTCCTAAGGGAGAAAGGCAGAAAAAGCGGGGTCCACGAGCACCAAAACCCTACCTCTAAACGGATCATATGTCCGAGCAGACCTACAGCAACAACAGGACCAGAAGGTCACCAGGCTGCTCCAACTCCTAGCAGTCCACATCGAGTGCTAGAAGCAACTCCAACTCCTAGTAGTACGAGCTTATTTCTCGGTGGTTCTAGGCGTCGACATAGCGCACCACCAACACCAAGGGTTTTAGATTTGGATTTGTTGGATCAGCGACAACTACCTGTGTCTTTCATTCGTGGTTGTGATGCAGGTGCCTCTAATGCTACAGCGAATCTTCCCGTTGATGAACAGGTAGATGAGAAGGCACATCGACACTCGGATCCGAAAGGAGACACGAACGACCCACAATCGTTCTATTGTAGTAGTAGTACATCCTGTTCTTGTTCATCTGCCAGCAGCAGTGCAAGTGTGGCCACCTCTTCTGCGGCTTCGGCTTCTAGTCAGTCATCCTCACGTTGGAGGTGGCACATCGGTAGCGGATCTTTCCTCTCAACTGCATCTTCATCATCGACATCGCAAACTGACACTTTGCCTTTATCGCTATCCAGTGCGCACCAGCTGAATTCTCCTTCATCACGAGCAGAGGAAGACAGCGAACAAATTGTCAATTCCGAGGAAGACGAAAGCGAAGTTGCTCTAGCTATTCCAGAAGTCTGTAGTGAACTCACCGGGTCACTGCTAAATTTGTCGGAGCCTGCATCCACAATCGTGCAAGAGGTAGTGCAGAAGGCAGTCGAACGCGTTTTAGTATCTGGCAGAGATGAACTCTTGTCGCAAGAAGACCATTTGCTCCTGTTGCAAAAAGCTCAGCAAATTCTGACATCACCTGTGGCTGTGGTGGAAAAAAATTTTGAACGTTTGAGTCATTTCCAATTGCTTGTGCGGAACGCTTGCAGAGTAGATCGAGTGAAAGAACGGTTTTTGCGGAGACTTAGGAGGCATGTTTATGAAGATTTAACGAATGCGACGTCGCAGCGCTCGTCGACTTCGTCATCAAGTAGATTACCTTCTCATCCGAGTTCGAGTACTACTGCAGCTAATCCGCTTTTGACTTCTTCTCCTCCCGGTCCTTCATCATCGAATTCGCCTCTCAGTGAAGATGCGCAGGGGAATATACCCAACGAGACGAAACACTTCCCGGATGGCTGAATAGAAGTTGGAAAGCAGAGGTAAACAAGAACCTCCCAATTAAGCAGATCAATATATCGTAGCTGTGAGTGCGTGGCTTTCACTTTTTTCAGAAGCAATGTAGGAATTCCAATAGATGAAAGAGATAGACAACCAAGAATGGCACTACGCCCAAAGCACCACATATCATATTACCTTGCCCACATGATCTAGCTACAGTATCTATTGACCACATATATAAGCGTCATTCTCCCTCATCATAAGTCTGCCAAAAAAGATAAAGATGAAAACCTCAACCGAGAGCAAGCTTTCTTCTAATTTCTTCTCCTAAGACCAAGTAAATATGGATTCTTTTGAACGTTATCTATATGTGGTCGACCTAGCTATGTATTTAAGTCAACGCGATAAACAAAATTGCAAAGCCAAAATGTGTAGAGAATGACAAACTCCGGATGTTAGGAATCAGGTCTATGTAAGTAGCTAAAGCACCATCCTCACTGAAATCATCAGCAGATGTGAACAACTGTTTGATTTTCTACGAAGGGAGGTTTTACCAAAGCTAACAGTTTGGCCTTCACGAAGTAGTGAGCGGGACGAGCATCTTGATGTTCTTCGCTTTTGCCAAGTGGGGGAGAACAAGTGCTTGTTCTTTGCTAACGATATTCCATGGCCAGTCTTGGCAATACAGGGTTTGTTCGATCGCCGCAGGATCCTAGACAACCTTGATACGATCGAAAGTTGTTATATCCAGCAATATTTCGATCACCATCTTCACAACAACGAGAAAGTCTTCTAAATATCTGGATGCACGTGTTCCAAGAAAACTGATCCTGTCGAGCTCAAGACTAAAAATCAGTCATGCACGCTATCAGACACAGACTGATCGGTCATGCACGCTATCAGAGTGATCTTCAGCTAATATTGTAATCGGATAACTACAACAAGAACATTATGCTGCCCCTTCGTGCTCCGGCTCTCATCCAAAGGAGCTGTAGAGCTACTCCACGTCCCAGCTCTTCAGCCCCTTTGACACGAGGACAGGCGAGGACCGTTGCGTCCGTATCTGCAGATGATAGCAAAATAAGCAATGTTGCAGCTGTTGCATCAGTAACAGGATCTGAACATGTTGACCTCCAGCAGTCCTCCGGTTTGGCGGTCGAGGACAGAAATAATAGTGCTGCCACGACTTCTTCTAGTGCGAGGAACTACACTGCAGGGACGGATCTAAAAAAGAGCCTCAACGGCCGCTTTGTGAGCGAGCGGCTGAGAAATCTATGTGGGGAAGATGGTGATTTTTACCAAAAAATGGGCATTACATGTTTCAATCCATTGTTGAAGCTGCAAGAAAAGGGGACGCAAGTCCAAGACCAGGATCTTCAGGAGACCACACAGATGAGTAAAGATCATGCGGACCACGATTGGCGTGAGGAAAGAGAAGCTCGGCAAGCCGCTCTTCTTCAAGACTTTGCCAGCTATGCGATCCATGGAAGATTCAAGAAGTATCCAGACGACTTCTGCGTTAGAGAAGTTTCTTCATCACGAGAGGCTGAAGGAGGACAAATGCGCGGTCGAAAGGTCTATGGGGAGACTGCTTCAGGTGGACCACCTAATATGGTAGTCCCTGACGATCCTAGAGATATGAAAAACTGGTTTGGCTGGTTGAAGGAGATGCAATATGAGGACACACCGACGGAATATCTGAAGAAGAAGGAAGTGGTGAGGGAGGCCGCTGACCGAGCCAAAATCCAACGAAGAGATGATCATATTTTCCAGCAAAAGTATGCCACTTCTGCCGAACCAACTAGTACTCAAACTCCAAATGAAGACCTGAAAGTGAATTGGGCTCCACGTCATTTGTGGTTCGTTGTGGCCAAGCGCAACAGGACAACGGAAGAAGCCAAAAACATGATCGCAAGATACCTTAGAGTTCCAGCAGAGCGAATCTGCTATGGCGGTCTCAAGGACCGTAGGGCGCTTACTGTTCAGCACATGTCACTAAGGGTGTGTAGGGATTATAGTGCCAGATACTTGGAGAAGAAATTGCTGTGGTTTGGAAAGGGAAGAAAAAGACAAGACGATAAGGCTGATACTACGCACATCGAAAATTTGAAACCGGAAGAAGAACCCGCAGACTATACCACTGTTCGCTCACCACCCAGACGTAAGAAAGATTCCCAGTCGTCCTTAGACTCTTTCATTGCGATCTCAAACGTCGAAGGTCGGATGAAGCATTGTGCTTTGGGCGCACAGCATGGCAACCACTTTACCATTGGGCTCCGAAACGCTAGATTGGTTAACTTGGAGGAAACCGATTCCATTTCCAATGAGCACCAGAATGAAATAGAAGACCATACAAGAACAAGTACACCAACATCAAGCACCAGTAGCTCCTCCTTTGGTTCTACTTCGCAAGAAGACCAAGGACTAGGACAAGAAGGAAGTCCAAGTCTTAAGGGTAGGGTAAAGGTGCTTTTGTTCCCGCTTTTTATGCCTGTCCTAAGAGAGAAAGGCAGAAAAAGCGGGGTCCACGAGCACCAAAAACCTACCTCTAAAAGTCGTCGCAACCCTCAACATCTTCCAGTCTTTCAAGTTGCTCGTGCACGTGCTTTTCAGGTGGCTAAGCATGGGTTTATCAACTACTTTGGTCCTCAACGTTTTGGCACGGGATCGATTTTGAGTAGTGATATCGGAAAGGCGTGCATATTGGGGGATTACGCGAAAGCATGCTCCTTGTTATGATGAAACGAAATGAATTTCAACAGCAAGAAGGAGTTCTCAAACAAGAACAACAGGAACAACAGGTACGAATTTGAATAGAAATTATAGAATAGTTGTACTTGCTTGAAGCATTGTGGGCACCTTCTAATCTCCATCATGCATGCAATGGTAAAACCCGATAACGCACGAGCGCAAGAAGCAGCCCACGCATTCGATCGAGGCGATTATGACACAGCTTTGGCTAACACACAGCCGAGCAGATTAGCAGAACGTAACCTGCTTCGAGTGTTGCTCGAACAAGAACGGGACTCGTCTGCTTCCGGAACTTCTACACCTGATACCCGTTTCGAACGTGCATTACGGGAAGGTGTGCCCAAGAGTATGAGACTTTTCTACGCACGCGCCTATGTCTCAGAGCTTTGGAACCATGCTGCCAGTGCTCGTTGCCGCGACCACGTAAGTGGGGCAACACCATTTGGAGACAACCTCGCGGACCTGGTCTTGGTGGACAAGGATTTGGGGATAAAGAATCGCATCAACAAAATCCGAACACGAAGAGGAGCAGAGGGAGAATCCGTAGAAGAGCAACATGGAGGGCGTGGTTTTGTTGGAGGTGGACATCAAGAAGATGACGTTCGAGGTTGTGATGAGATAGAAATCACGTTGCCACGAGTCAGACAGTTCATGACATTCGAAGGAGGAAGCGATATGGGCGACACGTTGGCCGACATCGTAGTGCCACTTCTTGGACGGCCGCCTCAGCCACGCGGCGACTCGAATGAAGGTCATATGATCCCAGAACAGCCTGGCAATCATGTCCTCAAAAACACCTCCGATTATTGGCATGAAGTCTACAAAACGTTACTTGGCGGAAAAGACCCCGGTGAGCTCACTGCCAATGCCCTCCATCGCGAGTTCGAAGTCGAAGGTGGCTATAGACGTCTTTTCGCCTATCCGACCGACGTCAGGGTCACGCGCGGATCAGAAGAGGTCATTAGAGTTCCACAAGAATTTAAAGAAGGAGACGCAGACCAAGATGCCCAACCAGTACAGCCGCGGCGTTCTGATCGGTTGCTTTTCACGGTACCAGAGTTTCATGGACCGGGTGAGGCATTGGAGCTTCAAAACAACGACGGAGAAGACTCTTCGACGAATATCAAGACCAGGCCAGGTCGCAGCTTAGTGTTTAGTTTCACATTGAAGCCTGGAGAGTATGCAAGCGTGTGTCTAAGAGAAATGCTGCAGGAGAAAGACTTGGAATTTGTCCGATAGTTTCCTCATTTATAATATGGCTTTGGGATCTTCCACTCTTGACTTCTACGCATACGACGCGAACGCATTAGACAGTCTCTATAGTAGCATTGGACCATCAGGCACTACCTGAAAGAAGGAGAAAGATAGAGAACTAAGAGAGGTATTGACTGACGAGTGAAACAGAGATGAGACGAAAAAAAGGTTTTACTGAAAAGCGAAAACTGTAACAACCCACCGATGTTGATGTAGAACATTCACAATAAAACCTGCCTGAGTCATCTGAGTTGTCGCAGCCACGACACTTTCACTTTTGCAAGTATAATTCCAAAATAAAAAGAAAAGTCTCATTAAAAAAATTCCACTACAAAAAACTTGTAAAGAATCATGGCTTGGCTCCTCAACGCTATTACGCAGGGGCTCGCCGCAGCCCCTGGTCCACCTGAGCTTTTTTCGTCATCGTCGGGTGCCGAAGATGAGATGAAAAAGCTCGAAAAATCTGCTGCAACCAAGGCTCCAGGTAAGTCACCAAAGCAGGACAAGCGAAGCAGACTGTTTCACAAGAAGGACAATCTGGATGGAAGCAGTAAGAACCCTTCTGGACGATCACCAGTTGGTTCACCAGGAGGTGGAACATTGTCGTCTTCTAGTATCTCTTCACCTGCTTTCAATGAGCTTGTTCTTGGAGCTCATAATCATACAGGTGGTGCTCTTGCACTGCCACCGCCAGGTCCCTTAGATCGCACCTTGAAGGACTGGGTAACAAACATTCAGAAGGAAGACGGCTCTCTAGGGTACCAGTTCAATGACGTGAATCTCGCAGCAGTTGTGCCTTTCACAACTTTCACGTCCGTTTTTCTCCTCTCCCGAGCACTGGAGACGGCGTACTTGAATTCGCATGCCAGTGACGACCAAGCCTTCTTGCTGGCATCTGCTTGTGGTCTAGCTGAGGTTGTTGGGTCACCGGCATTGTTCGCGAGTGTCCGACGGGCTGTTCTCGAGAGGTTGTTGCCTGTCCTAACCACAGGAGTCCAGGAAGGCAGCTGTTTGCTGGACAAAGCAGATTCCAAGACGTCTACAACTTCTGGTACTGTTGTAGCCGTTTCATCGTCTAGTGCATCGTCGTCTGCATCTTCCGACTCACCACGAGCAGATGCAGACCAAAACAACGACGTCAGCGGTTCTACTCCCGAAGTGTTGAAACTCAAAAACGTCGATCTCAATCACGCTGGTCAGAACAAACATCGTGACACCCTAGACGTTCATGACCAAGGTGATCACACCGAACACGAGCAGGATGATCTGAGTACTCCACCAGACGACGCACCTGATTTGTTCAGAGGCTGTTTAGAAAGTCTTGCTCAAGTCCGCGATTTAGCTGTCAGGTCTCTCTTCAAACGAGATGGTTTGGTCGATGGTTTGCGTGCGTACCGTAGAAGCCTAGAACGACAGCAGAGCGACTTGCAGGAACAAATAATCCCGGATTTGCTGGATTCTGGTGAGTTCCCTGAAGCACACGCAAGACATCGAGAGCTTTGCGACGTGTATGGGAAGATTGGCAAGGCGCTGTTGCAAGAGTGGACTGGGTTGGTTGGAAGTGTCAGGTATGAACTAGTTGCAAACAGTGGACCTGGACTAGGAACTCTAGCTTCATCGACTATGCCTTCCTCCTTTACCACTGGTAATCTTGACAACAACGTCAACGTGCAAACCACGAAAACCGCTCAAACTCTTCTAGCAGAGGTAGCAAGTGGCCAAATATTCGAAGACGAAGAAGCTACATCTCCAAGTTCGCCAGCTGTGTCGCTGCCTGCTTTCTCACCAGAAGGGGGCTCTCCAGCCAGTGTGAATCCTCGCTCTAATGCACGTGCTAGAGCACGAGAAAAAGCTGCAGGAGGTGGTGGAAAATGTGGTAAACCTGAATCGAAAACGAAAAATAAATCCTCTACTTCTACCAGTACAACACCTCCACCAACTCTTGAAGATGTTGACAAGAACGTTGAAAAGACGACAGCGGAAACTACAACACCACCGGAGAAGTCTTTAGGACTGTCCCCTAGCTCAACATCGAGTGGGGGACCGCACGCAGGAACCAGTACTGGTGGAAGTCCTGTAGAAGAGCTGTTTCCGGCGTCACCTGTGCCTAGCACTCCTGGTATGAATACAACGTCAACTACTGCGTCGATTGTTCCACAACATCAACAGCAGGCATTTGCGGCAACTCAACAACAACAGAAAAATCTAGTGGCGACAGTGCATTCCTACCAGCCAACGAGGTTTGTGTCAGCGCAGTGTGTGCGGTTGCAGAAAAAGCTGGGGTCATTGTACTTATGGTTACACATCAGTTAGACGTCAGGGTCAGCAAGATGGATGCTATTTAGATTTCTTCGATTCATCAGTGTAAGTATGTGTTGCTTTTGTGGTTTCACCCCGGAGGGATAGGCACCTTTCCAGACCTCTGCTCAACCTCTAATTCTCTCCGCCCTCACCGACTCTGCTTCAGCGCAGAAGCGAAGTCTAGAATTGAAGAATCAAGAGCATGCAGCAGAACTAGCCGAGGCTGAAGCGGAGAGTGCCAAGGGTGGATTGCTCTTCGTAGAGAACGAAATCGAAACTCTAGAAGCCAAGCTAGCCACTCTCAAACGCGATCTAGAACAAGTTTCCTCTACTCTAGGAGATAAACGACGCAAGAGGGAAGATGTAGCCAGCAATATGCCTGCTCGCGCACGGTTGCGGTATGAGCAGACAGTAGAACGAGTTTTGGAGAAACAGAGGCGTGAGAGCAATCTAGTGCAGAAATTCGGAGTTAGAGTCTGCTCATCAGGCTATGCATCGAGCATCACTGCTGGGCCGTTGAAAACTAGTAGTTCTTCACCGACTTCTTCTGGTTCTGGAGGAGTAGATCAACCTTTAGCTTCTACCAACAAGAACAACTATGGCACAAACATCGACGATCAAACCGCCAACCCTATGAACATGCGTCGGGACGTTGGTCTTTTACGCCATCCGCGAGGCAGTTTCGAAGCGAACATCGCACCAGCATTGGCATTCACTGAGAGCGAGTTGAGGGACAAGATTGAGCTGGTAACGAATGCTTTTCTGACTCAGAAAACATTTGCATCAGCTTCGACGTCTAGTTCTTCCTCGCCCGTCTTCCCTCCCCCAATGACGACGACAGCAGAGCAGCTCGAAGGACCGTCCCATCTCTTATTGACTGCGTCGAGCGTGGAGCAACTAGGCCAACTAGCTGCAGGAGAGCAGATGCGAAGCCTTCAGTTTTGCTTGGACCGCGTAGAGGCAACCATGCGCTGGGTAGAGCGCTTAGATTCAGCGACAGCGGGAGATGTGGACTTCTTTCGAGGATTGAAGGGAGGGAAAGGTACTTAACTACTTATAATTGCCCTTCCTGATTGTGAGAGTTTTTTTTGATTGTGTGTGAGACTTTCTATTCATACATGATTCTGAGACTTTCTAAAAATTCTTCTAAGTTAGAGATAGAGCAGGCAACCGATCATGCCAACCACGTATCGCTCCATTCGAATCACGTTCCTCCTGCTATTCGCAAAACCCTCCAACACGACGACACCATACAACTATCATCCAGCCGACGGAGGTTCTTCCTCAGCAGGCTCTGAAGACAATATGGCAGCCACTGTGGCAGCCGGTGAAGCCACTTTTCAAGAGGCTTGGGATGAATCAGAGGCTTTGTTTGCTCTGTTAGCTGCGGAGAGAGACGGAGTAGGAGCTTCTGGTGACAACAAGGAGAAAGATGCGGCTTCAGGTGACTCGTCCTCTTCCTCTTCTGGAGACGACTCGGACTCCAAGCGCAATGTGCAAGCGGTGAATGAGGAGAACTGGCAAAGGGCAGTGTCACGCAGAGAAGCGATCTGGAATAGAATGCAGTTGAGATGTCAGTGAAGGAGTGACTGAAGATTAAATATTAAACAACCTACCGGTAAATACAAAGAAAAAAAAACACGGAGGAACGAACATGATGAATTCGACAGATGAAATAGAAGATGGACTTGAGTCAACATGTACACTAGAAGGACTTAGAATTTTCACCAGAAAACGGAACAGCGCTCTCCGTTTACGATCAGACTTCTGACTCTTGAAGGTCGCTAGCTGCAACTTCAATCCAGCTTCAAATGCACTTGATGTTGTAAGTATGCAGGTTGGTCGTGTTCATCTCTGCGCTCTGCGGACTGTTCTTGGCTTTTTTACTTTGTCTTGGTCAGAAACAGAATCTTCAGATCCATGAAGATGAATTCCCTCTCATTCTGTAGAATGTTGAAGCGGTGGAGACGTCAACGTGATCATGCGGTTGCAGCTAAGAATGTGTAAGATGAAATAATGTAGTCCTCGTGAGACCTTCAAACGCAACCATAAACAAGTGCAAGACCGGTGGCAATGGATCTACTTACTTCATCAGGAACCTATCACCGCAACGTCAGATGATCATGTGCAGTCGACTGTATAATGTGGAGCTAGAGGAACTGCAGACACAGCATGGTGACCATAATCTTGTTACCCCATTCTACAACGAGCAGCTCTTGAAGTAGTTCTAGTTCGTGCATGTGCACATCGATAGTTGCTCAATGCCATTCCCTTTCCCCCAATTAAGTTCTTCTTCTTTGAGTACCTACCCTTTCTGCACCTAAACTCTAGCCCAACCCGTGTAAAAAAGAAGTAATTAGAACGCACCTGGGCCTACTCCTAAACCCTTCTAGATTTTTTTGACACTACTCTAAAAACTCAAGAAGATGATGGATCTTGGTAACTTGCTTGCTGCTGCGCAGCGTAAGCCTATGGGCATGGATGACCTGAGGCGCGCCGGTGACGATTTCGGTAAGCTGAAGGGAGTGGGGAACGAATGTTTCAAAGAACGCAACTATGAGTTGGCCATAAAAGCTTACACGAGAGCAGCAAAGGCAGCGGCAAACGACGTTGATAGGGGGACGATTGCGAGCAATACAGCGATGGCGATGTTGCAGATAGGACAGTTTGAGGAGGCTTTGAAGCAGGTACTTTTTTACCTGGGACGTTGTCGTGCTGCACTTCATCTCTACCCCTACACCTCGTTTTTCTGATAGTACATGATGGCCGCCTCCAGATCAGGCACTTTACTGTTAGAAGATCTTGACATCTTCCAGCACTGTTCTCTTTGCTTCAAGGCTTATTTCTATTCATCACGAGGACCTCTTAGTTTTATCGAAACAACTAAGAGGCCCTATCTTCTTCAGTCACTGTTTATCTGCACCTTTCATCAAACAAAAACTCAAGTTTCCCGGAGGTACCCTCCTTTGACCATTGTTCTCAACAGAGCAGCTCTCACTTGATCCAACTAAGTACACTTGTTCTACTTCTCGACGTCGACACCAGGCTGAAGTTGCGATAAAGCACCGACCTGACTGGGAGAAAGCGTATTTGAGGAAGGTAGTGGCCCTAATTGGTCTGGAAAAAGCGGATGACGCAGAGGCTGTGCTAAACGATACGACAGTGTTTCCGAAGGATACGGAGGAGGTAGTTTACTTGTGATTATTCAGAAATACTGTCAGACCACGTCTCTACGGTCACCATGAACGGTGATAACAGGGACAACAGCATGCATCCTTGATCGGGAATATCATGGTTGCATTGTCCTCTTAGACTTTGTCATTTTCCCTGCAAATCCATGATTTATAGTTCCTGACATCCTCAACACCAAAACAGACTACCGCACTAAGGGAGCAAGTCGTAGTTGCAAGATTACCATGGATCGAGGCGCAACCGAATGTGTGGGTGAAGTATATCACTGGGAAACGACCTGACGACAGCTTGCTCGAAGACTTGGATATTGTTTGGGTACATCAATGTGAATACAACTGGAACAAGTAGTAAGTGAGTACATCATTCACAACAACGAACGACTAGAATACACGACATCCAAAGAAATCCCACACCCACAGCACTCCAAATGTCAACAACTCAGACCCACTACCGAGTCCTCGACCGCAAGTCTCGGGAAGTTCTCCACTCCACCCGATGGTCCTTCCCAGTTCCCGGTCTGGCTTCTCCCGGAGAAAGCGCCGAAGCACAGCCAGAGAGCATCACACTAGCGGAATACAACTGCGAGGATGTAGTGGATATGATTCTGCGGAGATTAGAAGACGGCGGCGAAGCCTTCGTGAAAATAACTGGGCCATGCAGCTTCTACCCAGACGTAGCCGGCGACGCGAGTTCCTCCTCGACAGCTGGTGGGGATGGAAGTGCGAACGACAAGACGTTGGGGCCGAACGAGACGGCTGGCGGGAGTAGCAGCAGTGGTGCTGGGGGAGGTAGCAGAAATTTCTTTTTCGCATGTGGTAGTGCTAGTACAAGCACATCAACCTACTTGTTCATAACTAGTCTGGAGGACATCATCTTGATCTTCTCTATTTCTTCAAGTAGTTCAACCTTGAACCTTCACCTTCCAATCACACCATCTCACATCTTATCGTCCACCAGCCGCCGCATCCCGACCGCAACTGGAGTTTCAAGTCACCCTATACAAGCACGAGAAGTCGCCAAAGGAGCCAACTGGTGGCCTCAAGGATGTCGCTTTTGATGTGCGGCGTGGAGACAGGTTCTTGAAAGGTGCATTAGATGGTAAAGAAAAACTGGACACTTTCGATCGATCAAAAGCAAACGCGGATCAGAGCAAGGACCAAGCACTAGAGGTAGCGTGGGGAGCCAAGAAAGGAGGATTTTTGGCTGTGAGAAGGTAGTGACTAAAAATTTTGATGGGAGTTGGACGAGGAGGCAATTTTTTCATTAAGATAAAGAATGTTGATGATAAAGATGATCTTCACCCTTCTCATCATGATGATCTTCACCATTCACATTCTCATGAACAATCACTCTGACTCGTCCGATCATCATTTTTATTAACTACTATAGCTCAAAGAAAAAAAGTATTCTACTTGTTGACACGGTAATATTCTTTGTCACTGTGTTCTTTGTTTTGAGTTGCAGTTTTCAACGTTACCTCCTCAAGCAGTGCGTACTGTTTTTAACTTACTAAGTAGAAGAACGATAAATGTCCAGGTTCCGACGAGCCCTGGACTTCTTAGACCGTCTGAAAAAAGGAGACGAGGAATTAGCCAATTCCACGGAGTTCCGAAAGCTCTCCGACAGTGCCAAATTGGGTCTATCCCGGTCTCTAGTCGTCGCACAGCACGTTTTCGGCGTAGAAAAAGCAGATCAAGGCGACTTCGGCAGAGACTTGGTTCACTTCCTAGAGAAGAAGGGACACAAGTCAGCAGCAGAAGCAGGAGTCTCAGAGAGAGATTTAGAGGAAGCTTTGGAATTAGCAGACTCAGCGATACAAGCAGCGATGACTGCGAATGGCGAAGAGAAGGGGGAGCAGAGCAAGGCACCCGTGGAGTTGCATGTGGCGAAAGCGGAGGCTTTGAGTACTTTATCTTCAAACATACACATATTTTTAGGCTGTATGAGTATGTTGAATGATGTTGATATTTCTATTGCAGTCGTGCTAGTGACAATTACCTTACCGTTATAACAAAAAACAGAAATTATAAGTCTAGATATGAGCTTCCTTTTGAGTACTTATCGTGATCGTCCTGTCATCATCAAAACTCCCTTTCCCTCACCCAGATGCCCTCGGTCGTCTGGACGAAGCTCTTGCCGCAATTGAGGTTGGATTCAAATCCGACCCAAAGTCGGAATTGCTCCGTTCCGAACGTGCTAGGATTAACCTCAAAGTCAAGAAAAACGAGTTCGAAGACAAAGGCGTCATCGTAGAAAACATGAAGGCCGAGCTCGACAAACACGTTGTCGATTGCCAAGACGATGCAACGAGGGACTTTGTGCTTATCCGCAAGACCATGCTCACCCTAGGCGAGATGTGCGACAACAACGAAATAGCATGGGATGCATTGATGAAAATCAAGATCGGCAAAATTATGGCTTACAACATTACATATACATCCTCCACTAACATTCTTGACCTTTTGCTTTTCTCAAGTAAGTAGATGAAAATAATACAGGTCAAGGACGATGTTCTAGGTCTGAAGAATGTAATGCTAATGGTGCAACCTCTAACCAAGCCATAGGCTTAGTTCAAAAAGCCGCTTGGGCTGGCGCAGTTGGCGATATCGAGAAGAAGCAACTTGTGGAAAAGCCAGGTGATCTAGAAGTGGGAGAAATAGAAGAGGTCGCGACGCTGAACAGTTTGGCGACAAAACTGATCCGCAAATTTAGGGACATGGCCGAGAGAAATCGCCCTTTGTGGGCGTAAGATGAACAACGTGTTATTTTTGAAGGAGGAGGGTCTTTCTCGGCTGTCGTTGTCTGCAACGGCATTTTACGGAAATCAAGCCCTCTCCTAGCAATGATGTTGTAATGATACGACATGACGCCGGCTCGTCAAGATTGAACACAGCTTCGATTTATCTGCTTCGATTTATGAAAGTCAACAGACAATGAGTCAATGAATTTTCCTAGGTAGAAGCAGGTACCGCGACTATATCAATGATACCAATCTTCTTCACCATCGCTCTTTCTTTGTGCCCCTAGCTTTTCCTCCGACCTTCATGCGAGATGAAACATATGTAGAAAAAGTTTTACCGATATGTACTTTGGTAGAGCTAAGTTCGTCTACGCCGGTCCCCCGATCGACCGCGTCGTCGGCATTGGGGCAGAGAGTATATAAAGAAAAAAGATGGAAAGCACTTGTATTGCTATAAAAGAGGCACCATGTTGACATGACATGAAGCCTCCTGGCCCAGCCAAACCCCTGAAAAACCGAACACCCAAATGAAATCCCGACCTGACGAACTTGTTAACCTTAATGATCCGCTATAATGACTTTTTCACTCAAGGAGAACAAAATGGTATCGACTGCTTTGCGTAGTTGAAACAGAGGAACTACCTTTGCTGTCAAAGTTGCTGTGCCACCTTGTTCCACCTCGTCCAGAGACATTCCTGCGCAGTGCAGTATGTGGCAGTACAAATCGGAACGCCACTTTTCACGCAGCTTGTACTAATTCTGTAAAGTTGTACTTACACTTAGAAGTGAAAATGCGTGTACCTCTGTTTCGTGATGGTCGGTCCAGTGTGAAAGTGCTAGTCCGTGATGAGGCCGTATAGAGGAAGAGAACGTCTGTTATGAGGAAAAAAGAGAGGGCGAGCAATGACTAAAATCTACCCGAGTCGGAAATTAGTCACGAACAAAATGATGTCTACTCTAAAACGGAAAATCATCCCTTTCTTCATGCAACCTGGTCGTGTATAGTATCAGGAAAAGAGCTCCAAAAAAAGATACTAGACATTATACCGCAACCGCTAGTTCTTCGGGAAAAGAATTCAAATTGTAGAAGAAGGTCATAATTTTTCTCGTGGAAATGTAACACTATAACTACTTAATCCATGGATAACTACTAACTTAATCCATGATGGTGTAGTTGTAGTTGTGCAACTAGCTTAAAGCGAAGCGGGAACTCCAAAAGAAAATGTCCGACTTCGTTCTCTCGTGGCTGAACGACGACCTGAAGTTGGGTTGTGGTTCCGCGATTGAACGCGAGTTCGCCAGTGGCTACCTGTTTGCGGAGGTGTTGAGCAAAACGCATCCGAGTATCGTCACCCCAGATGACCTCTTGGAGTTCGAGAATGAGAAGAAAAGTGCTTGAATTATATATAGGATTTGATATTGTTCAGAATGAATTTGATATTGTTATGTATCTTTCCTTGCACAGATGCAGTCAGTTTCTTTCATCTTTGAAGTGAAATAGTTTCTTGAATTCTAAGGCCAATGAGATTGTTCTGTATCTTTCCTTGAAGAACCAATGCCCACAAGCAGCTTGTGTTTGTGATCTTACGCATTTTTGAATTCCAACAGGGACGTAGTAGGTACATCGATCAGCGCAATCGCTTCACATAATTTTTAACAATCTCAATTTGAATTTCAAATCCTCCATTCAAAACTAACACAGCCCGCGACAAGACCCTCGCGCAAGTCAAGGCGCACAACATGCCATTGCTGCGGGAGGTGTTTAAGCGGTTGGGACTTCCAGGTTTCGGCGGAGAGGTCCTTCACCAAATCAAACAGGAGGACCGAGGGACGTCATTGAGGCTCCTGTACCAGATTAAGAAGTCGATCGAACCAGTGAAAGATGATGCGAAAACGGAAAAAGTGTTAATTTGAATAGAACTCGAAGAACAGCAACATACTAATGAACTTCGAACCGTATGATTGATCTTCCAAACGATGCGGGATACGTTTGGAAGGTCATGCGGTTCGAACTTCAACAGCATGCAACTACCGATCATTCCAGAAACGTCTGTAGCAACATGCTGATGAACTTCGAACCGCATAAGTTTCTTAATGATGCTGCTACTGATGGTTCTGGTAAAAACGTCACCAGATGATACGTTTAGAAGCTTGTGCTGGTCGAATCTTAGCACCATGCTTCTACCAAAACCAAACTCTGCTCAACACAGATCCCCCGTCTCCCTCGTCCCGAGCTGGACCCGAGCGACGTTTATTGGTACAAAATGGGTGGCCACAAGGAACCTTTATTGAAGCCGTTTCTCGATGAAGAACGACGGCAAGTTCTCTATGGCGAATACCTGGACGACGTCGATGAGCACACAATGATTGACAACATCGCGAGGAACAGGGACGAACTGTTGGAGCAAGCCCTCGACCGCAGGAATTTTGCCGCAGAACAAGAGGAACATGTTCTCCAGTTCTGGAGAGGCACCTATAGGGCAGATGTGGCGAAGACTACAGAGGAGGTCAGGGTGGAGCGCGAGGTCTTGGCAAGAGAACAAGCGAAGATTGACTCGACGAGGAAATACTACCGGAAACAAGCGTACTCTACTACCACTAGTAGTTCCTTGTTCGATGCTTTGACTGATGACAGACATTCTGGTATTGCTGTAGAAGAACAGACTTCTTCTCTCACAACTGTATCTTGTATCTTGTTCTTGACTAGAACTCGATCGACGTAGTTGCAACAAGAAGGTAGAAGACTTTCTTACACATTTCTCCTTACCAACTTGGTAAGGAGGAATGTGTAAGAATTGGCTTACACCCGTTCTCTTCTCCTTAGCCCTCATTCTCCTTACCAAACAGCCTCGACGGCATCGATAGCTACGAAAGAAATCTTCAAAGGATTGGTATTGATACAAGCGAGAACGCGGGAACCGACGTTCCGACACGGGGGATCAACAATCCCATGGAGCTGTTGGAGAGTATGAAGAAGAGGTACAACTACTCTTACACCTACTGCTACTGATGCTAGAAGAACTCAGTCCTAACTATTCCTGTTGTTTCACGATTGCAGATGTACAACACACGACAGACGACGGTAATTACAAAGTAGGATGCTTATTCTGCTCTATTTTTAAAGTTCTGCTCTATATATAACGCGTTGCTAACATAAGAGTCACGCGTTAATAAGCCTGTCATACACGTCGAGGATCCTCCACCGACACGACAACTACAAGTTCGATCCACTACTTCTCAGGTTACCTTCCCGCAAGAACCTCTTCCTAGAATGCCTTGTGCATATGAGAAAGATCAAGGCTGGTGGAAGAACTCGAAGAAAGGCGGCGCTGGAGAGGGAGAAGAGAAGACGGAAGCAACGCGTCCAAGCATCCGTTGAGGCGGCTGACTTGGGTACAGCTAGTTCTTTTCACTGAATGGTTGTAATTCAAGTTCTACAACTACAATCAAATACAAGATAAGTTTTGCCTGGCACTGCCTCAACTTCTGTCTCTACTTCCCCCACGCCCTTCGTCTCCCCACTCTTCTACAACAGCCAAGACAACCGCACTCAAAGAGGCCACAGCAACGCTCACAGCAGAGATGCATGCTCAACAAGTAGCCGCTAGAGCTCACTATCTGCAGGATATCTATGAGCAGAAGTTGTTTGACGAAAGGGCGGCTGCACAGACCGCCTTTGCCCAGAGACGTAATAGTGAGTCCGAAGCAAGATGGAGGAAACAGACAGCGACATGTAGAGAACATTTTGATAGCGTGGAAAAACCAGCAAGGACGCAGAGGAAGGAAGTGTTTAAGTTATGACCCGCAAGGCCATTCGCATTGGTATAATTGAAACTTGTGTTTTTAGTCAAAGGAAGTAAGCTTCGTTAGAGTTAGACCACCTAGTAGTGCATAGTACTGAATCTCGGTACTGCTGGACTTCCGTGACTGATGGACGACGCCTTTACCGTAGATGATCCATCTAGTATTGCATGTTATTTAGAGTTAGACCATCTAGTAGTGCATAGTAGTGAATCTCGGTAGATTTTCTCACCCTTCTTGCGTGCTGAGGATCCCCTAATCTTCTCCGCCGAGGCCGAGCGGCAGCAACAGCGGCAAGAGAAGCATAGTGTCTACTGCAACCGAGTCCTCGAAGATCTTCTCGACGTTGCCGACGACATCTTTAGGAAGAGATATGCGCAATATCAAGCGGACGGCGAGCTACCACCAAGGAATATGAAAGCAGAGGAATACAGAGCATTCCTGAATAATTTCGTGAAAGCTGGAGCGGAACCGAGAAAACCGTATTTTCGAATTCGATATTTGTTCTTGTTGCGCAAGTCCTAGTACCTAAAGAAAGATACAGATAGCCTCATGATACATCTCAATTCTTACGAACAAAATCCATCTCCTTGTTCGCTTCCAACCATTTCAGCCGTCCACCCCCTTCGGTCGCTCAGTCTGGGACGGGCAATATGATGCCGCCACCAGACATCGGCGAACTAGTGAAAGCAACTAGTGAAGACCCTTCAGCACGGGACTTCTTTTTTCATGCTGGCAATTGGAGTAGTGAGCACAATTTCGCTAGCGGTCGTGGTGCCACTCCACCAGGCTTTTCGTCGACAGATTGGTTTGTAGATTAAGGCTCAACTTTCAATGGTCATTTTATATACGAAGGGTGACACAAAGGGGAGAGCTTTGAAGGGGGTCCCTTGCGTTCAGAGTCGGTGACCAATGAGTGCTGCGCTTTAAGTAGAGGACAAGAGGAAAACGTCTGCGACTAATGTTGTTGATACAAATACATCCTCTCCTGTAGTAGAGGACAAGCTTACGCCAGCAGTCGCTGCAGTGTTTCAGGGAAAGTATCATGCGACAAGAGCTGAGACGAGAGCAGCGATGTTTTGCGATATCGATCTGGTACCACCAGAATCGGAAAGTGCGGCTGCTGAAGCGGGGGCTGCAGGAGCGGGGGAGGCAGCTGAAAAAGATGGGGAAGTTAAGACTATCAACAGTCGTTCATGGTACTTATCGTATCCGTTTCTACGTCGACGACGTCTTGTTAAGGAGGCCTGCTAAGAATTGCTCAATCAACCTCTTGCCATATCTAACAACCACCCTCCCACCGACTCTCCACCCGCAAGCTCCGAAGATCGCAAACTTCCCAAGAGCTACGTCGCTGCGCCAACGAAAGAGGACATAGAATTCGTGCTAGTGGATGGAGCGCCATTGTCTGGGCATAAAGCGGTAACGAAAGCCCTACAAGACTTGGCAGAAGACTACCTCTTCTTTCTAGAACCGGACAAGGAAGTGCAAGCCGTTTTGCAGGCATGGCTAGACTATGTACCCCCAGGACCTGGAAGTGGGGCTGAAAATTCTAGTGCGGCTGATTATGATGAGGATTAGAAGAAATAGGAGTAAAGTTCTGAGATGACAGTAAAATAGTAGCAGTACTAGAATCTGAACCTCTACTTGTACTTCCTTCTCATCTGAACCTCTACTGGGACTTTCTTCTCTGTCCCTTGTTCCACCTCGTCCACCTGCCTCTCGCTTTTCATTCTCTGGGCTCTGCTGACCTCAACCGCGACAACATTACTCCAGAAGAGCTGAAAGTTCTTTTCGACGGTCACGATGCAAATCGCGCTGTTTTCGACTCCATGGTCATGGAACTCACTGAAGCAGCGGCACAGCCACCACCCAAAAATATGAAACGAAAATCTGTTAAATCATTGTCAAGTTTCTTAAGTAGAAAAGTACGTTAATGATAACAGATTTTGGCTTCATAAAAAAGGGCGAGTCTGTTCCTGGCGAAGGCGTCGCACAGAAATATCTCAATCATCTTGAGATATCGCAAAGCATGTTCGAGAAAATCCTTCGCAAAAAGGTCCAGAGTCTAGTGGACAACGAGTGCAAGGAGTTCTTGGTGAAGTCGTACAATAGCAAGTGCGAGCGACTCCAGGGAAAACTGACCACTGTAGTGGACGCCTTGGACGCAGCAAATGCAGCTTTAACCGCTGCGATCGAAGCAAAAGAAAAACTAGTCTCTGAAGCAGCTGCAAGTGAGAAGGAGGAAGGAGCTGAGGACCCGGGGGAGGCGATGAGCCCTGAGGAAAGGTTACGAAGTCGTTTCCTCTTAGTCCAGATACATGTGAGAAATGAAGCGTCTTCCATTTCTGCAGTAACATATTTAATTTGAATACTAGATGTTCATTTTTAGTTCTAATCAAAGCAGCAAAAATCGAGGAAGCTTCTGCCGCAGTCGCTGAAGCCCAGACGAACGCAGATGCAGCGAGTCAGGCTGTAGAAGACTTTCATTTGCGACAGCAGAAGCAAGCGAGTAAAGGAATCCGGCGAAAATGCTATATTGTCTTACGGTGTGAGGATTAGATTTAGAGTGACTTACTAAAAGTATAAAAGTGAAAATTTAATGTTAATGTTTTTGGTTTGATCTCTATGCCTCAGCCTCTAATGTCCGTCCTCTCCGACTTTTATCCGAACGACGTTGCAACGACTTCCTCTTTCATGCAGAACGTCGTATTACCTGCTCTGCATCTTGGCGGCGCAGACGGACCTAGTGACGAAATCCGACGTGTGGCAATGCCGCTCGGCCAAGACTCAGAACTAGAGTCAAACCAGCGTCGCCGTATGTGCTCCGTCGCAGTGTCGGAATTAGGTAGTGTGGACACGACAGCGGCAATATCAAAGCAATTTGCAGCTGGAGTGTTGGGTACAATCGTTGGCGGCGGAGGTGGAGGAGCTGGCACACTCAGTCGCACAAACCTTGTAGGAACAACCGCAACGAACCCCCAAGTACATTTCGAAACAGGTGGTCTACGTCTAGTACAGGAAGACAGCACGATGCGAAGCGACGACGGTGCGCGCAGCGACACTAAGACTCACGCAGGCGCCGGAACCCTTCCGGCATCTGCCATCCACGTGCTACCTTGTGTGCGGAAGGTGTACTTGGGAGGTGGTGGCGCGGCAGCTGCGTCTGGTCCCGGAGGGGATGCGGCGGCGTGTTAAGGCTGACTTTGTTTTTCATTTTGTTGTCTTTCAACATGTAGTTAGAGCAATCTAAATCTTGCGTGTTTATCCTAAGTTCGTTCTACTTCTTCCTTACTTCTTTCCACTTCTTTCAAAATCTCTCTTCCTATTCCTTTGTTGTCTATTCTAACATTGTTGGTTCTAGTTCGAGTTCTACCTCTTTTGCCTTTCCCTCTAATCCCAGCTCGACAAAGTCCTATCCTCGTCCAGCGCCACGCCACCAGAACAAGCAGGCGATGCAGCAGCCCTGGCAGAGATCTCGGAGGTCTTTTACAAAGTTTTAGACGCTGCTGGTGCCCCTAGCTCGGGCTCAGAGGGGAGGCCTGGTAGTCGCAGTGGTGCTGGAAGTCGACCAGGGACATCAGCTGGAGGTGGTGCAGGAGCTCCAGAGCGTGAGCTGCTCAACATCTTCCCTTTCTGTACCAAAGCAGCCGTCAAGAGGATGCAACAATCTGCTTCTCTAGGCTTGCCAGCGATTGCAGAAGAGGGAGGCAGTTCCTCTGGGGGGGCAGTAGAGCAAGGGAATTCATCTGGTGTCGGCCTGCACATTCTAGACGATTATTTCAAGTCTAGATTTGCATTGCAGAGCAGTGGCCGTAATCCCTTTTTACCACTTGAGCCGCTGGCAGAAACAAAACCCAAACGTCCTAGTGTTTCACCAAGTGCTGGTGCGACTGTTGCCTCCTCCTCTTCCTCCAGCGCAGCTGCTTCAGCTCCTCGCAAGAACTTCTTAGCTATTCGTACCAGTGGAGGCCGTTCCATGGAGGACATCGTAAACGAAGTCAAAGCGACTGTTCTGCAACCAGAAGTAGCGTCCGTTGCGTCAAGTAGTTCCGGAGTAGATGTTGTTCTGCAGACTTCTAGTACGCCAAAAAGTTTCTCTACATCAGGTGGAGGAGGCCCCCTATCAGCCGCAACTAGTCCATTAGGAGGCACGATTGGAGGCGGAGCTGGTGGCCTTGGTCTGACAGGAGTAGATGGAGGACCTCCTGGCTCGTCATCCTTAGATCTTGTAGAACTGGAGAAAATGAACTACGATCAATGGGAACAGATCTGCTTGGTGTATCAGAAACAAGCGATTGATTTGCTAGCGCAGTCGGATGGGCAGCTAACCGCGTTTGACCAAGAGCTGGATGATATAAGACGCGGGTTTGAATCCTTCGTGAACAAAAAGTCGGAGACTTTGTCCATCCCAACGCGTGAAGTGACCCTAGCCGCATTGAGAGTGGACTACGACCGCTTAAGCGACGCGCTATGGACCGAGACGAATAAGAGGAGGAAACACTGCGAAAAAGAGATCGCTAAGATCATAGAAGACACCTGCTGGTGGCACGGGAAAGTAATGGAACTGCTGACCACAGCCGAGCAGGTGTTTTTCAACCACTTCCGGTTTGCATCTGAGGCCTGCAGTTTTGTCCAACAGGTGTACGAGCCTGCAGCAGCCCCCGTCCTGGCGGAAGACGGGACAATGGCCACTTGCGTTGTTGGGTTTACCAAGAAGCGTGCGGAAATTGGGAGATTTGTTGGAGGGGTGAACGTTATGGATACGGAGCAACAAGTGAAAATTCTGAATCAGCAAATAAGACAAAAATACCAGCACAGTAGAATGAGGATACATCATCTGCATTTAGTATTTACTATAGAAAAAGCGTAGACCGATTCTAACAGGACCGCCGGCGAATTACCAGTCTCTTTGCCAGCGAAATTCAAAGCACCAAGTGACAAAAAACTCGCTCTTGGTGACCTCATGGCTGAGTTAGAAGAAGCTACCGAACAGCAACAGAGTGAGCCGTCTTTCAGCAATGACGTCGTTCTCCCTGTGTTAAGAGCGATGTATGAACAGCACGCATCACGGGCCTCGGAGTTCGGCAAGATTGCAGGTTTGTCACTTCAAACGGCGTATTCGGAGAGGTGTCACGCATCATTGGGTCGGTTTTCGAAGATGTACGTGGAGATGCGGGAGGCGGCATTAACGACGTTTCGAGGGATGGAGTTATGGAAGAATGATAATTGCCTTAGCCTTTGCCAGTTGTTCGTAGCGACCAAAAAGAAAAAAACTCGATCATCCAACTTCTAACCTGAAGCTGGATCGGCATTCGCGTCGGCATGGAGAACGAGACGATTAACAAGTACATGAAGGCCATCAGGATTCGCGCAGAAGCCTCCAAAACGAAAACTCTACTCTCAGAATGTCCTGTAGAGGCTGCGATCCTAGAAGAATGCGCACCGGTGCCGCCATTTCCGGTCCAAAGCGTTTCCAGCAGACGTAGTGGAAGTGCGCCAACGTCCCAGCAAAGGAACCGGAGCTCGGTCCAGAGTAGCGCTTCTTCAGCCACACAAGGAGGTGGTGCTTCTGCTTCGTCTGTTGTAGGACTGGCATCGATAAGTTCTGCAGCTGCTGGAGGAGCTAGTTGTTTCCCAGTATCAGTGTTAGTAGAGTGCTTGCTACCATCTTCTGGCAATGCAGGAGGTTCATCTTTCTACGACAGACTCACCAGTCTCTACAAGCAAGCTCTGAGGTACGAACGCCCAGACGTCTTTCCGGCAACGCTACTACGATTTCCGATCCAGAAGTTAGTCGAGTTCATAAGGTCTTCAGCCAGATGGACGCCTTCACCTGTGATGGCACCGCTTTTGTACAAGCGAAAACTGCGGTCTGACGCGTTTGCGAAGATTGCGGTTGCGTTGAATGAACAGGGATTGAGTTATGACGAGCTCGATGATTGACATTGAGATATGATGACCCGTAAACGCGCTTTGATATTCGTTCTGATGTTGGTCTTCCCACTATGACCTTTGACCCGTAAACTCGTTTTGATATTCGTTCTGATGTTGGTCTTCCCACTATGACCTTTGATCACGCACACGACGTCCTCTTTCTGTACTGCAGTAAAAAAAGCCTTTTCATCCTCAACATCATCTGCTCGTCTAAGCTCCCAAAGTTTCCTCTGGACAGCTGCTGGAGTACACAGCGGAGATCACAGAAGACGTGTTTACCAAGCTCGATATTTTCGATGACTTTGGAGACAAACAGCAACTCAACAAAATCCTCTTTGGAGCACTCAGTGGAGTCCTTGGGTACTTGAACTTCTGCGTACTTTTGTGCCCGTTGATCGAATTGGAAGTTTTTTCTCTCTGTGTTTCTTTCCGCGACCTCAATTTCTCTTTCTGCCATTCCATATACCGATACCCTTTCAACATACCCTTTCAACTACAACAGCATGTTCGCCTACTATCCAAGTGCCCGCGTTGATGGCGAGTTTCATTTGCGGCAACTGTCAAGACCACAAATGGAAGATCTAGGCTTTGCGAATGGCGTGGAACAAAAGTGCAGGGAGGTTTTAGAGACACTGGAGTCAAATCCGAAAGCGTTATGCGCAGGACCACTTTATCGTTCTATTTGAATTTAACTGTTGATGCCACCAGGACCAGAGAGAAGCGTGTAACCACTCCCGACTACATTTTTCCTCTAATCTCAACCGGCATAGTATCGCAAACCTCCAGCGCCCGAATTTTCAGCAAAGCGAGGCAATCCTCAGCGCTTTTCCTCCAACTGGTCTCCTTATTGCCAGGTGACTCTGTAGTGAGCAACTTCTTTGCGTATGTGAAGCTCATGCTCGGGATTTACCTCGATGAGTGCGCTGGCGCACCAAACTTCGAATCCTACCTAGCTGAAAAAGAGAAGGAGAAGCAGGCTAAAATTGCCGAAGGTTCACATACTTCGGCAGATGGCGAAGACAATACTGGTGAGGGTGGAGAAACAGGAGAGGGTGAAAATGCAGAAGGAGGTGAAAATGCCGAGAACGCAGAACCAGAACCACCTGAGCCTCCAAAGGGAGTCGTCGCTGTCCGAAAGTTGCATGCTCTCCTCACAGCCGAAAAACTTCTCGACAAAGAACTAACTAGGTCTGTGCAAACGTTTGTGGCTGAATTTTTCAATTCAGTGTTGCCAGAAGCTCAACAACTAGATGCCGAAGACGCCGACGTCTCTGTCCCAGTTTCAGTCCTCTTCAATCCGGTAGTAATCTATGTACCTGTCGTGAAGATACTGAGCCACTGTGGGCACAAATTCGTACGAGGAGTGCCAGTAACGTGGGACTGGTGCTGAGCAGTTCGATTACGGATGACCAGTAAAGTGAGCAACCCCGAGGACATTAAAGACATCGAAGATTATAAGCTTCGGCTTCTCCAACTAGAACTAGTTTTTTCTGAAAACTTCAATTTCTATTTCCTAATAATTTCGATATGATCGATAAATAGATGATTTCTTTTTAGTGACCTCTGACAAATGCTACTAGTGAAAGGCAAAACGAACTCCATGTTTTTAACGAAACAGTTTTTTTCTTATCTTGTCTAGTTTTGAGTACGTATGATCTTGGAAGAGCATACATTCGATTACCAATCATGTGCAATAAGAAACGAATTTCGAACGAGGAAGAGACGTAATTTACTAGCTAGCAAATGCCGGATTAGCCATCACCGATTACCATTGATTAGTATCTATAATACGAAGACATGATAAAAAATCAAAAGCCCTCGGATTTCGACCACATCGAAAGTAAATGTACAGAGAACAAGATCTTTACGGTTACGAAATGAAGGAGATTGAATAGGCCAACAATAGAGTCGCAAAGAAGATGATGAAAAGAGAATAGCAAGAACGTTAGCACGTAGTTGGACGTGTTGGCAGGATGATGTGCGTGATAGAGAGGAGGATGACAAGCACTCCACCTCGAGTGGGAGTTGATGAACAGTAATGGCTTGTCGTAGAAAAATGATCTTCAATGTCAATCTTCTTGCACTTGTTACTTTTCAGGACCAGCACGATGAATGCAATTCTTTGTCTGTTTTTTAGAAGAAATCAAATGTCGTTTGGAGAATTTGAACTGAGAACTCAAGGTGCACCAGTCGCCTTCAAACGACGTTGATTGTTCTTCACCACTAGCTTTCTAGCTACGAGCAGAACCTGAAATGCTATGTCTCAGCTTCAGTTGCTCTAGCTGGGTCTGCTTTTGTTCAACATTTGTCCAACGAGTTGTGCTGATAACCTGAAGCCTCTACGACTAAGAATAACAACTTCAACAACTTGATGGTGTTAGCACGTCTGCGATCTGTCATTATCAAGAAGCAACTTCTACAAAGCACATGCCTAGTAACCATATCTTCATCTTCATACAAAGCGGCTCTATGTTGAAAGTGTAATGGGCGAAGATGATGGTATGAATGTTCCTGGATTCCAGTGGTGCGCGACGATGGAAAAGAGCCAACTATCAGAATCATGGAAAATTGAATACCTTCTGGTCCCGTAATACACCAGGCTCATCGTTTGTAAACGAAAATATCTGTATCTCCAACAAGGTAAACCCAAATCACCCCACGCGTCCTGTTTTTACCCTAGAGGATACTAGATGTGAAATTTTTTGTGTAGATCCAGGAGTACATGTCAGTAAGGAGTACAACATGTCAGTAGAAGCATTTATAGCTTGACTTTTTGTTGAATTTGTTCGCTTTTAAATTTTGTTACGATTGGTGTTGTTCTTGTCGCTGTTACAGTCTCAACAGATGATCTTGATGGATGGACCAACCCACTACTTCTTATCAATGATCAAGCTTTATCTTCATCTCAGCAGGAGCCAGAGCCAGTGGCGAGTTTCCGTACCTATGATCATGCCGTAGCCTTTGGATCATGTTGATAGCTCTTTGTAACTCATAATGGGCTGCAGTTCTTTTGAAGAACTCGTGGCGTTCGTCTCCATGGTTCTTCAGCAGTAGCAGGCGAGCCTTCCAGCGATCGTCGCTGGTGCCTAAGAGGGGCATCCGCGTCTCCTGAAGAAAGCACCTCATTTCGCAGACGAATGCACCAACATCAAGTTGAAGACCCGTGACTGCAAGTTGAAGAGGACCCGTATTTGTCTACGCTTAGTCCATAACGCGACAACGAAAAACGACAAAACAACTAGCGACCACTCCAACTCCTACGAAAAATCTTCACCCAGAACAATGTTGTCGTCGACAAACGGCGGATCTTCTGGGCATCAGGGAGCTTCTTCTGGAGCTCCCGGAGGAGCTGCTCCCGGAGGAGCGGTCGGCTCATCGTCTAGTTCATCGTCTACGCTTTCACGTGCTGCTTTAGAAGCTACCGTGAAGGGCCAAGAAGCGCAGTTAGCCTTGATGAGCGAGTCTCTGACGAATTTGCGGTCAGAAAACAAACGACTCTTAGAGCAACAGGTGACAGCGACTGACAGCATACTTGGAGGTTCGGGTGGGAATGGCGCTGGCAGCGGAGGTTCTTCATTTGCCAAAAGCATGCTTGGTGGATTGTTTGGAAGTTCATCTGGCGGTGTTGGTGGTACTAATAACACAAGTGGAGGTAGTAGCAGTTCTTTCTCAGCAGGAGGCAACATAGAGTCACATCTAAAACGAGCTGAAAAGCAGTTAGAAGAACGCGCTTCACGCATCACCCAGTTAGAAACGGACTTGAAGATGGCCCAGAACAAACTTTCCATTGAAGAATGCAAGAGAACGACAGATCGGGAAAAGTCTGCGATGATAGAGAAACGAGCCCAACAAGCACATGCGGAGTTGCAGCACGCGAGACAGAGTAAGGAACAGGCAGTGGAGGAGGCGAAAAGGAAAGTCGAGACCTTGCAAAATGACGCAAGACTAAGTGCCGATCGAGAAAGAAGTCTACAACAACAAGTTGCTGCATTGCAGGATGAGGTATCAATAATCGACATCGACTCTAGTTATAGTTTATTTCATGTTGTGATTAAATCTGTCAGATTGCAACAAGCGACACAGATTTACTACATCTTTCTCTAATTCTTGAGGTTGAAACGAAATCCTCCTGATCTATTTCACGGTCTTGAATTCACCACCACTCTCACTTTCTCAATCCCTTCTTCCAGCTTACTGCCGTGAAAAGCGAGTCCCACGTGGGACAGCTGATCGACGAGCTTCAGAGTCTGAAAGGGCAGTTCTGGCGACAAGAGGCTGAGGTCAAGAACGCCCAAGCTGAGAAGAAAACCAATCAGACCATCTTCGAAGCTGAAGTCGAGAGATTAACCTCCATGTGCAAGAAGCTCGAAAAGGACAGTCTTAGACTGACGCAGGACAAGAGTGTCTTACAAACGCAATGCGATGAACAGGAGAAGCAGATCGAGAGGCTGACTGGTACTGTCGCTATTATGTGGCAAATTCAATTCTTCTGATGGATAGCGTCACTGCTAGTGATCAGTAGCTTGAAGATAGTTGTACCGTGCTGATTTGATTTAACCACCTGACACTTCCAGTAACCCTAAAAAGCCTAATTATAACGCTGAGTCTGACTCTCTCCAAACCAAACCACACCTCAGATATGAACTTCGCGATGAAGCCGTACATAACGCAAGCGACGCAGGGGAATATGCAGGGTCAGGACTTCATTCAAGACTTGATGGAAGCGAAGAGTCGCCTCGTCGAAGTAGAGCGTGAAGCTGCTGATCGGGAGAAGGAATTGGTATTCGATTAATGTTTGCTTTGGTGCTACGTACCCTGTGATGTTGTATCTTTTGTAAGTATTGTTATTCGATTAAAGCTTGCTTTGATGATACGTACCCTGTGATCGTGATGTTGTATCTTTTGTAAGTAGCTGGTTTTGGTGGAAGGGCAAGTGCAAGTGATCGAAAATTATAGCAGTTCCATATCGTGCGTCCATTTAACACTGACAGTAACTTCAACATGTCAGATTGTCCATCGAAAATTAGAACAGTTCCATATCGTCCATTTAACACTAACTCTAACTTCAACATTTCAGACTGTCGATTTCCAGAACCGCCTAAAGGAAGTAGCCGAGCAAGCAGATGAAGATAGCCGACATCTGAAAACGCTGATTGAGAACCTGGAACAAGAGAAGAATCTCCTTCAGGAGGACTACAGACTGCTAAAGGTCACGCGAGAACGCGAGCAAAAGGAGCATCAGTTCGAAAAGCAGAGGATGAGGGAAGCGGTATAACTGGAATTTGTTCTTCGCTTCGAGTTCGATGTTTTTCTTTCCGAATTTATTCCCCTTTCAACATCCGTTGGTAGTTTCCTTTGTTTCTTCACCAAGATCAACAAATGCCTCATCTGAGAAGTTCTCTCTGACTCATATCTTTCAACAAAAACCACAGTCTTCTTCCTCTTCCGGTGGTGCTGGCACGCTCGAGTCCGTCCTCGGCAACCAAGGCCTTCTCGAACTGCGCAAGGAGCTGCAGCGCGTCAGTGGTGAGGGCGACACTGCCAGACATCAGAGAGATCTCCTGTCGCAGCAAATCAGCAAGAATGAGGAAGAACTCCGCGAAAAGGATTTGGAGCTGAGAGCCTTGACGCAAAGGAATCAGGTCAGCGCTGTGAGGATACAACAGTTGGAGGCGCAGAAGGAGGAATCTGTGGAAAAATGCACTCGATACGCAAGAGAATTAGACGAGTCGTGGCGCCAAGTGGAAGAGCAAAAGTCTCAGCTAAATGCGTTTAAGAAGCACATGGTGGATCGCAACGACGAGATCTATCGCATTGACCGCGAACGTGCTGCTTGGCAGAGGGAAAAGCTACTGCTTAGTGGCGAAATGGAAAAGCGCGCCGAAGCCATTGAACGCTTGGAATCTGAACTAGTCACCTCGAAACAACAGAGGACTGAGGAGTTGAACAAGATGCAGAGCGAGTTGGATGAAAAGACCAGTCTTTTCTTCGCAGAGGAACGTGAACACAAGCAGTTGCAGGCTAGTTTCAAGGCTAAGTTGGACAAAGAAGTCGCGACCTTGTGGGAGCTAGCAAAGGCGGAAAGCACAAAGGAGATCCACATGTTGCAGACAGAGCTGGATTCATGCAGAAAGCGCATTAGAGATCTTGTTGCTGGCAGTGCAGTCGGAGCAGCAGGTGGGGCTGGAGACAGTAGTACCGCAGGTGCAGTAGTGCCAGTTGTAACCTCTTCAAGTTCATCCTCGTCAGGTGCTGCTGTCCTTGACCAAGCAGCAGCTTCTTCTGCAACTGGTGTTGAGAAGCAACTCAATGAAGTTGTTGTATCTTCAATACAAGCACAACCAGGAGCAGCCACATCCACCTCTAGTAGTACCCAGGTAGCGGCGACAACGACAACCACGACTAGCACCACAGTAGTCATAACTTCCTCTTCTTCCTGCGCGACTCCTCCTACCTCCTCGCCACCCCTTTCCAGCCAAACCGTTCCTGGTGGTCTAGCTGCATCCCTCGAGAGTTTTGAGGTTGGCAAACGCGCCTTAGACCTGAAGCAAATCGAGAAGATGGAGGCTCTTAGAAACGAGCAAGCGGCTTCTAAACGCATCTTGGAAGACGCTAAGGCCGCTCTGCAGCAAAAGATAGATGAGCAGGTCGAAAAATGCTCTAGGCTGCAAAAAGAGCAGGAAGTGTTGGTCACCGAACTAGCACAACAGAAGCTGTTGACTGAGAAGCTGCAGTTGGAGCTGACGTCCAGGGTCGAGGTCGCCGAGTTCGACGAATGGCGAAGACAACACGAAACTCTGAAAGCGGACTTGGAAACTACGAAGGCGAAGCAGGCGAAGACCGAATCAGAAGCCAAGGTTGCTGCTCACGTCCACTTCATGGAGAAGGAGGGTTTGCAGCAGCAACTCGTGAAGAAAGACGAGGATGTCGCTCGGGCTAGAGCCTTGCAAGAAGCAGAGTTGCTCAAACGCCATGAGTTACAAACTAGTCGCGACCAACTCCGTCTCCAACACCAGGAAACACAGCAGCTGTTGAAGAAGTCTGTCGGAGAAGCCGATGGCTTGAAGCGCGAAGTGCAAAGACTGCAGCAGGAGAAGGCAGCAGACGAGCAGTTCTTCCAGAATGGTTTGAAGGTGCAGAGAGAACAAAAGACGGCACTGGAGACCATGATCAGCGGCTTGGTCGTCGGGCCAGACGACATGACCGAGTACCTAGACCAAGCGCGCAGGATAGAAGAACTCGCGAATCTGCGTGTGCGAGAGCTGGAACTGGAGAAGGAACAACGGCAGAAAGAGATTGCGATTCTGCAGAAGAACGAGTTGCTGATGAAACAGCGAGTAGAACAAGAGACGCAGAAGGCTGCGATGTTGAAAAGCCAGATGGAGGAAGCGGAGGCTAATGCGCATGCTGCAACCGAGTTGACGCTAGAGCGGAAGAAGGTAATGGAACTAGAACGGGTCGTGGATGACTTGAAGAAGAAGCGACACGAAGCGGCGAGGGAATTGAGCGAGGTAGTACCTAATTGTAATTCTTATTCTGTTTTTTCGACTTTCGTGTTCGTCCAAGTCTACCTGTCCTTTCAAGAAAGAACTTGTCACAATTTATTTGCATGATCCACTTCTACCACTAGTACTTGCTAATGAAGACAAGAACATAAATTTCTTCTTCACGACCCACAGGACCCACTCGCACTTTCATTTTCTCTACTCTCGTCTCCAGGCGCAAGCCGAGCAGGGTCCTCAGTGGAACAAGTTGAAGTTCAGTGAAGCAGAGTTGCGAGAGCGTCTAAGCACTCTCGAGCGCACTTTGGGCGAAGCGACAGGTGATCTTGAGCGGGAACGAGCTAAGACTCGCAAAGCCGCCATTGAGATTCGCGAGATGCAGATCAAAATCCAAGGTCACGACTCTGACAAGGCTTCCTTAGCCACGCAAAAAGACGAGGAGATTGAACGCGTGAAGCAACAAGCCAAGATGGTCACGCAGATGATGAAGGAGACGAAAACCAAGTTGGCAACTGCGCAGGCTGAAATCGCGCAGAAAACTGAACAACTAGCTGCTCAAGACACGAAGCACAAAGCGGAAACTGCGCAACAAAAAGCAGAACGCGATCAAGCTGTCAAGGACTTGACTACCGAATTGGAAGCGAAGACCGCTCAGATAGCGCAAGATGATACAGCGCGCAGTAGTCAGCAAGAGAGGTGGAAAAAACAATACAATGTTATCAAGGCGAGAGCTGAAGATTTCCGAAACAAGATGATGGCTGCGCAGCAAGTTTCCGAGTCTGAATTGCAAGCTGTGGCTGTGGTAATTTTTTCTGTTCATGAAAACAAGACTGTCATGATCATCTTTACCTGCTGTTTTTCCTCGGTAAGAATTACAGGTGATCATATGATCTTTCGTCACAGACAACCCTAAAAGATGTAAATCAAAATCTTCATCTTGATCTATACTTAATCCCCCCTACACTGCAGGCCCAAGAACTCACCGCCAAGCTGACCGAAGTGACTGCGCAGCGTAAACAGCAGGCAGCTCGCGTCGCCACCCTCGAGATGGAGAAGAGTCAAGTGCAGAACGAGCTGAAAAACGCCCAATCCGAAAAAGCAGCTGTTGAAGACAAGCTCAAAGAGGAAACTTCCAAACTCTCAGACGCCACACGCGAGTTAGAAACGAAGCAGAAGGCCTTTGATGAGGAACGGTCTACCACCTCCATTCGTGTCCAAGCCGCGGCGACAGCCCAAGCGGCAGCGGAGGCGGAATGCCACAACTGGAAGACTGAGTTAGAGCAGACGAAATCTCGCGAAAAAGCTCTGCGAGAGCAATTGTTGTCGAGTGGCAGTCTCCAGAACGTCGAGGCTAGCAAAGTCGCCGATCTAGAGCACGAAAAGGAGGAGTTAGAGCGCAAGATCGCTCGCCTCGAGGCTAGGTTAGAGGATAAGACGCAAGAAGTTGCACGCTTGTTAGCGGAACACGAGAAGGAGCTGAGCACACAGCGCGAAGAACATGCGCTCGCACTGACGGAGCGCGCGGCTGTGCATGAGACTGAACTAACCGAACTGCGGGAGAAGAATCGCGAAGCAGAGGAAGCTCTGAAGCACGAAACTGCTCAGGTCCGCGACAACATGTCGAAGAGCATCAGCGATTCGGTAATTCGTTGTGAAGAAGAACGCCTGACCAAGGACTTCGAGAACCGGCTCAAATTGGAGAAAGAACGTCTAGCTACGGCAAATGCCACAGTTCTCGAAGAGTTGAAGAACGCTAATGCGGCTGAGTTTGCCACTAAAAAAGCTGAGTTCGAAGCTGCACAAAAGCGTCTTGAGGCAGAACTCCGTGACAGGGAAGCAGCTGTTCTCGAGGACAAGGAATCCAATCTTCGATCCGAGTACACGGCCAAGAACGACAAGCTTCAAGCCGAATTTGCTGAGAAGCAAACCGCTCTGGAGCAGCAGTTTACTGAGAAAACGTCTGCTTTAGAAAAGGAGACGGCGGAAAAGCGAGCAGCACTGGAGAAGCAGTTTGTTGAGCAAGAAACAGCACTGCGGGAAGCTTTGTCTGTCGAGAAAGCCGACTTCGAATCCACATGTGAGGAAAAGATGCTCGCCAGGCATCAGGAGAAGTGGGACGCTTTGACGGAGAAGCAGACAGCCACAGATGCAGCAACCGCGAGCTTGGAGACTGAGAAAGAGCGCGTGGAAACGTTGCAGAAAACTTTGGAGACGCAGCGTACTGAGCAGACAGCAAAAGAGGCGGATTTGGTGGCCAGGGAGACTGCAGTGAAGGAAAAAGCAGAAAGTTTTGAGAGGGACTTGAAAGCCCAGTATGAGAAGCTGACGAAGGACAAAGAAACTGAATTTGCTACGAAGACGACACAGTTGGAGACTAGTGCAGCGTCAAAGGAGGCTGAGCTCACGAAGAATGTCGACGACAAATTAGCGGATTTGGAGCGCTCCAGAGCCGCCAAACTAGCCGAAATCGAAGCTCAAGGAACTGAGGAGCGTTCTAGACAAGAGAAGCAGCATCAGTCTCGCTTAGCAACCCTAGAGGCTGCCTACACACTGAAGAGTTCCGACTTGGCTGCCGAGTTGCAGCAGAAGAAAAAGGAGCTACTTCAAGAGAACGAGACTAGATCCGAGCTTGAACGCGTGAAACTGGCCGAACAGAGCCGTGTTCAGCTGGACGTTTCGAGGAGACAACTCCAGGACCGCTTAGACGAGCGTGTGCGAGAGCTGACAGCCAATTTCGATTCTGCAGTTTTGGCTAGGGTCGAAGAGGAGAGGAAACTCCTAGTGGAAATGAAGGACAAGGAACTGGCAGAGTTTAAAGCTAGTGTGTTGGGAGATGGGTCTGGTGGTGGAGCAGAAGGAGAGGAGGGCAGTGATGCTACTGCGGAGCAAAAGCGTGCTGCCAATCTCCTAGTGGCAGAACTAGAGTCTCAATTAAACGGGAAAATCGCAGAAATCGAGGAGCTGCAGGTCACATTGATCTCAAAACAAGCACAGCTTAGCTCGAATAAGGAGAAGTACAGTGTCTTGATGAAGTGCTTTGGCGAACACCGCAATTGCCTCAAGCAATGGCATAGTCAGATGGAGACTCGAGGTTTGAACCCAGGGCCATTGCCAGCACTACCGCCGAAAAGTAATCCGCAAGCAGGTCCTGGAGGAGATAAAGCAACTGGTCCTGGAGGAGCAAAAGCAGGTCAATCTTCTTCAGGAACGACTCCTTCTGCTTCTCTTGCTGGCATGCCATCTTCCTCAGCGACGCCGACTGGAGCTGGCGCTTCTGGCTCTGTCTCCTTCTTCGGATCGTCGTCAGCGAAGACAGGATTAGCAGCACCTCTCACAGCTCTCCCATCATCTTCTTCTTCTTCGACCGCAAAAAACACCGGAGCATCGTCCACAACCACTATTACAGCGACGTCTACCTCTAGTACCTCATCTACAAGTTGTACAGCCACTAAAACAAGTAGAACTGCTGCTTTTGTTCCACCCACTGGTGTTTCTGCGTCTATGTTAGCAGAGCGCACAACTCCGGAATTGAACGCCGTTGCTGAGTTAGAGAAGCACAAGTTATTTGTCGATCCGGCGTCTTCTGCAGCAGTAGAGCAAGCACCACAAGCAGAAGAGGATGAGCAAGTTGCAGCCGAAGATGGAGAAGCTTCTCCTACTAGTGCTGCGCAGAGAAACAAGAGGGTGAGTGATCTCTCCTTCCACGATGCACAGGAGGAACTGCCGGACGCCAAGAGAGCGAAGGTGGAGAAAGATGTTGAAGCTGTCGTGTCTCCAGATCATGAATCGGGAGGAGCACCTGCTGCATCTGGGGCAGAGGATGAAGCAATGGCTCAAGCTGCGGAAGACGAAGAAGCTGGTGGTGCTGAAGAGGAAGCTGCCGGTGAAGAGGAAGCTGCCGGTGAAGAGGAAGCTGCAGCCGAAGAGGAAGCTGCAGCCGAAGAACAAGCACCTCCTGCCGAAAAACAAGCACCTCCTGCCGAGGAGCAAGCACCTCCTGAAGATGAAGCACCTCCTGCCGAGGAGCAAGCAGAGGCCGCTGATGAGACATGTGCCGATACAACCGGAGCCGCACCTGCTGACCAGGAGCAACCACCGGCTGCAGAGGAACAAGAGGAAGAAAATGATGCTGGTGAAGCAGCGGAACAAGGGGCAGACGCGGAAGAGGAGATGGCAGCGGAAGAGAGTCCTACAGCTGAGGAAAGCCCAGCAGAGGAGAGTCCTCCAGAGGAGAGTCCGCCGGACGCTTCGGGAGAAGACGAAGTAGTAGAGGAGAGTCCGGAGGAGGAACATCAGGTGGACGAACAACGACGGGATGCTACTGCAATGGAAGACGTGCAAGAGGAACAGGAAAATGCAGACGAGGTCGTAGACGCTGCGCCATCAAGTGAAATACCTCCAGCAAACGAAGCGGCAGAAGCAGTGCAAGATGAAGCAGAAGTCGCCGACGAGGCAGCTATGAATGAGGATGTTGAACAAGCTGCAGCTGTAGATGGAGGCGAACCAATGATGGACCCGCCTCCATCTCCAGATGCGGACGCCGAAGACGACGATCAAGCACAAGCTGTTCCTCCCGAAGCTGAAGGGCCTGATGCCGCAGCACCTGAGATGATTGAAGTGGAGTTGTCACCGTCACCTGCTGACGAGGATGCTGAAGATGAGGATGACGAAATTGGTGCTGACATAAACGCTGTCAGAGATCAAAATCCGCCTATAATTATGCCAAATCAAGAAGCTGGTGATCAAGAAATGAATGTCGAAGAACAAGCTGATGCACATGCTGGTGAGCCTACTGAGCTTCAAACAGCCTCAGGAGGTGTAGAAGCTCCAGCAGACAGTGATCCTCAAAATGAAGAGGCTACTGCAGCAGCAGAGGGAGATGCACCACCACAAGTAGAGGAAACTACTGGCGCTATTCTTGATAACGACGTCGAGCCGGAGGCTGCCCCTTCTGCCGATGTAGATGCACCACCGGCCGAAACGAATGAGAACCAAATGGAAGACAATACTGATGCTGCTGCTCCGGGAGATGCTGCGATGGAAGGCGACGCCGCAGGTCAGAAGGATATTGATGCCATCTCTATCCCTTCTTCTCCTGAAGATGACGATGATGAAGTAGAAGCGGCTCCTGCTGTTGTAGAAGAACAGCAACAACCTCAGCAGGGCCAGGTAGAAGGCGGAGAGGCAGTAGAGCAGCAAGAAGAGGCTGTAGAAGGCGATGTTGAGCCAATGGAGGTAGACGAAGAGGGTGGTGCGGTCGTTGAAGACCCTGCTGAGGTTGAAGACCTCGACCTGTCGCCGTCAGCTCCCGTTGAGGAAGAATTGCAGCTTCAGTAATTTGATTGCTCGCTGGTCACGTACTTCTACTTCAGCAGCGGTGATCTCCTTACTGTGCTAATGCTTGCCTTGCTTTTCTGAATGACCGCTCCTGTACCACCTATGATTGTTTTCATACACATACTCGCATTTCGAAAGAATGAGAACATGATTCGTCTCAATGTTGATTTTGAATACCAATACCTGAGCATTTAAATTTCGATTCCGTCCTTGTCAAAAAGCTCTCAAATATTTCCATTTCGTTTTGTGAGAATCTCAATATTTCGTCAATAAGAAGAGACCACAGCGCCATCTTTTGAATTTGGTTCCTTTTTCGCTTGTGTTTTTCTAGCTGCTTAGGCTCTAAGTCTAACCACGATAAAATAGAAGAGAGTCATCTGTCGAAAACAACGGCCACAGAAACTGAGATTGAGAATCAAGGTGGGCTCCCCGTGCTCACATCACAAATACATTCATTATGACCTCCTCAGTCATGTTGTATATTCCTCTCCCGCCCAGATCATCAGAAATTCAACGAATTGTTGATGTTGATCCTATCTTTCCCTCAACACCCACGACAGGAGTCCAAAAGAATCAGCACTCCTCATCCGCGGGTCTAACTCGGTGTGCCGACCATTTTGTGTTCGTTGTATGGCCCAAATAATCTCTGTAAATATATCCGTTGTATCTGTAAATATATCTGTTTACTGGTTGTGGTTCTCCATTGGTCTGCCGAAGAGCGAAGATCATGTGGTGTAATGTGGTGCTATAGGAAGTTTCGGTCAGTGTAGTTCTTGTCTGAAATCGCCATCGGTAGTTCATCACGAGTCGCGATGAAGATTCTAGATCGAGAACTGAGGCTGAGCAGTACAAGAGCTGCTTCTTCCGCCCATGTCGGTTTCTTCACGTCCCGCTATATTCCTCTACTTTTGCCCGTTAATACGAATAGTAGAAGAAGATCACATTATGATTATATATAGTACTACAAGAAAGCAACTGAACCTGAAGAGTCCACGGCTTACCGACTCTTTTATCTACTCAGTAGAAAAAGAAATACAGCTGCTGGTGCTATGCAATAGCTGAACTCCTTAGGGGACCATCTTAGCAGCTGTTGTACCGCAGATTCAGTCACGTATTTCCCGGCTCTTCTCTCAAGCTTAGCAGTCCTTATGCGTACTTATACATCGATCTGTCCTCTGTCATTCTCATCCTGTTGTACCAACTCTGTAACCCAAACAATTCCGTTCTGCCTCCCGTTTCCTCCAAAAACCCTTAGTCCATCACAATGATGGATCGTTTTATTGATCCTTATTTTTTGAATTTGGAATACGATTGCGAATAAGTAATATCTGAATTATTTTACAAAAAGATGACGGAGATGTGGGAGGGGAGCCTGCGGACATCAGGGAGTGCTCCCAGCTTGCTGCGATCAGAGAAAGGATTCCGAGTGGGTGCAACACATGCGCCTTTGCCAGCGTACTTAGTTTTTTTTGGACTAGAATGAACTTCATCTACAGAATGTAGATATAATCTAGAAGACCAATAGATACGTACTTTCTTCAAGACATGACTTCAGTTATATTAATGACTTTAATCCCGTCCTCGAATTGTATGCTTCCGGTACTATTTGGTAACACGAATTTGATCATAAGGGAAAACAAGAAGACAACCCTTGTGATCAAATTCTGGTTACCAAATACCGGAACCATTCACGAATGTCCATGTCAAACTGAAACATCCTCGCGCTCTACTCTCATCATACACATCGTACAACACTTCTTTTATGATTGATCCATCTCCTGCTCCAGATATTCAGCACTCAGTGACGACTCATTGTGGCATTTCTGGGCGAATCCGGCTTTGCAATCGCACCACATGCGTTCCGGTTTTCTGAGTAGAGATGGGGAACTAGTGGATGTGGACAGGTTTAGAAGAAAGATGCATGTGGTCGAGAAAGAGCTATTCCTAGCAGGAGAATTGGATAGAAGAAGGGTGAAAGATGCGGAAGGTAGTTTTTCTTTTCCTGTTTGAAGACTTTTTTTAACTTAGCTCTGAGTGAGTTCTCTCAAGATGCAATGTCTTTCGTTTTTTGTTAGGAAGATCGTTCCTTGAATTCTAAGGCTCTCGAAATTTTTGACTTGAGAACAGTGGCTCCTCCCGGCTGGGGCAGCGACTGTGGATTAGTAGAGTAGTCATTCTCAAACCAACATAGACTTAGACATAGACATACACTTTAAACTTAAAGGATGCATTTCCTCTTCGATATATTGAACCTCGAGCAAAGGAGATGGTTGTAAAGGAGTACCAAATTTTTTTTTTTCAGTGCTAATCCGACAGAAGAAGAAAATGCGCGAAGCCGATAGGTGCCAGAAGATTCGAGACCGAGAGGTCCGAGCTTACATCCAGTCCATTAGGGATAAAAGGGCAGCCTTGCATCAAACACAACCGACGGGGATTCTGTAAGTAGTTTTGCGAGTCGTGGGAGATGAATATTGAATATTGAGGTTCTGGTTCTATCACGTAGTACTGTTGGTAGTACTGCTGTATTCAGGAACCTAGACTTGGTAGTACTGCTGTTTTCAGGAACCGAAGACCATACGCAAACGTATAACCAAAATTAAAAGCGACCTACATTTACATTGTCGTCCCTATCATGTGCATGTGCAAGTGCATGCTACATCTGGATTGTTGTTGAATGATCATGTCGACGTATTTGAATTCTTCTAGTAGTTTCCAGGAGAAACTTCCGATTAATCTCGAAATAGGATCAAATAAGTAGCACCAAAATTAAACACGGCGCAAGTAAAGCGTGACTGCACTTCTCCGAGCTGATTTATCTTGAATCCAATCGCATTCGCAATCAAAAGTATCTATAAAAACTCTCAAGAACAACACGTGAACCAAAAGTAAACCATTAGCAAATCTATGACACAAACAAGTGAACTGATAAGCAACCAAGTCAAGGTATTGCATGAACAAGTGACTAATATGATCTATGACGTATTGATTGTTGAACTCGAACTAAGCAAATCGCCATTTAGCAAGAAGAAGTAGAACTAGAAATATCGGGGAAAATTAACTGCCTTCGCGCTTGACACTATGAACCTGTACTAAAGAGTTTGGCCTAAAAATGTTTATAGACATGTGGTAATAAGACGTCAAGAAACAGAAAATCATGCGGAAGAAGCAACAATCTACCACTTCTAACAAGAGCTGCAGTCAACAACGTCGAGATTTGTTTGGAGATGCAATGTGATTTTCGTGGGAGCATTTTTTATGTAGGAATGAGAGAGAGTCAGATGCAGATGGCCCACGACCGCTGCTTGACAACCTCAACGGAGAGTAGGCCTCAACATCATGACAGATTCATTGGCGTCGTTGAGAGTTGAGAGGAGCATGCGAGGTTGCTGAGACATCCAATATGTTGAACAAAAACTACACCATGGCGGCGCTTCGGCGAGGTTCGTCCTCCTCCTTTGTTCGGCACCTGCTCCTTTTGCTGACACCTTGTCTGCTCACTGCGAATGCTGACGCGGACGCCTCCACCCCCGCTCGCCCCGTCGATCAACAGCGCGTTCTAGATGCCTCTTGTCGCGACTGGCCTGGACGACCGCCTGACCCGCATTCCTCTTGGGCCGAGCTCTATTACGATGTTGCCGCATTCAATCGGAGCTTTCTTTTTGCAGAGAAGAACGAAAACGACAAGGACCACAGTCCTTCTTTCTTAGTTAGTGAATTGAACCGTGTGGTGTTGGCTAGAGAAGGATGGGGCTTTCCGAGTGTGGAAGCTGAAAGACAGTTCAATCTGACGACTCTTGGTCGTGGAGGAGCAGCAAGAGATCACCACACTTCTGGATCACATCTTAATCCACGACGTCGCCAGTTATTGAGTTTACGACTTCCTCCAGTTGTACCACCATCCACCTCTTCAAAGCAACAACATCCATCGACCTACTGGGAACAACGATTTTCCCCAGTTGTGACACATCCCTTTCCGCTTTCCTGCTCTATTGCGCGGTTGTGTGCTCGCGCAATTCTGGCTATCGTGCGGAGGGATCGGCGGGAACTCGAATCTTTGACGCAGAGTCTGAAAACGGACTTCTTCTGGAACGAGTTAACTTTCAGTCCTTGGCCTTTACTACACCTGGTTTTCAAGGCTCAAGTCGCAACCAGTGTCCGTCGAGTTCCGCGTGACAACCGATTATTGGATTTAGCTAGGGATCGGGCGAAAGGGGTGGTGTTGGAAATAAAAAACGCTGAAGCAGTAGCAGAAGTGCCCACGCAAGCAGGACAAGCAGATGTAGGTGTCGAGAAGTCAAATCAAGGTCAACATCAAGAAAACGGAACATTTTTTACTTCCCCTCCAGCAATGGTTGAAGAAGAACCATTCGAAACTATCTTGACTTCTAGCCGCTCATTATCGGGAATCATCGCCTCCAAAGTAGACCAGTGTTTTCAAGACGCTAATGCGCACTGGCTGCGTCGAGAATCGGATCTAGGGGGTTATTATCCGAAAATTCGAAGTTCTATATTGCCAGGAAAACAGGAGCAAGAGGCAGATGACCCTTTTGGGTTGTCCTTCTATTTGGGATTGGTGTCAGATTTTCTGTTGGCGGAGCATAGTTGGTTTCATCCAGGAGCTAAGGAGAGAATGGGTACAACGCGTCCAAAGGAACAAGAAGCCCCTCCTTCAAGTAGCACAGCATCCTCCTCCTCAAATTTGATGCCAACGCAGCACCAACCTCGTCCTCTCGCTTTCCCCTACTTAAGGGTACACCTTTAAGGTGCTTTTCTTACCGCTTTTTATGCCTCTCTCATCCTAAGGGAGAGAGAAAGGCATAACAAGCGGGGGAACCCGCGAGCACCAAAAACAAGGAGTCACTTCCTTTTCGCACCGCTTTCCCCTACTCTAACTCTCGCTTTCCCCTACTTCGACTTGCACCTCTTCTACCGCAACCTCGTCGGGGACTTTTGCAACGAGTTCCTCTACCTTTACGCTTTGATCCAACTGGCGATGCATGTCGAGGTCACCAACGTGACGCCTGGGTACGTTCTACTCTGGCTACAGCGGTATTTCCGGTACCCGAACCTTGCTGCTACTGACAGACTCTTCTCACAGTTAAGACTTGCCGTAATTCATCTTCAGAGGCATCCCTGACACGTTGACACGTAGTTTTCAAGGGGAAAATACGTCAAAGATGACTTCCACGATGAATTGTTGTAAGCTCTAACACAGACGGACAATATTGTACTTCCAAACGACGACCCTTTGCTGAACACGTGGCCAGGAGAAGATGAAGAAGAAGCGATGAGAGAGCAGAGCAGGCCACCGGGTGTATAACATTGTTCAACTTGATGATTTCTTATGTGATCGGTTAGATAGTACAGATTTTACCTTTGCCTTTTCGATAATCGGCTGTCGGTGCAAAGCTGATCTTTCTTCACGCGCATTTCTAACCGACCACATACTCGCTCATTCAACTACAGGCACTCGCCTGCAGTTCAAGCCTAGCGCGCCTGTAGCCACGGAAGGCTCCACACGTTTACGTCGCGTAACCGGTCTAGCTTCCGAAACAGGCGAGCTCCGAAGAACCAGAGATAAACAGCGCCTCCTGCATGTTGTAGGCAATGCTGACGCCCAGACTAGTAGCAACTACAATAGTAGTACCATCTCAGCCTCCACTCGTGCTGCACATGATGATGCCAATATTAAGGAAGATTTCTCAAGCGAGTTCTTCTATTCTCTCCGGCGTTACTCAGGTGGTGAGTTTGGGACGCCGTTGACGTACATGTACTCTGTGGAGATCCACTTTTGGTTGGCACAGTTAGCTGAAAAGGAGTTCCGCATGAAGTTGGGAGATGTGGATATTGACGCTTGGTATAGGGAGACTAGTACCACAACCTCTAGTACTACTACTTCTACTACGTCGACGGCGCCTAGCTCTTCTACTAGCGCAAACACAATAAAGACTTTAGAGGTGGGAGTCGGCGAAGCAGCTGCTGCAGCTTCGCTCATGCCTCCACACGACGAGTCAACAGTGGTCAACAGCGCTTCTTCTTTTACAGCTGGAAACGCTGCTGAAGATCAACATGCTCCCGCTCTCACAGAGCAGGTTACCGCTTCTGAGCGCTCTGCTCTCCAAGCCTTGCTTCGTGGGATCCATGACTTGTGTGAAGCTTTCAAAATCCCCTATGTGCTCGCACAGGGTACCTTGCTGGGCGCCATGCGACACCATGCTCTGGTTCCGTGGACAGGTGATGCCGAAGTAGCCGTAGACTTCTCCTATGTGCCTTACTTGTTTCTGCTGACACTGTTGCAAACGAGTCATTTGGGGAGGATCACGTTTCTGGCTAATCTTGGGACCTCTTCATCTTCTGGCTTGCCTAGAAGGAACAGAGATCGCAATTTGGAAACGCTCGTTTATCGCGATTACTACGATTGCATACTACATCACGACGAGCAGGATGGTGGAGGTGAGAAAGGGGCGGTGGGTGCCGATAGTAGTCATGGTCATCAAAGTATGAGTACGAGCAATTTAACACAGCGTCGCTGCCGATTCCTGAGACATACCATGCGCTATGAGAAGACGCTGGCTTCTTCTCCCGGCGCACCAAGAGGAACAAAACAGCTAGCTACGATAGTCGGCCCAACCGCGATGGTCCATCCCAATGTTTTGCATTCGTGGTTTACGACTTCATCTTCAGGACTAACGGCAGCTTTCGACATTTTCTACGTACAACATCAAGTCCTGTCCATTTTCGTTAGCAGACCCTTGGCGCCGAAGTTCTTCTTCAAGGACATCAAGACTGTAGAGTTGGCGTCTATATCAAAGTTGAACTTGAACATGAACAAGGAGAGTGAGACTGAGAAAGCGCCAACTTCTTCAATACTCTCTACAACATCTCCGTCAACACCTCACTTCTTGTCCCTTTCCGAAGACGTAGATGGCTTCTATCACCGCTACCCCTATCTCGACGTCTGCCCAACTTACTTCCATGAGGGCAGCGGCGAAGTTGGCTACACGAGTTTTGCATATGGCTACAGATTTCCACGCGAGTGGGTGTATCCGAGAAAACAAGTGTTTTTGGAGAATGTGGGACCGGTGTGGGCTTGGAATCGGCCTGAGAAAGTCTTGATGATCAAATATGGTAAAGTTGGACGGGCGTTGGAAGGAATGGACAACAAAAGTGATGCAATTGTTGGAGGAACTGCAACTGCTACTGCAGCATCTTCACTTTCAGTACCGAAGAAGAATCGCACTGAGTTAGCACGTGAATACCGAAGAGCACAACAGCAGGTGCGCCTGCAACAGGCAAGAAACATGGGAAGCGATTCTTCGTCTACCATATCTTCTGCATTATCATCGATATCATCTCCAGCTTCAGGCAGCTGGCTTCCGAACCCTGCCTACTCAACTGCTGCACTGATGGAAGTCCAACTTCCAGAAGAGCCGCTTAGGATTTGTGTCGGGCACCATCTTTCACACAAAACTATGGTTAGTGCGGGTCACGTAGCCCCTAAGAAAGTCAATTGCAGTGACGTGGAGGGGTTGCCGATCGTGGTGGCGAATGCGAGACCTGTGGTGGAGCGGGAAGAGATGATGAGATTCATCCTTGAAAAGGATAAGGACGATGAACGTGAAGGGCATGAAGGTACTGATGGAGGTGATAATTCCAACGAGCAGCTTCAATGGAAATTTCGCCGGTGTGAAAGTTTGAGGAAGAGGGTTGGCATAGACAGGTTTCAACTGATCCATCAGTTGTGCTTCTTTGAAATTGAAAAATCAAGGGAGGCTAGGAGAAGCAAGGGTAAAAAAGGACACCTTGATTATGTCAAGGCACACCATAACGCTGATCATATCAGCAGTTTGGTACTGCGTATTACAGAGGATGAGGATGGCAATGGTAGTGGTACAATAACTACAAAGAAAATGTCGATAGTCAGAAGAACCACAACGGGTTGAGGCAAAAGCAAGGCGGGAAAACACCTTTGAAATCACACGCTCAGCGTACCTACAGGCTAAGTTCTTCACATTTTTGAATTTGATCGCGCCTCGATCACGAGTCAGGGGCCTTCTAGAGTTCAGAAACATGTATGTTGGCAGGATTGGGTTTGCTTAAAGATACAGAACCGCATAAGCAAAAGGAGTAAAGAAAACCATGCTAGTATCGGTTCGTTGAGTCCTTTTGAGTTTGACGTCTTCTGTACCGCTGGCCATTCAGTGTCGGTCGAGCAGGGTCTCTACTTATCATGAATTTGAAACCTGAAGACGGCAAAAGCAAATTGAACGCGTTCCTTGATGCTAAAGTAAACTTGAGGGAGACGTGGATCGGCAACATGAAGAGGAGGAGCATTCAAGAGGTGCAAACCTAGCGAATACACCAGCATGAGCATCCTCTGCCACAATGATCAACATGCCAACTACACGGACTCTTGTTTTCGCGATCGTCCTGGCCGCATCTGTCCTTGCTGCGGAACTCGTAGAGCAACAAAGAATCCTAGCTGCCAGTTGCCGTGATTTCGCCTATCCGCCTCCTACGATCCAAGAAACATGGGCAGAGCTCTATGCGGACGTTGTGGCCTTCAATAGGAGCTATCTGGTAGTTGGTGGAGGCAATGTTGACGAAGTGAAAGTCAATGCTCAAGATGAAGGAAAAGATAGTGCGTCCGAAGAAGTAGAAGAATTGTTGATCCACGAAATCAATGAGATGGTCTTCACAGAGGAGAGGTTTCCTGTTGCGGCTGGCTCTACTTCACTGCTGAGAAATGCTAGCGACATCAGTGGACGGAGGAGGAATTACAGACGGGAAAGCAGTTTGCAAAGCAGAGGACGACATCTTTTGAATCTCCGACTTCCTCCTGTTCCGAAAACCACAACGAAGAAGCAGGGTCAGTCAAAGATGAACAGTCTTAAAGCGAAAGAATCCCTTAAAAAAATTTTGCAGAACAACATTGATGATGAAGCTTTGTGGCTTCGCGAAGCGGAACGAGATCGTGAACAGAGCACTGATAGGAGTACCAGCGAAGGAGCTCAAGCACATGACACAAACGAAGAACCACAGCCACGAGACGAAATTCCACCACCAGGTCGTTTCGATTATTGGATGTCGCGTTTTGAACCGCGTACGTTTTTCAAGCCTCCACCAGAGCTGACTGGTGGCGGACAGGGATGCGCTTTAGCCTTGATGTGCGTTCGTGCTATCCTAGCAATCTTGAAACGTGATCGAGCGGAATTGGAGCTTTTGTTGTTAAGGAAGCAACTGATTTCGTGGTCCATGCCTATGACTAGTACTTATGCAACTGATGCTGATCTAGATAGGGTAAATATGAAAGAGTATGGGGAGATGATTGATGTAGTTGCAAATGTTATTCGCATACTCTTGCGCCAAGGAGAATGACTCCAACTTCGTCCCCCCTCTAATCCCTCACAACCTCAAAAGCGACATTTTGTGGAACGAGATTACGTTTAGTCCGTGGCCAATCTTGCACCTGATATTCAAGGCACAAGTAACGATGTCGGTCTTCCACACTGAAGCGGATGTGCGGAGACTAGCTATTGCCGTGAAGCATGCGACTAGTAAAGGCACAGCTGCGATTCTGCGAGAAGCTGGAGGACTTGGTTTGGATGCACCAGGTGGGGAAGATGATGAGGACGATATGGGGGAGGAGCATCAAGAGGCAGTAGAAAACCAGCAGGCAGGTAGGGACCAACAGCGAATTAGGCCTACGAAAAAGGCTAATGAGCAAATCGCGTCCTCCGTCTCGAACAAAGAGAGCCGCAACATGCAAAACGACACCTCAAGAACCTCGTCTTCACCTGAAGAGCTAATCGCTTCTGCGAAGACCTTGCCTAAACTCATTGCTGGCAAAGTGGACCAATGCTTTGCTGAAGCCAAAGTGCCCTGGCTGCGACGCGAGTCAGATTTGGGTGGCTACGATGTGGAAACTAGGACGACGTTGATGCCACCTACTCGTGATAAGGAAAGTGGTGACAAACAAGGTGTCTCTTTCTACGTTGGTCTCGTCGCAGACTTTTTACTGGGACAGCACAGTTGGTTCTCTTCAGACGTCGAAAAGGCACACCCAGAAAGCCGCCACAGGAGCACATCTCCCTCAACAGCGTATCCTTTCCCCTTCTTCAACCAGCATTTGTTCTACCGTAACCTCGTAAACGATTTCTGCAACGAGTTTCTCTACTTCTATGCCCTGATCCACTTAGCCCTTCACGTGGAAAAGAGCAATGTGACACCAGGATACGTGTTGAAATGGCTGCAGGCTTACCTCTGGTTTCCGAACTTGGTCATGATGGACAGCCTTTTTTCGCAAACCGATAACATCGCGCTTTCGCAAGACGATGAGCTGCTGTTGCCATGGCCCTACGAGGACGAACTGGCAGAGGCTGGCGGAGCTGGTGTAGCTAGAATTTGGGTTTTACATTCATTTTGTTTGCGTGGTTTGCGTTCTATGGTAGTTCTGGACAATGAACATGAAAAGTACTTATACGAAAAACTGACGGGAGAGATATCTTGAACGTTATCCACCTGCTCATGCTTTTTTTTTGGCCAATACAATAAGAATAACAATCTCAATCAGAGTCTTTATCTTACCTCCACCTCCACAGTCCCAACCTCCGACCCCCGAGGGGTCGCAAACCGCAAAGTGATGCTTTTCCATCCAAAAACGAAATCCGCGTATGTCCAGCATCGCATCGGAGGCGTCGAAGAGGACAGGCTCATGAGGATGAAGGATAAGGTGAAACGCAAGCGCTTCGATGAGTATGGCCAGCATGAGGAAGCGCAACATTCCACAAAAGCCCAACAAGATTCGGAGAATTTCGAGACTGAGTTTTTCTTTGCTCTACGACGCAACGTTGGAGGCCCTTATGGAATGCCTTTGTCGTTTATGTACTCGGCGGAATTGCATTTTTGGATAGCGCAGCTTGCGGAGAAAGAGTTCCGAATGAAATTGGCGGGTCTGGATATCGAGGAATATATGATGATGGGCGGTGGAGCAGGAGGAGCATTAGGGAAAGATGAAGTACTAGAGGCGGAGCGTTTAGAATCTGTATCTTCGGGAGGTGAAAGTGGAACTGGTGAGAAACTACAACATCGAGAGCCACCCGTTGCAGAAGTGTCTGCTCCTGTGTTTTCATCTGCTTCTCAAAACGAAAAGCTAGGGGGCTACGCAACCACGACTCAGGATCCGCAACTGCCAGAAACTAATGTGCCTACCGCAACACCTGCCCCTGTCGTGTCTTCTGCATCAAGCCAGAGCCCCAGCCACGCTCCCCAAAACGAGCAAGTTTCTAACGCAGAGCGAGGAGCGCTGCATGCTCTGCTTAGAGGTATTCACCATCTGTGCGAGTGCTTTGGGATTCCCTACATGGTTGCTCAAGGCACGTTACTTGGTGCGATGCGGCACCATTCTCTAGTGCCATGGACCGGCGATGCTGAGGTTGCAGTCGATTACAGCTACATACCCTATCTCTTCGTTCTCTCCCTACTGCAGACAAGCCACTTCTCGAGAATGACGTACTTGAAAAGGGAACAAGGAGGTACAACTGCCGTTCAGGTCTCAGGAGACCACTCTTTACGTCAGGTGGTCAATCGGGAGTACTATTTGTGCATTTTGGATACCACCCGCGAAAAAAGAGCTGCTCGTGGTGAAAATGAGAAAGTCGACGATCTTGAAGAAGCTTCCATTGATGCATTGCGGTGCGAGTTCCTCCACGCTCATTAAGGCTAGGTTAAAGGTGTTCTTGTTACCGTTTGTTATGGCTCTCCTAAGGGAGACAGGCATAGCAAACGGGGCAAACGAACACCAAAAACCTACCTCTAAGCTCAATATACCACGACTCAGCGAAGTGGCTTGATACTCCCGTCAGCCACGTTATTGGATGCACATATCGCAGAAGACTGGTTTGGATCGAGCGATCTGAAAACGGCCTTTGAGATTTTTCATGCGCAGCATCAAGTTCTCTCCATCTTCGCTAGTCGACCCTTGGCGCCAAAATTCTTTTTCAAAAATGTTGAGGATTAAGGGTTGGAAGTTGACCTATCATCATCTAAGAGCATCTCTATGGCTTCTTCAAGTAGGAAAGCCATAGATATGCGAGCTAGAGATGCCAACTCTCAACCTCTAAGAGGAGGCGGAAGGATATAATCGAAGATCTGATGTCGTGTTGACTTCCACGTCTCAACCTCGTCGTCGATCAGAAAACGCTGACGCGGACGAAGAGGCAGAGTTTTTCAATGAAGATAGGAGCTCGAAGCTGGAAGCCGGAAAAGAAGAAGAAGAAGAAGAAGGGCCGCGTGTATCACGACTACGACAAGGGGGCCTCGAGGATCTATCGCGACTACGACAAGGGGGCCTCGAGGATCTATCGCGACTACGACAAAGGGGTCTCGAGGATCTATCACGACTACGACAAAGGGGTCTCGAGGATCTATCACGACTACGACAAAGGGGTCTCGAGAGTCATCAGCAAGAAGGTGCTAACCTCGATCTCTCCTTACGGCAAGCACAAGCACAGGAACAGCAAGTGGAGGAACTTCCACACCACCTCCGCGCTTCATCCGATGTCCGTGGCTTCTACCATCGTTACCCGTATCTAGATATCTGTCCATCCTATTTTCATGAGGGTAATGGCCTTGTCGGATACACCAGTTTCGCCTACGGGTACCGGGTTCCAAGTACTTGGGTGTATCCTAGAAGATTAGCGTTTTTGGAAGGAGTCGGAGCGGTGTGGGCATGGAATCGACCGGAGAGGGTTCTGGGCGTGAAATATGGAGGAAAGTTTGAAGCGAAGAATGTCGACACGGAAGATGCCGGAACGTCAGTACCTGAAGACAGACACGCTCACACTGTAATAGACGACAGGAGTAAAAAAGACACTAGAGAAGCTGTCGGTTTTGAGACCCATGGAACAAGACGTCCAATGAATTCAGTATCGACGAAACAAGGGAAAGATGAAAGCCAAAGTAGGAGTGAGCAAACACAGGCGACAGGTCGTTGGTTACCCAACTTTGCTAACTCTACAGTGGAAAGAATGCGGATTGATCGGCTACCTGAAAGCCCGTTACGCATATGTGCCGGACATCATCTGTCGCATAAAACCATGCTCAGCACAGGCGATCTTGCACTACCCAAGAGAGTGAATTGTACCGCGATACAGGACTTGCCTTTGGTCTTATCGCCCACAAGGCCATTGGTTGGACGACGTGAGGAGATGGAGAAATTATTGCCTAGGGAAGTAGAAGAGGCGTCTGGCTCAGGGAGGTCACTAGCGCAAACGTTGATGGACTACGACTACAGCGTGATGTTGAGAAAAGTGAACTTTGCTTGGATTTTTCTTCGTTGTGAAACTTTACGTAAACGGGTTTCGGAGCAGGAAATTAGAGCATTGCGACAGCTCTGCTTTTTTCAGCTGGCTGCTCAACCTCAACACGAGGACGAGGAAAGCAAGACCATTCGAGATGTGAACAAGATCGAAATCAACTGGGCTGGAGCCCTGATTGTTGATGGCTCTCTTGCTTCTCACCTCACCAGGAGGAAGCCGGGACCAAAGAACCAGAATAGTGGAAAAATAATGCATTTGGAGCAGATGGGGACACCGGACAAGGCGCGGCAGCAGAGTCGTCCTTGGTTTTGGGTCACCAAGAAAATAGTGGGAGGTGGTGGAAGGGGTAGAAGTACTACAACAAGTAGAACTACACCAACAAGTTCGAGTACAAGAACTACACCACTAGGTACACCACCAGGTCCTCCTCGTTTCCAGTCTAGTAACATGGAGGATGGTCTTGGATCTTCATTCAACCATGGTCATCATAAAGCCCGTGATCCTATCACGTGTGTCCTGGAATTGGATCTTCTCACTACAAGTTTGAAGGTAAGACGTTGTCTGATTTGACTTGTCTCAACAATTTTCAATTTTTCCACGAAAGTAAGTACAATTCGTAGAAGCAGCTCGGATGGAGCTGACCCTGATGCGGAGCGTGGACGGAAAGAGAACAGCTGCCCTGTCAAAGCAGGAGTAGGCTAGGAGAGCGAGTGATGCATTTTGCTACCCTTGGTGATATTATGTTGAGTGAAGAGACGCTTACGCCGAGTGAAGGAGATACTTACTTGATCATTTGGAAAAGGCAATTGCAACTACCAGCCGAGCAGGCTCCTGGTCCTGCTATGTCATCTGAAGAAAAGTTTACTACCAACAAGAGCTGCATCATGGAGGCCCAAAAGAGCCACTGGTGACTTGCTCTTCCAAATTTCACATATTTCTGTGTAGATGAGCAGGTTGTACCCGTATGCAGATGCAAAAGAAGAATATGGACATAGGCTGAACTAATACTCCTAGCACCACAGCAACCATCAACTACTTACCCTCAGAAAGAGCAATCTTGTAACTTCATCTGCGAGTGAGTTATAAGGAATACTCGTAGCACCACAGCAAACAAAAACAGCAAAATAAACCATGGGAAACAATCCTTGTTGTATACAAACGGTGGCAAACGACCGTATAGCTGTCATCTCCAGATGCGGAAAATTCGACAGACTTGCGTATCCTGGGCTTCTAGTCTTTTATGAAGATTGAAGAAGATCAAGTTTCATAATCAACCACATGTTTCTTCTTGTAAATCAGACGCGAATTCTAAATATTGTTGAAGAAATAGGAAACCATTAAATATAATAGAAGGAGAGTCTTTTATTTGGACACTCACTCCATGGCTTGACTTTTGGTTTTTACCTTAATAGTGGTCATATAATTGTGGCTTTATTCTTCAAAAACTAAAGCACACACACACTCTTACCCCTCTATAAAAAGTGGGATATTCTTATTCATCCCCTCATGCTAGATCCCTTAAAGATTCTTCTTGAAATTCGAATCCTCTCTGTCTTAATATTGATTCACTTGGCAACCTTGTAATAGCTTCATCTTCTCGAAATGCCATTGCCAACTATCCACTCCCCCTCTCCTCCATTCTTCATCTGAAGCCGTGCCCGTGCATATGCCAGCGGATCGGAGAGGTCTCAACAAGGCTACAGGAAACGATAGTCCGATGCGAGACGAAGACTAAAGACAACGTTTTCGTCCACATCGAAGTCTCGATTCAGTACTGTTCTGAGCTAGTATGATCATCTTTGAGGTTGGTCACTGAGATCGAAGAGGAGACCCCTGGAGAGACAAGGGGAGAAGGAAGGGAAAAGGGGAGGGCTTTGTTGAAGGTGGTCTCTTCCGCTCAGCATCAGTGACCACTGACTGCTGACCTTTAAACTCAGCACTGTTCTGAGCTACTTAGTGTGATCTTTGTGCTTAGAAGAATCCAACATTCTTACACCAGGTACGAGATATTGAAGGACCGGGTATTCGACGCTTTCTACCGGTTATCCGTTAAGGCTTTCGATTTAAAGATGATTAAAAAGAGTGTGAGGGTGAGAGTTGACCTTAAGTGCCCCTTCTGATTAATTCATCTGCGATCAAGATCAGGGGTTCCTAGCTGTGGCGTTCCTAGATGTAGGTAAAGAGAGTCTCTTTACATACATTATAGCGACAGGACCCCGACAGCGCCGGCGCTTAATTTGTTTTAGCAGATAGGCGGATACTGGATGATAGTTGCCCTTTTCTCTTTTCTATCTTCCTCTGGTCTTTCTTTTTTCTAGTTAGGTCGGCTCCGCCACAACTATTTTATAGCGACAGGACCACGACAGCGCCGGCGCTTAGTTAGTAGCTGCAGATAATTACTTGCCTCGCCCCCGCCTTTCTTTTTTCGGTTTTTGTTTTTTCTAGTTAGACCTGCTCCACTAACACTATTATAGCGTCTGTTAGAAAAATTTTAGCACGTCGGTCTCAATCTCTTTATTTACTCACTATCTCGTCTAATCTCAAGCCCCACGTGCAAGTCTCCTCATACGTCTTCGACGTGGTCCGAGCAGCCGTGCCGCTGCTTCTCATAGACGACGTTTTTGAGCAGAAGGAAGAAATTGCGACACAAATCAAATCACGACTGACGTTGGTACTACATCATCTACATGTGATATTCTTTAGATGCTTCATCGACGTAGTTGTTCGTTGTACCATGAGTTTTGTGCTCATACCCTCTTGTAGGGTAATCTAGCATTTGACTTTCGATTCTGCTCATGATGCGTTTGAATTGAGAGGACGGTGATCATCATGATGCTAGCATAGCTGTGTATTCATACGCAGAAGATAGTACTAGAAGTATTGCTCGTTCGAGTTGTAGTTTCCTGCTCTTCTATTATTCAACATCAACAAGATCGACTCCATCCAACTCCATCTCACCAAACAAATCTCCCATGATCACTCAGGTGATGTCCAATTTCGGATTTAACATCGTGACAGCTCTAGTAACAGATATATCGCCGAATATCAAAGTCAAGGACGCCATGAATGAGATTAATGCTGCATACCGTTCAAAGCAAGCCGCAAAGGAAAAAGCGGAAGCTGAGAAGATTGTCTTGGTACTAGGTTATGCCCGACTAGTAGATTACTTCTCTTCTTCTATCTGGCGAGGCAGGATCCTAGTAAAGTCCTGCTGCTGCTTCTTATTCAATACATCCACCAATCTTGGCCGTTGTGGACCTTATATTCACAAGAATTTCTTATGGAGTTGCTCATCAACAATTTACTTTCATGATAATTTTTTTAAAATTAACATTTTTACATCAATGTCTAGGACTATGTCAACATCGAAAATCCAACACCACCACCAACACCACTTCTCAAGAACACAGGTGAAACAAGCCGAAGCTGATGCAGAGTCGAAATATTTGCAGGGAACAGGAATAGCCAAGCAAAGGAAAGCTATCGTGGATGGTTTACGAGACTCGGTGGATAGTTTTACGCATACAGTCGATGGAATGGCGGCAAAGGACGTCCTGGAGTTGCTGCTTGTGACACAGTACCTAAACCTAAACCACAAAAAAAAATTCCTCTAGCTACACATCAATGATGTAGACACAATCATAATGATGTAGAAGTAGACCTTCCTCTTGATGTTGACCACGAGATGAAACACATCAATGATGTAGACACAATCAACGATGAAGGAGATTTTAAGTCCAAAAAAAATTCCTCTACAACTACAGGTATTTCGACACGATGAAGGAGATAGGATGCGGGAGTCACTCCAAGACGATTTTCGTCCCGAACAATCCGGGAGCTTTGACGGATATCACGCAAGAGGTGAGAACAGGCTTCATGCAAGCTGCAGCTGGAAATGTTTGATGATCTTTTTCGTAGTGTACTTACTTGTATATTCCCCCCGATCCAGATGGAGTTGTCTATGTTGTACTAGTTGTCTTTGTAGTCCTTGTCCTCCTACGAGTGGAATTACTAGTAGTCGTGTGTGAAGATGACAGGAGGTCGAACCAAAACGCCTAAGTGATGGAAATGAATACTTGCTCCTATGTTCTGTACTAGTAAACGTCCATATTTTATCCTTGATGGGAGAAAAACATAAATTCTTATGTTGTTGATGAACTCTCGCTTTTCGCGTTGCTTCTGATATGTACTCTGTTATAACTTGTACAACATTGAGAACGTGTAGCGCCTTGAAGTAGGGCGTAAGAATCAAAGGTTCGTCGACAAAGAAAGGAAAGATCCAATTTCTTTGATCTCCAGGAGTCGTTCGTCGAGTTCCTTGATGAAATCTCAAGAAAAAGTCAAAAAATCAAGCTCAATCGAAAAAAGACAACATTACAAGAAGGTTCGTTTGCGATGTAGTCATAGTCAACACCCACAGTCAAAACTACATCACCATGTTCGTAATGAGAAGTGGGCAGCAACAGCTGCTTAGAACCACGTCCAGTAGTACGTTTTGTGTGCTGCCAGCCGGAGTTTTTAGAATACCAACTTCGACATCGACTCCTACCTCATCCTGCAGGAGCACTTCTACAAGTACAACAATATCAGCATCTTGCGGACGACGATGTATGTCCACGTCAAGCATGGTATTAGCAGCTGCCTCTTCTCCTGCGCATACCTCAAGCGATATCTCCAAGAAAGTGAAGAAATTTGGCGACTCAGACTCACCGTATAACGATTGTATGATGGATATTTGTATAGTGCCTGTGGGTGTTGGTGTCTCTGTACGCGAGGAAGTGACTGCAGTAGAAAAAGTCTTGAGGGATCCGAAATGGAGGTTGAAAGGCGTTTTCCTGCATGGATACGGAACTAATATTCTTATGGCATGATGATATGCTAATGCTCATGCTCGTCATGATGTTCTTTTTGGACCATGGTCATACAGTTTTTACTACAAAGACTTTATTGTTGTACTTTTATCAACACTTTTCCTAGTAGTAGTCATCATGATGATTAGCGTTATTGTACGTTTATCCCTTTCCTAGTAGTAGTCCTAGTCATCATGATGATTAGCTTAAGCTTTATTGTACGTCTATCCCTTTCCTAGTTTCTCTCTACGACAACGAACTTGGTGGAAAATTCGTCATGAACTTTATCCCACTTCAGAATGTCTAATTATAAAATAACGCATAGAACGGATGTAGGATGGACTTGGATGGATCGGATGAACCCCCCTAAGCCTTCCGATCCTACTTGAAATGGTGGGAAGTCCATCCGTTCCATCCCATCCCGATCCCTATACGTTATTCTATAACTAAAAAGGTCATAGGGAGACTTTTGACTGTTCGTCCACTTTCAGCTTTATCTCTAACTAGAAAGGGCACTGGGACGATTGCTGTGCGGCGCTGAAGGCATGCCATGCTGTCTTGCATAATGACCACGGTGTTACGCGCATCACCACTAGCATTCGTCTGGGAACTCGTGTGGACAAAAAACAAAGCATCGAGGACAAAATCCATTCTGTAGCAGAAAAGTTGTGACATTGAATAAGGCAGAAGAACTCGCTCTTCTATCGATGCAGTTGACCACCACGCGGAGATAATCGACAATACAAAAACGGACTACAACGCACTTCTCTGTCCTCCTCTTAGAGGACAAAAACACTGATAATACAACTGAAGGCGTCGTCGAAAGTGTTCTTTTAATTATGAACCTCCTGAAGACTGTGACTGGTGTGATGATGATGATATTGCTGGTGTCGTGCTCAAGTAGATACTCAATTCTGTACTTCGATCATTGTGGGGATTCCTATCGCGAAGAGAAGACGTGTCGAAGTTGTGCGGGAACTGGATATTCTGTGGAAATTCGTAGTGATGTTAGCATTGTCCAGGTGCTTGTGCGAAGTTGTGTGTGTGAGACTCAGAGAGGTGAGACTGGTGTGAACAAGAAGAGCAACATCATGGTTGTGTATATTACAACATGATCAGCGTTACAAGAACGGAACCGGGCGGTCTGAGAGAAGAAAGAATGGCAGAAGATTCATCTGTCAATGTCAACAAGACTCGTCAAATTCTAACTCATTCCTCGATATTCAAGAACATCATGAGCAGCTGGTCGCAACGACATCGATATCGACAATCATGACTGACTCTTTTTACTCAGCAGTGCTCCTGGAGCTCTTGTGTCCTGTTTTACCTCCTCCCTCTCCCTCTACCTTGTTTTCCTCTACTTCTGAATGATTTCGTCCTGTAAACTACCACGAATTCTATCGTTTTTGATTATTTGTTGTAAGTAGAAAAAGAGTTTTTCTTCTTCATTATTGATTTGTCCTAGGTGGAACAAAGTATAATTATTTTGACCGACCAAACACTTCGACTTCCATCCTTGTTCCCTCAGTTTATGTCTTTCGTTTTGTAGAAACAAAGCATCAGTTGACTCTCTCCCTCGTTCCTGTTTTGTTGTTCTCGGTGAACAATATAGAGACTCACTTGATATCGTTGTTGACGGGATCTTGTAGTTGCTGGCAACCTGTACTCTAGACTCTTCATCGATTAGGTGGCACTAAAAAAGCTAATTTCTGTACTTCTCGTCCTACTCCTAGAGTATTGTTACAAAATACCAAGAACAAGATGGGAAAAAAACGCTCAGGAGGTAATGGGCGCCGTAACAAGGTACAAGAACTTTTCCAACTTTAGACTACTGTTGTCGCTTGTACCTTCTTGTGCCTTCCTATCTACTTCATCGTCTTCACCATGTTGTGTTCAGTATCTTCAACATGATCGACAGCAACTTCATCATCTTCACCATCTTCTTCTTCACCCCCATGATAATGTAGGGCAAGGTGCTACTGACCGAGGATGAGGCGCGCTTGAAGGATCTAACAAAGGAATATCATGGATTTCAAAGGAGGCTAGCGCCGCTAGCTGCGCATATCGACATCGTGCAAACGAAAATCGCAAGACAAGAACAAGGAGAAGTAGAAGTACAAATTAATTTTATCATCATCATGATTTTTCACGAGTAGTTCAACTTCTGAGTTGTATTTTTAGCAAATGTAGAGATTGAGATACCAGTAGTTGTTTGAACTTCAAGCTATAATTGCTTTATCTTTCATACGCTACTACTAATAAATATACAAAAATGAGAAGTAAGAAAAGTTGATATAATCGAAATCTAATCACTACTTTCAGGCTAAGGAGCTCAATCATGAGAATGTTGATAAGACGGGTCGTGCGCCTAATGCACCAAGCAAGTTCTTGGAGAACAGTTCGAGACTCAATGCGGTTTTGCGGGAGTACAATCGGCTTTCGTTTTGCTGCAGTATCATTGTGGAGCAGTTGACCTTTAGGGCTCGTCTATAATAGAGAAAGAATCAATATCTATTTATTTCTAATATTTGAATACGAGCCCAATAGACATAGAGTATCTCAATATTTCAATGTCGATTTCTCCACTTGGTTTTCCATGTGCTTTACTTGTATTACCTGTACGTATGTAAGAACTCGTAGTCGTATCCTTGCATCTCTCACATATTTCTGTTTGTCTTCAACTCTTAGAAAAACTTTTTCCACTGTTCGTTAAGAAGAAGATGTTCTAGGATATGCGACACCCTCCTGCTGCTCTAAAACACACTGCTACGTTACAGCCACAGCTTCGCTTCGGTCATGCTATGATGATACGGGTCGGGTAGGGGCTGGTGGCGATTGCTCGCCATGTGGTGGTGGAAGAAAGTAAGCTGATTGATCGATATTTATCCTGATAGTCTGTCTCTGTTCTTCCTTCGTAGTAGTAGTTCTTGTTCTTTTCCGTTTCTGTTCTTTCCATATGCTATTCTTACTATTCATGGGTGGATATTAGTATTGCCGGACTTGAAAGAAATAAAAACAGAACTGATCATTTTGCATGATGTAGTAGTTGCTTGCCTTCTCTTCCACGCCTGATCCATTTACTCTGGCATTGGTGTAATTTTTTGGATTTTGCTCCTTGTTTTTGATAGAAGGGAATGTATCTGTATCATGACACATTGCAAGGCCCACAACCAGAGGAATGGCACCACGTCCTGTGAGGGATTTTTTTGGGAGATAGCAAAATTATCTTGATCTCGTACAACAGGCAATCGGGAAGTTCAAGTTCTTCATCGTCTACCTTTATGGGATATACTTGAAACAAGCAGTGTCAACAATGAGTGAGCATCAATAAATATGTTCTTGAATGATTGCCGGACAGCAGCAAGGTCGCGATGTCTCTATGCACTGTGACTCACTCAGAATCACACCCATCGTCATTTCGCTGTAAGTCAGCAAGAGCAGCAGCATGTTGATAGTCGTCAAGTCCGCTTCCCTACTAAGTAATATGTATATTATAAGTAAATGTTTGTTTTCTCTAATAGTACTACGTGCAGAAAAATTACCGGAGTATCCCATTTGTATCCGCGTGCCCTTGTTGCTGGAGGCTATCGATTTCCAAGAATTTCGAGTAAAACGATGGCAATAGTGGCAGCTGCGTTGGCATTTGGCATTATGGTTCAGTCACAAAGATACTACTTACTTAGCTACTTAATGTTAATCACCCACTTCCACGTCTGCTCAGTTAGGTTTTAACTTCAGGAGCTGACGCAGGGGTAGCTCGAATCTTCATACAACAAGGCCGCGCTTTATCTAGTTGTAGATCTTAGTCCACATCACACATTCTTTCGGAATCGGAACAAGTGAGCTCTTTCTTTTCGTAGCTACCTTTATTGGCTCTACTAATGATACAGTCGTGGAGCTTGGATCTGCGCGCAGGCGGTTACGCGGGTCGCCACCTGAAATTGGGGACCACACTACGCCAAAAAATGCGAATGTTGGGTGCTTCGGTATCGTTTGTTCTCCCAATGTTGCAACAGCCACGCATTCCTCATCCTCTTCACAGGTCATGGCGACTGAAAATGTTGTGAAGACCGACGATAATAGCCTGGCCGCTGCTAAGGCGGGACGAGGTGGCGACGCTAGTAAAAATGCTGATCGTGCGGCCGGCGCAGCAGCAGCAGCAGCAAAAGCGGATGTTGTGGCTGCTTCTCCCTGCGTCTACGCATTATGAAGATGAGTTTTTCGTCATGATCGACTACTTAACGTTAACTTCATGTTCATTGTGTTTGTGATCCCTTCACTGCTGGTGATGACCACACACTGATAATTTCAGCTTTGTAGGTTTGTGGGACGGTAGCACTAGCAGTGGTCAAACGATCTTCACAGACATTGGACTTGGAGGGTTGATAAAAACAAAAACTACCGCTAAAAATGCCCGGCGAGCACAAGTTGGCGCTTAAGGGCCATGAGCTCGATGATCATGCGCTGATGAAGTTACTGAGAAAAGTACTACTTTCAGAGGACAACGTACCTGTGCCAGTTATTATGGTCATGGTTTCCGTGTCACTGTTACTGAAGATCATTGAGAACTGAAAAGTAGAGAAATGAATGGCAAATGTTTTCTTATTTATTCTTGTTGAGTTCTATATCAATCTCGACATCATCTCGTCGAGACGCAACATCTATAGTATAGTATATCATATCTGATTATTTGAATAAAGACCGTAGCAGACGTACTATACAACTTATAGTCGCTGTCAATTTTCTCAGCAGAGGTGGAATTGATGTCATTTAGATACAACATAATAAATAGATTCTCGCTCTCCTTCTGGTAGTGGTCGTGCTAAAAAAGTTGCGTTTTTCTCTCCATTTTCTGGCCTGAGTCAGTCACTACCTAGTTTTTTTATTTTTCCATGAAGATTGATTAATGGACGCATTCATGATTTCGGTGACGATTGGAGAGACAGTGCAGAATTTGGAACTTCCTGCTAGCACGGATTGGGAGCAATTGGTCAAGGGCTGGAAGTTCAATCACGCGGACACGTGGACGAAATTCATGAAGGAACATCTAGATGAAGCAACATGGCGGGGTCGCCTCGAGATTCCTGGTTCTTTGAACGAGAAGGAGGCGAAAGATGCGGGGCGGACTGGCTACATGAGAAGAAATGAATTTTAAGGCTTCCATTAATAACCAATCCCTCTCCGTCGTGGAGGTCCTTCACCTTCTACTTGAAGGACAAAGAGTCACTATCACTAGTTTGCTCAGGAATGCTTTATTTTCGTTCATGCTTATGGCGATCTTCGTTACAAGTCGCCGACCATGTCGTTAGGCCGGAGGAACAAGCGCGAAGCCCTCAGCCACAAAACGGCGAAAGAGAGAGAGAGGCCCCGCTCGGGGGAGGGCGGCGCGGTCCCCTGTCCCGAAACTGGCGGCACTAGTGCGGAGGGCTCCCCTCCAGGCCACCAAGCCGGCCCCTGGCCCTGAGGCCTTGCGAGTTTGTCCAGGTTGCGCCCCTGTGTGTTTTGTTCTGCATCATGTGGCTCGGCTGGGCAGGTGTGTGTGTGTGTGTGTGTGTGTGTGTGTGTGTGTGTGTGTGTGTGGCGGGGGCTGTGTTTGTGTGTGTGTGTGTGTGTGTGTGTGTGTCTGTGTGTGTGCTTGGCATTTGGAAACGGCCTTGGATTTGTTGGAGACAGACCGCCGCGACGGTGTGAAAGACGTGCGCGAAGTCTTCGCGAAAAGTTGCCAGGGCTGGCCTTCGTTGTCTTTTTGCTTGAAAGGCCAAACCAGGCACCGAAGCGCCCGGCGCTGCTTTTCGTTTGTTTTGTGTTTCGTCGTTGGTGGCAGCCCCGGCGCTGGTTCGTTGTGGACCGCTCGCACGCCGCTGGCATCGGCGCCGGCCTGGGTGCGGTCGTGGCGCGCTTGTGTGAGCCCCCTGAACCGTAGGAACTCGGGGCGAGGGACAGGGGAAACACAGGCGGGGGAGCAGTATCGCCACAGGATGGCGGCGGCCATCTTTCCACGCACAGGATGCTGGAGGCTTTTTGCTTCTTCTGTCTCTTTAGAAAAGGAAAGACCTTGGCGAAAAGTTCTCGAAATCTTTGAAAATCTTCGTCGTTGAATCTTTTCGAAAAGCATGAGGCCCAGTCTTAACATGGTCAAGACTTGGAAACTTTCTGCCGGCAATCTGCGAAGGTTCTGGGGCTTTTGCCTTCTGTGTTTTTTGCTAATGAAGGCATGAAAATGGCCCGCGCCCGCCAAGGACACAGAACTCGTGACAATTTGCAGCGTGCGGGAGCGCGTAGCAGGGCTCTGCGTCTTGTGTTTTGCTTTTTGTGGTCTTTCTGTTTCTCTCTCCAAAGCTGTGACGTCTTTGAGGTTGTGCATTTGTTTGGGAATTTGTCGGGCGGTTGCGTCGCAGGCTGGCTCGTGTGTTGGCTTGTGGTGCTCTCAGTGCAGTGCCCGGGCTGGTCGTGTGTTGGTTCTGTCGGCTCTGCTTTCAGAGGCTTAGCAGAAGCCGCGTGAAGTGGACAGGTGCAAAAGCGGCGCGCGTGAGCCCCGGCAACTTTTCGCCAAGGTTCTCTGCTGTCGGTAGTCTTCGGGGGGGCGCGGCGGTCCCCAAGGTTTGGAAAGAAAGGCGCCGCTTGGAAAAAAGAAACGTCTCGGGGAATAAAATTTTGCTAGCTTGGGAAGGAGATCGGCTTTGGGAAAAAAGTGAGGCCTTTGGCAAAATTATCGGCTTTAGAAAATATAGCCAGAAAGTATACGTTTATGTCCAGGCTACTTCTAGGGAGTCTTGTTCTGGAGAGGCTTTCTGAGAACTCTTGCTCGGTGCAGGATATTTCAAAAGCATGCCTCAGAGGTCTTGCTCTGGCGGGGGTGTTTCAGAATTCTTGTTCTTGGCAGGGTGTTTCAGAGTTCTTGTTCTGGGCAGGGTGTTCCAGATGATCTGGCTGTTTCGGTTGTCTTGTTCTGGCCAGGATGTTTCAGGAGTCTTGGACTCGACAGGCTGTCCCAGAGGTCTTGCTCTGGCGGGGCTATTTCAGCGGTCTGGCTCTGGCGTGCTTCCTTGTTTCAGATTAGCTGCCCGTGGCAGGCTTTTTCATAAAACCTGCTCGGCCGTTGTTCTTGGCAAGCTCTTTCAGAACATTTGTGCTGGACAAGGTTCAAACAGGGCTGCTTCGGCTGAGCTGTCCGGGCTGGCTTGTTTCAGATGTCTTGTTTTGGGGGAGCTTTTTTCGGGGTAGCTGTCTTGGGCAGGCTCTTTTAGAAAGCTTTCCTTGGGCAGGTTGTTCCAGGGCCTTTATTCGGGGCAGGCTGTTTCAGAACCTTTGTCTTGGGCAGGCTGTTTCTGCGCCTTTGTTCTGGACAGGCTGCCTCAGAGCCTTTGCTCTGGGTAGGGTTAAAATGCCCCCGGTCTCGGATATCATATCATTACATACTCAAGTTGCCGGCCATGTCGTTAGGCCAGAGGAACAAGCTCGAAGCCCTCAGCCACAAAACGGCGAGAGCGTGCACCCCTGGGAATTTATCGGTCTAACAAATGTATGCGCTTGTCTGTGAGTGGCTCTGTGTGTGTGGGTGTACGTAGCTCTGTGCGCGTGTCTGGCTAGGGCTGTGTCTGTGTGTGTGGCTGCGGCTCTTCATACATTTGCGGGGTAGTGACGACTACTTTCCAACAAGTGCAGTTCTAACATTTCTCCACGGACTGGAAGCTGCATAGACGCGAAGCAAGTATTTGGGCAGTGTTGGACAAGGCCAAGAAGTGCGCGTCTTCTCTGCCAGACTCGTTCGCAGAGAAAGCTTTGAGCCTGAAAAAGGCTTACGACGAGGGGATGATGGAGGAGGACAGGAAACAGGAGCTGCCATGATTTTTACAGACATGTGAAGCATCCAGAGATCAATCCACTTTCATCTTACAACACCGACCTCGGATGAAGATATTATTCGTCGTGGGCCTGGTTCACCTTGACCTTGGTCCTTGGAATGACAATATTCACTTTAGTCTAACTAAGAAAACGGAAGGTCTCGAGTGGATGAATGAAGGAGACGCCTGCGTCAACGCGGACAAGGGCACCCAGGAAATGGTTCACGATCTTACTGTTGTGTTCAATTTCTTTTTTCGCGATCAGATCGGAATCTGTAGACCGTTGAAAATAGAGGTAAAGGCCAACCAGCCTGGATTGGCCATGTACTGTACACCGACACCCAACGAGGAAAGTAAACTCGAGGTTTCGACAGAAGAGCGTCGCGTTGCGGACTTTGACTGGGAGTATGGTAGTACTTAAAAAAAAGTAGAAACCACGCATATTTTTAGCACCACTCAGAGAGCAAGTCACAACGCTTTGCAAGACTTGAGAAATAATGATGTACAAAACATGCTGATGACCGTCTTCGTGATAGATATGATGAAACAGTGGAAGTGGATCACAGATCGTGCTGAACTTTTTATTCTGAGAAAGAGGCTCGTTGAAGAGCATCACAACTGTGAGGACAATGTGTAAAGCAATGCAGTATGAAACTAATTTATGGACTTGCCTATGCATACGGTTACGGTTACGCATGACCATAATCCATAATGCATAATATTTATTTATATTTATTTTCCATTTATCAAAAGCGTATGTAAGGAATAGGAGCAAGGCTAGAAACATCATCGTAGTCGCAACGGCGACCATAGCACAAAACACACGAAACGCGAAGAAATCCGGCGAGATCGTACGCGCTGCCCGGATCGCATCAATACAAACAACCAAAGGGATAAGAGTTCTGGATGGAACACGGCGCAGTGCTTAGATACTCAAAGAACTTCTCTCTTTCTAAACTACCCTGTTGAAACAACTAACACCCTTGAAAGATGTATGTATTATATATTTATAATAGTCCTCGGAATACTAGAACAAGAAGAAGTTGCCTATGATAAATCCGACGTGGCGAATCGGAATCCAATGTCATGAAAGAGACAAGAGTTATGATCACGTCACCAATGCCATGAAGACAGAGTCATGCATTTGTATGAGCAGGGTCATTTCACGATTATTGTATAAAATATCTTCTTCGTGGTACCCTCACCAGTCTGTGATCGAAAATGATGACGATACTTGTATTCTGGGATGAACCAGTGTAGAAGTTCTACTTCGTGTTCATCAAGAAAACAAGGTTCTCATTGTGACAACTTGGGACAAAGTGCTTGTGACATCAAGAATGAAGGAGAAGCGCCATTTTGACATGATGGAGGTTAGGCTTAGGTGGGTCGGTCCTCTGGTCAGCTCACGGATCTCTGACAGAAACAAAACCAGATGAATGAGAAGAAATTTTTCTTCACGACATGATCGGGAATTTATTGCCACCTTGAACTTATTTCCGCCAGCATCAGACTAGGAGCAAAACTTCTTGGGCTGCTGTCAATGAATTACTCACCACCTTGAAGAACTTGAACTTCGTTCTTGAACGTGAAGATGAGGCAGATGATATAATCATGAGAAGTGTGTGTGTGTGATGTTGATGATGTCGTCGAAGATCGTAAGTCCGAAATGATCTCTTAACCGGCGTTTGGATGAACAACGTTGTGTCAAGAAGAGGAGTTTCGATCCAGTTCCACCAGGAAGAGAAATGAAGGTGCTGGTAAAAGTCATTTAACTAGAAAGTAAACAGAACACGAATGAAACTATTCTTGATGTAGTACTCTACATTATCTAGTAGTTGTAGAACATGAATGAAACTATTCTTGATGTACTCTACATTATCTAGTAAGTAGTTGTACAACTACAACATCTACATCACGATCCATCTCTCTTCCTCTGGCGGCAGCTGCTGCACATAAGTTCATGAATTAGCAGGAGAACCAATCATCTTCGCTCTAATGACATGAATGACATTTTTGAGCCACACTAGCAGCATTTTACTTGTAGTCACAACACTTTTTATAGGAATGCGACCCTAGAGGACGACGAGGACATACTAATTTCCCTTTCCGAGAAGATGAGCTGGAACGTCAAGAACCTCCTGCTCAATTTTCGATAAATAAGATTGCGACATTCATTTTTCATTCTTTCATCTTATGAGTTATGCCTGCTTAAGTAGTACGTGTACGGTGTACTACCTGACCAGGATCACGTTCATGACTCTTTTTGCCTCGTAGCTACAAACACCTGCAGTTGTATCTCTAAAACCTGCTGAGTCTGATTCTCTTCCTGTTGTTCCGACTCGTTCCACGACAATTATTCTGAATACTTCTTAGCTATGCATAGGTAGACTTGATTGTAACTCTTCTAGCTACTTCTTTTTCTACGTAGGGCTTCACTGGGACGACTTAGCACCTCTTTGTTTGTTCTCATAGGTGGTGTACATCTTCAAACAAGACTCTACCTGCTCTTAGTTCGTTCTCGTAGTACCAACATGTACAAAAAGCAAGACTCTTGAGAAGATAAACACTTGTTTTCTAACACTCTAAGAAATAATTCAAGTAAGTGTTATATATTGTAAGAAAGTCAAAGTGCAACAAGAACCAAAGAACTACAACAAGATGGGTCAAATGCAAAGTGCTCCTGTGGAGCTGATACGGGTTCAGAAGCAAAAAGGAGCTATCGCAAGTGTGGCCGTGGCTGAGATGCAGGGGTGGAGAGGTACAACCCCTTTCGAAGGCGAAAGCGAGCTTCTTAATATTGTTGTTTCATCTCGTTTTCTTACAGGGCCTCGCTGATCATGTTCTCGATGTTCTAGTACAACAACTTATTTGCCTACTAGAACGGGCAGGAGCAAATAAAGTAATTATAAGTAGAAGGTGTAAGCCTAAGCAGTAGGCCGAGAATGTCGAGGTATTGTTATTGATATTTACAGTAGAAGATAGAAATTTCAACTTCTATGGATTCAACTTCTTCCACTACCGTCTCATCAGATGCCCACGAAGATGCGCACTTTATGAGCGAGATGGATGGTGGCAACGGTTGGGCATGTTTTGGCGTATTAGATGGACATGGGGGCTGGCAGACAGCGAGGAAAGCGGCACAAATCCTACCCCAGCATATGAAAAAAGCCATGAAAGGGAAAAAGGCAACGGAAGGATTGAGGTTATGATGTCTCATGGAAGTAGTAGAAGTAGGTTGTACTTTAACCAAGTAGTATTAGGTATCAATCACCGTAGTAGGGATCAGTCACCGTGAAAGTAGGGATCAATCGCCATCGCCTTGCTGAAGCTCAAATCGCCAGCATCTTGCTGAGACGTCAGTAGGTATCACCATCATCTTGCTGGTGTTGAATCAGAATCAAGGAAAAAGCAAGCTTCGGGTGCACCTTGCTGAATAAATTCAAATCATTCATTAACATTATCGTGAACCAAGAAGGGCGAGCTACTGGCGCCTCTAATAAAAGCAAGAAAGAAATTGGAGGACGCTTTCGAAGAGGTTGATGAGCTGGTCAAGGAGGTATAGAAATTTTACTTCCTCTGACCCACTAAACTAACGTTAACTTGCTTATGTGAGTTTTGATTGCGCAAACTACACTGTTTGATTGTCGTGCTTGTTATTCATACTATTCACTGAAGATGATCCATCTCCAGGCTAGGGCGGAGGACATACAAGACATATCGATATCTTCCTTTCGTTACAGACGAGGACATACACTTACACAACAGGCATTGCCAGGAGAGCGTGATACAGGGAGTGGTAGCACCTGTATCTCAGGATTGATCAAGATGGATCAGTCCACTCAGAAATATTCCTGCTATCTCGCAAATTTATGAGAACCAATGTAGGTACAACTAGAACTAGTCCTCTGAAACAGTCCTCTGAACAATGTAGATTTCAACATCAAGCGCTGTTCTCTCCGCTTCAAAGCTTAACCAGGTACTAATTGCTCTTCGTCCTTGCGATGATCTTGATTGTCCTCTAAGAAAAGCGGGAGATTCACGCGGCATCATCGTTCGAATCGGCGAGGACAAACGTGATACAACAAAAGCCGCAGCAGCTAATGTTACGGCTAACATGTTGATACTTTTCTTGGGGATCCATCTTCAGCGTCAACCTAACATCTGCTACACGCACACCTACCCTTGCCTTGAGGATTGACCAGAACAACAAAATCCTTCATAAGTAACAAGAAGCTGAAGTAGAACTACCTGCTAATTAAAGTCTTCTATATCCCACGACCACTGGGCACGCTACTACTTCTACTGCACTACTGCTACTGCTACTCCTACTACTAATATTACTACTACTCTACTCCTATTGCCATACTAATACTACTACTGCTACTACTACTAGCACGATAGAGCTACACGAAGATAGTTGCTCGTTGTAATATTCATGCTGTTCGTATTAACTTTACAGTTCTTACTGTAGTTACACGCGCCGACCCCTCTTCGTTTATTTCTTGAATTCAAATTCCTTTATAATTTACAACAACTTTAACTTTTTCTTTGTTTCTAATATCTGAGCAGTTGTGGCAGCAACCTCCGATGAAATGAATGGAGATAAGGAAGACAATTCCCCCAGCGCAGACGGAGAAGAACAGGCAAAAACACGAAGACAACAACTTCTGGAAGAAATGTTAAGATGGAAGGTCATGGCGATGGCTATCAGGATATAATGAAGAATACGTAATGCTAATGCCAATCCTAGACTTGGGCGCCCCGTAGAACTCTTCCCACTAGGATCCCCCACCCCCGGCACGCACTTCCCCAATTCCGGCCGCGAGCTTCCGCTTCCCTGGCTCCTTCCGTCCCCGCCCGAAAACCGTCCGGCGGCGTTGGTTGGTGGAGCAAGAGTTGGGCGGGGGACGGCGTGCGGCCATTGATTAAAAATGCACTGACCGAAATCGTTGGCCTGCAGGTTTACCCTTTTTTATTTGATAGGCCTGGCCTTCTTTTCTTTGAGTGCAAGTTGCAGCGCTCGAGCATGCGGCTTTCTTAAATGAATCAGCTTCCTTTTGATGAAGTCAAAAGCTTTGGATTGGGTTTTTGTAAATTTCATTTTTCTTAGATAAAATCAAAAATTTTGGCTTTGACATCTCAAATTTGAAACTGTGAGACATCGAGGCAGCGCTTTCAGTCTGAAGCGTTCAACTTCGAGCATTTAGCCTTCGGCCTTGGGGCCTGGGCTTTCCGCTTTCAGTCTTGTGGCTCGGCGTAAGTTTTTGGCTGATAAAGTCAAAAGTTTATGCCATTTGTGCAAAGTTTTGAATTTTAACGCCCGCGACCTAAGTTAAATCGCGCCGGTCTATGTTTTGGGAAGTGCTGGGTGCTCGGGTGTTCGTGCGTTCACGTGTTGCGCCTGTTGGTTGATTAGAAAAGAGAGCAGAAAAATTTGCTACGGGGGTCGCGTGTTTTTGCTTCGGGTATGTTGGGTTCGGGGGTTGGCGGGGTCGTTGTTGCTTTTTTTATTTAGCTCGTTAATATTGCTAATTAGTTATAAGAGTGATGGATCTCCATCTCCGCGTCAGAATGAAGATGGCGAACGCTGTCGCTCTCCACGTGGTGATCGGACTGAGGATGCTAACACTGTCGTGTCTGTCATCTCTCCACCTGCTTGTAATTCAGATGATCCATAAGATTCAGCTCATTTTGTTTTCAAGAGGATATCGTGACGAACCCCTTCTAAAACACGAAAAAAACAACGAAGCAGAAGACTCTTGCGTTTCCCTTAGTCTATCCTCCCAAAGCTTCCAGTCGCAGATCAAGTGCAGTCAAGGTATTGATGTAGTTTTGTATTAAACCTAGTTGTTCCAGTCACAGATGAGCAAATGCAGTCAACAAGGTGAATGGTTTCTCCTAAGCAGGAGAAGGACTAGTACTAGTACTACATACACAACAACATACACTTGCACTTCTTGCAATGACTAGGACTACTTACATTTATTGAAACATCTCACCATGAACATGATAGCTAAAAACGAGGATGGCGATGGAGAGTCACTCACAAAAAAACATAGCTACCGTCGATGATTTCTTTGATGAAAAATCTCCGATCTTGTCAATGAATATTTATAACTACTCCCAAAAATACGCATCTTCAGATCACAAACCATCGAAACCGTCGGAGCTGGAACGAATCCGAAAGGCTGGTGGGTATGTCTCGGGGATAGCCGAAACCCCAGGAATGATGATGGCTGAATGCCCACGATTAGACTTATGAAGATGATGAAGGCCCCCTATCATGTTGTATTAATATCTTCATGCTTCTTCAATTTAGAATATGATCATCTCGTACGTACAACTCATTGTACTGTTGCAACTTGGCAGTATCGCGAGGTTTGCTGGAGTTGTTGATCACTAACGCTACAACGCTTCCTCCAACTGGAGTTGATCACAGTAACCACGTTTCCTCCGACAAACCTTTACTTTTGCTCTAGCTAAGACTGATCATTGGCAAACCTGGTTACTGATTCTTTATTCCTTCTAATCTGCGGCAACTTGGCAGTATCGCGAGGTTTCGGTGATTTTCAATACAAACAGGGTTTGAAGATTCCAGCATGTGAACAGAAAGTTTCCTGTCACCCTGAACTTTTTGCGTTGAACGATCTGCATAAGGGAGATTTGGTACCTCCGAAGATAAACGTGGCTCCCACGAAATGAATCACTCGTCACTTCTGCTATGTCTATCTTCACATTAATTTCAAAGAAGAGTGGAGTACTCGAAAACTGAGTTACTGACGGGAATATGTCATGTCATGGTACCTCTTGTGTAGCTATTAGCGTCTACTTACGAGGCCAACCAGTAATGTAGGAATAAAACGAGAGGTAGCTGCTTAACATCAAGGCTACTCTTCCTTCTGATCAGTCTCTCGCTTATTTCAAGTAGTGACTCGCTTATTTCAGTTTATCGAATAGCCGAAGGAGAACTACCTGCTACTTAAGAACTAATCTTTTCTACCCCGCGAATGGATGGGTACACTACCACTACTGCTCCAACCCCACGCACTACAGATGATCCTAGCATGTGATGGCGTGTTTGACGTAATGAGCAACCATGATCTGGTGGAGTTCATATTGAAGAAGTATGAGGCCCTCTCGAGAGCAGACCCCAGTCAGCGTCGTGAGGATCTACTGGGGAAAATTTGCAGGATGGTACTGAAAACTGCTAGTGCTACTATCTAATGTAGATGAAGTAGAAGATCGAAGTAGTAGTTGTAATTTATCTTGTTATAGTTGCGTCAACAAGCTTGAGGTTGAGCTGCTCGAGTCCACGTGATAATTCTAGGTAGGAATATGACCACATCACCAGCCATACCTGATCCACCATCTGCTGTCTACTTCATGTTCATGTAAGTAAAACTTCATTAAAATTCTCACAATCCTACATCAACAACCAGGTTCTCCAAGACTGTCTTACCAGAGATAGTAAGGACAATATGACGATCCTCATTGCGCAGATGTTAAGGCTCAAAATATTTCATTTCTAAGAGTCATTTTGCTTAGTTTCCTTCTTAGGAAGCTGAGAAAATGAACCCAAGAACTGAATCACTTTGGGGAGCTCTAAAGATGGGTGGACCTACGGATGCCCACAATACCACAGAGTCACTGGCTAGCATCGTGGCAAGGAAAACAGTGGCGGTTGAGAACAAGACTGACCCTTCCGTAGACGAGGACAGTCTTACTACGGAGCCGGATGCAAGCAGAATAGCTAACTTAGGAAGAGTTATAGATAATATTTGCATACTTATAGGGTCTAAATCTATGTGAGTCGACGTAGTACAAGGAGTACAACAAAGATGACTTGTTCTGCAAACAACAACAACTACTTAATTATATCGTGGCGGCCCGTGAAAGTATACAATTTCATTTTGATTTTTATCGTTTTTACTCGGTAGGACGACGTGTTACTAACCGTCAACATCGTCCGCCTCCTCCATCTTGTCTTTCTAATCCTCGGAACTCCTGCAAGCGCTCCGTCTCCAGGTGAGAAGAGTCAACAAAAAAACGAGCATTTACCAACCTTCGAACAGGAGGTCATCTTTGAACCGAAGGAGGGGGAAATGAAGCTGAGAAAGACCCTCCAGGATGGACGCATGCTGGATAGCTATCACACCTTTCTATCCTTTTGCATAGACGGTGGCGCAGTCATACCGGAATCAATCGCGAAGCAGCTTCGGTTTGGAGGATTCAAGCCTGACGATGCTACCAGTCGCGGTCGCAAAGGACGAGGTAGCGAGGAATTGGATGTCGATTGTTCAAGTTAAGCGACTGTTATTTTCTCTGTGAGGAGTGTTCGTGAGAAGTGTGTACCGTAGATGACCTACTGGTACTGGGGTTAGATGTTCAGCGATCTACTAACTTGCTCTATGTACTTTCATATTTTCCTTGGACCCTGGACCTGGTTCTGATTAATTACTGGCATAGGTAGTCTGACTCTGACAAGTACTAGTAGTACAACGACTTTTCAGCCTGCTTTTACTAGGACGAACGCAATGAATGACTGAAATAGATTGATTTTCACTGTTCTCACTGTCTCTGTCAGTCACAGTCTCTGTAGTGCGAGATCTTGTGCTTCCACCTCTTCCTCTAAGTACCCGACGATGATGACGATTTTCTCATTGGACGAGCTGGCAGTGGTCTCAAGTACAATGGAATGACGCAGAGTTTGCTGCAAGAGATGTTGATGGAGCATAAGCAGTCAGCATTGCAGAAGGCTGAGACGGCCAGCAACGCCACAACAACCGCTACAATCACAGATGACGTGGATTCGGAAGAGGAAATGAACAAGGTGGCAGGAGCTAATGGAGGAACTTATGCTCTACAGAATAGTTAGCTACATGTTCAGATGGACATCAAGTAGAAGTAGACGTTGCTGCTCTGCAGGAGGTGGGCAGTAGTACAGAAACAGTAGATCATGTCGTCTACGTCTTTCGTCCTACTTATTCTTCGCTATATCTTCTAAATCCCAGCGACTCCAACGCGAAGTCCTACAGCAGCGAGCACGAAGTCGCACGTGCATAAGCCGGTCACCCCAGTGGACCACAGTAGTGCCGAGGGACAGAAGGCTCGACTTCAACAGAAACTAGAGCAGAGGAAAGCAAAACAGGCTCAAGAAAGTCTGAAGAAGAGTGTTGTGGAAGACGGCGCGGCTAAGCATAGTGGTGCTATTAAGGCTCCTCACAGTCTTTCATCATCATCTTGAGAAACATGATCCATCTTTGGCCACATCCACTAAGACTAAAAAGGGGGAAAGACGTCAATAAAGATGCGTCTCAAGATGAAGAAAAGTGAGCTCTAATGCTAAGCCTGGCGTAGCTAGTGGAGCATCTCCCACGCCAGGAACGACAGGAACGACAGCGAAGGATAACAAGATCAAGAATGGAAGTGGAACCCCAACAACTGCTGCAATCACATCACCAACAGCTACGACAACAGAATCTACAGGAGCATCCAAGCCTGCAGAGGAGAAAGCTGCGTCAGTTGTCAGCACTACAACGAAAGAGGTGGATGCGAATAAAAATGGGAGTAAGTTAAGGGTTCAGGTTCATCTTATTTCTACTGATAGTTAGTACATCCCGCCTCACTAAAAACATCCTACTTCTTGGCCCTTTTATTTGAAAAAGTATAGAAGCCAGGCCCAGGAACATCAAAGGCCGCCTGAGGAAATCGAAATCAATTGTTCCGCTTCCGTAAGAACTTGCTCTAAATAAGACACCCGAGGAGTCAACACCAGCATCACCGGCACCAGAGCCCGGCTCATCGTCTCCTGCTGCTCGAAGGTCAGACCCTGATTCAACGAACAGCTCCAAGAAGAAGAAGAAAAAGAAGTAATCTGTTGTTAGAAGATGAAGACAATCCGTTCCCACAATATATACGGTTGATGTTGAAAATGTTTTCATGCTGCTCTTGTTCAGCCAGCACGCTTCAGATATTAGCTGTCACATCAATGCTACTCGTGATTCAATCATTTGAATTAAAGATCGATCTACTATTTTTCTCTTGTTGATTCAATGAATGCTGCATCTCAATCATCGATCGACTGCTTACTTAGATAGACGTAAAAATACTGATCAAGTAGAAAAGTGAAAGATGTGAAGATAGAAATTTCAAGCGATAACTGTCCTGTTCATGCTCCTGGGACGAGGTGGGTCACTACATTTTTATATTGGAGATATGGAGCTACAGCTAGTGCGACTAAAGGTGGGGAAACTGACACGATGGTCGACTGGTGTGGAATTAAGAAAAATGTATTTGTATTCCCCTGTCTTTGAAGATAAGTTTTGTTGATGGTGGAAGTAGATTTTTCTTTGCAACATGAACATACCACTAGAAATGCCATTTGATAAGCTTCATAGAAGTGACTTCATTTCGGTACAGAAGATGAAGATGAACAACAAGTCCTCGTTTCGTCTACATGTAGTCATCTTTACACTTCTTCACCAGCATTAATGAATGTCTAATATTAATTTCTTTGTCGTCCCATGTGAATGTTCTACTTCTACTTCTAGCAGGTACAGGTTGTACGTAGTGCTAATGTTGAGGCTACCGCTACAACTAGTGAATCTCAGCGACCCAGCAAATAAGTTCATTCTGAATGTCTTAAATGCCTTATGAATATTGATACTTATCATGAACGCTTTCCACACCAGGATAATTCCTGGTGTGTACCGAAAATATTGAATTCTTCCAGTATCTACTCCGAAGATGCCGATTATATATCTTCTAGAAGATCTATTTCATACAACTACTCTGATTCCAGACCTGATTATGTCGCCCCTACTAAATTTAAGCAGGACTACGGAGCCGATCACCGCACCAGAAAGACGAGACCATCTTTGATTGATCTCATAGAGAGAAATGATCAATCTCGTATACGATAGAGTTCATCACCAACATCGACTCCCACCTCGTACTCCCACCTCGTCATGCAACAACAACCAGAACAACAACACAAACGTAGGTTTCTTGAAAAATGTAGTGCGTCTCTAGCTACTTTATTGATAAAAGAAATGTAGTAGTAGTCTGACTGTGTCGTGTGAGGACAGTGTAGATTCTTGTGTATCTCGTCTCTGTATGTAACCAAGTGGTAATATTTTTATCCTCTTATTGCTTGAGCAAGAGAAGAATTGTTCCGATCACCACGCGCATTCACCTCATAATTCATCAATATTGTCATCTTCATTGACATTTTTCGCGAGAACAATTAATGTTAAAGCAATATGACGATGACCACGTATGACGACCTCCGAGATGCATTTGAAATTTTTTACCTTGCAAACCCAAACTAGCATTATTAATATCGTATGATTGTAAAAATATCGCTGTCTACCCTGTAGCCTAAATCTCCACAAGAATTTCCGCCACTCTTCTCATCGTTCACAACAAGTTATTTTCTATGATAACAAGGACGAAAGAAGACGATCTGGATCTTCCAGAACCTCCTAGAAACATACTGATGGTGAGTGTTGTTCAGTTCCAGCTTCATCTGGAAAAAAAGATACGTTGGGTGTGAGTCCAGATTTTTGGAGAGCGAGAAACTCCACAGTATGCCGGGTCGGCGCATCGTCCATGAAATGTAAGACTTCTCGGCCCTCACCCCAGCTGACGCGGGAGCCCATCTGAATCCTGAATCCACCCCAGGAGCTGGTGCGCTGGCCCTTTGGCCGAAGACTTTGAAATTGAAAAACAGCAAAGAGAAAGACCAGCAGGCGAATGAGTAGTTTTGAAAAAATACTTATAAAATAGAAAAGACCCTTCAAGTTCAAGCTGGAACTGGAAGAAAGAGTTACCATAGAGCGAACAAAATGTCCCTCTCTTCGCCAAGTTTCGCTCTCGACGGCCACGATAAGTATGAGTCGGCCGCCACCGCGCGTCTGCGATCTCTTCAGCAAAATGCTGGGGAGAATTCACCTTATGAACACACCACTCTCACTCAATCTTATAAAATACTGTATACTTCTTCTGAGTTAGACCACTTAATACTACTGACGAGGAGGTATTAAGTGAGAGCGTGAAAGACCACGACGAACAAGATTCACATAGCTTCTTCTTCCGCAAAGCATTTTCGTTCCCATTGATTCTTGAGATAATAATGATAAAATGGCAAAAATCGAAGTCGAACGCTGCTCTAATTGCCGTCCGCATCTCTCATAGTCGGCTCCGCATCACTCATCACGCTGGATGGTGGGCAGGAGCAGACTCCTGGAAACTCCGGAGCGCGAGGAGGCTCGACGGGTGGGGCCACTTCGTCATCCACTGTTCTTATGTCTTTGTGGAGGACGTCGTTGGTCCTCGTTGTTGGTCCTCCTTTGGAGTTGTGTAGAGATGGCTGTATTGTTGAAGATGAACAGATGTTGTACTAGTGGAGGAACTGAACTACAGGCGAAAAGATGAACTCTACTTACACTTCAATTTATAATATGGACGCTTTTCTTCTCCTTGCATCTTCCGATGCAATTCTGAACCACAACTGGCTAGAGGACATGATCAAAGGACAACTAGGACAACTTCTTAAGCCCTACTTTTAAATCTTTTGTTTGGCATTCACTCACTCGCCCGTCTATACGTCATGATGTGTCTGCTAGTCCACCACTCCTAGACCACTCACATTTTCTAAGACACCCCACAAGCACAAAACACGCACTTCCAGCCGGAGTGTCTCACCTCCTCGTCGGAGCCCACCGATCGTGTATCAGAGTCGGAGTCTAGAGGACGAGGACTCACGGCCAAGGACGCAGATGGAGCGAGCAGCGCAGGTCCTAGAACACGAAGCAAATGTGAGGGGGAATCCCTTGTACTTGCAAAAACAAAAACGAGAAGCAACGGAAGCGCTTCTGAGAAGTCCAGATTTATGACGTGGAGCAGTTCTACAAGATGAAGTTGTACTTCTAGGTTGTTGAAGTTTTCACAATTTGCTTTTGTGTTTGTGTAGTTGTTCAAGTTGCAAATTCAATGTGTAAAAAAACGCTAATTCTACTAGTTCTTGCAGTTGTACTTCATCTAGAATCCGCAACTCTAATATGTAACTGCTCCTACTCCACAGTAATATTAGCAATAGCTTACACTCACGGCACCGCCATCACTTCGTCCTGCTCCTTTCATACTAGAATCCTTTTGGCACAGCTATCCATAGAGCCGACGTGCGCGAGCAGGTGGGAACCTTGCTAGACGACCGAACGCTCGGTGCGTCAGCCTTGCGAAATAAACAGAAATTGTCGGTGCACCAGCTTCTGGGCGAAAAGTCGGCTTACGATGTATGATAAGGGAACGAATTCAGTACGTAGAAGTTGTAGTTGTTGATCTACTTCTTAGATAATAAATGACGAGACCTTTGTTTGACTTTGTTAAAAATGAATGTAGTTCATGTCTGAACTACTACTAGAAAGTAGTAGTCCTCTTCTTCATTCCCTCTTCTCTCCACGAAACGCGCATCGCTGCCTGTGCTTCCTTGCCTCGATTGTGGGCGACCATCGCGCTGCGCCGTCTGTGATCGCGCTTTCTTGACCGAATGTTGAGGCTAGACTCCTATCTTCTGGTGTGCTGTTACTTACTGTTACTTGGGATGAAAATCCTGAATGAAGAAAAAGAATTGCCTCATCCTCTCCTGATAGATCATCGCGTAAAAAAGGGGAAAGGAGCAAGAAAGAAGAAGGCAACCCTCCACGTCCACTCACGCACAGATGATAGTGAATGTCTACCATTAAGGATGTCTCCTAGATCGAAGTTACGTACGCGAATGCAAAGATCGCGCTGTACAATGGGATGAGTCCATGTGGGATATGGAAGGGAACAACCTTGACGCAGTTGGAGATAAGGATTAAGGCGTTGTTCTTGGTTGATTTGTTTCAGCCTCTGAACGTTGTTTGGTTCAACATCTGAACGTTGTTGGTTGATTTGTTTCAACATGTGAACGTCACGACCCTAAAGTTGCATGGTCTGTCTGTTGAGTATAAGGCTGACACATTCACGTCATCCCTTGAGCGGATAGAATTAGAATACTAAAACTCGTCCTCGTCGCGACGGTGGTCGTTCTACCTCTAGTACTCCTACTCACGACATATGAGTAAGTACTGACTTACACCCTCACACTCTAACATAGAGGCGACGTGGAAAAGGAGTTCGATCGCTTGAACAATATGGTCACGGACTTGCAGCAGAAGAACAACGTTCTGAAGGATAGGAATAGGAAGCATTTAGAGGAGAAGGATAGACTTTTCACACAAAAAATTGAGATGGAGGAAGATATGCGAAGGTTGAGTTATGCTGGTGACAGTTTGTCTTTGTTTGTTTCTTTACTATGTTAAAGAAGCACACCCGTCAAAATATATGACTGGGTATATCACCATCCTCATCAATGTATATCCAAATGCTCGTGGAGGAGGTGTCCTCCATCTTAGAACTAGAAACAGTTTCTAGTTCTAAACGGGTACTGCTACAACTGGTATAGTTCATTTGTATTATTTCATCTTCTAGCTTTCCTCTCACTCCACGTCCGTCGTGTTGCTTCTTCCCTATGATCCCTCTCTATTATCCCTCTCCTCTTCTAACCAAAAGAGCAAGTCGAACGCGCTGAAGAAAGAGCAGAGAACTACAAGCAAATCATGCATGGCAAAGAGCGGGAAATCGAGAATTTGAAGGGCGACTTAGAAAGACTTGCTCAGCGTCATGAGGTCCTAGTGGAGCGTCGGAGACTAAGCTAAGACGGGTGCTGTCCATATTACCCACTAGTTTCCCCAATCCCACTACCAATTATAGGATAATTGTCAGCAGTCCTCTCGTCTTTCCCAGTAGGATGAATAGGAAAAAATAAGTCAAGGATCATGTTCTTTGAGTAGGACGAGTGTAATACATGGTTCTGATGTAAGGCTCCTCTAACTAAGAATGTTGAAGCATCTAGACGTTTTATTCCGAAACCACTGGGAAGAAAAAGTAGCGGTCCAGGCAGACGCGGACAGAGCCTTCTTAGGGTGGAGAGGAATCTACGTAGAGCGTGCTGCAGAGAAAAGACAAAGGAAATTAGCGGAGACAGTAGCGAAACAAGAGAGGGAAATGCGTATTTTTTGAATTTTTTTTTGTTGGCAAACTCTGCATCTCTTCCGTCTGCCTCTGCCCTACAAGTGATTATAGACGACGTAGATGAAGAAGCTCCAGTATGCTGGTGCTGTTGGCGGGTCCTTAGGGACTCGGCCATATTTTTAGGGACTCGGCTTAATTTTTCGTCTACGACCAGCAAAACGTGGTGGTCACATGATCATCCTACCGTTCGTCCCAGGTATCTTCGAAAAGCAGAAGAAGATCGAGTTACAGAACTTGCGCAGCGAGCTCGTGACCACACACGATGCAAAGATAGAGCAGCTAAAAGAGGAAGCAGACTTGAAATTCAGGACTATGCGTGACGCCAAGAACAAGGAAATTGCGGAGTTGAAGGTACTCCTTGTAGTTGCGGAGTTGAAGGTACTCCTTGTACTTGACTCAGACGGGTTAAAGTAAAAGGACGATCATCTCCTGGTTAAAAAGATAGTAGAGGTAAGGATCACCCGGTTAAAAAGATAGTAGAGGTCCCCAGTCTTCTATTTCTACTTGTGATAGTGATTCGAGATTGTTGGCGTGAGTTTCTCCTGTAATTAGAAGTCATCCTTGTTCAGCTCCACCCTCCACGACAAACACAAGCATTGCTCAGGTCGACATCGCCGAGCTTACCCACAAGTTAGCCCGGGGGAAGGAGAAAATGGAATTGTTGAACCGCAGATTGCGAGAGAGCGCCGAAGAAGCACTGCGATTGCATGGTGATGCAGACGAGCGAGCAAGGCAATTGGCGAAGCTGAGAGCGGATTTGGACCAATCCGAATTCGATCTGGCATTATCAAGAGACAGGAGTCCGACGGAAAAGATAGTGGAGAAAGAAGTCATTCTGCTTATGGGCATCATGGTTGAACTATAATTGATCATGTTTTTGAATATGACGATGATTGTCACTACTAGAACTTCATCGAGCACTTCTAAGTTGCTCTCTTATTTCTACTTGTAATTCTTTTTACCCGCCTTACGTACTTCTTTCTTGTCGTTGTTCTAGATTGTGTCCCCGTTATTTCTCTCTCTGCTCTCATCTCTGTCGTTGATTCCTCTCCTCTCTTCCTTAAACTTTAATACCAAGAAGGAGCCGGACATTGACATCGATGCATTGCGTGAACAGATTCGACAGGAATTGCTACTGTCGATGGAACAGACCATGGAAGTCGAGGAATTGCATAAAAAGCTAAAGATCGCCAGTCGAAACTTGGACCTTACAAGACAGAGGCTTGAGGAAGAGCTATGGCGATGAGTGGTACTAGTACTAATACGATACCCCCCGTAGTAGTAGTACGTGTACGTAGTTGTAGTAGAAGTACTAGAGCTTGTCTGGTTCTAGTCAACTACATGCAAAATTCAATTTGATGTTGAAGGAAGATACTCATTGAGTTCGTCGCATTCCATACATCCTCTTTCTAATTCCCCAACTCGCCGCTGACGAACTCGAACGCGGGCTCTTCCTGAAGCAAGCAGAAGTCGGTGCTTTACGCAGACAACTGGATGTCGAAATCACTACCCATCTCTGTGCCCAACGCGAGTTCGTCGCTCTCGCCAAGAGTCTGAAGCTGATGGAAGTCAAGTGTCGCGCTAAGGATGCCACCATAAGGCGTGCGCATGTGAAGGATCCACAACTGGCGGAAAACTACGAAGGACAGCTGATTTTGAATGAACAGATGCAAAGAAAGATGGGAGCCATGACGAAGCGGATACGCATGGTCCACAAACTAGCAGGAAGGCTGAAAGGCGCTAATTTGCGAAAGTTCTTCAAGAAGCTGACTGCGCCAGCGAAAGATGGCGGACTAGTAAGTTCGAAAACGGCACTAGACGATCATGCTCTAAGTGGCCTATCTTCCTCAGGTGGACGTCTAGGTCCTCTAGGTCTGCCAACCGACATCGATGAAATGACAATAGACAGCGACGTAGATAATGTAGAACTTCAAGCTTTTCCACCTCAACCTCCAAACGTAAACCTAAACAAGGCAGCTTCCTCTAGTACTGCTAAAAACTGCAACCCTGGTGCTGCTGGACGTGGCGTTTTCCCTGCTTCTCCTGCTTCGCCAAAGTCAAAACAGCAGCAAACGCACAGTATCGCTTCGCCCTCTTCTGCTCGAGCACGCCACGATCAAGACGACCTCAACGTCATTTTCTCCCGCAATTTATCGCAGCTGCATGGCAGAGAGCTTGTCGATGCGTCCACGAGGTACGTCGAAATGCAACATAGGAGGGAGGCTGTAGAGGATGATCTTGGGATCTCCGGAGCATCATCGTCATCTTCGTCTGCTGAACGAAGTGTTGAGGAGCATGCTAGTAGCACACTTAACCACCATGATGATCGTCCGGAGTCACTGTCTCCAGAGCGAACGTCGTTGTCGCCAGAGAGGACGACATCTTCCGCAGTAGATGGCTTAGATCTTGATGCTCCTCATGGTCAACATGCTGTGGACAGAAATAGAGAAGATCATGAAGATCATGCTACAGCTACAACAACCTCCTCAAAAGACACCACTACAACAACGAATTCAAATCACGCAACCAAAACCAATGCAAAGGTGGCAATAGATTCGACTAAAATCATGATGAATAGAGCTCCTGCGAACAAAGCCGGACCACCTCGAACAACGTCCTCAACATCTAAAAAGAGTATGGGTAGATCTGCATCCTCACCTTTCGATCTTGAACTAGATGGCTGCTCGCCGACAACATCAACAGGGGAGATCTTTGTACCATCTGGCTCCCCTCTTGCTAGTTCGAAACTACTTGGAGGTGGTCGCTAGTTCTAAACTACTTGGCGGTCGAGGTGGTTGCTAGTTCCAAAATACTTGCTGGTCACTCGAACTGATCTGCTTGCTAGTTTTTTCGGATGTTGTTGTTGTTGTTGTTGTATGTGTGAGTTGCTTTTGATTATGTATGTAGTTTTTCATTGATAGTAGCTGAGATAAGCAGCCTACGTAATTCTCACCTATGCATGACAAGCAACATAATCATAAGACCTTGCTATAAACGAATTCATCATTTTCACACAAATTTCTGCGAGGGGGAAAAAACACGATACAGATTGCAATAGGTGGTCACGCTTTTAGTTTTGGGTCTATGCGCATTCGTCATGGTTTTGCACGTCGCCCGCATACTGATTCCTCAGATGATACTCAGAAAAATTAAAATTCTAAGAAACGCATGAGCCCGCACAAAACCAAGTTGAAGTTTATTTTTGCTGCTCGAAAACACAAACCAAAGCGCTCAATGAGGTTTATTTCGCTTCCGCAATTTTGATACTGAAATCAAAAATGAGAATCAAAATCATGGAGGGGTAGGGGGCTTCTCTGCCCTCCCACATGGGCATACGTGTAACCGAGCTCAACCAACATTGACGACTGAAAGCATGAGGCTAGTTCCTGTAATCAACACCATGAGGGTCCCGAAAGTAGAAATTCCTATTTGTCGTGAGACTGAGAGACTGAAAATGACATTGCTGGGGATGATAGATAGGGGAAAAGATCATGATCATCATGTTGTAGGCGCACGTGGTGCAAGGGTCTACCTGATCTTCAACGAAATCGGTATGATGATGATCTACAACACCAAGGGGAGGGCTTTTATGCTAGACTTGAGCGCCCGGCAGCACTCCTCCCACGAGGATCATCCAACCCCGGCACGCACTTCCTCAATCCCGGCGCAATTCCACTTCCCCGGCTCCTTCCCCGCCCGACAACCGCCAGGTGGCGTTGATCGTTGGAGCAAGAGCTGGGCGGGGGGCGGCGTCGCTGATTAACAAAGCTTGACGCATTGACTAAAAAGGCACAGATCGACATCGTTGGTGTGTAGGTTTGCTCTCCTTTTGATAGGTTTGGCCTTCTTTGCGTGCAAGTTGCAGCGCTCGAGTTTGCGAGTTTTAAAATTCTCCTTCTTTTCATACAATCTATCAAAGCCTTTGGATTAGAATTCTTTAAATTTCATTTTTCTTAGATATAATCAAAATTTTTGGATTCGAAGTCTCAAATTTGAAATTTTGAAACATTTAGGCAGCACTTTGAGCTATTAGCTTTGAATTTTCGACTTTCAGTCTTGGGGCTGAGTGTAAGGGTTTAGTTGATAAAATCATAAAAAGCGATTTTTATTCAAGATTTTGAATTTTAACGCCCAAGAATTAAATTCAATCGCAGGGCGCTTTGTTTTAGAAAATGCCATGGTCGGGGGTTCGTGTGTTGTGTTTGTTGGTTGAGTAGAAAAGAAGCGGAAAAATTTGCGACGGGGGTCGCGTGTTTTTGATTCGCTGCTGATTTTTTATTTAGCTCTTTAAATTTAATGATAACTGATTCTGATCATAAGGCAACGCGAGAAAATAGCGCGTCATTATGTCGTAGAAGATTGAGAGTTTGTAGTAGCTACGCGATCCTAATCTGGATGAAGAAACTAACGCCACCCACCTAATCATCTTCAAGCTTAATCATGAAACACAAGCAGGCGACAGCGACAACCTTGCCCCAATGAAATTTGACTCCCCGCCGGCTGCGGCTGCCCTACTTAAATATCATATGTTTTCCTCCTTCGTCGTTTTCATCGTGGCGAGGATTTCCAACAAAATCTCTCACCATTGAAACTGTAAGTGTTGATGCCACAGATGTTTATTTGGATTGCATTATTTGTTGCGATCTAGCGCATCCTTTTACAAGCACGTCATTTTTTTGCAGTAAAGAAACGAGCCTTGCTCTACTTCTTCACTCAGAGGACTCGCTACTGAATTTGCAAATAGTGCAAATAGCTGCAGCACAGGGACCATGCCTCCACGCAAAGCTGCTAAGATAGAAGAGCCTAGTCTTCCCGGAGACGGCAAGTTGGATGTTCCTTTCGAGCATCGTTTGCGCAGGGATGGTCGGATTGAGAACTTTTTCTGGATTCAACCAGAAAATCTGGCTAAAGTCTTACGAGGTGGAGCAGAGCACCAGGGTCTTCAGGGTCAGGCGAAGGGTTCTTCTACTTCTACATCTACTTTGCGTAGTAAGATGAACAAGAACTACACATCAACCACAACGACATCCACATCTGCTTCTACGACGCCCCATAGGAAAGCTAGTCCACCTTCGTCTAGGAATCACATAGTACTGCTCGATGTGCGGAAGAAGGGCGATTTCGAACAGTCGCACATAGTGCATGCGGTGTCGAAGCCGCGAGACACAGGAGGATGGCCGACTTTGGGCACTCAAATACGACAGAAAAGCCACATTGTAGTATACTCAAGCGACCCAGAAAACACGGGATGCGAAGCAGCGGCATTGGTTGGGCAACTGCTGACTAAGGGTAAGCTGTTGCAGGTGAAAGGAGGTCCTAGAAGCAACGGCGGACAACATCAACATGGAAGTAGCACTTCTGCTGCTGCTGCACAACATGGAGGTAGCACTTCTGCTGCTGCTGCTGCTGCTCCAAAAGGTATTCTTCCAAAGGGTATCTCTCCAGCTAGTGCTTCATCTTCAGTGAGTGCAAGTGGTAGAGATGTTGATGTTGCTTCTAAGCACAATATTAAGCAGAACAACAAGAATGTTGGGATTGGGAAGAATATTATAGGTGCAAATCTTCTTCTAGGAGACGAAGATAGTGACGAAGACGAAGACTCTTCATCTGAAGACGAAGACGATGGGGATCTCTATGTCCCGCCATCAAAGGCCCGAACAGGAGCCAATGGCACCAGAGGAGGCAACACAAAAGCCAAGGCCAAAGCAAAGCCATCCTCTTCATCTAGAAGCGCTGCTTCTTCTACTGTTGCAGATGGAGGAACACTGAAGCGTGGTCGTGGGCGTCCTCAGGCTAAACATGATGCTAACCCTCCTGTGTTACCTACGACTACAACGACCAGTACAACTTCTACGAGATTCATGTCGATGTCAAGAAGACCCAGAGGGGCAGCTGTTGCGAACAAACGTCAGAAGATGTTGTCAGGACTACAACCACAGGCACAGCAACACCAGGTACTAGATCCAACTAGTAGTACCCGACGAGGACAAGCTGAAGCACCAGCATCATCTTCACAGATGAGTCAGCAGAGTACTACCAGTAGCGCCTCCTCGACAAAGTCAACAAGCCTCACACAAGTCAGTCCCGTGGAGGTAGACGATGCCAAGCTGCGCGCTATTGTGCCCAGTGTATACTGTCTTGAAGGTGGTTTCTCAACTTTTGCGAAGTTGTTTCCAGATTTGATCGTAGAGTCTAAGAATGCGGTTTCCGTATCATCGACACCATGCTCATCGCCTGGCGGTGCAACAACATCTTCTGCCGCTGCTGCAGGAGCATCTTGTTCCAGGGGACGTCGAGCATCATCCAGTAGTTTCGCACAGCCGTCCCCTGACCACCATCAGCAAGAACAGGAGCATCAAGAGATCGTCATAGAGGAGCTAGAGACACCATTGAGTCCGGATTCTGCACTCTACAGGATGATCATGAACCAAATGGAACTCTCCTTTTCCGCGAGTCTACAAGACTTGGCGCCAGACTTGACCTATGACCACGCGAAACAAAACGATGGATCGAGCGTAACTGGAACTGGTGGTAAGAATGCACGTACAACGAGGCGTGGCGCAGCTAGTAGAGCAACTGGAGCTGCAGGGGAGCCTCAAACACAACAACAACCTTCTGAAAAGCTATCTACTAGTGCAAATGGAGGAAATGGTGTGAGTCACACGACTCCTTATCTGGGTGAATATCTTGCAGGTCTGTTGTCTCCGGCGAACACCTCAACTACAAACACAGCCGCGTTAGCTGACGAACAAGTACTGCCTAAGATTCGTGAAGAGCTTCTGATCATTCAATATTTGTTGTTCACCTTGCAGCGAGACTTGCTGATGAAAGAGATGAACAACATGACGATGAATGGTAGAGGTGCTGGTGCAACATCTTCTGGAGGTGCTGGTGGCGCAACATCTTCTACAAGCTCAAAAATGATGAATGGTATCACTTCTATGTTGACAACTACGCTGGATTTCGTACATCAGCGCCCTTGTCGTGCCTGGATTTACTGGCGATTGCCTGTTTTGATGGCGATATCTGCTTCTCTAGGCACATATGTGCGAGCACAGCCAGCGTGGAAATACATCTACACTGAAATCCTCACTTCGACATGTGCTTCTTCTGCAACTGGTGGTGGTGCTGCTGCGTCGGCGAATCCGAATGGTGCTGCTAGAGATTTGTCTGCACCACAAGCACACGACCACTCGAATTCATCTTTGATGGTAGGCAAAAAGCCAACTAGTACAAGTACAAGTACAAAAATATTAGGGAAAGAACTACACGACGACCCAGCAGCTCAAGAAACTGGCACATCAATAACGACTTCATCCCGGTTGAAGAGTCGTATCATGTCTGGGGCAGCAGCCTTATGGAGCCGGCTGTCGTCCCCACCCTCACTCCCTCAGCTGCCTATGAAGCTTCCAAGAAGAACCTCCAAGACGTCCAAGAAGAACCTCTTGGAACATGAAAAAGAAGATGACATCAACGAGAGCCGGAATGAAGATAGCATCGACGCCACAATCCGAGGTCTCCTCATAGACAATGTCCGTGTCTTATCGACTGCGGACGGCCAAGCGTTCGCTGTGGAGTTGTTGAACAGGAGTAGGGATGTCCTGCGTGGACCAGAAACTACGATGGAAAGATGCGCAAGACTAAAGATCGTTCTACCTGTTTGTGTTTCCTCGAATGTTAGAGCCTCATCTAGTACTAGTGCTCCAGTCACATCACCAGCAGGACAACATCCTGCTCAAGCAACATCCACATCAACAGTAGTTTCTACTCGACGTGGAGGTGCTCAAAGTAACTCTACTTCCTCTATGCTGGTGCCGATAGTGGATTCAGGTGTACGATTCCGGATTTTTTGCGCGTTTGCCAAGAAAAAGAGGCTAGACGAGCCTCCAGAACTAGTAGGCACGCTGCTACTGAAGCATACACCGGCACCTCCTAGTAGTAGCATGTCTGGAGGTCCCATAGTAGGTTTTCTGCCAATTCCTGTTTCGCCTGAATTGTTGCTGCTACCTTTCTCGGAAGAAGAACAACAAATGATGGTTTCTGGCGTGAACATGCTGTCTTCTCCGTCATCAAGTAGTGCAGCAGTCGCTTCGCCACCTTCTGGTACTGGTGCTTCTTCATCAGTAGCTCCTGCACTACACCAGCAGCAGGATCATGCGCGACTTCAGCAGCTTTCGCCTTCTATGTTCTCTCTTTCACCGCAACTAGTCGGACAACATCAGCCGCCAGGGCTTGTGAGTACAACAAGTCAAAACTACAATAATATGCTGATTAACAGCACTTCTGCCAGCTCGTCTTCGGCACATCATGGAGCCAGCACCATCTCCGCCTCAACAACTCCCTACAACCTAGTTCAACACCCGACTTCGATGACCTCTCATGGCCAAGCTGGGAACTACAATGGCGGCCACCATCACCCTGGTCTTGGTGGCCACCTTGCTTCCGGTGCCGTGTATCTTCACCACCTACAACTCCAACAGCAACAAATTACCGCTCCGACATCAGTGCACCAAATTCTCACCTCACACCACCGCTCGTGGGCCATGGTTAAGTATGTCGGGAGTATGCGACGAGGAGTTGGTTGGAAGTTGCAAGAACGGGCTGCCGAGTTCATCAGACAACACGATCCAAGGTGCAAAAGCTTATTTTTAAGGCAACTACTTAATAAGTACGCTAAATCACTTAGTAGTTACCCCAGCAGTCCATCTATGATAATTAGTAGATGAATTGTGGTAACTACCCATCAACGATGGGGAAACCAAAACTACACGTTTTCCAAGATGTAGTTGGGTTCCGCCAAGAGCATTATGAGTAGATACAACTACTAGAGTGTACCAGAACCATCAACAAAACCATGTTAGTATGATTACCGAAAGTGATAGCAGCTCTAATTTGTGCTGGAGCCTGGCTCGAGTATGAGCATTCTTGGCTGTCGCATTATCGTTGGGGCTACGATTTTGTTTCTCCGGACGAGTGGCCTCGTGGCCAGCTTTTCAATTACGCCAAAGGAATACTGAGCATGGTGAGGAGACTGTAGTAGGCATGATACTGAGCATGACGAGGCGACTGTAGTTGTAGGTATGATATCGCGCTTGCGTGTGGTGAGGAGACTGTAGCTCTAGACTCGAAACTATTCGAAAACCAGAGGAACTGGAACTTGCCTGTGATTCTGGGTTATAGGCGTTCTGCATGAAGACGAGTTGCGCCTAGTAGACGCACGCCTGAATCATCCAGGATGCTGGTCGTTTGGCTACGATGTAGATGATCACGAGTGTTAGAACGACAAATAATGCGACCACCTATCGTCCCTAACACCGCTCCCAGCAAGATTGCTTCAGCTCAATATACAGGATCTGGATCTGCTGAGTAGAGGTTCTATTTCCTACTTCTAGACTTGTTGAAGAAGGACCACTCGTCCCTACTTGTTGGCCATGATATAGAACCTAGGATTGGCACTTGGACATGGTCACTTGTTCTTGAAGTAGGTTTATGTCCTCTGAAAATCTCCGGAAAAGATTCCTGTACTTCAATGTCTGCTTCTCCTGTACTTCGAAGAGGTATCCGTGTGCACATTTAATAATAAATAAATGGTGCGTACGCCGCACTGGTGCTAGAAGTAGAATGATTTTTTTTTACTTGACAAGTATGTCGTTGAAGGCAAACAACCACTACAAACCAACGCAGTGATCGTCTGCAAGACAAAAGAGTGCTTGAGAAGACCTCCACAGTTTCACTTGGCCTACACAGCCGCAAAACGCGTGGACGTGCTGGCGTCTTGCTGATCCATGTAGACTGGCTACAGTGCAAAACTGCGTGGGTGCCGAGACCGGTAGAGCAACATGGACTTTCTTTAAGTACAGAGACGATCCTTCCATCCTTGAGTGACGGTAAGAAAGGGAAGTTCAGGAGAATACTCGTTACTAAGTAAATGATATATGAGCTGCAGTGGTCGCTGATTGATTTATAGAAGGCAGTGAGTGAAGGCATGACGACGATTAATCGGGCTTGAGCAGCGTGCGAGTGGGTCAATGCATGAGTCAGTGACAGTCGTGATTGACTGGATAAAAGGATACCTGGCGGACCAAACGTTGGAATAAGATGAAGAATTTGACGGACCAAACGTGTAGATGAAGACGTAGACAAGTGGCATAACTCTTTTATCAAGTGTAGCACTTGACGGGCCTTTGTCATGATCCTCTTCTAATATTTCGCTATCGTTCCTCTTTTATTAACAGTAGTACTCGCTGCGAAGATATTTCTGAAACATGGCTAATAGCGTGAACGATACGTCTAAGCCACCGTTCTTCGCATACTGTTGCTACACACGAAGCGGAGTCTTTCTCTTATGAAGGAATCACCACTGGTGTCTGTGGTGCTGTTACTGTTTGTACTAGGCATCTTGTGGTAGAGTAGAAGTGGCATATTGCGTACAAGTGGTAGAAGAAGAGGTGGCATTCTAGGGCACATATTCAATCAAAGTGAATCACTGGGTACTTGCACATCAAGCGGTTCCGTTTTATTTTTATCTTTTATCTTCATACATTTGCTTGCTGCCTCAGCAGCGACGGCGGAGCTGGTCGGTTTATCAGTTCTACCGGTTTTGTTAAGGCTTATTTTCATGACTCGTATTATTCACCTTGCTTAAGAGGTAGCTAGAGGCAGCTTTGATGTGCTCACAAGGGGAAAACCGTGCGAGACGCACTTGCGTCATCTTCTTCGGTAGGCTCTCCTCTTGCACCGTCATGGTGAGATCCAATCTGCTGAATACCGGCAGGCTCTAACGCTAGGATACGCGTACTTCTTGTATGGCGTATTGTTGCTCGTTTTTGTGGGTTATAGGAATGCAACGGATATCACCGAGGATTGCGAGGTCTCCGATGCGTTGGAAGCAATTATTATGGAAGGCTAGAAAGAGAGGTGAAGGCATCCCGCCGATGGCGTAGTACTATGGTCGTTTGGGATGCAGTATGATAGATCGGGCACGCTGAGCATGTTGAACACCTTCGAGGACAGAACTCGGCTTCGGGTGTTGAATACCTGAGACCTGGCTTGGAGTTTGAGCTGGCTTTTCTACGCGAAGCAAGCCGCCGCATTCACGTAGAATTAAGGCTCTCGAACTATTACCATATGCCGCTTTCATACCCGTTGAAGACTAGATGAAGCTAAAAATAGTCGAGTTGGGATAGTCAAGGCTGAGAAGTAGCTCTAACTCTTATAGTCGAAGTTTGTTGTAGTTCTAAAAACAGCTGTGGAGGACAATGCTTACACGAAGGAGGCCTTTTCTCTCGTACAGAAAATGTTCTTTTTAGCAGTCGCTGAGAACTTTGTTGCGCCGCTCTCGACAAGTTCCGAACTTTTTAAGACTAGTGCCACTAGGTAGTGTACTGCAAACCTTCAAGATCTGTAGAAGGAGAGTCGACAGTTCTTATGTTCAAGTTAAACCTGGCTGTCTTAGAGGCAATAAGAATAAGTAGGCTTCAGTGGCTTGTTTAAGGGAAATTTAAAGTAGAAGGGTGTACAATCTCAGTACTTACTGAGTAACAGACGAGAATTCAATCTTGGAAGTGCAACTCTGGCTAAGTCTTCACAAGACGTAAATTCAGATTCGATTCTTGTCATGAAAACGAATTACTAAGAACTCTTTCCATCTCCTCCTAAAATGCTTGCCAGTAGTTCTTGTGGCAATATTTTGATTAATATCTCAATGGTTAGTAGCGGCAGCGTCTGCAGCAATTGCCTTCGTCGTTCAATATCTCTAATGACCACCACGACACGACCAGTACTCGTCAATCATGCGTCTTTGAGAATCTCTTTGGGCCGATACAAACCTCGGAGAGTTCGAAAAAGAACATTGAGAGGGCCGATAGTGACCTTGATGGAGTCTCCTCTCGCACAAATCCAGAGGTGGCCAGAGCTGTCCGTAAACTACTCGTTTGGGAAAACGAGGCGCTCCCTGACTGGTTACTGTCTTATATTATGGATATCGATAGTGGATCTGGTAGGAAAGAAAGCATGCTGCCGAAACGATTCAAATTTCACGTGATGGCGATCTGTGAGATCATCAAAGAAAATATCATGTCTATGAGATAACATGAAAGACAGGATTTGTGCTGAAGAACTCTGAACTTTGTGATACCAACAGTCAAAGAGTGAATCCTTACTAAGTAGAAGTGGTTTGATTGGCCCTCGAGCATCTCGTCTAAGAATTTCCAGATACGACGACATGGAGTTACGAAATTCGTTTTTCTAAAGCCTCTCCATTCATTGTCTTTCTTTAGTAGAAGGGATGCAAATTTTTTTAAGCGGCCTTCTTCTCATTCGTTAGAAGGGAAGATGCTAAGATTTTTGAGCGGCCTTTGTTTCTCTTCTTGTGTTGTAACTTGTATGCTGTAGCTGTACAGCGGTGCGTATATGCTGTACACATGCAGCAACACTGTCTCTTTGTACACGACTGCGCCATGGTACTAACCTCCGCTAAGAATTACGAATCTTATATTCGCATCTTTGCAACAGCGGCCCGGACGATTGGGGACGAAGTTGCGTGTAGAAGCACGGAAGATGAGAGTCTTAAGGTAAAGGTAGTACTTAATAAGGAGATAATTGCCTAACACCGACTCAAGGATGACTACGAGATCTCCGCTTCATACACTGCTGGTAAGACGCCTTTTCTCTATACTTTCGTTAGGAGCTTGCCTTCATATTGATTTCTAACTCTCTAACTCTAACTCTAAGTTAAAAGAGAAGACGTCTCAATTTTTGAGCTTCCTTGCAGTTGATTTCTTTTTCTCATTCCGTGTTTCTAATCATGCAAGGAGAAGCGAGACCATGATCTACTACTTGAAGGAGTCCGCTCCTCCCTTGGATAGGGACCTCGACGTCGAGGGAACTGCTATCGAGTCTCCAAACACGGCCCTCCAAGCGCTTCGAACGTACGTGGATCTCATGGACCAGATAGTAAGGACTGAACTTGCTTGTCAGCGGCTTGGTAGTGGGTGAAAACTGATAACGACGGAACTTCCTACTTATTCTTGTCAGCGGCTTGGTGGTGGGTGAAACTCGTCAACCGCTTGCTACCATGGCGGTAGGTGGCGCTTGGTGGTAGGCGGCTGTCGCTATATGCAGTATATAATAGAAACGTCGTACCACGCATGTCACGAATCGGTCTTTGGGAATTCTTCATAAGGCCGTGAGAATTCTTCTTTATGATTTTCAAGAAACAGGGATCTTTCCTATTAAAGGCGCTTTTAGACCTCATGATAAATCTAATACTCGTTTACTTGTCGTAATAAACCCTGTCTTCTATATTGTAATTTCAAAAAAGTGCCATTGTATTGTCAATTGAGAAATGTCACGAGCAAGGATGTCGATGTGTGTCTATTCTCCCGTTGATACTCTGCATATTCTGAATATGAAAGGGCTTTCGCAAGTTGTTTTTATAAAGAAGAAAGGAGTTCGATTTTTGATGATGAAGTACCCACCCCGCGAAAGGATCCGCGAACGCCTAAACCCCTACTACTAAGTGTTTTCTCCCATTTCTAGAGAGGACAACGATCGCAAGGATCACTCCCCATCTTCTTGTCCTTGTAACAGAGACTCTTTTGAATAAATCGTGAATCGTGGGACGACACCGACAGCATCGGTTTCATTAACTTCTTCTCTTGATGGTCTGATGCATTGGTTTCATCTGATTGATCGGCTTCATCTGTGTATGATCGGTTTGTGACTCATCTGGGTATCAGTACTCGAAGTCAGTAGTTGTACATGATGCGAGATTAATAATCAATCAGAGTGTCAGTCGGTGATCCATCTGTTGCAGTCTCGTCGAAAAATTGAAGTATAATCCAGAACGAGTGAAGAAACTGGAAGTGCCTAACACGTCGCTCAGATACGAGAGACGAGCAACCGGCGCAAAGTGTTCGAAATCACCTCAAGGAAGTCGAGAAACCAGATGAAGCAGAATCTTTCTTCGTTCTTGAGTGAGTATCTGTCTGAGTGTTGCAACTGTTGTCCAGCAAAGAGATTTTCCTCCGCTTCGCCCCGCCCCAGAAAACGCCGAACTTCATACCCTGTACATTTAATTAAACTCGCCGTTACACACGACTCCTCATTTTCATAAGTCATCTCCCTTAGAGCTCGTCACTCGATCATCGATGATTTGATGCAATAAAGCTTAAAAACTCTATCCCTTCAGTGATGCGGTCTGTACATTGTTTTCCAAGCGGCAACTGCTGGACAGCATAAAGAGAACAGTGTCTCAAAAGTATGAATATCTTTGACCCTCCAACCAAAAATAATAGGGACGATCTTCGAAGTTCAAGTTACGAAGGATCTGATTCCGTAGGTGTAAAGCAAATAGACAGCACCGAGATATCTTCTGGCAGGACGGTATTCCCAGCGTAATTCACACTCATTGTGCTAGTTGTTCATCTTCTCGTTTTCTTTTCTCGTTGGTAAGGACTTATTTGGTTTGCATAACAAGCATAGCCAGGATGACAAGTCGGGGTGCACGGCCACCTCACATTGTCAAAGATGAGATTGCGGCGGCGACCGTGTTCCTGAGTAGAGCCGCGGAGGCGATTTGTACATTAATCTTTCTCTTTGTTATCCGTTTTTTATAACAATCTGATACAATGAAAATGAATACGATGTCGAATGACTGTACAATGAAGAAGATCATTCTTTGCAGAGAAACCATGTTCGTACTTGTTTCAATCCAATAATGTGGTCGGAAGATAATCTCTTCTCAAAATGTTTTCAGGGAAAAATAATAATATATCGACACTGTCGCTGCAAAGACTGAATGAAATATTCGACCCTCGAAAAGAATTCTTTCGGGCAACCGTCAAAAGCGCCGCCACTCGAGACCTCTGTAGGGCCACCTTGGACCAGCTAGCAAAAAAGGCCCACTCGATTGTAACCCTCGAGAACTTCAACAAAGCGCTCACGGAAGCCGCGGAGTACTCTTTGTGTTTCAAAAATCTTCATCCTTTTGCTTTTTGTTTTTCTTAGCTGCAGCAAACCTGAAAAACTTTTTTTCACCATCATGTTAGAAAAATGGAAAAGTAATACGAGATTAAGAAGATCAGCATAGGTAGATATGATAAAGGAGTCTATGCGTCATGGCATCAAAAACACCTCTCATCAGCATCAGCCGCACCAACAAGGCCGGGGCCGCGCCCAGCAGCAGCCTCCAGACCTATGCAGCGACGACGCCTGTGTCCACTTCTCGCGCGGCTCTGTCCACCATGCACTTCGAGGCCATGACCGTCATGCAGATTTCGACTATTGCGTTTGTTGCGGGCTTGGCTTTGGTTTGGTGCGTGCGCCGCCGCCACCGCGATCATCGTCGCCTGTCCGCAAATGATGCGCCGACTTTGCCGAAGTACGGGTCTACTGTGGATGACTGCACTAAGGAAGAATGCTAGATAAAGACTCCGACATCAAATACATAGTTGTATTGGAAACTTGAGCAAAAAGTATCTGAGTATACATAACAGTTTCTATATTTGATAGTAGTATTCTAGATACATACGGAGACGTAAACATAGTTTCGCTTTGTAGGTTTGTTACTAATGATTGAAAGGTCGTGCCGAGCCGAATGATCCAGAGCCAGATCTTCACTATTATCAAAGCCGTGGGCTATCGGCCTTCAACCTAGAACACTGACGAGTGGCATGAATTATAGTTACTACATCGATCATGAATGGGTCATGGAATGAAGTCTAGTCGTTCTGATCCGGAAAATCGCAGATAGTGTCCTTGACATGGATCATTCATTCTGGAAACAACCTCGAGAGTCATGGAAAAGGTGAAAACATGACGTCAGATTGAACTATTCACTATCATCATACTAAGTAGGTATTTAGATGATCACGATTATTGAAAATCTACTTTGTCACATAAAGTTAGTATTTATCAGGCACCTTCTAGTTCGGGAAGATCGTCTACTAGCGTGGCACTAGTAAAGTGCGGCTGAGGAGATTCACTTGCTTCGTTGATCTTCACGGCTACTCTATGTTTCTAGCCCATTTTATTCCATGTAGACAGAGGTAGAAGATGCCTGACAATACATACAAAATTCCGAGAAACAAAGTGAACAACATATGTATCTGTATCATGAACGCGCTACAGCATGTGTACCAAGTACGTACATTAGATGAAATAGAGAAAATTTCACCTCCACGACCGCATGAAATTCAAACACAAAAAATTTCTACTCTATTTGAGTAGGCTGTGAACAAGAACTGTTTGGGAAGTCTTGACAAGGCTTTTTCATTTGGAAATGCGATGGCTTGACTATGGATCTGCGAAGGTGAGTCCTCTGACAATGCAAACAAAATCAAAAAACGACAGTCGTCAGGAGAGTAGAGCAATTATTCACATGTTGAGTGGCGCATATAGACCTTCTAGCTTTCAGTTGAAAGTTTGTCTGTTGTCCCGCCAGTGGTGTCGAACAAGCCACCATCAGGACCATAGGGCGTTCGACAGCTTGTGTCGTGTCTGTCTCCCCTATTTATGCCGACATTTCCCATCCCCTCTCTATGCATGCTTTTCTACTTCATCTTCCAACTTAGGTTGGGCAAATTTGCAATTGAAATGTCAATTTCCTTACCAACAATTAGAAAATTCAGAATTCAATGCGGATTAGATACCACTATCCAAAAAAGCGAATATTTATCGCCCAAAAATTAAATTCGAGACAGCTACTTTTCTTTCTTGTCGAGCTATTTTCAGTTCGTTCGTTGTTGGCTTGCAGTGGTATGATCACTAACCATCTTCCGAATATGTAACCCTATTCCAATGTAACCCTATTCGTTGCGAATATCCCCAGGGCAGTCCCAGTCCACGATATTGAAGAGCTAAGTAGAATTTCGGGGTCTCGGGGCTAGTCTGGAGCCATATTTGTTGCGTGTGTGTAGGAATGTTTGTTACAACTTTGTCAGCGCGGGAAAGGCTTGATACTTAGAGATTTTCCTTAAAGTAGTATAGATCTTCTAGTTTTCAGTTGAAAGTTTGTCTGTTGTCCCGCCAGTGGTGACGAACAAGCCACCATCAGGGCCGTGGGGTGATGATGCGTTGTTCGACAGCTTGTGTCGTGTCTGTCCCGCCTATTCATGCCGACATTTCCCATCCCCTTCGTATGCATGCTTTTCTACTTCATCTTCCTCATAGAGTACCAGCGTGCTGTAGTACTGCTGCAGCACGTACCAGTAGCACACCAAGTGAGAAGACGAGTCTACAACTTAGGTTGGGCAAATTTGCAATTGAAATGTCAACTTCGTTACCAACAATTAGAAAATTCAGAATTCAATGCGGACTAGATACCACTATCCAAAAAAATGAATTTTTATCGCCCAAAAATTAAATGCAGCAACACTGTCTCTTTGTACACGACTGCGCCATGGTACTAACCTCCGCTAAGAATTACGAATCTTATATTCGCATCTTTGCAACAGCGGCCCGGACGATTGGGGACGAAGTTGCGTGTAGAAGCACGGAAGATGAGAGTCTTAAGGTAAAGGTAGTACTTAATAAGGAGATAATTGCCTAACACCGACTCAAGGATGACTACGAGATCTCCGCTTCATACACTGCTGGTAAGACGCCTTTTCTCTATACTTTCGTTAGGAGCTTGCCTTCATATTGATTTCTAACTCTCTAACTCTAACTCTAAGTTAAAAGAGAAGACGTCTCAATTTTTGAGCTTCCTTGCAGTTGATTTCTTTTTCTCATTCCGTGTTTCTAATCATGCAAGGAGAAGCGAGACCATGATCTACTACTTGAAGGAGTCCGCTCCTCCCTTGGATAGGGACCTCGACGTCGAGGGAACTGCTATCGAGTCTCCAAACACGGCCCTCCAAGCGCTTCGAACGTACGTGGATCTCATGGACCAGATAGTAAGGACTGAACTTGCTTGTCAGCGGCTTGGTAGTGGGTGAAAACTGATAACGACGGAACTTCCTACTTATTCTTGTCAGCGGCTTGGTGGTGGGTGAAACTCGTCAACCGCTTGCTACCATGGCGGTAGGTGGCGCTTGGTGGTAGGCGGCTGTCGCTATATGCAGTATATAATAGAAACGTCGTACCACGCATGTCACGAATCGGTCTTTGGGAATTCTTCATAAGGCCGTGAGAATTCTTCTTTATGATTTTCAAGAAACAGGGATCTTTCCTATTAAAGGCGCTTTTAGACCTCATGATAAATCTAATACTCGTTTACTTGTCGTAATAAACCCTGTCTTCTATATTGTAATTTCAAAAAAGTGCCATTGTATTGTCAATTGAGAAATGTCACGAGCAAGGATGTCGATGTGTGTCTATTCTCCCGTTGATACTCTGCATATTCTGAATATGAAAGGGCTTTCGCAAGTTGTTTTTATAAAGAAGAAAGGAGTTCGATTTTTGATGATGAAGTACCCACCCCGCGAAAGGATCCGCGAACGCCTAAACCCCTACTACTAAGTGTTTTCTCCCATTTCTAGAGAGGACAACGATCGCAAGGATCACTCCCCATCTTCTTGTCCTTGTAACAGAGACTCTTTTGAATAAATCGTGAATCGTGGGACGACACCGACAGCATCGGTTTCATTAACTTCTTCTCTTGATGGTCTGATGCATTGGTTTCATCTGATTGATCGGCTTCATCTGTGTATGATCGGTTTGTGACTCATCTGGGTATCAGTACTCGAAGTCAGTAGTTGTACATGATGCGAGATTAATAATCAATCAGAGTGTCAGTCGGTGATCCATCTGTTGCAGTCTCGTCGAAAAATTGAAGTATAATCCAGAACGAGTGAAGAAACTGGAAGTGCCTAACACGTCGCTCAGATACGAGAGACGAGCAACCGGCGCAAAGTGTTCGAAATCACCTCAAGGAAGTCGAGAAACCAGATGAAGCAGAATCTTTCTTCGTTCTTGAGTGAGTATCTGTCTGAGTGTTGCAACTGTTGTCCAGCAAAGAGATTTTCCTCCGCTTCGCCCCGCCCCAGAAAACGCCGAACTTCATACCCTGTACATTTAATTAAACTCGCCGTTACACACGACTCCTCATTTTCATAAGTCATCTCCCTTAGAGCTCGTCACTCGATCATCGATGATTTGATGCAATAAAGCTTAAAAACTCTATCCCTTCAGTGATGCGGTCTGTACATTGTTTTCCAAGCGGCAACTGCTGGACAGCATAAAGAGAACAGTGTCTCAAAAGTATGAATATCTTTGACCCTCCAACCAAAAATAATAGGGACGATCTTCGAAGTTCAAGTTACGAAGGATCTGATTCCGTAGGTGTAAAGCAAATAGACAGCACCGAGATATCTTCTGGCAGGACGGTATTCCCAGCGTAATTCACACTCATTGTGCTAGTTGTTCATCTTCTCGTTTTCTTTTCTCGTTGGTAAGGACTTATTTGGTTTGCATAACAAGCATAGCCAGGATGACAAGTCGGGGTGCACGGCCACCTCACATTGTCAAAGATGAGATTGCGGCGGCGACCGTGTTCCTGAGTAGAGCCGCGGAGGCGATTTGTACATTAATCTTTCTCTTTGTTATCCGTTTTTTATAACAATCTGATACAATGAAAATGAATACGATGTCGAATGACTGTACAATGAAGAAGATCATTCTTTGCAGAGAAACCATGTTCGTACTTGTTTCAATCCAATAATGTGGTCGGAAGATAATCTCTTCTCAAAATGTTTTCAGGGAAAAATAATAATATATCGACACTGTCGCTGCAAAGACTGAATGAAATATTCGACCCTCGAAAAGAATTCTTTCGGGCAACCGTCAAAAGCGCCGCCACTCGAGACCTCTGTAGGGCCACCTTGGACCAGCTAGCAAAAAAGGCCCACTCGATTGTAACCCTCGAGAACTTCAACAAAGCGCTCACGGAAGCCGCGGAGTACTCTTTGTGTTTCAAAAATCTTCATCCTTTTGCTTTTTGTTTTTCTTAGCTGCAGCAAACCTGAAAAACTTTTTTTCACCATCATGTTAGAAAAATGGAAAAGTAATACGAGATTAAGAAGATCAGCATAGGTAGATATGATAAAGGAGTCTATGCGTCATGGCATCAAAAACACCTCTCATCAGCATCAGCCGCACCAACAAGGCCGGGGCCGCGCCCAGCAGCAGCCTCCAGACCTATGCAGCGACGACGCCTGTGTCCACTTCTCGCGCGGCTCTGTCCACCATGCACTTCGAGGCCATGACCGTCATGCAGATTTCGACTATTGCGTTTGTTGCGGGCTTGGCTTTGGTTTGGTGCGTGCGCCGCCGCCACCGCGATCATCGTCGCCTGTCCGCAAATGATGCGCCGACTTTGCCGAAGTACGGGTCTACTGTGGATGACTGCACTAAGGAAGAATGCTAGATAAAGACTCCGACATCAAATACATAGTTGTATTGGAAACTTGAGCAAAAAGTATCTGAGTATACATAACAGTTTCTATATTTGATAGTAGTATTCTAGATACATACGGAGACGTAAACATAGTTTCGCTTTGTAGGTTTGTTACTAATGATTGAAAGGTCGTGCCGAGCCGAATGATCCAGAGCCAGATCTTCACTATTATCAAAGCCGTGGGCTATCGGCCTTCAACCTAGAACACTGACGAGTGGCATGAATTATAGTTACTACATCGATCATGAATGGGTCATGGAATGAAGTCTAGTCGTTCTGATCCGGAAAATCGCAGATAGTGTCCTTGACATGGATCATTCATTCTGGAAACAACCTCGAGAGTCATGGAAAAGGTGAAAACATGACGTCAGATTGAACTATTCACTATCATCATACTAAGTAGGTATTTAGATGATCACGATTATTGAAAATCTACTTTGTCACATAAAGTTAGTATTTATCAGGCACCTTCTAGTTCGGGAAGATCGTCTACTAGCGTGGCACTAGTAAAGTGCGGCTGAGGAGATTCACTTGCTTCGTTGATCTTCACGGCTACTCTATGTTTCTAGCCCATTTTATTCCATGTAGACAGAGGTAGAAGATGCCTGACAATACATACAAAATTCCGAGAAACAAAGTGAACAACATATGTATCTGTATCATGAACGCGCTACAGCATGTGTACCAAGTACGTACATTAGATGAAATAGAGAAAATTTCACCTCCACGACCGCATGAAATTCAAACACAAAAAATTTCTACTCTATTTGAGTAGGCTGTGAACAAGAACTGTTTGGGAAGTCTTGACAAGGCTTTTTCATTTGGAAATGCGATGGCTTGACTATGGATCTGCGAAGGTGAGTCCTCTGACAATGCAAACAAAATCAAAAAACGACAGTCGTCAGGAGAGTAGAGCAATTATTCACATGTTGAGTGGCGCATATAGACCTTCTAGCTTTCAGTTGAAAGTTTGTCTGTTGTCCCGCCAGTGGTGTCGAACAAGCCACCATCAGGACCATAGGGCGTTCGACAGCTTGTGTCGTGTCTGTCTCCCCTATTTATGCCGACATTTCCCATCCCCTCTCTATGCATGCTTTTCTACTTCATCTTCCAACTTAGGTTGGGCAAATTTGCAATTGAAATGTCAATTTCCTTACCAACAATTAGAAAATTCAGAATTCAATGCGGATTAGATACCACTATCCAAAAAAGCGAATATTTATCGCCCAAAAATTAAATTCGAGACAGCTACTTTTCTTTCTTGTCGAGCTATTTTCAGTTCGTTCGTTGTTGGCTTGCAGTGGTATGATCACTAACCATCTTCCGAATATGTAACCCTATTCCAATGTAACCCTATTCGTTGCGAATATCCCCAGGGCAGTCCCAGTCCACGATATTGAAGAGCTAAGTAGAATTTCGGGGTCTCGGGGCTAGTCTGGAGCCATATTTGTTGCGTGTGTGTAGGAATGTTTGTTACAACTTTGTCAGCGCGGGAAAGGCTTGATACTTAGAGATTTTCCTTAAAGTAGTATAGATCTTCTAGTTTTCAGTTGAAAGTTTGTCTGTTGTCCCGCCAGTGGTGACGAACAAGCCACCATCAGGGCCGTGGGGTGATGATGCGTTGTTCGACAGCTTGTGTCGTGTCTGTCCCGCCTATTCATGCCGACATTTCCCATCCCCTTCGTATGCATGCTTTTCTACTTCATCTTCCTCATAGAGTACCAGCGTGCTGTAGTACTGCTGCAGCACGTACCAGTAGCACACCAAGTGAGAAGACGAGTCTACAACTTAGGTTGGGCAAATTTGCAATTGAAATGTCAACTTCGTTACCAACAATTAGAAAATTCAGAATTCAATGCGGACTAGATACCACTATCCAAAAAAATGAATTTTTATCGCCCAAAAATTAAATTCATTGTCTGACGAGAGCTTTGCAAACCTTTGGTTTTTCAAAGAAAAACTTCGAGAGTGTGTTGACAGTGACCAGCATGCAGAGAATCTGAGTCACATGTTTACTGTGAAGAAACTGAGTGTCAGAATTGGAATGTAAATCCTTTTTAGAGCCTGAAAACACTAGGAATGCAACCTTTAGACAGAATTTAGAGGATTCTTAGGACTTTCTGTCTGAAACGTTGATGGAAAGAGACTTGGCTAAGGTCTTAGGAATGGTATCAGAGATAATATCATAATGCTTGTTCTTCATCAACTCGACTAGTCATGACACTACTAGCTGACTCGTCCTGCTTGTTGAGAGTTTTACATGTTTGTAGCATCTAAAACTTCGACGAGGAGTAAGTACTCTTCTAACGACGTTGCGCTATGCATTTACACATCCATCCACAACAACTAGAACCAGCTAGATTTTTCAGGCTGGTGCTGACTTGGGTCAGTTTCCACATCAATTCTCGACATGATGTGGCTCTATAGCTGTCGTATTGCAAGAAGTACCAGCATGGGACTATAACGAATAAGTATTTTTTTTACTTAAAAACCTGGACGATATGTCCATGTCGTAATAAATTGATCGTCCTCGTTTCACACAAGTTACGAGAGTAACCTGGCTTGCTAACTTCTCTCTTTTTTTACTTTTAGTCAACTCAACAATAGGTTATTGGGCCGGTGACGGTGAGAGACTCCTTCTAAGAGACTTTCAAGGCGTTGCTCGATGAGTTGTAAGTACTGGCATGTCGTGAATGAACTTGTATATAGTGTTGAATTCTAAGAGAAGATACTTTGAACACATTCTGTATCTGTCCATCGAGTTCTGTTGTGAGGGAAGTCGTATCTTGCTTGTGAGAGTCGCTTCTTGTTTTTGGACGTACTATGACGTCAGCTGTCGATATTTACAGTAAATGAACGGTCCAGTCGTGAATCTAAGATGAGAACGAGAGTGAGTACGAGAGTTTTTGATCTTTCTTCGTCCTTTTGCTTGCCTGTCTGCGCCCGCATGGGGTTTACGCATGGTGGGCTAGGTTGCTAGCCCGCCCATGATCCAGGGTTGGATGCTGTCTCACGTAGAGTTAGGTGGGGTGAACCGGAACCCTTGGCTCTGCTTAACGCGGTGGGCTACTTGAGGTGTGAGCACCCACTCCCTCCCGCGCTTTTCCACCAGATAATCCTGGAGGGTGGTGGAATGCCACGGGCTGAAGCATCTTTTGGGTGGCCTTAGATAGTTAACCTCGATATCTAAGTATGCAAACTAATATGCGCGTGCTCGGCTTTCTTGCTTCAGTCCGTTCTCTGCACGAGAGATGAGCGTGAGAGCAGCGTCGTGCTTTTACTCTATGCTAGCTAACGTTCTCCTCGTGCTCGAAGATCAAGCTAGTCGGCTGTTGTATCGTGTCGTCCCTACAAAAAAAAATAGTTAGAAAGGAAGAACGTGGTCACTTCTCAACGCCAAGGTCTGAAACGGAGAACTACTATAAGAAGTGGCGAACATCGCTCCACTCTTCTGCATCGCCGGCTGAAAAAATGTATCCCCAGCATCAGAAACAGAATGAATGCACAGCATAAAAAGACTGACCATAGAATGAAACTTGATGTTGTGCAAGAAATTATTGATGAGAAGTTCTTATAGTAGCTCTCCGTTTCCGAACACTTATTTTTTTGAAATAGAATGAAAGGAAGAACGTGGGCACTTCTCAACGCCAGTGTCTCTTACTCTTTCAACATGAAAAATAAGCCATTGACGCATGGAAGTGAATTCATCAAAAAACACAAACAATGTAATAGGAAAAAGAAAAAATATTAAACATAAACTCCTGTTAAAGAAGTATCCCTTCGGTAGAAGAAAAGAGTATTAATATCACGACAAAAGGTCATCAAGTAGAAGATCACACATACTAGTTCTACTCACTTACTCACTTGACTCGGACGGTCCTCTGACTACATTCAGAAGAAGGAGTTCTAAGTTCTTGCGTAAGTGAACGACCAATCAACGACGAAAGATGGGCGCATACATGTCGAAGCAGACCCTGACTGGGGTCATTTTCGCGGCCGGTCTCTCCTCGCCAGCCGTCGATCTCGTCTCTGGATACCAAGTGCCTACCAATGCGTTCACTGGTAAGACTTATAAAAACTAGTAACGCAAGAATGCACCAGTAGCTCTACCTCTATCTATTAGAAATTTTGTCTTTATGAATCTTGCGCACCATGTTGCCGAATTGATTCAACAAGTCACCACCTTGTGCGATATGAACATGTGCAAGCATGTCTTCACATTGGCGTCCTGTTCATCTACATCAACTCTATCAATGAACCAGATGACGAGTCGCGTCCGTGTCCTTGCGAGCCGGAGCAAAACCCGCGCCTCCGTGGATCCCTGTCCTTCGTCCAGCTTGGTTGTGAATCTTTTAAGGCTCTACGTCTTGTTTCTGCTGTAGCAAGCAACGATGTAACAACGAACTGGATCATGTAGCACCAGACTAGTGTAACCTAGGTAGACCGAACACTAGACTAGTCTTGTGTTTTGTAAGGATTGAGACGAAACAAGAACTACAACAACGAACAGGATGTAGAACTACAACTACGACTCATGCCGGAGTTTGTATCCTGTAAATATTTGGTTTTGACTTCAGGGAGGTCAACATGATCGTGATCATATCAACAACAACGATCCACCGTCTTGGGTGGATCTTTATTATTTTGCTTTTGATGGTGTCTTAAAGATGAAGAATAGTGCTTGCTTCTAGTGATGTAGTACTAGAGCACCTCTTTCTAACCCATGCGGTGGAGGAGATAACAAGAAAGAGGCGTCTGGCTCTGGAAAGGCGAACAAGTGTTCGGATGTCGCTGCAGGAGCCGGATTTGCCGATGAGGCAGCAGCTAAGAATGTCTGCAGCAACAGCAATGGCAAGGCATACGATGCCACGAAAGAACTCAGCTTATGGAGAAAAAATCTTGAAGATTGTTCTTGTAGGTATCTTTTACTTGGTGTTATCTTAATCTTGAGGCTGACAGCGCGACATTTCCACTTCCTTGGTAGTAAGTTCTCCTAGGTCTTCACAAAGAGTGTGTTTATGGCTGTGGCACTGTGGTTCTGCTTCTGTGGATCTTGATATCATCACTTACTTGGAGAAGAACAATGAGAATGAAGATGAATTTGAATGTTCCTTATATATTCTTCTACTACTACTGCTAAGACTTCTAAACAAATTATTGCTCTGTAGTTGTTGTGCCTAGTCCTATCTTGTCTCGAGTGTGTTGATGTCATGCAATACTATCCTCGATAGAGTTGTGATGAAACTTCTTTTGTCGAAAATCACAAACCATCTCTAACGAAAGATGACCTGAAAAAGGCCTTAAAGGACGCAGGTGACAACAAGAAAGCGAAATTCGTGGAACTCTGCTGCAAGGACGAGGCTGCTACTGCTGCAGCGCCTGCTGCCGCTGGTGGAGCTGGTGCGGCTGCTGGAGCTGCTGCTGCATCTGGTACTGGATCTGGTACTGGATCTGGTACTGGATCTGGTACTGGACAGACGTCGACGACGGATGGTGGAGCTTCGAAGGAGACGAACAAAGGGGATGCTTCGAAGCAGACGGAACAGGAAGGGAAGGTGAAGGATGGAGCTTCGCAGGAGACGAAAGAGGGTGCTGAAGCTCCGAAGGAGACGGAAGGCGGTGCTGGAGCTCCGAAGTAGTCATAGTACTAGAGAATAGAGATGAATAGAAAGGGAAGATGAGCTAACATTTGATTTTGGTTCTTTTACACCAAGAGAACCGGCAAAAACAGAATCTTCTTGTCATAGTATGTCCATGATGTCCTTCTAAACCTGCTATTAACCTTTCTTGACGATGACACCGTAAAATTTTTACGTACAACTAGCAATATTGATTTCGACTACCCAGTATGACTATGATCCTCCAAAAAATATGTTGAGAAGAGACGAAAACATCACTCATACACAAGCAGTTTACTCATCGATCTAAAACTAGGAACTAATGAGTTGCATCGCCCATTGTTCCCATGTCCCTCGTCTGACAGAAGAAGCATTCTTGAACAGTGTCTGTTTCCAGGGAAGGACAATGCCGATGCCAGGAACCTCAAACTCCTTCCTCTTCCGGCAACATATTGTATGAAAGTAGACGTAAATCATGTTATTGTTAATGTACGTACTAGGTTTAAGAGGAGGTACTGGAGACACCATTATATGAACAGCTATGCAATTATTGCATTTGAGATAGAAAAAGAGTTACTATCTATCTTCCCAAGAAGTTGTTCTGAACTCTTCTCAGAACTTAGATATTTCGACCCTGCCCACTTAACAAATGACAATCCACGCGACACACCCGAAACGAATCCCAATACTCCCAAGCGGGACCAAACGAGAACCGACGGGGGCGAACAACGTTGGCGACAGCGCGCATAGCTCAGGGGTGCCACACACGCGACACACAAAGCCGCCGCACACCACCCCAGAGGAACAAGCTCCACCCACGCGACACCCGAGGGCTTTCGAAGCCCGCCGCAAAAGGCTGGCCACGCGCTTCAAAGCGAAAGCCGCCCGCGGATCGACAGAGAAACGCGACGCCGGGGGGAATCGCAAAAGAAGGGAGCGTGGCGCGAAGCTCTTGCTGCCTGACAGCTGCCCCCGCGCCTACCTCTGGCGGGTGTGAGGTACTGCGGGAGAACACAGAGAAACGGAAGACGCAGCAGGATGCGCCCAGCCTGAGGGACCGGCTGCAGCTTTGTGGCACTCCTACCAGGACGCTGCGCGGCTACGCGCGCGCGGCTCCTTACCGGGTCTGGGCACGCATAACACAGGCCACGGGGGCGCTGCGCTGGCAGTGGAGTGGGGGGAGCAGCCTACAAGAAGAGCCAAGGCCAGGCCCGCCCCCTCTTTTCTGGGCCCCTTCTGCTACCGCGGCTTCAGTTTTACCCGGGACCATGTTGGCCTCTGTACTTCCAGGCCAGAAAAACACGGGACCCCGCCGGAAAATACGGCCCCGGGATAGTTGTGGAAGGCGTCAAGACTGGGCGCGGGTGTCCCCTTGCGCCTTTCTGATTGTTCTCCAGTGGCCTCTTGCCCTCGGCTGACCCTCGGAGGCTGGAGGCCTCCGGGGCAAAAGGCCGCCGAAGGCGGCCATGGTCTCAAGAGCAAGCAAGCTGACGACCAAGGGCCTGGAATGTACAGGCTGCACGGCTCAGGGGGTCCAGCCCCTCGCCTTTTGCCGCCTACCTTCGGAGGCTTTCCACAGCCGGCGCGCTGCTGCGGCGGTGAGGCATATCGGAGGCATATAGGGCACGCCCAGGCTGCTGGAAGGGAGCGGAGACGGCCTCTTGGGCCTCTTTTGAAGCCTCCCCCTGCGTCGGAGGTCTGTAAGTAGGGCGGTACAGCCAGGCAGCTGGAAGGGAGCGGAGGAGGCCCCCGGGGGCCCCTTTTGAGGTCTTTCACCCCCGGCTCACGCCTTCAAAAGGGGTCGGGGGCTGCACGGTGCCCCCCCTGCGCCCTGCGCCTTGGATCATATATAACACAGGGGGCTTAGGTTTTCTGGTCCATCCATTTCTTCTGCTAGCTCAACAAAACGGTTGAAATATCATCTCAGTCGGAATATCAGCTTCATCTTCTTAGCAATGTATTACAACTATACTGAACTCTATCTACGACGTCGCCTTTCATCTGGAACAGCAACGACAAAAAAACGCATACTTTATTAGGATCTTCGAACAAGAAGCGCCATCGTCATGGCTGATAGATCATTCTTCAACTGTTAATTGTACAAATTATTCTTGATGAAAGCACGGCGACGCAGATGAACTAGTACGCTCAGCATACATCTCCAAGAAGAACGGATTGAAATCCGCGCTCGCAATCGCATCAAATATACAGATCACTTCAGCGTTCAGCATGATATTGAAAATTACATCGGAAAACAGGAAAATGATCTCGACCACTACAAGAACGAACAACTAGTACTATGGGTGTGATTGAAAACAAGTACTCACGCAGCATCCGACTGGGGTTGTTGACACTCGTCTCTCGCATGTTGTAGCCCTAGTACAACAAGTGATGTCTAAGACGAGTAGACTACTCGTAGTAGTTGTGAACAAGAATAACTCCCGGGCTGTGGAGCAGCGAAGTCGTAATATGGCAACAGCTGCTATGCTGTCTGAAGCTCTTACTTTCTTAGAAAACTCAGCAGAAATCGTCTTTCGACGTCGTTTTTTGCTGTGATTCGATTTTCTTGAATGTCCATTGAAGAGATTGTGAGCGCCTCCTTGTGATTGTCTCCTTATGTCGTGAGATGCAGATATGATCAATGACGAGGGTAGAGAGTAAAAATGAATTTTACTATTATATGGGACGACGACGAGGATGGTCGTGATTCTTGATCTCAGGGCCCTGGTCGTCGTTGACGAAGAACATTTAGAGTCGAACAGTACTAGAGATTGTGCTCGTTTCTTCTAATATAGGCATAGACACTTCTCTACTTGAAGGCTTTCGCTTTTCTCTAAATTGGAGTCCGCTTATAATCGATGAATACGAAGCGTACATGATCCAAAAAAAGGGAGAACAAACTAAGCAAAGTGGAGCATCCCTGCCCTCCTGCCCTCCTGGTAGGATTATAGGAAAAACAAGTATTATTTTCAAGTAGAGCTAACATCAAATAAAAAGAACATCAAAAAACAACGAACTAGAAGTAGAACTATCTATGTATAATGATATCAACACCACAGAAGATTCTCTCTTACTCGTCTCAGCATTCACAAGCAGTGGCCGACTCTTCGCAAGTAGTACACATCAGGCATCGACACTCTTCAGAACATAAAAACTCATCTCGTCGTACTTCAGACATCAACACCTGTGCCTCAGTGTCTGCTCGTCTTGTACTTCGAAGAGGTATTCGTGTGTACATAATTGTATCTTGGCCTGAAGATGATCACGAGTGTTGATTTGATGAGGAGCACGAGTACGAGAGTACGAGTACGAGAGTTCGGGGAACGATTATAGATAAAAAGATAAATGGTTGGTGCGTGCGCCGTACTGGTGCTAGTGCAGTGAGTTTTTACTTGTGAGAAGAGGTCGGCCCTCTGTCAACAATCATCACAATCGTTGTCGGGAATTCGAGCTTCGAATCGAGGAGTCGGCTGTTGTTGTATCGTCCCTAGATGATGAAATAGAAAGGAAGAACGTGATCACTTTTCAGCACCAGTGTCTCTTACTCTTTCAACATGAAAAATAAGCTATTGACGCATGGAAGTGAATTCATCAAAAAAACAAACAATGTAATAGGAAAAAGAAAAAATAGTGAACGTCTACTGTTGTTAAAGAAGTATCCCTTCGGTAGAAGAAAAGAGTATTATCACGACAAAAGGTCATCAAGTAGAAGATCACACATACTAGTTCTACTCACTTACTCACTTGACTCGGACGGTCCTCTGACTACATTCAGAAGAAGGAGTTGTAAGTTCTTGCGTAAGTGAACGACCAATCAACGACGAAAGATGGGCGCATACATGTCGAAGCAGACCCTGACTGGGGTCATTTTCGCGGCCGGTCTCTCCTCGCCAGCCTTCGATCTCGTCTCTGGATACCAAGTGCCTACCAATGCGTTCACCGGTAAGACTTCTAAAAACTAGTAACGCAAGAATGCACCAGTAGCAGTATCTATCAATTTTTTCTTTATGAATCTTGGGCAACATGTTGCCGAATTGATTCAACAAGTCACCACCTTGTGCGATATGAACATGTGCAAGCATGTCTTCACATTGGCGTCCTGTTCATCTACATCAACTCTAGCACCACCTCTCCGGCGCCTGAGCCTGTTGACGTAAAATATAATAGAACATGTCGCCTCGTCCTGTTCATCTACAGCTCCCCTGTACTTACCTCGTGCACCTATATGAAGATGTTAGATGCACATGTCGCGTCTTCTTGTTCCCTACTTACCCCGTACATCAATATCATGGACTTCATGTCACAACTTCTTCTTGTTCATCTACATCAACTCTATCAATGAACCAGATGACGAGTCGCGTCCGTGTCCTTGCGAGCCGGATCAAAACCCGCGCCTCCGTGGATCCCTGTCCTTCGTCCAGCTTGGTTGTGATTCTTCTAAGGCTCTATGTCTTGTTTCTGCTGTAGCAAGCAACTAGATGTTATGGAGAGAAAAACTGTACTCATTCTCAAAAACGAGACTAAAAAAATTTTTTTATGTTGAGAATTCACCGCTTGGCTGGCAAGCCACAACGAGGGCCGAGCGCCGTAATTATAGCAAGGGCACAGACGTGGCGCGCGAACCCCAAAGAAAAGCCAGCTAAAACCACCAAAAGCGGCACAAACCAGCCCAAGAATCGGACGCCAGGGAGCCGCCGTGTGCACTCTGGCGCCAAGGAAGCGGCACGCGGCTCCTGGGAGCAATCCACCAAAGCAGCGCAAAATAAGCACCCACACCCGGCGAAACGGGGGCAAGAGTGGGCGCCGCGCTGCGGACCGTGAAAGCACTCAACCAGAGAGCCAGCAGCCGCCGCCGCCTGTCAGCTCTCGGAGCCTTTCAGCAGATTCGCCCAAGAGCTGCGCCAAGGGTATCGGGCCCGACTGGAGCACACACCAGGTGGCGGATTCTAGTGCTGGAGAGGCTCGAGGGGTGAATTAAATTGCATCTTTTTCTCAACGTCCGCGTCTCAGGTGTGTCCGACCCTCAAAATTCAAAGGTTGAGAAAAAGATGCATTTTAATTCGTACATAGTCGGAATCCAGTGGGAAAAGGCTCGCGAAGCTTGTCCAGATTTGCACGCGCTGGAGCCTTCCCAAATCTGGACCGCTCTCGGGAGCTTCCTCGCACTAGATTCCTGCTATCTTTGAATTAAAATGGGCAATCTTCTCAACGTCTGGATCTGAGGGGTTGACTCACACCCCAGACGCATGCGTTGAGAAAAGTATGCAATTTAATTCAAACCTCTTGAGAAGGTACAACAACACACGCGCACCAAGTCCCCAAGATGGTCGCGCAGCGTCACCGCTGTGCGCCGCCCTCGGAGAGGTGCTGTCTGCGTGGCTCTTGGCTACTCCATGAGTGGGCCTTGTTTCTCTTGGCATAGCATCGCTACGAGCTGTCGGCGTGTGCCTCGTCACCAGCGACGCACATGAGCACCGGCACCCGCCGCGCGTGTGTGCGGGAGACTCCCTAAGGCAGCAAGGTGATGGCGTGGCGCCAGAGCCGCAGGAAGAGAGCGCCTGGCGCCCTTGTTCCTGGGCTGGCTTGTGTCGGTTTGGGTGGCTTTGTTTGACCTCTCTCCTGGGTTTCCCGTGCCACGCCTGTCCCCTCGCAGTATGGATTGCGTCCGGCGCCGGTTGTGAGTGGCCAGCCAAGCGGCGAAATCTCAACACGCGAAAAATTTTTGAGTCTCGTTTCCGAGAATGAGTACAGATTTTTCTTCCATAGATGTAACAACTGGATCTTTATGTAGCACCAGACTAGTGTAACCTAGGTAGACCGAACACTAGACTAGTCTTGTGTTTTGTAAGGATAGAGACGAAACAAGAACTACAACAACGAACTGGATGTAGAACTACAACTACGACTCATGCCGGAGTGTGTATCCTAAGTATTTGGCTTTGACTTGAGCTTGAGGGAGGTCGACATGATCGTGATCATATCAACAACAACGGTCCACCGTCTTGGGTGGATCTCTATTATTTTGCTTTTGATGGTGTCTTAAAGATGAAGAATAGTGCTTGCTTCTAGTGATGTAGTACTAGAGCACCTCTTTCTAACCCATGCGGTGGAGGAGATAAGGAGAAAGAGGCGTCTGGCTCTGGAAAGGCGAACAAGTGTTCGGATGTCGCTGCAGGAGCCGGATTTGCCGATGAGGCAGCAGCTAAGAAAGTCTGCAGCGACAGCAATGACAAGACATACGATGCCACGAAAGAACTCAGCTTATGGAGAAAAAATCTTGATTGTTCTGTGGATCTTGTTGTAGGTATCTTCATCTTAAGGTTGACAGCACGTGCACGGTCTTTCCTTGGTAATAAGTTCTCCTAGGTCTTTACAAAAATGGGTAGGGTTATGGCTATGGCACTTTGGTTCTGTGGATCTTGATGTCGTCACTTACTTTGAGAAGGACAATGAAGACGAATTCGAATGTTGCTTGTTCTTCTACTACTGCTAAGACTCTTCTAAACAAATTATTGCTCTGTAGTTGTTGTGCCTAGTCCTATCTTGTCTCGAGTGTGTTGATGTCATGTACTGCTATCCTCGATAGTATTGTGATGAAACTTTTTTTGTCGAAAATCTATCACAACAATCTCTAACGAAGGATGATATGAAAAAGGCCTTGACGGACGCGGGTGACAACAAGAAATCGAAATTCGTGGAACTCTGCTGCAAGGACGCGCCTGCTGGTGGAGCTGCAGCGCCTGCTGCCGCTGCTGGAGCTGCTGCCGCTGATGGTCCTAAGCCTGACGAGATCATTGGTCAGCAAGATCCTGAGCTGCCTGATCAAGTTGGGGAGACGGCTGGTGAAGCGGCTCCGCCAAAGGAGGACGAGGATCCAAAGGTTGGTAAAACAGGTCCTAGTAAGACGGGTGATGAAGCGGCGCAGCCTGAGAAGGACATGGAGACGAAGGGTGCTGCAAAGACGAAAGGTGTAAAAGGAAAAGGTGCATAGGATCCTGCAAAGACGAAAGAAGGGGAGAAGAAGTGATACTACTAGTGCTAGAGAAAGAGAACAATAGAGATGAATAGAAAGGGAAGATGAACTAAGATTTTGGTTCTTTTAGACCAAGAGAACCGGGAAAAAACAGAATCTTCTCAGAATCTTCTAGAAATTGATGAAGTCTTGTAATCGGTTACGATTAGATCAGGAGCACTAGAACGAATGCATGAAGAACAATCATAAAAAATGTTTTGTCATAGTATGCCCATGATGTCCTAAACCTGCTATTGACCTTCCTTGACGATGACGACACCGTAAAATCTTTACGTACAACTACTTGATTTCGACTACCCAGTATGACCATGAATACGATCCTCCAAAAAGTATGTTGAGAAGAGACGAAAACATCACTTTCACTCATACACAAGTAGTTTACTCATCGATCTAAAACTAGTAGGAACTAATGAGTTGCATCGCCCATTGCTCCCATGTCCCTCGTCTGACAGAAGAAGCATTCTTGAACAGTGTCTGTTTCCAGGGAAGGACAATGCCGATGGCAGGAACCTCAAACTCCTTCCTCTTCCTCCAACATATAAAGTATGAAAGTAGACGTAAATCGTGTCATTTTTAATGTACGTACTAGGTTTAATAGGAGGTACTGGAGATACCATTATGAACAGCTATGCGATTGCAATTAAGATACAAAATGAATTACAATAACTATGTTCCCAAGAACTCTTCTCAGAACTTAAATATTACGACCCTGCTCACTTAACAAAAGGAGTATTATTGTTATTAGGAGAATTAACAAATGGAGTACTAGTAGATGTCAAACATTTACTCCTCACAAGATTCTTCTCCTCTTAGCGCCAAACAGGACTAAAGTTGTCATCTTCTCAACATCACCTTCATTATCTTAACACCGTAATTAACTGCGGTACATAGTTATTACTTGTTGGAGTACTAACCATTTCTACTATGCATTATATGCTGATGAACTTCCACAACGTATTCCATCTAGAACAACGTAAGACAATCTTCAACACGCAACGCGACTAGTCACCTCCTGATCATTATAATCATTATGTAACAAACTGGGATAGAAACTATGAAAACAAAAATTACAGCTCAAGAAAATGAACGTTCATACAAGAACGTAATCTACACTCACACTCATAAATAACATGAATTCAATAGGGAATTTGACGATTCTTACATTCAAAATGCCTTTGACTACAAGACCGACGACTATTATGGTTGTGCTTGAGAAACGATGGATCTAATGGGTGTGCTAAGGAGAAGTCTTCCTGCATCCCCATCAGGCTGTTGACTCTCATGTTGCATGTAACCTTATTCTAAGTCGACGTGGTCTCTGTCATTCTTTCGCTTTCTACTTGTAGAGAGCAAAAGCATTAGAAACATGACATCAACTTCAACATGAAGATCAACTTGTTTCTTCTTGCAGCTCGCTGCAAGAAAAAATCATGCAAAATAAAAAAATAAGTGCCGATAAAATGATGCGTCGTCGACGTGTCATCGCATTCCAGAAGGAGGAAAGCACAGGGCCTTGGGACCCTCAAGCATCACGTGTGTGTGAGTGAGTGTGTGCGTGTGTGAGGGCTATGAGAATTTGTGATCCTATTTGCATTTTGTGGTCCTTTTGAGTGATTAGATTTCAAAAATGAACTCTTGTTCTGTTCCTCTTCAACTCTGTCTACCTATGCCTCCGTCCAGAAGTGAGTGAAGCTAGTACTTCACACAACTCTGAGTGTGAAGAATCTGTTATGAGAAAAAATCAACTCTGTTTCAAAAGAGGGACTGAGGATAGGAGGACAATATTTATATTGCCTTCTAATTCTGTTCCTGTATCACTTCGGTCTTTTTATCTCCCGGTGTACATTTACTTGTGCTGTGATTGTTTGTTGACATAGTGTACAAGAACTCTGTGTCTGTACAAAATTCTTAGTTCTACGCATTGTATTATTATCAAACTCGTGGATAAGGATATCGCCAGAGCATTCCTCTAGAGTTGTACCTATCTACTGCTCATCCCATGGTCGTTCATGGTTGTAGCATTTTTCCTATGGTAATGACTTCTCAAGAATAAGTAGGTAGAATCATCATCATCATCATCTATGTTTTTTAGACTTCTACCTTACCTCGACATCACTCAGTCTCAGCCAACAAGACCACGACGGATATAACAAACACTTCTGTGTGCGATACATTTGAGAAATGTCTTTAGTACAGCTGTCCTGTGCCTCATCAGCATCGTGAAGTGTGGAAGTCTGTTGCTGTTCTGTGAATCAACATGTCCTGAGACGAAGAGAGAGCACAAGTTCTTGAGCTACAACTGCCAGAGCGACTGTTGGAATGAAAAGTGAAGGTTGTTGTCGCACCCCACCAGTGCCGTAGTCATCCTAGGAATGGCCAACATTGGTACATACACAATCATTATTATGGCTGTTACCATCTCGACTCTGTGTGTTGCTTTGCAGAGTCCTAAAAATGCTGACCTTTTTTTCCATCTCCTAATCTGATGAAGAGCATGTTGACCACTTCTAAGCTTTTGATTTCCTTCCCCTTTCTTCAGCTCTTACCTTTGAACGCATGTTGGTAACACTAGACTTGCTTCGAAATTATTCAAATTCCGTACTCCTCCTGTAGTTCTGGTTGTGACCTTGTTACCGACTTACTAATACTACTTCTACTTGCACCCACTACCTTCGCCTACTCCTGAAAAAAGATGACAATCTTTGACGAGATGAGTGCATTTCACACTAGCTGTGTGGCTAGCATGCCTCCATGCGACGCTAGGGCACGCTTTTCCTTGCACGAAGACAAGATGCTCACGACATCATGGACCAACGTCTTAGACTTCATACTCAATCAAGTGGCAGTAGAGGGAGCGGCGAACGAACTGAGGGATACGTTTGATACGATGAGCACAGTTATGCTTATTATAAGGTTGATATGTGCATGCGCTAGTTGTTGAACATCTCCACATAGGTTGGCTAGTTAGATATGCTCCACCAACCTTATTATAAGGTTGGCTAGTTGTTGAACATCTCCACATTCGCTAGAGTTGTAGTAAAAGTAAGAGACCACGATGAGGTTGCTAGCATTAGTGTATGCTTCCGCTATTTGGTAACCTGAATTTGATCATAAGGGAGAACAAGAAGAGAACCCTTGTGATCAAATTCAGGCTGCCAAATACCGGAAGCGTTGTTCAATTATAGGTGGAACAACCGTAAAAACATCGAGGACCGTCAGAGGTAGAGCGAAGCAAGGCAAATGCAAATAGTGAATGTGAAGGCTATCTACAACTTTATTCCTTCAAGAATGAATCCGAGTCTTGATCTATCCCATACGTTTGACCCTTTTTTGAATTCTAAATCTCCTAGTACGACAACGGCGAGCGCATCTGCGACGACAACTGGTCAAATCGCCCAGCAGCCCATCACAGGTGGAGACGTAGACCCGGTTGCTACCTTTTTGCCAACCGGTCGATTTGTCGCTGTGTCCTTGCATCACCTGACAAAGAACGTCAACAGTCGGTCATGCCAGTATTTGGTCAATACAAAGAAAGAGAAAGTCTCCAAAGTATGCGCCAAGCTGTGTCGCTTGTATTTGCCTAGACTGGTGAGATCAGGAGGAGCTGTGTTTATGGAACTCGACGCAACAAAAACAGTGCAATGAATAGAGGTAGAAGTAGTAGAAGGAGTGCTTAGGGTTAGGCTTCTTCGCATTAGCTCTACTAGTAGGTGAACAACAACAAAAACACAGGAGGACGAAAGACCGTATTGTCATCGTGGTAGCTCTACTAGTAGGTCTGAACAAAAGCACAGGATGAAACAGCACCGTATAAATATTCATTCTTGTGGTACTTCTTCTTCCTCTGTTGTTGAGTGGAGGTGTGATAAACTCAAATCAAACCCTTCTAGTTCTACCGGCACCAGCTCCAGCACGTCGAAGAGCAGGGAAACAGCGCCGTATAAATATTCATTCTTTTGGTACTTCTTCTTCCTCTGTTGTTGAGTGTTCTAATTTTTCCAGTACCAGTAGAGGAGAACAAGCAGGAGACTCGTTTTTACTAGAGACGGTAGAGAAGGCGATGGAAGTGCTGGCGCGGGTCGACATGGAAGGACTCGAGCTCTTGTGTAGCGATAAAGACGGCAATAATCCGGTTTTTAGTGGGGAGTATACTTATGAAGATTGGGAGGTGAAAAGTTTCATCAACACAATAATTGTTCGTTTGCATTTTTTAGAAGCATGACGAGAGGATTATAATAAATACAATTCTCTCTCTTTCTCTAACGGTCCCAAACCCTAGCAATGTACGCGGTGAACAACATGCTGAAGCGGAGTGCGGGGACGAGTGACGCGACCTCATCGGCTATGCAGGTCGTTGCCTGGAAAACGAGATTGAACTTTGCTAAGACGGCCGCTGAAATCCTGACAAACAGAGGGCAAATGGCCATTAACAACAACGTGAGCGAAGATTTGAAGTTGGCGTGTGTCCTTTTGATAGGAACACTGTTGCAGATCAACAAATATCCAGATGCGGACAAGCAGGTGTGTGCGCAGTTTGTGCCAATCCTAGTAGCGATATTGCGGAACACCAGTAGCCGAAAAATATTCGTCGAAGCAGCGTGGGCATTGTAGCAAAACTTTTAGTACTAGTTCTGGTTCTAGTTTTTAGAACTTCGAAAAACGATAATCAGTTTCTGAACACGGCTTGATGTTTCGTGAAGTTTTGTAACCCCTACGCACTCAGCTCTTCTTGCATCAAGTACGAGATGAAGTCCTAGTAAGATATACCATTGCTACTCGGTCTCGGTGGGTCAACGTCGATCATGCATTTCTTATAATGCGTGCTTCATAAGATGATCTCAATGACGAGTCGAAACAAGCGTATGATCATCGTCCACCACATCTCTTCTACAGGAGCAAAATAACCTCTGGCAACCAGTGTGCATGCGACCAACTGGAACCTAGTTTCCTGCTTAGCGCACTTGAGTCCTGCGCAACCAATCAGAAACAAGCGATAAGACCTCTGGCACTGTTAATCCGCAGAGTTGCAGGGATTCCTGGTTTGGCAGAGTTGCTTCAGCGGATCATGATTCAGGCAAGTGAAGCTGCTGGAGTTGAGGAGCATGGCGGAAGCATGATGTCCGGAGGAAGTTCTGTTATGTCCGGAGGACGTTCTGTTAAGTCTGATACAACGAGGTTCATGTGATTTGATGTCGTGTAGAAGAAGAAACTCAAGAAAGAAAAGTAGAAGATACAAAGGAAGCATGATTCAACAATCCGAATGTGATTGTGAAGTAGATGCTGAGCTTCGTGTTTTCATAATTTTTACACCTGCTTGCGCCTAAGGAACCTTCTACTTCTAGTTACTAGCTGCACCAACATCATCGTCCCTAGCCTGGTCGTCTAATCTTCGTTCTCGCAATGTGGACGGACAACACGGCTCCACCATGGCGACATCAGCGCAGCAAGCTGCACATTTGAACGCCAGGACAGAGTTCATCCTTCACTTGTGTTGGGTAGTCAGTGAGGACAGCGAAGACGAGCAACTCTGGAGTGTCAAGGGCGCTGACAATGCCCAAGCAATCGTGCGAATACTAAACGCTTTAGTCGACGTCGTCAGACACTTCAGCACTAAGCCGTCGGCTGCTAGCTCGCCTGGTGGTGGAGGTGGTGCATCAGCAGCACAATCACAAGGAATTATAGGAGACCTCATGGTTGGAATAGGCCAAGACAGTTCATCAGGTAGTAATGCCAGTGGTAGTTTTCACCATGGTATCACCCCTGGCCACCATCACCATCATCAGGGCAGCTCAGGTGGCGAGGAAATGGTGGTCGAAGCCGGTGTACGAGCGATTGGGCGATTAGGCGAATTGAAATTTGAGCCTAAAATTTTAGGTGTTTTGCGGTCTGCCATTGCAAATTCGCCATCCAATATGCAGTCTGTTCGCATAGCAGCTCTGGAATCGTTGTCGTCTTTGTTGCTGAAGCAAAGCGACTTACTATACGTCAGACAGCAAGTAAGCGGTATAGGAAGTGCGTCAGATGTTTTGGGGGAGTTAGAGGCAGTGCATAGCGTAGTTTTGTCGCAGTTAGACGGGATGTCATCGCGAATGCAAGTGGGAGCAGGTCAACAAAGACATGGGGGTGGAATAAGCAATGTTATGGTCGTTAATCCCAAAACCGAAAAGCTCCTTCTGTAACCAACAACCTAAAAACCTGGGATTGGGATACTTCAGGTGTTATAAATGATCAACGTAAAAAACGTTGACATCAATTTCTTGCACAACATCAAGTTTCATTCTATGGACAGTTTCTTTATGCTGTACATTCATTCTGAGTTTCTGTTTCTAATAGCAGCGCCAGTGCCAGCCTCGCGTCGCGGAATCCTGGATCCTCAGGAAGCTCTTCATCCCGGACTTTACTCAGCTCCGGATCTGCGAGGGAAGAATTAGGTTTGCTATTGCGTCTTAGAGTCATACTCGCGCCATTGAGGATACAACAAGCCTCGATCAGAAGTAACGAGAGCTTTGAAATCGAGCTGCAAAGGCAATATTTTGAGGCTTTTCAGCGGGTCATAGATACGCTGTTCCAACTAGACGTGGGTGAGGGCAATGCTATGGCTCCCGGGCCAGCGAAGATAGGAGAAGGAACGCTTTTGTCTTACTCCACGATGATCTTCAATTTCACTAGCGGTAAAATGAATCCAAGTACTAGTGCTGGGTCTTCCTCTCTATCTCTGCGGTGGTGGGAAACCAATCCGAACGCTAGTGAACAACAGCAGGTGTCTCTAGCTCCTGCGCCAGGGAGTGGAAATACGGCTCCACACGTTGTCGACCGAGCAATAGTGGAGAGAATGGCACAGTATTTGTTAGAACAGACTGCTTCAGGAGGAGGTAGCGGCTCCTCATTCGGTGGAGGAGGTAGTAGCGCACCTGGAGGACATCAGCAATCGTCACAATCAGGGCCGCAAGATATCCCCCTCATCTTCTCAGCCTCGGGTGTGGGTCGTGGCTCCTCAACATCCTCAGCCTCAGGTGCTTCGTCCTCTTCCCAACAAGACCCCATAGCCGCACAGAGACAGCAACTGCGGGAACGCTTCCCACCACTGTGCATTTGCTTTGCTGCCCTCTTCTCAGATGAACTGTTCAGCGTAGACGACATCCCGAAAGAGGCCTTTGACCTCCTGTGTTTGGTGTTGTGTAGGTGCTTGCGGCAAGTATTGCTGTTCTCCTTCTCAGGAGGAGGTGGAAGTGGAACTTCCTCAAGTAGCTCGGCAGCATTAGTTGCTGGGTCAACATCAGCGGCTACTAGTGCAGGTGGGATATCTTCAGTACTACTAGATTCAAGCAATTCCAGCATGATGATCGGATTGGGAGGTGGAAACTCCATGACAAACACCAGTGCTGCTGGAGTTGGTAGTAGTGCCATGAATCTGAGATCTTCAGCTGCAGCTGGTGCCGGAGTGCCTGTGCCTCAAGGGCAACATGGTCATTCATCATTGCTCCTCGACGTCCACACTGTCCAAGCCGTTGAGATTCTCTGCACTGCTTTGACAAACAGCAGTGCTCGTTTTCCGGTTTGTGAGGTCGCTCTTCCTATCCTAGTGGACACAGTAAGACGAGTCCGAATAGAAAAACAGAATTTCGTAGTACAAGTGTGCAACGCTTTGAACACCCTGATAGGAACAGCGGCGAATCGAGGGAGAGAGGATCAGGACATAGCAGGAAGGCTAAAGCAGTTGCAGATGGACCAAATAATCTCAGATTGGATTCGATGTTACCCGGAACATAAGAAGGTAATATTTAGCCACTCGTTTTGTGGGAATATGATTTTAGGTGGTTCTAATTCTAAATTCACTCGTATGCTATTCGTCGCATGGTTTGAGGCTCATGTTTGAACAACCACTTCAGATCCAACGCGAAGCCTTTCTATCCCTTGGCTTAGTGTGCAAGTCGGCCACAAGCGTGTTGAGTTTGATGCAGACGCTGAACTTTTCCTTTCATTCTTCTTTTGGCGCTTGTGCGGCTCTCAGTGACATGTCACGCTGTGGCTACACCTACTCGGCGACAGAAGCAAATCAAGCGCTGGCGGCGGTATTTCGTTTTTTTTTCACTGCTTTCATTCTTACTTTTGTCAGGATTATCTTTACAACGTGGTGTTTGTTTTTTTATTCTTGTTCTACAGGTTTTTTCACGAAAAACGAGCGGGCGGCTCAGCTACAACACGATGAAGAAGGACTGGATCAGTCAATCATTTACATCTGGGTCACAACTTCATACTATATATTCTTGACGAGCTACTTGTAGTTCTTGTTGTTCTGCTACACATTACTTGCCTCAATCGCCACGACCACCCTATCCCTAACTGACTTGAGGCATTTTTATCACCTGCGCATCAAAACCTGAAACCAGATCCAATCAGCCTTGCAGCTGCACTCCAGCCGCTCCAGATCCGACAATTGTCTAGAAGCGGAAGCTGAAATTTGTTTAGGCCTCATTGCTTCCAAAGCGCAGAGACGGACCTTTCTCTTCCCGAAAGATTCAGCCCATTATGTGGAGACGGCGACGCCGCAAGGAAGCCCTGCGAGTGGGAGTATGATGAACATGAACAACGTCAACGGGGATACGTTTTTTCAGACGGCGATGCAGAAGAGTGGAGCGATGTTCGCCAGTTCTTATAGTAGTTCTCCGTTTCAGACCTTCCAACAGCAACACCCCATTTCCTCTCCAGTTGGCAGTCAACAAGCCAGTCTTCCTCCAAGTAGCCCATTCGCCAGCCCAACTGCAGGTGGGGCACAGCAGCCGATAGGTTTTAGCCTAATGCCCACAACGTCTTTTGGTGGAGTCCCACTACCCGGGATGTCTCCTGTTGGGTCCCCAACTGCTAGTAGTAACCCTAATCCTTTTGCATTGTAACTAGATGAAGTCTGATTGTATTTGTAAGTAGAAGTTGTTTGATTGCTGAAGCAGAAGCAGATGTTGATGTAGAAAACAAGAAAGAGTATTATATTAAGTGTACTAACTGAGGAGATAGAAGAAGCACTAGGTCTAGGTTGATGAAGAGCTTTTTTTTTGTCGAGTTGAAGTTGATGATCGACAACTGATGTGCATAGTTCATTTTTAGTCTTGTTGTTAAGGCTCAAACTTCATTGGTCATTGCTTGGGGTTGGGGTTGGTCACTGAGATCGAAGAGGCGACCCCTTGAGAGAACAGGGGAAAACGAAGGGAAAAGGGGAGCGCTTTGAAGGTGGTATCTTCCGTTCAGCATCTGTGACCACTGACTGCTTGTCTCTAATGTTGGTCACAAAAAGTAGAAATAGAAGAAGAAACGAGATTCGCATGATACACGACATGAAGATCACAGATGCAGGAAGATTGTTGCATGAGGAAGACGAAGAGTCAGTAGAGTATGGATAAAAGATGATCATGCACAGAGGCTTTTTCGAAAAAGTGAATGATGCAAGGACCACATAACAATGAAGAGACGAAGTTCTATGTATATGTGTTAAGATTTTTCAACAAGCCAGTGCCAGTGAAAGTGAATGATGCAAAGACTAAGCGTCGATGAAGCGACAAACGTATGGAGAAGATTTTTCAACAACAACCCAGTGAATGACGAAGGAAAGCATAGTCAGACGAAAGCGCTGAAGCAGAAATACTAGAGTCAGACGGCAGAGAGATAGTGTGCATGATAGAATATCAATATTCTTGGACTTTTTCAAAATGCGACCTGTACCTTTTAGCGAAAGGCAAGTTCATACGAAGCTACAACCTCGTTCTACTTCTACTCATGTTCATCATGATCCCATTTCGTCCATATAGAGAATGTACTACATCAGCTTGAAATCATGATATGCATCACTCAGCATGTGTACAGAAGGTGTTACTTTTCATAGACATGATGATACAAATGAACCACATTTCGAACTACACCCTGTCCTTGTCTTTCCTCAAACAGCGCGAAGACTATGACGAAGAAGCAAGAACTTAGAAAAGTGAGCAGACGGTGGTAAGAAGGTACCTTCATAGGCATTTAGAATTATCTGTTCTGCATGTCGCGTTCCAAAAGCGTACGAAAGTCTTCCGCATTGTGCGGCGCTGGAGATCAAAAATAATAACAAGATAAAACGAGATCAGATCGTGCATCATAAGATGAAAACCATGAAGTAGATAAACATCAAACAGAAATAATGTTGACCGGCACAAGATCAAGATCTGAAAATTGCTAATAACAAAAGTAAAAACTGAAGCTGGACATGGAAAAAAGCTCTTCATCAAGAAGAAAACCTACGCCTACCATCAATGTGTAGCTACAACAAGAAGTCACCACAATAATTACATCAACTACTACAACTTCTACATCTCTTTCTCATTCCAAACACGACCTTCATCATCGTTGTATCTTCTCAACTACAACTGCAGTCTTGGGAAATAAAGTCTTGATGCTTGCGGGAGCAAAAAACCTTTGTACAGTAGACAGTTTCACTTTGGGTCTGCGCCCACCCTAGCTGGTGCGCTGGCCCTCTGGCCGAAGACTTAAAAAAAAAATAAAGTAAGAGTGACTAAATGAAGAGCGTAGATAACGCAATAGTAGGAAGTAAATGAGTGTACTTTCAATGAGATCGATGCCCCTTTTTTTCCATTGGGTGCCCCTCATTGTGAACTTATGTTGGTATCTGATTCCAACATAAGTTCATGATGATCTTGACCATGTAGTTCTTGTAACTTTTCTTTCTCCATCTCCGCAATGAGTGAATAAAGATCCTTGTTCAACAAAAGATAAAGAATGTAGCAGTATTTTTATGCTCTTTCATTTCACCTTGACCTTCTAAGTTTATTAGGTTTTTATTCTTGGAGTTATAGTTTTCTTAGACAAAATCAAAAAGATGAGGGGTGCGACAAGTACATCAAGAACGCGTCGGCTGTCTTCTAAGAAGGCTGCAGCTTCCTCGGATAAGAGCTGCAAGAACGGTGACGCAGAGATGGGAGATACTCTGGAGGACTTCCTGTTTCAAGAGGTGAAGCGACGAACTGCCAACAGGGGAGGTGCGGTCAATAATTCGAGAACAACTTCCAGCACCTCTACTACCGCGAAGAAAAATGTAGTTACCAACAACTCCAACACCATTGCGAAGAACAAAAATGCAGTCGCAGCTGCAAATGGTGATATCCCTATACCCAGTACTGGGGAAGAACAAGAGCTAAATGCGTTTTTTGCTACATCTACAGAAACTTCAACTTCCAGGAGGGCGAGTAACCACGGTCCTAAGTCTAAGACGAGCAAGGGGGCGACGTCAAAGAAAAGATTTTTATCTGCTGACTGCGAGAACAGGGATCTGCCTCTGGCCAAGAAAGCCAAGAAGAGCAAGAAGGACCAAAATGCCGATCCCGATGCTCCTTTAAATTCTACAAAAAACAAAAAGCGTAAAAGTGATGGCAGAAATAAACGTCAAAAAGCCTTAGATGAGCTTCTAGAACAAGAAGGGAGTGAGCATGACTTGCACTTTGAGGAGATGCAGATGTTCACTGGCGATTTTGGATCTACACTTCTTGGCGGAGAGACACCTGGATTTGGAGCTCAAAATTCCGCGGCCGCAGCTGGAGATATGACGATTTTTGGTGGGTATGAGACTGCTGTTGGAGGTCTTGCGCCAGGCGCAACAGTCGTGGAAGAAAGTTACGACGCAAATTGCACTCCGGCAGGTCTAGAAGCTGGACAAGAGCAACATCCCGGAGCAGGTAACCTCTCGGCTGTAGTACCAGATTACTATGATCATAGTAATATTACACCAGGAGGAGCTTTTGAAAATATTAATTGGTGCCCAGATGAAGATGAGCAAGGCGTTGAGTATGGAGGGCATCAGACACCAGCTGCATTTTGCAACGTGGGACGCGGTAATGTGACACCGGGAGGAGCAGGTGAAGAAGATCTACTCCTCCTCGCAGAAGGACGAGGTATAAGTGTAACACTTGAGAAGAGGAGGAAACAAGTAGAGAAAGCACCAGAGGAACAGCATCATGTTCATCCTCAGACTCAGCTGCACAAGAAGCAACTACAAACAACTTCGACGTCAAAGCAACTACAACCAACTTCGACGTCCACTGCCTTCACCTCCTCAAGTAGTAGCTCTTCCTCTTCGTCTTCTTCGTGGAAGAACAAGAAGCCTGCTCCTGCGTTTGGATCCAGCATCTATCGTGCCGCGAATGAGAGCTATGCCACTTTTGTCGTCCAGCAGAAGAAACCTCGCGCAAAACTGAAGATGCCTCAGGATTGGCATGCTTTGGAACAACATTGCGACCGATGTAGACGCTTTCCAGGCTGGCTCAAAACCAGGTGTTGTTCTCTAGTGCAGGAGTACATTGAGAGGACGCAATGTGCGGTTCCGCGACGCCGATTTGCGGAATATGTTGCGGCTACGATTTATCTTTTGAGCAACCAGCACACTATGCCACGAACGTTGCAGAGCATACACGAAGAAATGGGCATTGTTCAAGATGAAGTCACGACTGGCGTTCGAGAAAAAACTGGCGCACAACTAAACAGTTCTTGCTCAACTTCGAGAACTTCTGCTTCATCGTCTTCGTCCAAGAACACTAGGAAAAAAAACAAATCTACTTCAGACTCCAGCAAGTGGCAGAGGATCTGCACAGGCACAGGAATATTGAACAAACAGATGAAAAAGCCGTCTTTGGTATGGGCGTCTTTGAAATTGGTGCGGGACATATGCGAGGAAATGGGTCTGGAAATTCCTGTACGAGACGATACGCGGGAACAGGATGCCCACATAGTACTCGAAATCATGAAGAAAATACCACAGCTAGCAGACGAGGCCGTGGACACAACTTCTAATACCAGTAACTGTGCCACATCTTCTACTGCTGCTAGTGCTAGCGCTACAACATCAGGCTCCACTCCTAGATCTGCTAGATCTAAATCGACTCCAAAAACAGGACACCAAAAAGGAAATCTCCTACCGAAAGCAGTCCTCCAAGCACCAGAAGTAGATGAGGAGTACGAGTTTGCTAAGCTATTCGACGACGACGATGACTCGCCAAGGTCTACTAAAAGTCGAGGAAGTTCTCGTGGTGGTACTGTTAATAGAGTGTCATTCTTCAACGAGCCCCCGTCGAAAGCACAAGATCTCCTAGTTGTGCCAGCACCGTCTAGTTCGACAAGATCCTCGTCTTCTACCTCGACGAGAGCACATGCAGGAACGCTCCTGAAGCAGACGGACGTGCGTCTAAAAAGCCCTAAGCTGAGTCCAGTCCTAAGCCCCCACCAACATTTCACCAAACACGCTAACGACGATGCTACTTTGAATGCTCCTCCTAGACGGGAGCTAAAAACCGAACGGTTGACCCCACTAGAACGAATGAAGCTCCTAGACCTGTCCTGCGACATCTTGGCCTGTGTGCGGCATAAGGGTGGCTTCGCGAAGCACGTCAAGGACATTAATCTTGCACCAGCGATCGCACTGATTCTGGCAACTAGGGCTTTGTTTGGAGCCCAGTTTGTCTCGATGCATGACATTCGAACACTGGTATGGGAGTCCTGTGGTGCAAGCAGCAGAACCAATTCAACTACAGCATCAAAACAAGTTGGAACAAAGTCTATTTCTTCTAGTAGTACCAAGAAGAAGCAAGAAAAAGGTGCTCGAGCCGCGAGTGCTGCAAATAATAAGCAAAAATCGTCAACATTGCCCTCTCTGAGTTACTTCCACAATCAACTGATGAATGCTCAGAAATGTTTCAAGGACGCTCTGAGCATATTCCCAGCATGGCACGAGAAGGTAAGCGAGAGACGGCGACACGCAAACAGAGGAACCGCAAAGGACTTCGGAACGTTTTTCTTACCTTTTACAGTGCGCAATTTCGAAAGACTCCATAAGGCGCAACGATATAGTCTCCTCGAGGATCATGCTCATGCTTCTACAGCAGGTGGGTCTGGGAAAGAAGCAGTAAAGGCACTAAAAGACCACGTGGAGGACGATGATGCCCCCCAGCTCCACCAGGGTGGAAAGAAGAGTACTGCTGGGGCTAGCGGACATGAATCTTCTGTCCTCGCGGTGAAGAAGCCAACTAAAAATAGCATGAAGACGGCACGGAAACCGAGGAAAGGTAAAATAGTTATCCTTCCGGATGATGTGGTTGAGGACACGTCGAAAACCCGAAGGCGAAAAAATCCTTTATGGGATGTCGCTCTTTTCAAGCAATTGGAAAGGTATTTTGAGCGAAAGAAGCATCTTCAGCAGAAAAGTAATAGTACAAGTACGTCTTTATCCTCGAAAGCAGAAGTAGACGAGACCACGATGAACACGGAGAACGTTGACGAGAAAGATTTTGGCCAGCTTTTGGAGGAATGCAATGGTACGAGAGGCAAAATCGAAGACAAGAAAAGTACAAAAGATGCTTCAAGTTCAACATCGTCTTCGGCGTCTTCAATGAAAACTACTCGAAAAGAACAAGCCTCGGCAAAAGCGAAGCAAAAAGCAGCAGGTCACGTCGAACATGTCCACCCTGAGCTTTCAACGACCTTTCAATGGCCAAGCATGGAACATCCCGTTCCCGACATCAGACGTCAGAGCTATGATGAGCGAGCACTAGACCGTAACTATGGATCGCTGCTAGAGAATGTAGCGCGACGCCAACGCCAGATTTTGGCCTCATTCGAAGAGGACCGACTTCGCGGAGCATCCTACGGATTGAAGCCAACATACAGTATGATCGATCTGAAAGAGAGGATAGCTGGTTTGAGGAGTGAGGTCATTGCGAAGATAGAGGAAGCAGAGATGAAGGATGAGCAGGAAGCGCCTAGTACGAGAACTATCTCCTCTGGAGTTGATTCGAGTACAACTAAGTCTGCTCCTGTAGTTGATGATCTTCTTGATTCTACCTCGTCTGGCAGTAGTTGCAGACCACCTGCAACCACGCAGCAGGACTCGTCCTGCTCGTGCGAGACCATGCTCGCCTTCCTTGACTCCCTTGTGGATCCAACCAGTGGTGACCTCACGATGATCTCTGATGACATGCTTCCGCGCAAGCCAGTCACCTTTCCAGAGAAGGCGCGCGTTAGGGAAATGCGTGGTCCTCCTGCTAGTTCTTGCACGACTCGCAGTAGCCATGCTGGAGGTTCATCTTCGATTCGAGAAAGAGAAGGAGACCGCAAAAATGGGGCACCACTACACCAAACGGCGCAGACATCACAAGCACGACGTCTCCAACATCAATCGCCAAGGAGTCGACATCAGCAATATTTGCTTGCAGAGGCGCGTAACCGTGGTTTCTTGCCACCGCATCTAGAGGCTAAGATGGTGACAGACATCGTGCATTGTGCTGACAAGAGACGGCCCTCCCGGTTCCTAGAAGATCTGGATAGCTTCTTAGAGAAGCAAACCTTGACACCTACTTCCTAGAGAGACAAACCTTCGGCTTCTTGAGGCTCCTAGTACTGTAGATGAAGATTTCTAGTCTCCCACAACTCCCTCGTGATCTACCTCTGATCTTCATCATAACTGCTTCCCAGTAGTTGTCTCACCACGACATTTATGGCCCACTCAACATTCATATTAGACATTTACACGACGACACCATCACCACCTACTTGGTACTATAATTGAAACTTCTATAATTGGGAGGCGGAGTAAAAAAAGCTCCTGTCATCTGTCCTGACTGGTGTTCGTGGAAACTGGTGTTCGTGGAACAGATCATGAGACAGAAGAACTCGCTGAGACAGAGGATAGCGGAAAGAGCAACTGGCGGATGAATTTGAATGCGCAGAGACAGAGAAGGAAAAGAAATGGCATTGGCGCAGGCACTGGCACATTGACATTATCCAATATAGAACTGCTCGTGCTCCTGGCTATGTAATATGCACTTCTAGTGGTCATCAATATAGAACTGCTCGTGCTCCTGGCTATGTAGTTATATGCACTTCTAGTGGTCATAAATGTACGGGTAATCTACTGCCATGATCTCATTAAATAGAACAGAGAAGTGCCTCTTGAAAAGAAAATGGTCTCGCCTCGTCTTTTTGACAAGTACAAAAGCGGTGCAGCGAGTACAACTTCTGGCGTGGCGACAAATAAGTCGAACACGACAAATTCAACATCTGACTTCAGTCTGTCGTGGACACCTACAGCTCAGAGCATGATCGGAGAGCTTGAGGCAGAGGTGGAAGACCAAAACAATTTGCTTGCGGAGTTGGAAAAAGAGCAGAAGGCACTACGCCAGGAACGCCATGCAGACATGAAAAGACTAAAACGGCTGTACAATTAAGAAAAGAAAAGTGTTGACTAGTATGTTATTGCTTCATCTACATAATGCGACTTTTAGTTTTAGATGAAGTCCTGTACTCCTCCAGGCCTTCTTCATGTTTGAATTTCTTCGTGTTTCAACAGGTTCCATTACTTAGGAGACCTATTCATCATTGTCTACCGTGTATAAGAAATCTAAGACCAAGATTTTCGGAAAGGTCCGCACTTGGGAGCATTTCAGAACCTGGAGAGTCAAGCGCGATATGCACGAGTCTTTGCGATGTTCGAGACATCAGACGAAGCGACCAGCACAAGTTCGGCAAGGAATCATGGAGCAGACAAGGATGGTCAACAAACAAATGCCGAGAGCAGGACAGGAATGGGCTCATCAAGTAGCACATTGGGGCTTCCACCTGAGTCAGAGAAAGTCAATCAGAAAAAGAGGGAAGCAATGCGAGAGCGATTGTCCATGCAATTGGCTGAAGTGGTTGGCGAAGGGGTCGCTGAGGAACCCCTGACGGCAGAAGAGCGATATGCGAAGCAGGCAGAAGAGCGGCACGCGAAGCAGATGCGGGAAAGAGGCAAGAATACTACAGGTACAGACCCAGCAGATAGTTTGTATACGACGGCGTCAGAGAGCTCGTTAAGCAGCGACGTGCCGCGCACGATGAGTGGTGCGAATCCTAGTATAGTGGAATCGACTTCTGATTTGTCGCCATCAAAAACGGGGTCTGGTCCACTGCCATCAACCTCCCCTGCTCCAGCGAAAAAGGCGCCTCCGTCTGAAGAGAAGGGAACAAAGGGTTTGAAGAAGATCCACCTACGGTTATCTCGTGGAGACGTGTCTGTCAAGTGGGGACTCAGCTATGAGCGAGAAGCGTTTATTAAGGCTGCGTTCTTTGGTATCATTTTCATTATCAGGCTCCTGCATATTAAAGGATAACTCCACTGACGTTTGACGAGTAAGTAGTGAATCCAAAAACAAGATAAGTTCTTCGAACAACTACTCCTAAAATGAATTACAACTACTAGTACTAGGTCTATGCTTATGCTAGGATCCGTGACCGTGTACTTAGTCTTAGCCAGCTGCATATTAAAACTTCATTTTCGTTTATTAAGGCTGCGTTGTATCATCTTCTATCTTGTACTTGTGCTGTATCGTCCACCACCAGCTGCACCCCTTCTAGTTCTTCTAATAGCAAGCGTGGCGAGCGGGTCATAACCAAACTCGTTCCTCATTCGCCGTCGTGGGCATTGCGAAACGATATCGAGCCTTTGGATAGAGTGTATGCGGTTAATGGGCAAACCGAGACTGATTTAGTCCGTGATCAGCTCGCCAACAGCCTTCATATCGAAATCACTTTGCTCCGAGGATCTACTGGTCGTACCGATGCGCCCTCCATTGGAACAAGCTCTTCAAGCTCAACCTCCTCCAATACGGGTGCTACGTCAACTTCTACCGCTGAAAAAAAGTTGCCTAGTGGTTGTGCTGGGATAAAGGGCGCTGAAACTACGTCGAATGACCGAGCTGGAAGTGGAGTTGCTGAGAAGCTAGATGCGGTTGTGGACAAGACTCTTGTCGGTCTTGGCGGTCTAGTCGAATCTAGTACCAAATTTCTGTCGGACACGTTCGCTATGTTACGGCGTCTATTTGTTTTATTTTAGAAATGTTATTTTGGACTTGATGTTCGTTGTTCTTGAGGATGTTAACCTTAGACTTAGTGTTGTCTAATTCCAACACCAGAGCGACGGGCGAGTGCAGCACAGCTTTCTTCTTTCTCTCCACGTCTAGCTGAGCAGCAAGCAGCGAGTGGGAAACAAGCGGCTCTTGCCTCTGTGCCGCGAGATATATCAACTACAGCTCCTGCGACAAAAATTGCTGCAGATGGCAGCTCTGAGAAAATAACAAAACTGAATGCTGAAGCGTCGAAAGCTGAACAAGAGAACACACAGCAAGAGAATGCTCTTTCTCGTCCCGAGGAGATGAAAGAACAGCAGCAGAAACAGCAAGAAAAGCAACAAGGAGGTGAAGACACGCCTTCCGCTTTGGATCTACTTCAGCGAGGGGTTCTTGAAGAGGATTTGCTCCAGCCGGATGCTGATTCTCCAATGGAACTCGAGTCGGCGTCCATGATCTGCAAGGAAGAGGACGAAGCGGCGAGCATTGTACTTATGGAAGTTACAAGAGAATAGACGTACCGTGATGAAGACCATGGTGAAGATTGACGCATGATCATGTAGTAAAGAATCTGGTATGTCGGAGTCAACAATTATACCTAACACTACTTAGCTACTTGTATGAAAATAGAAGCGAGGAAAGGTAGAACTCTTCTTTAGGGTGCTGCACGACTTACTCCATGATCATGTTTTCGTTTCCCATTTCCTCAGAAAAAAATTCTCTAAAGTTGTACACGGCGTGGGCAGAGAGTCAACGGATACCATGGCCACCCGTAGCCCGAACCGCAGCAGTGAGCGCATCAGTGGCTTAGCCCCTCTGCCTCCAGTGTCACTGCAAGAGGATGGACGTACTGGCTGATATTTCAACGACAGGGGCTACTTCTTGGAGTCAGTTTCAGTGTATTAAAAATATCTATTAAAAATTCAAGAACAAGATGTACCTGTACCATACTACAACCTGTAATCAAACTAGATTAGGTTGCACTGCATGGATGTGCTCGATATCTCGTTCTGGTCTGTCATCATCCGAAGAGAACATCCAAATCGATAAATAAATCTCTGTACTCACATATCTTCTAGGCGCCTCGCCTTTCGTAGCAGTGTCTCCAGTAAGCAGCTCCCGCGAGCCGTATGCTTCTAGTGTGGCGCGTCTGAATGCAAATGGCACAGTGTTGGAGGAAATCTCTCTAGCAGGAGTCTCCGAGAATACGGCCTCTGCCTCCTCCTCGTCGCGGGGTGGCTATTTGTTATGGAAATATTTTTACTTTTCGTAGAAACAGCCTTGTCCGTTTCTTTCAGATTCTTGTACTATTAAATTGGTCGTGCTAAGAGTGATCGCTTGTTGAGTAATCTCTTCTCGGGCGGACAGAACAATGGTTGAGTGAAAAATGCCTCCAAATATTTCTAACTTCTCCAGAAGATCTAGAATTTCCAGTATTGAACGACTTTACGTTTTCAGACACGGACGAACAGGGAAACTTTCTGCCGCCAAGTCGTATTGCTAGGAAAGGCGCTATGGCTGGTGGATGATACTCACAGAAGATAGTAGAAGGGTCTGACAGTCACAGAAGGGTCTGGCTGGAAGATACCCACAGAAATACTTACTATCATTATCATTATGTGGCTCTGGTTGTCATGGTTTGATGGTAGACATGGTCTGCGGAGCATCCTCTATTTTCAACTAGATGCTCTAATAAGGACCAAAGGCAAAGCCCCTCTGGCGACAGCAGCTGCAAGCACAAAGTGGAGGGCGAGGCCGTGCCGTCAGATGTGTCTGTAGTTAAGGCATTTGATGATTGTGCCTTCAGGTTTAGCTTGCTTCTCTAATGATAATCATAATGTACTTACTTCTTTGGACCGAAGATGATAAATTTGTCGCTTTCTCCGTACTAGTTCTAAACTTCTTGAAGCTGTTTCCGAATCCGAACAAGAGAAAAAGAAAATACTGAGGATGGGTATGCAGACTGGCGCTCCTGAGACACCGAGTCGCTCCGTCGGGAGCACGCTGAAACTAGTTCCGAGCAATGGGGATGTCCAGGCCCCTGCCCCAACAAAGAGTCCTGACATACCAACGACCGCCTCCGGAGGCCTGAGATCTTCTGCTCCTGCGACGTATGATGTGAAATTCAAACGCAAGAAGGGAAAAACATCGTTTCAGAACTTTAGAAAGACGCTACAACAGGAGTTCGCGGAGGAGCCCATCAGAGGGAAACAACCAACACTAAGGCTGTATAATAGCAGTTGTTGCCTCTAGTATCGGCAAATGGAAAGAAGAAGAACATTGGCACGCCTTTTTCTCCCATACCCCTTTGCCTTTGGGTACCTCGAAAAAATTTTTCAACGCTGTCGCTGTCCCAAATAAGTAAAGTAATACCGACCCATTTAAGAAGTACTTCGAAAAATATTTTTCAACGCTGTCGCTGTCCCAAATAAGTAAAGTAATACCGACCTTCCTCTAAAGTAAAAAAGCAGGAGCAGTGTGGACCACCTCCTGAAAAACAGCAGCAACCTTGCCAATGAGAATCATGACGTAAAGCCGCTCCAGCAGCCTGAAGTTGAAATTTTAAGACATCCTCCAGACCCCTTCGAAGAAAAAAGGATGATGGCGGAGCGATTCTCGCGTTTCTCATCGACGACGTCTGGCACTCCAACTTCCCGACCATCGTTCGACTCCTCCGCAACGTCTTCCTCCAGTAATATGGGAGCATCGAGCAGCAGACATGTCCTTCAAAATGACGAGCCTCGAGATTTACCGAGATTCCTACACGCGATGAATCGCATTGACGAAATTTTATCGAACGAGACCACGACAATCCCCGACCCGACACCTTCTGCGTCCAATCCTTTTGATACTAGCCCCAACGTCTATCACCCGAAACGAGTCTCAACTGGCACAACTGCGGAACACACAAATACATCTTTGTCCTCGAGTACGAATGCTGGTGTTACTACAAGTATGGATCATACGGGTGTCGGTGGGGGAGGTGCCAATACTTCTACATTGCAGAGAGGATCACTCTCGAGCCCTGCGGACGACCTCGCACGTCAAAAATTTGAGAGTGAACTTGATGTCGCAGGTCACAAGAACCAGGAGGCAAAAGATTATGGCAAAAAATTCAATTGATTAAACTTGCGGTGCAAAGACTGGACAAGACTTCAATCTCCGTCATTGACTTGCTCATCTCGTTGTCAGTTCAGGTGCTTGTCCTTCCATAAGAACTTGCTGGTCGTAACTTTTCTTCGTCTTCCTATCAATCATCTAAGAGCTGCTTGATCACGATGCTGAAGGGAAACAAGCGTCAAACTCGTCATCAGAGGACCTCACGGCAGCCAGTGCAGATTCATCCACTCCAGAACCAGGGAGCAGGTACAAGAACTTACAGAAAGGGGCAGGTGGGGCATCTTCACTCTCTCTACTTATTACTTTTACTGTGTGATTTTTGATTATCTAAGCAAGGTAGTAAGTTCACAAGGTTAATATTACTTTTACTAAATGATTAGTTCTTTGAAAAAGTTGATATTTCTTTCATCTACTTATACATAGCTTGTTGTACCTAAGAAGTTCTATGTCTGACTGCTATATCGTCCAGGCTTTCCCTCGTTTCTGGAGGTCGGAAAAAGGCGCGACGCCCTCAAGACGACTCGGACGATGAGGAAGATGGGTTCGGAACTAGGGACTACGGCGCAGCCAGCTTCGTGGATAATTTTTAAGGTTAGATGGATTTACATGATTTAGATCATAGAAGTGGTCAGTTGTCTAGGTTTTTTTGAGACGAAATTTCTTCAAGGTGAGCAAATCAGACAAGAAGGGATTTGAAAGGGAAAGTAGAAAGTAGACCGTAGTAGAACAACGAGCAGCAACTTCATAAGCCAGTGCCAGCCTATGGCGAAAAAAAAAACTACCGCTAAAAGTGCGGTAAACGAGATGGTAACCCATTTGCATAAGCGAAATTCGCGCAAACATTGTTTGGGATTTTTCGCTTCATGAAGATTCTGGCTAGTGAAAACGAAAAGGTAAGGGCACTAACAAGTAACAGGTACAACAAGCTAAACAGTAAACATAAACTTCATTCAAACTTTGCCGACCAGGGATTTTTGCAGTGTACGACTCAACTTCGTAGTGCTATGACGGGAAACTTCGTTGATGTTCACTTCGTAGAAAACACAGGGAGAGAAGCATGTGCTGGTGGATTATTTAAAATAATTTACATTTGTTCCCGTTCGTTATTATCATAACCTCCTTCCTTTGTCAATGATAGTAAGCGTTTTTAAACAAGAGGAAAGATGATCAGATTCGAGAGCAGTATTTTAAGCACTACCTTCTTGATGCTCACGTCGTTCTTCATATAAAGATCAAGATCAACATGAGGAAGATGCTCTGCTCCTCCAGCTCGAGCAACGTGATGATGAATGAACACACCAGATCTTGGTCATCATGCCATTGTGATTACACCACACATGATCTTCTCAAAAAATTGTGATTACACCACGACCAGAAGTGATCAACATCACCAAAACAAGCAAGTAGAAGAAGGACAAAGTCCAAGACACACCAAGACACGCGTGATCCTGTTCAATATTGCTGCGCCAGCACGAGCACACTGCAATCACTTATAGTACTATTTTTCCCGCCTTGAATGATCTCTAGAAAAATCCCATTTTTTTTCTCAGGCGAAGGAAGCAAGTGCAATTTCTTGCATCTCCTGTACAGACAACAGAACATCTTAATCTTCATTGTATTTGCATTTGCATTTTTCTTGTGTCTTCTCTCTCGTCAAACTCGTACTCGATTGAATATCGATTTGCATTTAAATTGTGTTTGTGCACGTATTTTTTTTTGAAGTAACGAACCTTATCCTACCCACAAAGCCAGCACCAAAATGAACGCCGAGGCCGTTGTCGCTGAGGTCGTGTCCTCTTTGGCCGACCCAAAGTGCGACCAAACCCGCAGACAAGCCGCTGAGGCCGCTTTCGAATCCAGTCGGGATGCTCAACCTCTCCCCACTCTCGCTGCCTTGCTGCAATACGCTACTTCAGCAGCTGCCAATCCACAAAATGTAGCCAACATCACGCCACAAGTCATTCAGGCTTGTGTCACTTCCTCTTTGGTGTTGTTGCGCAGAACGCTTCCGACAGTATGGAAGCACATTGCTCAAGAGTCGGATCGTGAACAGATCATCCAGAAACTGATGGACGCATTTCTCGACACTAAGAAAGAAGCTGGAGAGAGAAAGCGATTGGCACACTGCATTGAAAAAATGCTCACCAGTCGGGACTGCAACGGACCAAGCATCGAGAAATTTAGAAATGGTACTGCTCAAGACTATGTTGTTGTACTCGTTCACGACGTTCCTCTTATCTTGACGAAGATTCATCGATCATGTTCATGTTGTAATGGAAAGGTCCTTCGTTGTACTGTTATTTCCCCATGCAACTAATTTAATTCTGAGTTTCATCCATTTCACTTCTTTCGACGTCGACTGGTAAACGCAAACGTAGCCATCCACCATTACAAACAGAGCTCATCCCCCTCCTCGGCGCCGCCATGGACCGAGACCTCACGGCCAATTTGCAGCCTGTGTTGCAACTCCTGGTTGACGGTCTCGAGACCCCTACCTTCTGGATGTACGTGTGCATGCCGCATCAAGCCAAGATGGAACATCTACTGCTTGTCAAGTTCCCAGAAGGACCCTCTACAACTGCAGAAGCCCAACAAAACATCAAGGAACTGCAAGCTTTGCTCTTTTTGCGTATCGTAAACTGGATCGACTCGGACAAAATTCCGCAACAACTCGTCACTGGTTTTGTCCCGACTGGAGTCTTGCAAGTGTTGGCGCAAAGTAGTAATACGGATAGGCAAAAGTCCATTCTAGAGGGTTTGGACGAAGCCGCTGGAAAGAATCTCTTCTCATCCATGCTAGCAGATACCATCAGAATCTGTCTAGAAGTAGGCAAGAAGGATCCCGAGGAGCTTGGAAATTCCAGTTTGCAGAGCATCTTGTCCTTGGTGGAAGCCGAATCGTTGGAAGATTTGAAGGGGAAAAATGCACAACTGTTGCAAGAAGTGCTGTTGATCGTCTTGGAAAAGTGTTGTCAGATTGATGTGGAGAGCTATGATTCCTGGTGCCAAGAAGGGAACCAAGAGGACGATACGGAGGAAGAGGTACTGATTATATTGTTGTGATTTTACTAGGTAGTAGGAATTTTTTGCGAAGATTTTTACATATTTCTTCACTTAGAAGTAAGTAGAAGTTGTTCCTGCTGTAGTTGATCTACGACCTCCATATTTTATTACAACCCGATGATCATCGTAAACACAGGTCAGCCAAGGTCTCGAAGCTTTGGATCGTTTGGTCCGAAAAAGCAAGGAGTCCGAGGATGAGGACGACGAGGAGGAAGAGAGCGGCACTGAGCCTTTTTTGTTGCCAGTAGTCTTCGAAAAGTTGGGAAAACTCGACAAGAGCAACTGGGGGCACAACGTTGCAACTTTGTTAATTCTGCAGTATGTCTTGCAATATGTGGAAACGTCTTCCACGTTACAGATGATCACGAAGATGGCACTGGATGCGACGAAAGGTACTAATTATAAAGTTTAGATGAACTTGATGTTTTGATCTGGTGATTTATTTCTCGTGGAAAAGAAGAGGGTTTAGGATTTAGGAAACCCTAAACCCTAACCAGAAGAGGATCTATCATACCGACCACCCCATGATGTAAACAAACAAAAGTCTTTTGCACCACGATTGAATGGTTCTTCCAGTAAAAATTTGGTAACCTGATTTTGATCATAAGGGAAAACAAGAAGCGAATCCTTGTGATCAAATTCAGGCTAAGTATACCAAAGTATTACCGGGACCCTTCCGGAACCATTCAATGACTTCAAATCCTACTCTCCACGACTCCTCCCACCACTTCAACTCAGCCCAGAACGCTCGTGAACGCTTCGCTGGTTGGGTCTTGCTCGGCGAATTGACGAGTAGCAAGCGACAATTCTGCGTCCGCGATGAGGAGAGCAAGGCAGCTTGGCTCGAAACTCTGACCTACGGCCTGGAGAACGAAAGCATTCAGCGTGTTTTAGCCAAGTCGCTGGATGCTTTCATGTACTTCTTGGCTGAAGACCAGTGCCTGGAATTCGAGGACATTCAGCCTCTCTCTGAGCGCATGTTGAAGCGATTGGTAGTGATCATCGACCAAGCCGATGCAGTTTTTGATACGAGAACTACGAACAAGGATAATCAAGGAGGTGCTGCTCTCGGGGATTCCACGCCCTCCACTGCCTCTCCTGCCAGCAGCGCCAACGGTTCTGCTGTTCAGAACGCAAACACCCACCACAACCTCTCTACGCAAATGAAGCTGCTGCTTAACGTGCAAGTCTCAGCGGTTGGATGCATCACGGCTGTCTCTAAAGTTTTGGATGAAAAGGTTGCCGCTTTCTACCACAGCTTGATGCCGGTTCTCTACAAGCTGTTGGAGAAACACGTCCATTCCACGGACTCTAGAGAGTTGTTGGGTGCAGCGATCGAATGCGCGAGTTCTCTAGGCATGTACTTGAACGATGCGGAAACATTCGGAAAGGACGCAGCCAAAATCGCCAAGGCGATGTGCCACGTATTTAATTTTAGATTATGATTGTACTTATTTTTGATGGCTATGGTAATTTTAGTTTGAGTTTAGCTTTAGCTACTGGAACAAGATAAAGAATTACGTTCTGGTCCTCTGATTTTGCTGACTTCTCTCTCTTCGTCTTCTTTGATAGATCACTCTATTGCTATTCTTGAGATTGAGTGTGCTAAAAGAAAAACTTGTACTTCATTTAAAAACAAGGACCCAAAATCTCTACTCCTTCCCACCTTCAGGTCCTCCAAACCGCCACTATGGCTGACGACCCAGTCAAGGATTACGCCTTCGCCGCTGCCGACAACCTCATCACTGTCATGAAAAAGGACTTTCTTCCCTTTTTGCCCGTTTTCTTGCCTGAAGTTTACGCCAGACTGAAGAAGGAGGGTTTTGATGCTGCTGATGGCAAGGCAATGGAGCGTCTTAGGGCAGAGGAAGACGTCGGTGGTCCTCAAGTGGACGTTTCTCTCTGCGTCCGCGTCGATCCGGCTACTGGCCAGCAGAAAATCCTCTGCATCAAGACCGCCTACATCGATGATCTCTACAATGCTTTGTCGGTGTTGAAAAAATTCATTGACGTGTTGAGTGTGGACTTTGCGCCGTTTGTGGATGAGTGCATGACGCACTTGAAGCCGGTGCTGCAGTTCGACTACGACGACGATGTGCGAGCCACCGCAGTAGAGGTCTACGCTGAAATCGTCAAGCTGTGTGCCAGATCGAACAACACTCCAGCGTTGAAACTCCTCGTTTCTGAGTTCATCAGTTCCGCGTTATCGTCTTGGCAAACGAACGAAGCGACTAAGGTGTGCGATCCGACTCGGATGCGCACGCAAGCTGACGGCTTGGATGAAGTTTTGAACGCAGCCGGTCCCCACGTCCTCTCCCTTCCTGAGGTAGAGGAGGTCGGGAAAGCGTGCATGCGCGAGTTGCAAGCGGCTTTGCAAAGAGAAGGAAAGGCAGAAGGCGAAGAAGACACGGAGGCCGAGTGGGAATTGCAGAGAGCGCTGGTCAGTGCTATTGGAGCATTAATGAAATGGCATTCTGGAGAATTCTGCGGTAGTGCTGTTACCCATCCTTCTACTGCTAGTGCAGGCATGATCGACCAGGCTGCATCCAGTAGCTCTTCAAGTAGTGGTCCCCAGCGTCCTCAACGTCGATCTAATGCCAACAAGTACACCCCAACAGGAACTAGCTTGTTCGCTGGGTACAGCCAATTTCTTGTTCAGTGCATCACGGGTCCAGACCCCGAAGCACAGAGAATCGGAAGACTCATCGCTGCGGACTTCTTTGAACATCTAGGTCCCGAAAGTGTCCAGCCTTTGTGGCCTTCCCTGTTGCCGAAGCTGGTGCAAAGTGTCCATACCAAGCGGTTATATGAGGAAGTGCAGGCTGCCGCTTTTGCTCTGAGCATGGCAGTGAACTTGGACGAGTTTTACGTTCTGTCCTCTGGAAATTTGGCGAACAACAAGGAGAAAATCGCTGCTCAGGAAGGAGAGAACAAAGCGGCCAACAATGCTCTGAGCATCGATGTGATTACCGAAAAGCTGGTCGCAGAGAGGTGTGCCGCTTACATCAACAAGATCCGAACGAGCAATCGCGAAGTCAGTTTCGGAAAAGAGACTGCCTGCGACAACTGCTTAGCTTGCTTGGGGAATCTGCTGACGCATGATTTTTTCAGAGAGCAAGCGAAAGAACAAGCCACATCCACGACTTCGTCCTCCTCAACCCTCTCTGACGATGACCGTTCCCGCCTCTTCCGCGGATGGATTTCGTGCTTGCCACTGCGCGCCGACGAAGAGGAAGGGTTGAGAGTGCATACCCAACTTGTCGAGTTGGTTCTGAAACAATACCCCTTAGTGGTCGAAAACCTGGACCAGGCTGTCAAGGCTATCACGCTGTTGTACAAAGGACCCATGAGTGATGAGGACTTGAACGAGAAAATTGGGAGAATCGTGTCTGGAGTCAGTACGGCGATGCTCGAACGTGCAATTAGTGATTTCCCAGCAAAGCTGAAGAGCAAGGTTCGACGCATATACGAAGATTGTGCGGGAAACACTTCGAAGTAAGAAGAGCATACTGATACTTCGACGTAAAATAGACGAGCAAGAGACGAAATGAATGCTCTTTCCTGGGGGTTCAACATTTGAAGATGTTTGCACTTGCTAGTGGTCTGATAATATTACTTATCAGATATTTATAGGAGGTGGCCTTGTTCGTTCTTTTTGTATCCGAACATCATGGCACACCGACATGCATCTTCATGATGATGAAAAATAATGACATCGGGCAAAACCTCTTCCCTCTACAATTACATGACATCAACATGATCTTCAAATAAGAAGAAGATGATGACCACCGCTAACGCTAATATGACGCCCATAAATTTCCTACTTCTACTTGCATGGTTTTTTCATCGCATAGTCCGTCATCAATCTCGCTCCGCCTCTTCATCCGCCATCGTGGAAAGGATGATCATGGATGAGACGTTGCAGGACTTGCTTCTGTCTCATGTCTTACAAAGTTTACGTGTATTCTGATGACGAGGAAAGAAGCAAAATCTACTCTGTTACTTGACTGCGACCTCCTATCGTCTGTGACTATGAGCAAGAGCAGTAGATCATCTTTATAGTGTTTTAGTGAGTTGTGCTTGTCTGTTGACCAACGAAAATAAGAAGAGAAGTAGAGAAGCGAAGTTTATCTTCAACATCTGTACATCTGAAACTTCTGTGGATCTGAGCAGAGTCGTGTTGAGCTAATCATAATCTCTCTTGGTCCGTTTGTATCTTAGCGTCCAGGACCAAGACGAGTCTGTTGTCGTGCGGTTCTCCTGCAGGAGAATGTGTGAATGCATTGAAATTTCAAAAGCGATGATATTCTCGAAATGGCCAAAAATGGAGATGAACATATTAGAATTAGCTTCATCCGAGGATGAGCAGGAGAGCAGGAGTATTGCCATTCTTAGTTGTTGGATTTAATTATCATTCTCATCATTTTCGACGTCAGAGAACATTGGAAATTTGTCCCCTTTGCACCATTTGATTTGGATTTTCCGACCATCTTCTACAACGAACTTCTGTAAGTGCTAGTTCTTTGAATACAACTACGCTTTTTCAGCAGGAGGTCCTTTCTTCAATTTAAACACGTACAAGAACACCACGTGGCTGTAGCTACCCCTGTCTTGTTCAACAACTTCAAACTCCTACTTAGAAGATAGATCAACATTTACCCCCGCCTTATCTTACACCGAGGAACCAAAGAAAAGCATCAAAATGTCGAAGACTAACAAAGTCGTTCGTTGTGCCGTTCTCATCGGCACTGCTGCTGCGATGTTGCTCACGACCAGAAAGGCTGGATCGTTACCAGGCAGTTCTTCAGGTGCTGGTGCTACCACTGATCATGCTTCGCCTGGTTCAAGATCCTTACCCGCCGACGTGCGTTCGCCTTCTGATGGTCCTCCATCTGTCGGCCCTCCGAGCTTGACGTCGCCGGGAAAAAGGGAGACCTCCACTACGAGAGCAGGACGTTCCTTGGCAAGTGCGCTCGATTTCTCGAGGAGTTCCGACCCCGTCGCAGCAGCAAGTGGAAGATCAGGATCACGACCGTCAAGACCTCCTCGTCTGCCTTCTCTGGGAACCAGCAGTCCCTATGCACCTACGACATTACCATTTGCACCATCGGAAGATCGTCGTGAAGATCTTCCAGGTGGTATTGACGCAGCTAGTCTTGCTCCTCCTGTTGCGAAAACTTTGCCCGCCGGTAGACTGCCTTCCACAGCGGCTCGTTCTGGTGGTGAGACCGGGAGCGTGATTTCACCAATCGGCACTGCGGCGACTGCTCCAATCGGCACTGCGGCGACTGCTCCAATCGGCACTGCGGCGACTTCTCCTCTCACGAGTGCGCGTTCTGCTGGTTCTGCATCTTCTTCGGGAGCGGCCTCCCGACTTTCGCGTCGCTCCTCGGGCCACTTGTCTGTTTCGGCTGCAGGGGGAAGCGTGGACGCAGCAGCAGGAGGATATCCCTCTCCCCGCGAGGACGGCCTGCCTCCAGTTGGTACAACGAGTCGTGCTACTGGAACTTCCAAGTCTGGAAGCCGTTTGGCTGCCGCGATGGATTTCAGCGAGAACGAGATCAAAGAGCAGATGGTCTTGGCAATCGGCGATGCGGTTGCAGAAGTCAACAAAGACGAAGATCATACAGAAGAACAAAAGGCAGTGGCAGAGAAATTGACGCAGAAAGACGAAGAGAAGTTGAGAGAATCTGTACTCGATGCCCTCACTCTTCGTTTGTCAAAGCCAGGAGAAGGTCTTCAAGGTCTCTCTTTACACGACATCAATGATCTCTTCGACAAATCACAGCAAATCCGGAATATCGCATATGGCGGCACGACCAGTGCTTCCGCTGAGGACCTAGAGGACCCTGTCGCCCGCTTGGGGATGGTTACCAAGGTGTACGTGGGTGATGTATGGAACTCAGCTACGTCGCCGGTGGGCACAAGAACTGTTGTAGATGCTTCTTCTACTTCTGCTGCGAGCGCATCTCGTGGAGAACGTCAGGAAAAAGTTCTTGAAGCGTTGAAGGAGTTGTCGAAGGACGTTCGAGGCTACTTTCAGAAGTGGAAGACTGGCGTGAATTACTTGGGCAGCGCTGCTTTCAGGGAGCTACAAGATGCGGCTCTTCTTCACGGAGAAGCCGGCGACAGCGAGGGAATTCTGAAGCTCATCAAAGAGAGAATCAAAACCTCCAGAGGCGACGAGAACACACGCTCGATCTTCAAAGAAATACGCGATGCCCCGGATGCATGGTCCCTTCTAACTCAAATTTTCGGATTTCCAACCATGTGGTATCTTTCTCGCCTGTTTTTTCCGCAAATCGGAAGTCGCATTGCGAATGGGTGGTACTCGGAGCGACAAGCGATTGCTAACATTGTTCCTCCTGCTGGTGCAGTGGAGGCTCGACGCAGTACTTCTAGGAGTGGCACTTCTAGAAGCAGTAGAAGTAGTAGTACTTCTGGTGGAAGTAAAAGTGGTAGTAGGCAAGATAAACCTCGACGAGCACCACAGCTGACTCCGCCACTGCATCTTTTTCGTTGGGGCGAAAGACAATTGGATGCCCAACTTACAGCATGGACAACCATTATTTCGAGCAACAAGCTTTTGCCTTCTGGTGGAGGAGAAGCTGAGGATCATGCTTACAAGAACACAGTCGGAGAAGCTTTGAAAACCGTGACGGAACCGATGCGACTCGTCGGCTCAGCTGCGTTCATTAAGGCAGAGGTTTTAGGACCTGATATACGGGTAGTGACGCATCCCCTGGATCCACGTACCGGATGGCACGTCTTGTTGCCGGACGTTTCACAGAAGCGGGTGAGGCACTCAAGTGGAACGCACTCACACGGTCAGATCGCAATAGGCGAGCGGATATGGAGGAAGAGTGAGGTAGCAACTATGTTAACCAAGGAATATGTCACTGATCCAACGATGCAACCGAGGATGACAACACGCGACCGCGAACACGATATGTATGGGGCATATGCGCTTTTCGAGAATCCGGCAGAATTCCAGCGACACACATTAAGAGTCGTGGCTACTATTAATATTGATTTTGATAGATACTCTCAATACTCTACGAGTACCTATTCTGCAACTTAGTAATTGCTGTGATTTATTGATACTGATAGATCAAGATCATACTCAAACTTCATTATCATTATTGTCAATTATCTGCTCATTCTTGTTGATATATCCTGCTTGTTATTCTTCATGGACCACACATGATAGATAGGCCGCGAGAATGAAGAGATGCTCGTTTTCATTCAGATTCATCTGCATCTCATTAATTGCTTCTTGTTCTTGGACTCTCTCTCTGTCGATCAGATCATTTTTGAGCTTGAATGGAATAGGTACAAGGACGCCCTTGTGAAGAAAATCATTGCACCGAGCCTTGATCATGTAATATTTTTGTGAGCAGCTCTAAAACACTTTGTCTTTGGCAGTTCCCAAAATGCCGATCAACAAGGAAAGGTGAACCAAGAGGCCCTCAAAGAGGCCGAAAGGCGGTTGAATGTTGCTCGAGAAAAGGTCAACCAAATTACCGTTGAGCACGAGAAACTGAGGCTGTTCTCACCTCGCCGCCGGTTGAGTAAAGAAGAGCTGATGAAGCAGAAAGAGGAGCTTTCGGGGCCGAGTGAAGAGCTGAAAGTGGCAGAGGAAGCATACGCAAATGCACTAACTGCTGGCGCGAGGTCTGGGATTCAGGTGCCACATGGGCTGAATATCGTGCGCGTTGACCCGATTGAAAACGTGGCCCTGTTGCAACAGTTATGGTGACATCGTTCGCGTTTTTGCGTACTCAAACTCACCATACGACCCATAGTCATGCCCATTTTTGATGGCATGAAAGTCAACTCAACCACGTAGATGACAAGTTTTAATTTTAGAAGGGCTAGGCTGCCTAAGTAAATTCTTGTCCTTCTTGATGTTCTTGAGCACTGTCTTGAAGAGTACGTGTTTACAACAACTACTTCCTTTCATAGCATAACTTGGTCTGTGTTGAGTACGTGTTTACAACAACTACTTCCTTTCATAGCATTACTTGGTCGAGCGGGAAAGGATGCGAGAAAAGTATGGTTATGTTAAGGATTCCGAAGAATGGAAAACGGACAAACTGCGACAGGCCATTTCTCCGACAAAAGCGGAAGAAGCGACGCTGCGGATGGAACGCGACAGTGAGGAACACGAAAAAAGCTCGAAGAGTGAAACCTACGCAAAATTATGGTCAACATTTGGTGTCCATCATTTTCGGCATCTTGGTCCCCTTTTCCCTTGTATTCTCGTGAAATACAAGGTAAAAGGCGTCAAGATGAGAGGGCCGAGATGCAATCTAGTAGCAGACTCTAACAAAAGAGCGGAAAGACAAAGTACTCGGGGAACGCCAACCGGGGGCTTCTATCAACATAGCCTACGGAGACTTGGTTCAAACTAGGTTCCTCACGGAAAGGAAGGAGGAGAACAACTACCAAGGATTCCTGGACAGCTTCGCATCCTTACTTGGGGAGCCTTTAGGAGACGATGAAGCGCTTCTCTTCCACGGCGTATCTCCAGAACTCGCTGAGGTCATAGCGAAATCAGGATTTGCCGTAATCTTTAACTTTACATGATTATTATATTTGAATATTACAAGGACAGGACACTTTTCAACATTCGCCGAAAGGGCTGGAGTCGAATGGGAATTATGTTTTCATTGAATTGAATATATTTGAACTAAGTACTTGTTCGTCCTTGTTCTACTACTACTTACTCACTTTAGATGAATTTGACTTTCATGATCCACGTGTACCAACCTCCATCTTCTTCAGATTCCCTCTATCGCGGCAACGGGCAGCATGTTAGGCAAAGGAATCTACTTTGGAGACAGTCTCTACAAAGCTGACGAATACTCCAAGGCATTGGACCAAACTGCCGCGACTGAATACGTCATCGATGTCGATTTAAACTTGCTTGGTCGAGAGTCGGATACTTACTTGCCGCAAGTGATCCCTACTGTGAAAAGCGATGTTGAAACGCTCAGAAAGTATTACCTGTTGCAACGCTTTGCCGTACCAGAACGTGAGACACTTCGACACGAGTATTATGGTTAGCTTTTATCCATCTTGTTCCACAGCAACATCTTGGTCAACACATTTTGAATTTGAAGGGGAAAAGGGACGAACCAAGATGCTGTTGACCGAGATCATGGACTTAAGGAGCACCAAGGTCTAAGAGTACGCAAAGGCAAAAGAAAAAGCCCCCGGGGGACGTTTATTTGTACCTGCGAAAGCGCTGCCGCTCTATGGTGTGGGGAACAAATTCGAGCTTCAGAAAGGAAAATATGTTCCGCTGCTGACTGAGTTATGTTGACATGATGTTAACATGTAGATGTAATTTTTTTCGTTGCTCAAGGTTGAAAAAATGCTCAAGGTAAATAGAATTAGAAATAGTAAGTACTTGTACTTACAGTTAAGTACACAACTTGTGTAGATGATAATAGTACTTGTAGACTTACAGTTACACAACTTGTGTAGATGAATTATCTAGTCTATACAGATGAATGGTTCCGGTACTATTTGGTATAGCCTGAACAATTTGATCGCAAGGGTTCTCTTCTTGTTTTCCCTTATGATCGAGCTCAGGTTTCCAAATACCGGAACCACTCAACAGATACAACTACAAGCACAACCTGAATCCTTTTTGATTTGCTCGTCTTCTATTGAAGACTGATAATTTATATCTGTTTGCAGGGTGTAAGTATCTAGATCTACCAAACAGCCATCACTTGAAGAACTTGAACGAATTGACTTGATAACATTATTTTTGATGCCTCGTTTTTTTGAATTATGTTGTTCTTCTAATGCCAGCAGATTATGCGCGTTCTCTTGTCGTGAAGATGCAACCGTCGCTACTGCGGTACCCGACAACTGTTGAATCAAAGGCAAACCTAATTTTCCCGTTGCCAAAGAGACCACCTGCTGCGTCTGAGGTACAAACAGTTACGAATACCAAGGAAGCTTTGGTCGCCGTAATTGACGCACTCCGAAGAGGCGAACAAAAGCCGGAGAAACTACAAGTGAAAGATCCGACGACACGCATTTTTAGGAAATTACCGCATGAGCCTCACGCTGTCCGTTCTGCCATGAAGAAGCTGGACGATTTCGTGGAAACAAAACCAGATTCTAAGTACTTCTACCTTATCATTTTTCATTCTTTTTATTCATCAGTACCTACGCACTAACACTACCTCATGATCTTTCACATCCACCCTATCGTCCCTATGTATCGATCTCTTTTTTTAACACTCCTCTAAGTACTTACACCTATATGATCAATCAGGACTTCTACGTCGAAAAAATACACGTATACTGTTCGTCCTAGTGGGTCGCCGATGAGTAAACTAGTACCTGGTATGGAAGAATCTGGCTTGTCGGATTTTGATGAGGAGGAGAGGTTAAAAGATTGGATTGATGCCACAACTAAGTCGTCTTCAAAAAGTTCGGATTCGCCTTTCGCCAACGCGCATCCATTCGAGAAGGAATACGCGAAGTGGCTACTCGAAAACGCGAACAAGGTGGGCGATGAAAGAGTCTTCTGTGTCATTCTGACGCGAGTTTATTTGGGCAACGAAAAGACTACGCAGGTACAACTTGTCCTGCTATAAGTACACAGGAGAGACCACAGATTTTACCTATGATCTTTCCTACGAACTACACTCAAGTGAAGATTTCTGGTACTCCATCTCCATCTTCGCCTAATAAAGATTTCTGGTCTCCATGTTATTCCCTCCATCTTCAACTCTCGTCTCCACGACATGAAACATGAGGTAATCCGCAGTCCTCTGAAGCAATTGATGAACACACTCTCACTCATGCATACATGAAACAGGTAATCCGCAGTCTGAGCCAATTGCGCAAGGACGCTCGCACAAGTACAACTCGTGATCCGATGAACGTGTACTCGATACGACAGTTGGAAGGGTATGATCTTTTCCATGAGGTCTTGATCACAAATCCCAAACTGGCTCTCCCCGTTGCCAAAATTTGTTACACTCGTGACAATGAGGGGATTACGAAGATTGGATTTGCTTTGTAGAAGAATCCTAAGCGTCGAGAGGATATATGGAGGTAAAGTAGACTCTACATACAGAGAGACAATCTAGTTGTTATAAGGATAAGGGGATTAATAATAATACGTAGACTCTACATTTAGAGAGAGACAATCTAGTAAGGATATTAAGGGGATTAATACGGAGTAGATTGGATTTGCTTTGTAGAAGAGTGGTAACCAATTAAAATTATGGTACTAGGAATTAGTGTATGGTGGAAAAGGAAATGGAGCTGGAGGAGGGTTGGGGTTCTTTCGCGTTCTTCTAGAAGTTCTTCTATCAATCATGCACGACCAATTATATTGTGATAATTGTTCATTTGATGTAGTCTATGTCAAAGCTTAAGCACTATTGAATATGCAAATCATGACGATGACGGTATATAATTTTTCAATTATTCACTGACATAAACATAACCATGCATAAGTATTTCGAAGATACAAAAACGCTGTTGTGCTAGTACTAGTTCGTATTTAGGGAATTACAATTCATACTCTTCATAGTGCACCAGTTCTACTAAAATATCACAGTCACATAGTTACGACATAGGAACACGAACAAAGAACAAGTGCATTTTCTAGATTTATGACAAAAATGACATAGAAGATTAAGATACTCAAACGAGGGAAATATGGGAGGGAAACTATCGCGATGAATTAGATTTAGATGCATTCAGGTTTTTGAAGCTGAAAAATGAAAATGGATTGAATGAAATTTCTGGGTGCTGTGTATGAACTATGTATATCTGAAGACTTGCTATGCTTTTTCTCGTGGTGAAAGAACTACAGAATGTTTTTCTGTTGTGTAGAAGCGTATAATTGGTGTTCATGATCTATTTTTGCGATGATCGGTGATACAATAGGAGACCAAAGTATATTCTTGTTTTTATTGTCTCGCGCTGCTGATTCATCTCGTCTGAGACGTCCTTTTTGTAAGTAGTTACTTCTGAGTCAGCGACAACGTTCCTGCAAGAAACCACCATAAGGTGGTGCACTTGAGTGACTGACAGCGAGATGAGCATGGAGGGCAGTAGAATGAAGAGGTTGTGATGCAAAATCTTCTAGTACAACACGATGACATCATGCTCATGGTCCTCGTCTGCAACTACCCTCGTTCCTCTCGTCCCCGTGCTTCAACATTCATTCGGTAGCGTGCGATCGACGAGATGGCTGCAAATATCACGCCCCCGAGACCGACGGCGAAAGGAAAGGGGCCGCACCATTACGTACCCAATCAAGCTTCGTCCGCCGGGCCAACGTTTATGCTTTGAGGAGATTAAAAGATAGAAGAGTGAAAATAAGTAGCGTAGGTTTTCTGATCTAGGTTCCATCTTTGCCAGGCTCTTCAGCAGCCGTCGAAGTCTGCCACATTGGATGGTAGATCCCAACCTAACCTAAATAAAAATCAATGTGCATTTATGATTTAATCATAGTTGTGAATGCTCATCTCCACCTCGAGGTGAGCCCAGTCCCGTCCCATAGGCTCAGGCAACGTCGTGCTTGCAGTTGCAAGAACATCAAATACGAGCTATGATATCTGCTCTAATACCACCTCCAGCTCGTCCACTGCTGGTCGTTCGGGCAGCACTGCCACCTCTCTGGCGATGACCCCAGCTGAAATGAACGACCACATGGGTGTCAACATACCCGAAGCTTTCTACTCACCTCAAGCTCCAGCAGCCTTAAGGCCTACGGAGCTTCCTGGACGAGTGGGAGTTACAGTGCTTGGACTGGAAAAGCGAGAAGACGCACTGCAGTCTTCTGTGCGTGAACTAGTTGAGCTCGGCGCATCACCATCGAGAAGTTCAAGCTTCAATAATTTTACGGCTCACACTACACTCGCTCATCTTTTACTACAGTATTAAGTGCTTGTTCTTATTTGACGTCTTTGCAGTAGAAGTAGAACTCGTCGTTTATTTGCTCTTCGTCCTTGATCATGCCTTCTACCAATTACCTTGAGGGATTAGAATCCTTCAGTTCTGCATCTAACTTTCCCAGACAAGGCGGTGGTGGTGCTCTTTCTACGGCATCTACCGCAACTTCTAGAGAACATGAGGAGCATCATCAGAAAATGCGGCAGGAGTACTACAACGAACAAAATGTGGCTGCTCCTGACTCCTCTGCAGCCAAGAAACTGAAAAAGAAGAAGAACTACATTAGTCGGACACAGACATATCCCGGAGGACCACGTGGACCACCTGGTGCTCAAGCATACCTCCATAGTACCTCTACTTAAGGCCCAGTCTAATCCATATCGTTATCGTCCATCTTCGCTATAGAGTGATATTCGAGATCTATATCATTCGTTACAATATTTATTAGGTTTATCCCGTGCAACAATATATCACTCGTTACCTCCCGTGGTCTTGGCTATCTTCATACTACTGGCAAGGCTATGCTTTGTCCTTAATCAGAAGTCAAAAATCTAGTCCCTTAACTTCCCTAGCGCTAATCTACGCCACCACCTGGCGGCACAGCATCTGGTCGCTCCTCAGGTGTTGCCCAAAGCGCTCCAAGAGGAGGAGGTGTGAATCGAGCTTACTCACCAGAGTTTTACGAGAACGAGAGCAATATGAAGACAGTCTTCAGTTATCATGGGATACGTGTTGATGGGGGACAGCAAAGCCTGTTCCCAGACACGCCAGATGGAGCTAGTAGTTCGAGTGCTGGTGGATTAGGGAGAGCGACACAACAAGATTATGGAGAAGAATTTTTGAGTGGAAGATCAACACGAAGATGTGTGTAGTTCTTGTCCATATGGAGATTTCTTTAACACGAAGCCACAGGTTCTTGTTGTGGAGAAATCAGTATCTTGTCATGTGAGACAGTAGATGCCATGTTCTTATTTTCTCGCAATCAAATCACCTCCTTGTTTTCAAAAACAAGCTCTCTTTCATATCCCACAAACGCAGCGAACCGAACGTTCCCTTTTCTTTGTGGTCCTCGGTTTTGTCGCCGTTTCCGTGGGGATAGGGATACTCGTTCTTTGGTGCGACCTAGTGCACGATGAGACGCACAGCAAGAATCTGCACAATTACACGGGCTGGTGCCACGCGGGGTTGATAGACTACATTCCGCGATATTTTTATGCCAGTTATAGCGTGTTTACGATTACGATTTTGGCCATATTCCTGTCGCAACATCCGTCAGTGCGACGAGGGATTCGAGAATTCAAAGACGCAGTGAGAACGAAGTACTCTCATATATTATTGAATTTAATTTTAAAAATCACTCCAACTCCATCTTGTTCATCGAGTTGTTCTGAGAATCAACTTCAACAACATTTCGATTTTGTATCGTATCTGTCTCCCTTACTTCTCCCCCCCAGCTGCTTTCCCCACCGCTATCGGGCACTAGACGAACAGGAGTCCACCTACACTATGGCCGCCAGTCCGTGGATGAATTTTCAGCCTGGAAGGCACACCTCTGCAGCCTTTGAGACGCCTATTCCAACGCCTTTGGTGCCGCCTGGTGGGTTGAGGCAAGATATGCTTATGGAGGGTCGGATTTTTTTTCATACATAATCAATCAATAACAATGTTTACTTTGTTGTACTTGTACTAACTAGAAGGAGGACACGATCATACGTCTTTTTAGTTACCTATCACATGGGATGCATGTGGAAATGGATATGAATCGATAATGAGTGACTAGTAACAGTAAGTAGAGGTGGCATGGTTACTTACGGTGAATATCTTCCCTTTTTCATGAAGGAGCAAACAAGAGGGCGCACTGAAACGGGTCGCGGAACGTCGTCGAGGATAAAGAAGGTACTATCTCTTTTTGATCTCGTTGTGTCTCTTTACAATGATGCATCTTCAAAGGAGAACTACATAGAGCGTCTGATATCTGCAAATAGGAAAGCAAGTCGCTACAAAGCGACATAGGCAAGGTGTTGTGTTTGTTGTTTTTATGGAGCCGGTCCTAAGGAATGAAGATTGGCATACGTAAACAGGGTGCAGACGAGGTGCATCTACTTCTATCGGTGAGGACATCATGATATTTTGAGACACTCGAGAGAAGTGTGGTGCCTGAATACAACAGAGAAAAATAGAGAGTACACTGCTTCAGCTGGACAGGGCGCGCTTATTCGCTTGTAACTTCATCGACTTTCGTTGTTACGTCCCCCAGAGGAGCTTCATCCGCGGCCAACATGTTGAATCATTAAAACAAGAATACCAAGAACTGCACGAGCGTACCCACGCACCTCCTACTCCTTGTCCTTCACTCACTTTTTTTTGTTGACCTCGCCCCGTAAGAATGATTTGAAATTTTTGAATATGAATTTTTAAACTACTTACTACTTTTGGTTGTATGTTCGACGACCACGACTAATTCTGCAAGAACAAGATGGAGGTGTCGCTGCGAAGGCGACGAGGATCAACTTTTTGAACTAGTGGTGCCTAAGCCGCAAAAGACGAGGGAGAGACGAAGCTCAACACGACGCGAGGCATCCACGGAGCCAACCAGGAGCAGACGCCCCCGGTTCTAGGGGCAGAAGTTCCCCACCCTACTAGGGAAATTCCGGAGCGTTGAAGGACCGACCTCAAGTGTTCAACTCGTCATTCCTGAAGACTTCGCATCCTCGTCAAGTTCAAAACTGATAAAGATGTCATTGTCAAGAGCAGCATTTCCTGACGCCTCCGTTGACGTGGCAGCTGCACGTCCTTCCTCCTGCCTCGACGTTCCGAATTCCTCCGCTGACGTGGCAGCTGCACGTCCCCCCTCCTGCCTCGACGGCGTGCAGCAGCTTCTACCGTGCTGCTGCAGTGCTGGGACTGCGAAAGAAGCCTCTGCGACTGGAGCACTATGGATTCAAATTATCCTCTGAGTCTGAGGTTGAGAAGATACTCATTGATTTTGTTTTTAGCTGCCGAGACAAGCACATCGATCAAAAAATGACTACGCGGTTGTTCATTTTAGATGAATCTATCATTTCTCGAAGTCGTCCCTCCTCTAATCGTAGCAGATGAATCTATCATGATTTCTCGAAGTCGTCCCTCCTCTAATCCTAGTAGGAGGACCAGCAGCAGCTGAAAACAAGACATCATCTCCCTTGCCACCTGGAAAATTCAATGTTGGAGCGGTTTCGGCGCTTTACCTAGATCGCAGTGATAAGAATTTGCCCTTGCGAGCGTCAGGCGTCGTGCCGCCTCAAAGTAGACCTTCCGAGAGTGGACATCATGGGAAACGATGCGAGGTGGCTGATTTAACAACCGGACAAGCAACCAACGGAACAAGCGCAGCAGCTCATGCAGACTCTCGTCGAATCACGCAGCAACTAAATAATCCTGGACATACACGTAGTCGCGAAATTGTCGCTGTGGATCACGACGAATCTCAACGAGCACGTTTGAGGAATGCCCTTTCATCTCTCGGTCCTCAAGTGTTGCAGGATTTATCCCAAGCAAAAGCGTCAGATCTGGTCTTGGTTCCTGCCACTGCTAGTAATTTGACAGCTTCTGGTGCTTCAGCACGTCGACAACATCAACAGACTTTTTCAGCAACAGCAACATCTTCAGGAGCAGTTGGAGCTGTGAAAAGAATCCTAAAGATTCCCACCGCAACTACAACTTCTACAAACACATCTTCTGGAGGATCTAGTAACAAGAGCTCAACATACGCATACCCGCCAACATCGTCTTCAACTTCATCTTCTTTCTCCTCTAAAGTAGAGTCTTCGATTCACAAGATACTGGCTTTTAGGCCACCTCCTCTTTCCTTGAACATTGGATCTCGAGCCTCGTCTCAGGGATCGGCGTCGAGTCTCGAGCAGGCGGCGATGCTCACGGCGCGAAGCGGGACCAGTAGTCGCGCGAGCAGTAGAGATGACCATCTACTTCCGGCGGGAGTTGTGGGTGGGGAAAACAAGAACAATAATTTGATTATTGAGGTGAATTTATGGTCCTCGTTCTTCGGTTCGTGTACTATTCTGCTTTTCCTTTTGTTGTATTTCAAGAAATGAGAAGATCTTCAGTGGAAGATGAAGTAGTTGAAGGAGCAAGATACTAGGATGCCGCTTTGTACATGTTGGTTCAGGAAGCATCGATATGGAAATAGGCTGAATGACCTCATCACTGCTTGACCATATTGTAGCTCGCGAGGTAACATGACATGACATGAATACGAGAGGACGGCACAACTTTCACAACTCTAATCCTCGACGGTTCCTCCTCTCGCCGACCTTCCGGGTCTGGCGCTCTCGCAGATCTGATGCGACAGCTGCCACCTTTGAAAGTTCTATCAACGCAGAGCGCGAAACAGGCGTCTCCACGCTTTCATAATCCAACACCTCGTCTTCTACAGTTAGACAGTAGCAAAATGCAACTCAAAACCGTCCACAGCCAGGGCCATAATTCCCAACAACATCAAGATCACCTACAGCAGAACAATCTCCAAGTTAATACAACTACTATTTCTTCATCAACAAGTAGTACAAGAAGAACAAGAAGAGCAACAAACGGACGAAATCCAAAGGGCACGCCTTCTCCAAAAAACGCGTTACCGACACCTAGGTTGCGATGGGACTCGCCGGCTGACATTTGGCAGTTTGATCCTCCTGTGCCTCAAGACGTGATCGATAAAACGCTTGCGCGTGGGCGAGCTTCATGGTTGAGGAGTAAGGCGAGGAAGGTGAGGAGTAAGGCGTGTTTTTTATGTGGTCTTCAGGAGTGTTCTTTATGTGGTGTGCTCCTGTCGTCCCTTCTGCTGGTCTTAAGTACTTATACTTTGATGTTCTCGTCAGCAAATGACGAGCTCTCCTTCTCGCCGCGATCAGTTGTTCGAATGCTTTGCGTTCAATCCGTGTAGACCACACATGTTGGTGTCAAACCCGGTGCACTCATGCTCCTGCACAGATTCCTCCTAGGCATCAGCTCACCACTTTCATCAGAATCGATTCTATTGAAATCCAATATAAGTAATCTACTTCAACCAGTTCTTCTTCTTACTTCTATCTAGTTGTATCACAATCACATCTACTTCAACCAGAAGTGCTCAACACTTCTATCTAGTACCTCTACTATCACTCTACTACAACAGATCCGCAAAAAGACCGCGGCGATCCAAGGCTACATAGCTGACCACGCTTCGCTTATCGGCAAGAAAGGGAGCAAGAATTAAGGCTCAGCTTTCAATGGTCATTGGGGTTGGTCACTGAGATCCCTCTTGAGAGAACAGGGGAAAATGAAGGAAAAGCAAAGGGAGAGGCATGGGGCCCATTTCTTTCAGAGTCAGTGACCATTGAATGCTGAGCTTTAAAAGAAGTCGATGAAGGCCAAGTCCAAGTTCGAGAAACTTCAGGAGCAAACAAGAGTGCTTGACAAAGATGCGAGTCAAAGTCAGACTAGTTCACCCGATGCAGCCGCGATCGAACAAGCCGCCAACAGCATCATGCTAGAAGTGGGAGGAGGTGTCAGGCCATCGCCGGGTCAGCATCAATTATGTTGACTTGTTATACCCTAAAAATTCATGTTGATCATTGACTTGTCGTGTGTTAGACCCTAATTGTAATTCATCTTCAAGTTCAAATAAATCCTTCCTCCCAGGGAAGCAACAAGGCGCCAAGGAACCCTAATTCATCTTCAAATATATCCTTTCTCCCGGGCTCTAACTCAAGGGAGCACAGCCTCGTCATCTTCGACGAATATAGCGATGAATAAAATGCGGGAAGAGCGTATAAGGAGTATAGGAGCTGGCGGAGGAGCACCGGAAAGCAATAAAGCAAGAGGCTTTGGGATTCCACTACCACCACATGATATGGCAATGATCATCATGCCATAATTGACATTGAATTAGAATAGAACAAGTCCTCTCGGTCTTTTGACTTCATGACCTTCTCTCCGCGTTTGCTTTTCCACACTCAACTGTTCTTCTAACACAAGCGCCGGACGCGGGGAGCCAACCTCACCCATTCTCCAGCACCAAAACGGACTCCGATTCGCTGCTCAGCATGCTAGTCCAGTCTATAGTGAAGGAACAGCAGGTGGCTGGGCTAGTTGCAACGACATGGAGGATGAAGGAGGTGAAGCGGAATCCGATGAGGAGGAAGAGGAAACTTCTTCTGAGGAAGAGGAAGAAGATGGAGGAGTATGGCTCAATTTTCATTGGTCATTGATGGGGTCGGTCTCTGACATCACAAAGAGGAGATGCCGTGAGTGAACAAAGGAAAAGTGAGGGAAAAGGAGAAAGCTCTGTAAGGCGCCTTGTCCCTTCGGCATCAGTGACCAATGAATGTCGACCTTCTAAGAAGAGATGAAATCTTGGGCTACAATGGGTTTCTGGATTTGCGGCAGGAAGTGCGAGAGTTGATCTTCCGAGAGTTGGATGATGGTAACAAGGCAGTGGTTTGCAATTGCAACTTGATCTTGAGGTTCATCGATAGAATATTTTTGAATACTGTAAACCTTTACAACCATGTTGTCGAATATTCAAAACCAGATTTGTAGCAGGCATGCAAGCAGTAGATGTTTGTGAATTATTATCAATCCCAAGAACATGACTTCTCATTTTCAATTTCACGTGCTTCGACTCACAATCTCAACTACAATCCTAAAAAACCCGCCTCAAACCCACAGAAAAAATCGCTATCATCAAGCAACTCATTCACGACTTGGACAGTGGGTCTATTCAGAGGATAAATCCGCATATGACAAGAGATTTAGTGATCAGTTTCTGTCATTATGGTCAGCTTTTTTCCATCGTTCTCGGCATCTTGGTCCCCTTTATTTGTTCCACTGTATTCTTCTCATGAAATTTACAAGCTAAAAGGGATCCGCCCAAGAAAAGGGGGGCCGAGAAGATGTAATCTAGCAGACTCTAATGTAAGTTTTTCGGTGGCGCAGAGAGTGGGTGCATGCGATTCTTGAAAGTGACTGGGTGGAACAGGCACAAAGCCATGGACCGAATTGCCAGAGCAACGCTTTGGCGCCATTTCGAGATGCCGAAGCTGGATGCTAGAGCAAGAAACGTTTTAGACGAATTCAACGCAGATCCGAAGGATGGATGCTTTCCATGTACTACTACTGGATCCGAACTGAAAGCTGCTAGCATCTTCTTCATATTGCCTAGCTATTTTTGCAGTGGGCTTGTTGCATTTACATCTACCTATCTATCAGTAACTCGACATCCATCTAACCACTACGATCTGATGGCTGCCTCGCAAAGCTGTGATCTATCATAACTCCAGAGACTGGACTCTGGGGATTTCTCCGTTCATAGCACCAGCAAATACACCAATCACTCCTCACTCAGGTGCCGGCTCTTATTACAAAGATCGAGAGTATTGCGCCTATGATGGTAGCCCGATCGAGCTGTGGCGCACGTGTAAAATCAATTTCAACAAGGCATTTGGCCGTTATAGCGAATTAGAACTCGAGTTGGCGTATGTTCACTACGTGTTGCGGAAAGAAGCCACATGCCGAAGGTGCAAAGCTCAGGGAGTATTTGCGTTGATTGTTATGGGTGGAGGATCTTCGGACTAGTTGAAAATAGTGACAATGTGATAGACATTTTGATGATAGACACTTTGATGATAGACATTTTTGTGAGCAGTAAAGCTCAAACCTTAAATCCTTCTTCTCTAACCTCCATTGCAAAAACACCTCTGTCGCTTCCATCGCCTGGCAGACGTCCAAACTCCGCGTGATGACCACGTTTATGGCGAAATATGGCGAACAATTCTTTCCAGATTCGATATCCAAGGCGTTGGTTTACAACGCTCCTAAGGGTGCGGACTTCATTTGGAAACTATTTTCTAGTGCCTTGTCAGCAGCGACAAGGGAACGTGTGCAGGTGATAAGTGGCGATGGGAAGGAAGAGATAGCAAAATTGATGGATCCAAGGGTGGTGAAACAGTTGGAGGATTTGCTGCCGGATTGAGGAGCCAGTGTGGCTGCGGATGGCTTCCAGGGTAGTCTCGGCAAGAAATTTGATTTTGTTATTGAAATTTCAATGAAGAAAGGTTGAACAGTTTCGTTTTCGTAGTTATTTTCCGTCCTGATCATATTCGTGAACTGATGTTTTTGCTTGCAAACAACAGTGAGATGTAATAGTCTATCGTCTTCGTTCTTCTTGAATCTCCTTAGAGTCTTATGTCTAAAACGACGAAACAAATCTGTCCTCCAAGTAACATCTTGAAGATTCACTAATACTATAAATGTCGACCACGACTCGATTTCGTTATTTTTTGTTCTATCGCGCGTGGACCATGCATTGTTTAGTGACTTCTTTCAGGTCTTAGTAGCCTCCTGAAGTCCGATTTTGTTGGTCTCGCCGTGTTCTGAGAGATGCACGACTAGTGTAGAAGTTTTTCTCTGAGACGTTTCCTACGTCTTGTGCTCGGTCGCTCAGGTTTGGACTTCTGAGCAGAATCAACCTTCATCTCGGATATCGTTTTTCGGTTTTTTGGCAGTCGCAACAAGGTAACTCGGTTATCGTTTTTCGGAGGATCGTTATATGTTTTTCCCCGAAGGAAAGTGGTCGATGCCATGTTACATAGTAGTAGAACTCGGTAGATCATTCGTGCACCACACTACATAATTTAAGACGATGTACAATCCATCGAGTCTTTTTTTCGGTAGCTCTCGATCCTGATCGCAGTTCCTCGCATCCAAGATATGGATGATAAGTCCATGACATTCTAGACGAAAGAAAAGTAGAAGTATATCACTATGATCTCCAATGAATTTACAAACGTTCATTCCTAGTATAATTCCCACCAATAAACCCAAACTCTCCTACAACAGCAGGGCAGATGTCTTCCAGAGCTCTCTCTCAATTAATTGTTTTCAAGAACCAACTACAATTTCTATTGTATCGCGTTGTGAAAAAAGTGATGTTCAGGAATGACACACCCTGTTTTTGTTGTATGACACAGAAATACTTATAATCATAATCGTACTAGGATAGTGTGTTGATGATAGATATTACATGGCACACTTTTTTTTTTGAATCGGGAAAGAATGAATGAATCCTGCTATTGATAGTTCCTAGGCAGATATTCACTTGTTCTTGTAAGTCAGTTTTGTAGCCTATAAGAAAGAACCTGATGATTGAGCTTAGATCACACCAGTTCGTTTTAGATGCTAAGGAGCGATATCATGATAGATTTTGTCTCCTGTTGAAGTTAGTAGTAGTACAAGTTCGAGTTTTTTGATAGGAATAGGGCATCAACATCAAAGAACTGATCGGCGATTCGGAAGACAATGACGCCTTTAACTTCGTTTGCCGAACCAGAAGAGCCTCTTGTTGTCATGTGTAAGAAGAGTGATTATAGCCTGATGAAAGTAACTGACCAAGTTTTATTTTCCAGTGATTTTAACAAGAACAACTACAACAATCATGTAGTTTCTATTGGATTGATGTCAACAAGTACTAATGGCACTGAGATCATAGGCACTAATATGAAAAATATCACTGCTACTTCTACTTCTACCACCAGATACGCCCCCGCTGCCACTCCAGATCATGAGCTTTTTTTAGTCTGGTTGTTGTTATTTCAACACTTACTGGTCACATTGTTGTTCCTGGGCGTCGTCTTATTGCGTAGATATGTCTACCGTGTGTCGTACGAGCAACCCTTAGCAGATAAGTTCATCTTTCTCATCTTGTTGGTCGGGTTCTTTGATCATTACATGTGAGCCTGAGCAGTAAGGATATTAAGTTCGGGTTCTTTGATCATTACATGTGATTGTGAGCCTGAGCAGTAAGGATTATTATATTAAGTTTAAATATAGTTTACTAGAACTCGTCTGGAAAATCTTAGGCAGCTCGCCGAAAGGATTCAAATCGTCATAATTAACGATTTTGATGTGTTCGCTGTGAAGAAGTTTAAGTTGTGAAGAATTGCGTTTGTGAAAGTGGTAGATAACAACTAGTAAAGGATTTGACTGTAGATCTAGAACTAGATTCCAAATTGTTGTATGTACCTAGTTTATTTTCTAACCTAACCTAACCTTCTAGTTAGATGCAAGTTGTTGTATATGCCTAGTTCATTTTCTAGTCGTATTTGAAAATAAGCAACAAGATGGTAGTAACAACGTGCCTCGTCAACGGTGAGCGGTGGTTGTTGCCAGTTGGTGTCCACGACCTGAATGGAAAGAAATTGAAAGGAGTTACAGCAGTGGAAGCGGCGGAAGCAGTCGAGGGGAAGCAGCATTGCCTCAACCTGCCACACCACTTACGTCTGAAGATTCATCATCAAGTTGACGGTCGCGTCGTTTTCCAGGCAAATGATGACTTGCTGTGTAGCAGATCAGAGAGTGTGGACGAGTCCTCGATTAGTAGTACGACTCGAGGCCCTGCTCCTGCAGAACTTGTTTCTCAACCTGCTCAAGATTTCTTGCTACTCCGCAAAGGTCAACGGCTCGTCATTGAGAAGGAAGACATGTTCGAAGACATTGTTGATGGAGATGGGAGTTCTGAAGAAAGGGCTAGTACAGAAACTTATGACAGTCCCCGACCGTTGCGCGTTTGCTTTGCACTTGTGCCTCCGTTAAGCACGTCGATGTCGCCTTCGGATTCTAGTGTTGTATTTCACGAGCGAGTTTGGGATCTCCTTCCTGCGCGACCAGCACACGGTGGCTCAAACAAAGGCGAACAGGAGCTTACTGAAGTGGCTAACAACAAGTACCGCACTCTTCCGCGAAGAAGATCGTCCTCTAGTTCTGCATCGTCATCAAATGCTAAGCAACAAGAGAAAGCTCCTGTAGAAGATAGCCCCTTTGGGGATGCTCACGATTCCATCCATATCCCCAAAAGACGAAAAATAGATGATCATGGGGATGGAATCGGCCGTACTCGTAGGACTGTGGAAATACGACAGAGCGACGGTCGAATGGGCGATAAGCCTGACGTATTTTTTGAGCTGTGTTGTGAGTCATGGAGATTCAGCACGCATGTTCCTGCACGTAAAAATGTAAACACAACAAGAACAGTAGAAGAGGATGGAGCCTCTTCGCCGAGCTCGACGAGCGTTGGTACTTCTACTCAAAAATCTTTGCATGAACATTGAATTAACTACGGTCTTCATACATTCTTCTCCGTGAAGCAATACGAGAATAGAGTCGAGACTCACGACTGGGAATCTTCTTCACGCTATTCTCAACCTCTATTTGTATTTGCATCACCAGGTGCCGACTCCTTACGTTGGCTGATCGAACGCAAAATTGGTGGTGAACTCGTGGATGACCCTGAGCATTGCAACTTTCTGCTCATGCACGAGCTCAAATTGTCCGATCCGTTTTTGAAGGCTTATTTGCGCACCTGTAGTAGCACATCCTCATCTAAATCTCAGATGACAGGCTGCAACAAACCCTTCTGTCACATCGTCTCTGAATCATTTGTCTTCGCTCTGTTGGAGCCTCATATTAGAGGTGGTTCCTCTTCTGCTATGGCTGTAGAAGAAACAGTTCTAGACCCGAGTCTGACCTTCTTCCCGCTACCTGATCCAGCAGATTTCTTCCCGCCTTTCCCGAGGGTCGAAGAACGATTTCCGAAGCTGTTGCAGATGGCTGTGAGAAAAGGAAGAAAGATGAAGAAACAACAAGAACAAGATTTTGGGCAGTCGTCGACCTCTAGCTCTAGGCCACCTCCAGTATTTTCCAACATCCGCTTCGCCTTGTTGAACAATCGGACTGCATCTTCCACAGGACTCATGGACTTTATCCGTTTGTGTGGTGGTGAAAGCTTTCACGCGTTTGTAGCGATACCAGAGAGGAGCTTGCGGGAGGCATTGCTGAAAACGGAGAAAGAGACGCCCATAGAGACGAAGCAAATAGTTGCCCTCTCGATTGCAAAAGAGGATTACGAGGTCAAAATACCAGCACAAGGGCAAAACGATAGCTCGTCCTCATCACCATCTTCTACCGGTGTACGTTTTGTCGTTCCGAACGTGCAAATCTATGCTTCGATCTTGTCCCAGAGTGCTGACAACCTGACGAAGTTTGAAACTGCTGAGAGTTTTCTGGCTGCGTTGGGCGAGTGGAGAAAGAGGCGGTTTGGGGAGCAAACGGCTTCGACGGCTGCTGGCAAGAATGGTTGTGGTTTTAGTGCGACGGAAACAACAAAGCTGGTTGACAGGGCCGAACAAGTAGCTGCGTCCGGACTCGCCGAAGCAAAGAACACCAGCAACATGGATATTGAGGAGAAACCAAGTGTGGCAATCGCATCAAAAAATGTTGTAGAGGAGCAGCATGCTGAAAGTGGAAGGCGGGGAGATGTACCGGAGCAGCCAGCAAAGGACGAGGCTCCACCAGCAGTCTCCCACGCAGAACAAGATCCCGCGCCCGTGGTTGTAACGGAAATGGAGGTCCAGAAACAAGAGAGAGCAGATGGTCAAGGAGAGCGAAAGGGAGAGCAGAACTCTGGAAATGGAGAGACGGAAGTTGTATCGTGCCATGATGCCCATGTTGTCCAGCCAGCGCCCCCACAGGAAAATGAAGACGAACACAAGCAGGAGGAGAATCATAACGTCGCCCTCCCAAAACTCACCGGCCCAAAACGCGCGTCTGAAGAGAAGGCAGATGAGGCTCCTGCAAGTGCAACGCCACTTGAGCCCGAAGTTAAACCACACGAAATTGCAGCACCATCTTCTCTCTCAATTGACCAAAGCATCAATCCGTACGCTTCTTGCAGCAATGCCGTCGGAAATGGTTCATGTGCTTCGGTCTTGCCTGCGGACGGTGAAAAGGTCACCCAAGCTGCTGTGATAGTTGGAGACGGAGTGGAGCTGCAAGGGAGAGAGCATGAGGACCCTCTGCCAGACAAAGCTTCGAAACCCGACGCGTCAGATGTTGAAAAAAAGGATCCGTCTAGTCTCATTGCTCCGCCTGCAGGAGCACCCGTACACGAACTAGCGATGGAACCCCATCTTCTTGCTCTGCTGAAAAAAACAGAAGAGCTTTTGGCCATGCCTACTCAGGTGGAGCAGAGCGCTGTGGCAGATTCTCTCGTGGCTGGACGAGGCCTTGTTGGTCCCGCTGTACAACCAGAAGAAGGTGGTCCTGAAAACAATAAGAACATCAAAAGAGTTCCAGAGGTTATAGTAGAACTGGAGGAAGATGAGCTTCCAGCAAAGCGTCGGAGGATTTTTGCCGAGGATTCACAGATAGAAGCACATGCAGCAGAGCCCAAGGAGCAGATGAAAACAACTCGACTAAATAATGATCCGCAAAACGTAAACGACCAAGAAAAACACCAAGCGAAACCACTTCTAGACCCAATAGAAGAATCATCCCCACCGGAACTTAGTTCTCCTCCACCAGTGGCTCCTCTACCTCCTCGACCCACAGAAAGCCAAGAAGTATGGGCGAAGCTGGTACAAAGCTCTCGACATTTTGTCATCAAAAAACGAGCAACAGCATCACAAGAGGAGGCGGCTTTGGCCCTTGGCGTTGGGACGAGCTGTGGGGAGCACGAAAACGTTGATTTGGTTCAAGGGGCTTTTCGGAAGCTGGCACTCCGTTATCATCCAGATAAACAGAAAGCAAATACTAGTGCTGCGAACTATGCGGAGGAGTTCATCAGAGTGAAGAAAGCAAGAGATTTTCTTCTAGATCGTGCTGCTGCTGGTGGCGGTGCAAAAGGGAACAAGAAAGTTGTGATAGAAGATCCACAGCTGCAGCAACATCAAAATCCAGGAAACAAGAAGCGTGAGAGAACTGTTTTAGACGAGCTCTTCTCGCAGTCTCAAGGGAGCATGTCCAGGTACTTGGAGGAAGTGCCTGGAGGTGTCGAAGTAGTGCCTGAAGTAAAAGAGAAGGATGAACAAGGAAAGTCTTCTAAGGAGAAGGATATTAAGGAACATGATCCGAAGGCAAGAGGCGCTGACGAAAAACAAGAACCAAAAGTACTGCAGAAGAACTTCCCAAGTTTCCTTGACAACATGTTCAACGATGTCAAGAACACAACAACAAAAACCGAAAACGAGGATGACTTCGGTGGAGCAAATCTCGGAGGCCTCGAGCAAGTGGAAGACAGTCTGATAACTGCAGATTTGGGGGATGCAAAAGTTAAATTTTTCGAAAAGAACAAAATCGACTTTTCAACAACGCGGAGGCCGTCTTCTTCTTCCGCAGCAGTGATTGCATCAGCGCAACCTGCTGTGCCGGCTGCATCTGCGCCTCCACCTGTCGGCGAGGGTGGAAATAGCAAAGGAGGACTTGCTCCCGTCGTGAAATTCAGCGACCTGTTTTCCTCAAGCCTGTCTTCGAATGTAGAAGTAAAGACAACAACGGAGAACGAACCTCCTCCACCGAAAAATGATGTAGCTGCAGCTCCTGCCCCGACGACGGCGAACGATACAAGTAGGACCCTAGTGCCTACCGTTCTTCCAACCGAGAATATCTGGGACGCCGCGCCTAAGTTGTTCGACGAGAGCTGCAATGTTTTCGATGAAAAGAAAGACACCGACTCAGGAGAACCCTTAAAAACCGCGTCTGTACTAGTGCCACCATTCGAAGAAGCTGCTGTTTCAATAACGACAAATGCCGCGCCACCAGTAGGAGCACAGGAAGAATGCGTGGATCCTGCTGAAGTTATGCCACCTCCAGCAGTTGTTGCTGGATCCGAGGTAGAAGCTTCATCTGGTTCCGAAATTGGCACGGGTAATTCTGAAGCAGTAACTGTCGCCGTGCACGCTGTCCCCGGCGCAGTAACTACTTCTACAGCTTCTAGAGTTCCTGATCTTCTTGTACAAGACGTCGCGGCGAAAAGGACAGGAGAGGAAGACGTAGCTCCTGTGGCCACGACTGCACATGTACGAGCGCCAACATCCTCTTTAGCAACAGCCATGGCACGGCTATATCAGCAGGTCTCTGCGGCTGCTCCCGCAGTGTCTGTAGTCGCTCCTGCTTCTTCGTCCTCAGTTGCGCCAGTAGTTTTTACCGCAACTGAAGAAGAAGCGAAGTCGGCTCCTGTCGACGCACCAGTCGTTATTGCTACAACGACCACAACGGAAGTAAAAGTTGAGTTGGAAGATGGCAGGAGTTCAGATGAGCAGCTGCAACGCAAAAGCGCCGTGATTGAAGAAATAACCTCTACTGGCATTACATCAGCGGAGCGTGTCCAAAACAAGAAAGAGGAAGGCCTAACGGCGACATCTTCCTCCACTTCCACTGCGCCAGCCCTCAATCTCCAAGAAAAGGATAGAGCACGTCCTCCTGCATCCCCTACTCGAGGACGTCAGAAGACGAACACGACTACTTCTAATCTTACAACTGCTCCTAAAGAACCTCCTCAAGAAGAGACGTTTCGGAAAATGGCTATGGCGTCAGCTTCTGCGAAATCGTCTTGGAAAACTGGGGCACCAAGGAATCAACCATTTCCAACCATTTCAAAAGGCGCAGTTTCTACTTGGGCCAATTTCAGAATACAACAACAACAAGGAGGAGGACTCTTCACAGGCAAGCCAAGCAAGAACATCAAGAATGCGACTACAAACTCAAGAACTACAGTGGTTGTAGTAAACCAGCATCAAAATAAAACTGAAACCACAACTCATCTGGTTACATCTTTTTCGGACTCGAAGTCGGTATTTTCTGCAAATAAAGCTACCACTCCTGCTGCACCTCCACCAGGACCAGCTCCTCCGACGAGACCGCTCTTGCAACAGGAAGACTTCTTTCCCGGATCCCAAGATCTACTTCTCAATTTTGCGAATTGTGGTGCTGGGATTTGTGGTCAGGCAGGGAGAACAACCGTAAACATCAATACGGATTTGATTTGATCGATAATTGAAACGTAATACATAGAAAATGTATACTAGCACCACCACAGTTGAATTCAGGTTGTCGCCTACATATATATAATTTGATTATTCTTGGGAGATGAACTAGTTACTCTTGCGTGGACTCGTCCAGAGAACTAGTACATTGGGAGAACAATTGATAAAGATAAACGACAGAAAGGGGAGAAGACAACAACTCTTGTACAAACTATCTACATCGATGCGATTTTTTTAGCAGAGCAAAATAGATGTTGATGAGGCTCGCACTATTAGACGGTAACATAGCAGAGCATTGAAGAGGACAGCCTATCTTAGCAGAGCATATATTTGAAATTGATTTGGATTTTCATCTAAATCCAAATTTATGTTGTTTCTTGTGTATTGTGTTTCTCTTACTCCCACGACACATGATGCTCAAATTCCTGTAATTCACCCGAAACGATCATGAACGCGAACATATTAGACCACGACTAGTTATTTTATTTATAGTACCGTTCCGATCTATAACCTCGCGAATCCGAATCCTAAAAATGTTAACAGAGATTTAGGCGATGCCATGAATCCTGGTAACAACATCAAGTTCTGCAAGTAGTGAGAAGAATTGAATTCCTTTGTTGTGAACAGATGTGCTGCATATCATGGTTGGCCAAGGAAACCTGAAAATTTCGGAACCACTAATTTGTGAATGTTTAGATTTTGAGAAAAGATGTCAATATTATCAGAGGACCGACAAATCTAAGATCGACGACATCTTTTAACACTGTGCGATGGAGATGGTGGTTTGCGGTGAGGTTTGTACCTCCTGTTCGATGTGTGGAGTTTGTTCCAGTGTTGCTGCTGTTGATGGTGAGGGGTGATGGTGAAGTATTGATGGTCAGCATGCTGATCTCCTGGTAGAGGGGAGGTAGTCCTCATGACCTGGTAGGAAATGTGATCTGCGCACACTCTCAGTCCTGTCTCTGGAAAGTAAAGTAGATTCTTTTTCGGCGTTTTCATAGTCGTGAATGCTCACCTTCTCGAGGCGAGCCAGCTCCTATTCTATCCTATCATCCAGTAGGTTGCTCCTCATTCTCCGCTTCCACTTCAGGATTGCGGTCTCGTGGTCATGTTGCACAGTACTGATGATGCTATTTTTGCTACTCCACGTGCATTATAATCCCCATTTTGTCTGAATCTGATTCTTCTCATGATTCTTCATCTTCACACTTAGACTTAAGTACTTTGCTTTGTTGATGGACAAGGCTTAACACTAACAAGATCAAGAATAGGGACGGACATAAAAAACCGTAAAAATGGGCATTCCTCAGTACTTCTCTTGGTTAAAGCAGAAGTTTCCAGGTTCGTTCCAGGATGGAACCCCTAGAAAGCTGAACCTCACCAATGTCGAGCATTGTTACATCGATCTCAATTGCTATCTGCACAATGTGGTGCGGCGTGCGACAAATTTTGACACGTTTGTGGGATTGGTGAAGCGTGAAGTCGAGGGATTGCTGAACCAGTTTCCAAGGGACAGTTTGTTATGGAGAGTTTGTTATAGAGTTTGATTTTATGGAGTTTGTTATGGAAATTGGTGTGGTTGAGTCAGAGTGGGGGTTGAGTCAGAGTGAGGGTGTAATCAATCTCCTAATGATCTCGTTTCACTTTTTTCTGGTGCCTATACACAATTTATCTTCTTGTTGTTGTACTATTGCACTGCTTGTCGCCGGTGTGCTACTAGATCATTTGGTATTAATACTGATAACCATAACGGTAATATCCATCTTTATCAATATGGTCCATAACTACTTACGTTAACGAGCGTGGAGGTGGTCTCGCATCGCAGCACTCTCCCTTCTTCTAAGGTTCAAAACTGTCTATCTCGCAGTGGACGGACCAGCAGCTAGAGCTAAGGTGCTTCTTCAGCGAAAACGCAGACGGGCAAAGCAGAGTAGCAGTTTCTCGATCGGTATCTCTCCAGGAACAACCCTGATGCGTAAGTTATGCGACGGCTTGCGCGAGTGGTGTGCGACACTAGCGAAAAAGAGGAGCATAGAGGTGACGCTGAGCGATGGGTACAACTTAATGGACACGTTTCTTCTGGTGACATTTATTTTAAGCCCAATTATGTGTTACAATTACACGGCTGACGCACTCGGTTGACCTCAGGAGTTGAATGAATTTTCACTTGCTCCTCGCGGCTAGAAATGAAATATTACAAGAAGCTCTTGTGAAAATGGTTGATTTGATATGATCTTCATCTTGTCTGTATGTTGTACAGTATTATCTTGTCATCTGTAGGTTGTATATCATGCTCACACGTTACTTTTGTTGACGATCTTAATCACACAGTTTCGTTCCCGGAGAAGGCGAGCACAAGATTATTTCGGCTATTATGACCAACCAAGCCAAGTCCCGTGGCGCACATTGCGTTGTTGGATCGGATTCGGATTTGTTCCTGATCGTTTTGGGTGCAGCGGCGAAGAATGTCTACACGTGGGATGGAGAACATAGACCTGGCATTGTCTTCACCCGTAACAACATGGTCAACCGCATTCTGGAATCGTGCACGGGGATGAAGAATGCAAGTCAAGGTCAACAGCAAATGCAACGTGGAAGTCTGTTGCACAGTGGTAGCGCTTTAGAAACGGCAATTAGATTAGATTTTTCGCTTTTATCGTTGTTGCGGGGAGACGACTACTTGCCGAGCCTAGTTACTTTTGAAGCGGCGTACAAAGTCTACGAGCAACTGGTAAAACCAGTGTGTCAGAAACAAGCAGTAGACAAATGGGCAATTATCAAACGAAATCTCAGTGGCAGTAGTGCTGCAGGAAAAAATCTTGGAGAAAACGCTGGAGATCTAGCTGGAACTCATGACTTCTTCGACAGTGACAGCGCAGCTGTACTTGATGACTATGGTGCCGCGTTGCACTCTTTCCGTGCCAATGAAACTTTGCCGCAGTGCATAGCTGGACTGAACGCGCATAAACAACTTGTAGTCGCTGGTGGGGCCAATAACAAGGCATCTGGTGCAGGAGGTGCGGACGCTATTCTGCAAAAAATCACACCCGAATGTGTGGACGTGATCACGAACTACCTACAGGGACTTTGTTGGGTTTTAGACATCTACCAGAACGGGCGACCTTTGTTAAGGGTAACTAGGTTAAAGGTGCTTTTCTTACCGCTTTTTATGCCTCTCTCCCTTAGGAATAGGATGAGAAAGGCAGAACAACAAGCGGGAGAACCCGCGAGCACCAAAAGGCTACCTCTAACTTTGGATTACCACTACGTCTGCCGCTCCACTGGCGAATCTTCCACCGCCAGAACCTTGCCCCGACTCGACGAGACCCTAGTAGCCGCTTGGATGCTCAACCACAAGAGAGAGTTTGGATCTATCAGAGGCGCAGTGAACCTGGACGCACCTGACACGGGAAATCCGTTGCATCCAACCACAGCGGCAATGTGCTTGATTCCTTCGAATAGCATCAAAAGTTGCTTAGACAGTGAAACGTGGAAAGCCGTGTCCGAATTATTGAAGCCAGCGACAGATACGCTGCTAGGTCCTGTGGTCTTGTTCGAAGACGACCCAGAAGTGAAGCGTTTGAAAGCGAATTTAGGAGTGGAGAGCGCCGAATACAACAAAAGATTAACGTTTGTGCAGGTACAAGAAGTGCTTTTTACACTCGAACTTGATACTTGTCGATCTCGATCATTTTTCAAGTTTACCGACCCAGAATGCAGCCTACGAGCAACTCAAACATGTAGTTATCTTGTTCAATATATTTTAATCTTTTTAGAAGCTACTACATCTTCAACAGGACCGCGGACTCGACAAATTTACCGACCCAGAATGCATCGAGATAAAGCGCAGGATGCAAACTGCTCAGACTGCTTACCAAGTTAAGAATCAAACTCAAGCCTGTCTGTATTTATACTTTGTCTTCTGTTCTTACTAGAAGAATCTTCACTATGTTAGATGAAGTAATTTTGAGCACTAAATAAAAAAAGGTTGTTAAGTTGTTGTTGTAATTTTTTTACATGCTTCACCTGGCAGGTGACACCTGCTCCTGCAGAGGCGCAGCTGTCAAGATGATATTAAGTACCCCTTTCATACCCCTTTCCACTTCCTTCTAATCTGCATCGCCTTGCCAATTTTAAGAGTTCCGACATCGACGTGGTGGACCTTTCCGTACTGGACGTTGAGGTTCGACAGAGAATGGAGGCCTTGGATTTTGAACGGAATACGCCAGCAGAACCCCTAAACGTCGTCTTTGAAGCGAAGACTGGAGTCGCAACCGATGTGCCTCCGGCTCATAGTGCAATGACGCTGGATCAAGGTGAACTAGGAGCGCTTGAAGGAGACGTTGGTGTTGGAAACATGGAGATGATAATGGGTATAATCATGATAACTGTTTGGATACTAGTGCGATGGACTGTTATCAGTATGCTAGATTATAGTGCTTGTCAATAAACAACTTGTGTCTATTTTTCTTGTCATCAAAATCAACATCAAAAACAGTTCACATTGTTCACCACAAACATTACCGCAGTTGATGACGAAGCCGGTCCTTCGGCTAAGAGAGCGAAACTCGACCACGGTAGCAGCTCTTTCTCAGAAACTGGCTACGGCGATGATGATTACAACGGGATAGATTCGAGCGATGTTGGTGGCAATGACATGGACGGTTGCAAAGATCAAGCTGCTGGCACAAGAACATCACGAGGAAACGAGCTTTCTTCAACAGGAAAGCCTCTAGGTCCCAAGGACGAAGAAGTTAGAGCAAAGAAGAGGGCAAAAAGACAACGATATGCCGAGAACAAGAAAAAGAGACAACTAGGACTGGCTATTGGCGGAAGTGGAGGCGGCTCTGCTGTTGTTGGAGGTCCCAATGCAGTTGTTCACGGGACAAGTTTTTCCTCTACAGTAAATTGCAGAGCTGCACCAGGATCCCTCCTAATGCAGAAGATCCCTGCTCCGCAGCTGTATGGAGAAGAGGATGTGGGTCTAGGTTTTGGTGTTGGGCATCAGAGAGACTTGCATCATTTCGAAAACAATAATCCATTCGCGGCTACTCGTAGTGGTGCCAATAGTGGTACTAATATTACTCGACCAGGAGCACAGGCAAATAACAAAACTAGTACACCAGTAGGCGGACCGTTAAAACCAATGCCAGGGATCGGCCGTTTGAAGCCTTTAACTCCACGCACATCAGCAGCGACTGCCGGAGCATCTACAACTACAGTGCCCTCTGGTGGTAGTCCAGTAAGAAGGAACAACCCCTTTGCACCCTCTACATTTTCTAGCGGTGCTTCTAGATCTGGATTATTTTCTGGTGCAAGGGGACCACCAGCTACTTCAACAGGAGCGGTTCAACAGAGCAATGGATCGCATAACGGAAGCATTCCGTTACAACCACTTCCTAAGAACCCGAAAAACCCACTGCAGCCTCTGTTCCGAAACGGAATGAACCAAGCTCCCACCTCCGGAACGCCCTATGCTTCTTTCAATGCAGCTCAACCAGGTAGTACTCTCGCAGGAGGAGCAGCGCTTCGTGGCACTGGAGGAGCAGTTCCCACTAGCGGACCCCTCGTCCGTAGCCAACAACAGCCAAGAGGACAACAACAAACGCAGAAGAAGAATAACAGTGGTGCTCCTGTATTCTGGCGACCGAAGGAAGTCTCGTCTGCTAATATGAATCCAGTGACCGCGAATAACCCGTTTGCTTAGTAGTTCGAGGAACTTGTTTTGATTTCATCCTCACAACATCATCAACAGTTGTCTTTTATGATTGCCTCTTTGTTCTACTTCTAGAAATAGAAATGGCGGAACCGGAACTTCTCATAGCAGAAGTCGCACTTGTACAACTTGTTGAGATTGTTGACCATCATGTTGAGCGATATTCATGATGAACATATATCATGATTGATGAGTCAGAGTCTTCCTGACATGATGGTATCTCATCGTCTCATATCCAAGATAAGAACTTCTTGATAATTTATTACCTCATGATGAGTGGCATGTTGGTTTCTCGTTCTACAGTGGAACGGTCGCTCGCAGCCATGATGCGGTGTTATGAGAAGTCCTATTGGCTGCAAAGCAATGGAGAGCGACCTTCTACTGAGCAGCAACCTGTGGGAAATAATGTGTTCCTCTCTAATATTGCGTCGAAAGGTACTTATGTGGTTTTATTTGAAAAAGTCTGCTATGATTGCTTGAAAGGGCGGTGGCATACTACGGTGATCACGGATGGCCACATCAGGAGCACACACATGACAAGCTTCTTCATTCTCTTCTGTTACTTGTGTTTGTCCTTGTGTGCTGAAAATTATGAGTGGAAAATGTTGATGCCTCCAGTCCTCCGAAGATAGTGCTTCTGCTTTACGGAGAGTGATTCTTGCATGGATGCACATCATGGTAGATGAAATGCTTGATTTTAGTACATATTAGCAAAATAACTATTCATAGACAAGACTCTTCCTGACCTTTCAAACTAACCTGCACAGGAAAGAAATGAGCAAACTTGGAGATTCCGCTTTTCAAGGATACTCTGTGGTCACTGTCTACTTCAGAAGTTTCATCTTCTCTAATTTCTCGCTTTTTTTCTATAATTTGACAGATAGGAACGCCTTTAACAAGGATGTAGCAGAAGTACTACAACAACTGAGTCGCAGCTTGCAGGATTTGAACTAGTCTTCATTGAGGGTCTGTATCTATCCTAATAGATCTTGTCATTGGTCTGTCAGTAAGAATGAAGTCGAAAGGTGCCACTACTATCATTTTTGCGATATCATTCGGATGAAGCAGAATAGAGAAAAGATTAGCTTGTTCTAAGTAATCGGTTGCGTTTTTTTCTATTGTGCAGATTCTGTGTATTTTTTTCTGGCCATCATTGGTGTACTGCATCCATCCCATGACGATTTTTACATGGTGCTGACATATTAGGTTAGGACGAGGTTGTAATATATTTTTCAAACCAACCTCTAGCACTATCAGGGTAAGAACAAGGGAAGTGTAAGTGATCTTATATTTCAGCTCTCGATCTTGTAAAAAACTAATGAGCACTCAGCCTTTTCGGTCTTCTATTGTTTAAAGATCGAAATCGATTTATCCAATGAGGTAGTATGCTTATGAGTATGAACAATGACATAGATACAACATCAGACACCTTCTAAGGACTACCAGTACTAGAACAAAAATCATCGTCTCTTTCTGGGTATATTTTGTGTATAGCTAAAGCTATCGCTCTCCAGCACGCAGACACGTGTTGCAGATCGTGATGCTCCAGCCTTCGTCAAATCGTTTGACTTCAGCCCGCGCCTATTGCAATCTCAATATTTATTTATTAATAATTTCGAGAGGTCGTTTGCATGAATGAATGAATGAAGGTCGTGTAACTGTAATTGTAATATCGACGTTGTTGTAGCTTTCGGTTTTTAAGGTCGTGGTCGTGCATCATTGATCCCGTGCAGGTTCATCAACCAACATAGAAACGCGCATAGATGACACGAACAAGTAAAGAATGCAGGAAAGATAAAGAAGACCGAATAAAGACACCTAATGACTAGTTGTAAGAATATATGAGAAAGGTGAGCGTATGAGAGTAGTAGTAAAGGTTGTAGTTATGATTTAATGAGCCTAAGAGTACAACAGCAGGGTTTCTGCTCTGTTTTTACCACAGTACTAAGAGAATCTATGGTAGCTTCCAGTACTTTTTTACAACGACTGAGATTTTTTATATTTCAACAAAAAATCGTACACCGCTGACGTTCTTTTACAACATCAACGACCACGTCTTTTTGCCTACAGATATTTTTCGTCATTGTTGATTTTAAGAGACCACCGAAACTACCACTTATCAAATAAGAACGAACACAACATCAAAGAACAAGAACAAGCGACATATTATTATAGCAGAACTAGTATTAGTATTTCAAAGACGAAAACGAGCAAAAAAAATGTTGTCCCAATCTCCTACTCCTTCGTTTTCTGTTTTCTGTGTGGTCGCGACGTTGCTGGGCGGTCAGCAGGCCAACGCTCGTTCTGCCCTCTTTGAGGGTACTGCGGGTAATCGGCTGTCTTTTGCAGCGCTTTCGCAGCAAGACTTCACTAGGAGACATTCAAACGAAAATATCTATACTGATTCGTCTGGAGTAGATCATCAATATCATCTTGATCCTGGCGCTTCTGGTGCTGGTCATAGTCAAGGTCAACAAGTAGAAGAACAAGAAACTACACATGCTGGCAGTGGCCACGATGGAGGTGCCCCTGCATATGCTCCTGTAGTTTCGAACGTTACCAGTCCCCCATTGGATTTCTTTCCTAGTGGCAGTGTCCGTGTAGGCTATGGGAATGGGGTTTCCATTTCTGGTTTGGTGGAGAGCCATACCGGTATTAGCAATAGCAGTATTAGCTACACCGCCTGGGAAGAACAACAGCAACAAGTAGCAGGATTACATCCTAGTAGTAATACCCTACAGGTCCGTCATACTAAGTACAACAGCTGGGGCAATAATCAGGCTCCAAACTACTTGGGAACAAGTACAATTACAGCAGGTTCTACTACCGGCAACGGGGGCCACAACTACAGTTACTATGGAGATGGCCAGGGTGCAGCTGGCGCACAAGCACAAGCTAGTCCACCAATATTAGTCCTATCGCTGCATGAACTTCTACACGGAAATAATCATGCTACAAGAGCTGTAGCTGGTGGCATCTTCAATGCATCTACTTCTACTGTTGTTCGTGACGAGGGAGCTCAACAGAGTGGTAGCATTCCCACTGGAGGTATTAGCACCAGTCCTCCACGGACTCAGACGACAGGGTCAGGAGGTGCGATGAACAATCTGCCAGAGGATAGTAGATACAATGAGAATTGCTGGGCTTTTTTCCCGTACGGCTATGATGCGGATGATGAGAGAGATACGAGCAACTTTCAAAGAGATGGACGAAACTTTCAAAGAGAGGCAAGTGGAGCAACGAAAGCGAAACGGGGCATGAGAAGAGAAGCACTCCTTTCAGGAACTGGTCGCGGAGGTGCTCCTAGAAGTTCTACCGTAGAAGTACAAGTAGAACAGCCTCCTCAAGAACCTGGTAATTCTCCCCAGTCCTTTCTCAATATAGCCACAGGACATCTTCAATCAGGAGGTCGCGTGGGCGCTTCATCTTCAAAATATCAAGCGAGTGCTACCGTAGTTCCTTTTGGTGGTAATGCACCTGTTTCTCCTGCTGTTAGGGTCGAACTACATCAAGCAGGTCGCGCACAACAACCTCCGCGGCCTCTTGTTCCCAGCAACATTCCCCAACAACAAGAACAACCCCAACAACAAGAACAACATGACCACATGCTACACGTAAAAACGGCTAATATTCTGCAAAGACAAGCTGAAAATTATCGATCGTTGGTTTACCTAGCCGCAGGGCATATAAAAAATGCAGTTTACTATCTTCAACAACGTAATCTCCTACTAGCCGCTGTTGAACGGGAGAATGAAAGACTATGTTCTTCAGACGGCCAAGGGGAAACTTTCTGTGCTGCAAGTGGATCCAGTCTTTCCTCTTCATCCAGTCCTTCCTCTTCTTCTCAGCAGCAGCAGCAACAACCTCAACCCTGGCGGGGATCTTCGGAAGGCCACGAGGGGACGTTCATCAGTGCTGCTGGAAAACTTTCGAGTAGTTCATCTTCGTCTTCGGACGCTTTGCCAGTACTAGTAAAAGAGACGCAAGAATGCCGCGATACATCACCATCAAGAGGTCCTCAGAGCGAAGAGCGTACCAACACACTCTTGCAACCACATGCAAATACGAGTCCCTGCTTACCCGCATTTCGGTCGAACACTCTTCTAGGTGGGGGTCGGCCATCCTTTTGCTCAGTTAAGGCTCAACAAGAAGAACATGATAAGTATTGTATTTCTACAAGTCTTTTTTTTTTTTCGCTTACCTCAAGGTTTGTCCAGAGCTGCCAGTGTCACAGAAACACTGTCAGACCACGTCTCTACGGTCACTATGAAAGGTGATAACAGGGACATTAGCATGCAAGTCATTTCTTACCGATGCCCCCCGTTCTTTCCTCCTTGGGATAATTCTGAAGAACTGAAGGGAAGTGGGCTAGTTCAAATTCTGAATTTCTGAAGAAATGAAACACAAACAGAGAAGAAGCGCTTTCTTTAGCTCTAACTCAGACGCTGACGAAGATTCACGTGACGAAGATGTGCTTTCTTCTGGTTCTCCTGATTCTGTCGGTTGTTCTCTTGATTCGCAACAAGGGCCAGGAGTGACATTGTATGCCCCTACGTTGGACTCCTTTGCAGAAATAGATCTACAGCAGCCAGGGCCAACGTTCTTGTGTGGACCGTGGGGCTCCACCTTCCAGACTGCAAGTGCATCATTAAGGCTGACCCTAATTCACAGCTTCCTAAGTTGCAAGGGCATCTTTGACGTGAGATGAAACAAGGGAGTGAGAAGGAGAACCACTACAAAGATGCACTCCCTCGCGTAATATGAATTTGGGTAAGCAGCTCTAACATGTGGATGTGCACCAACAACTGCGTCAGAACCTCCTACAGTAAAAAAAACTACAGGAACAGGATCACCACCAGAAGATCCAAACAAAAATGTCGATTTCCGAACCTCAAGTTTTGATCAAAAACAAGATCAACAACGAGTAGAAGAACTACAGCTCCATCGACTGAAACAAGATCCTTTACCATTTCTTGTAGAGCGTGCTGCAGTGGGCAATGGAGGTCGTCAGAAACCTCGTGAGGTTGATCCGCAACAGCGCGATTTAGCCCAGCAACGAGGAAAAGGAAATACTAGCACGAATACTAGCACTATGTTGCAAGCCCTGTGAGATTCATCGAGACCGATCATTTTCTTCCTTTCTTTTTTTTTCCTGCACAACTTACATCCACCTACGAAAACACTGACGAAGCCAAGGCATTTTTTCGAAATATATTTTTCATCCATCTCGGGTATGATCAAGATTAATCACTTCTTCTTGAGAACCCTTGATGATAGTTTCTATAGCCATGATTTTAGAGGGTCAGGGTAGTTTCATTATTACCACGCTTTTTTATTCACCGTTGATCCATACTGATACCTTATGCACTGTTACTCCCATTAAATCTCTGTTAATCTAACCTGGTGTTTACATACTTTGTTCTTGTCTTTGTATACTCCTGCTCTTTCATGTTTGTTGCTCACTCATTCTTTCAAATGTGACTGTTTTTGTTCTTCGTTTAAAGCACCTACTGATCTTCCTGTACTTATATGTACTAAGCTTATCTTCCTATGTTGTTGACCGGATACTGGTATACTATTTTCCTTACATCTTCCTTTAAGTTAGTATATTGCATTGCTGTGTAGTAGATTTTTCTATATGTTCTTGGTTTACTTATTTTTTTACATCTTCTTCTTAATGACTCTTAATATTGTCTTATGCACTAGTTCTTCCTGGTTGTATCATATGTTTCTAAATAATTCTTCTGTTGACCTACTGATCTATTCTGCTACTCTTGTTGTCTCATGTCTTACTACCTCTCTTGAGTCCACTGAAGATTAATGACCCTCAGGCTACTATCCTCTGTAGTAATTTTTACATTTATATTTTATATGTTGTAACATGAACATATGATAGATGTGTCATGGAAGAACATAGTATGACAGCTGGACTTTGCACTATACTGATTCTTGGTATGAAATGCCTGCAAGACGATAGCCATGGAATATATCGTCAAGCCTGGGTGTGGAGTAATAAGATTGGCGGGGCAGACCACGAAATATCTCGAACTTGGAAATATATGCTGGAGTGGAAGCAAGGTCTCTGAGTACAAAGTGAGCAAAGGAGTGGACAACTGCAGCTGACAAAGATTACCATCAGGACCCAGAGGCGAGTAGTGAACATCTAAGTGACTTCCTCTAGTAATAGAACGCACAAAAACAACATCTGAAGCTGATCTACGACAAGTAAAGCAGTACTATGAGTACATAGTTGTGCAAGAAACTCCTGCGCAACAACATATCTTTCTTCCTCTCTCTTGGCTATGCCCCTCTTTACAGGATCATGAAGCTCTGCCTCTCCTCATGTTCTTGTCCTTACCTACTCTTTCCTTTCTGTTTATCTCTGGTTTTTCTGTTTTCTGCTAATATCTATCTTCTTTTTATTGTGACTAATAAAGCACATCTTTCTTTCAAGTTACCTATTAGTATTCATTGAACAAGAGAGAAGTACTTCGACGTAGTAATGAAGCCGCGATCCTACCACTGCATAGCACACATCATCTTCATGCAGAGCAGACGATACAAGCGTTACAGGCCTACTTAAAGATTGTGGCCTTATATTTATTCCAGTTCAACAGAAGTTCATGGTAAGAACAAGAAGAAATCAAATGTTTGTTTTTCCCCGCATTATGTTTTTTCCCTCTCGGTATCGGTTGCGGAAGTCTGCTTCAGACCGGAGGCATCCTTGCAGGGGGCGCTTATGAGGATGTCCCGGGCCCCCTTCCGCTCGGTAAGTGAGGATCTTTCTTCCTCTTCCTTTTTTTATCTCTCTGTTTTTTTGAGTGACCCCGTGTGAACCCTTACCCATGCGACTGTGTCTGCTGAATGTTAAGGTCGTAGTGATTTGACTAGCAGAGTAGGTACTATCGTACAGTTGAAACTGTACAAAGGATAGTGCAATGTGATCATACATTTAGTAAGTGTCAGGTACTTCTTTCTATATTTCTCGGCTCTTATCTCACGCTTACCAGTTATTCACCGTTGAGTTGTTTATGTTTGTATGGAAATGTAGTTCTTCTTGTGAAAAAAATGAAAAATATCTGTGTGCAGGTGTATCTCTGAATTCAGCATGTTGAGTTCCTAAGGACAACCATGCTCAAATGCCAGACCACACCTTTATTTTTCGATAAAAATAAACACTAAAAAATTGAGAATACATTTCGAATTATTCGAATTATTCGACCGGCGTTCTAGGAAGTGACATACCCAACCCAAGAAAAAGAAAAAAAGGACAATCGGTCAAACAGTATTAAGCACTTGTTTAACATGCGTTACGCTGTTCGTTTCGGGGCCCTCTGTTTGCTCTCCTCGACAACCAGCTTTGCAATCTCTTTTGCTTTCCTCCCCCCCCCCTTCTTTTGTACGACCACTAGCTCGTCTAGCTCCAAGAGAGATAAGAGCACGAACAAAAGGACATTTATATAGAGTGCAGTAATGGTAAGAGCAGAAGAGAAGCGTTTTTATTGAAAGGTAAGGAAGGCAACGCTGGAAAAATTCGGTTGTTCCCCCCTCACACTTCAAACAGCTAGTTCTTTTTTTCTTAAATCACGAGAACAAAAGTCTCCTGCTCAACAAAGTAAAAGAGATCCGAACCAGAGTCACGTGCATGCATGAATGTAAAAATCAAAGAAGTGGATTCTCGATCCTGATCTGATTAGAGTGATCTCTGCCTGAGAGTAGGAGCTCGTTAGGAAAATCGGATATAGTAAACAATCACATGGGCGGAGTAGGCCGGAACTAAAAGGACCTGCTAACGGATCTTGTACGTGTCTGTCACTCATGACCCCCTGTGATGTCTTTCGGGGGCGACTGTTTCACAGATGAAGGTGGTCCCGTCGTAGATCAGCTCTGGGCGGCACTATCTAAACGTCGTGGACGGGTTTTACTTGAGCTGAATTGCCGAACCCGAACCGCGAACATGAATGAATGAATGAATGACGTCATATACATATGTTGAAGTTGATAAAATGTCATGTGTCAGTCTCGTCCATCATCGATGACGACCATCACCCTGTCTCGTCATGGTTGCTTATCTTTGTACATTGTTCGTAAGTGAAAAAAGGTGAAGCTCGCGAGTTGGAAGAATCTCAAGAGAGAGAGAGTTGGGATCGAGAGAAATTGCACCCAGAGTTCTTGGAGAGAGTGAAGTCCTTTCTCGTACGTTCTCGCTCGTTTGAGTTGTCGTTGTGGTGAATCAAATAACTACAGAAACAGATGGTAGGGCGCCGTGAGCGCGACACATGTGAGGCGATAGCGTCGCGAGCGAGCATAATGATAATGATGATAATAAATAAGCAGAATTATAGTATTCCAGGTTGGTACTTGAAGCTCATTTGCATACTCGCTATTTACAGAGATGGAGTAGATCAGTCTTGATTGGAGAGTCAAAAAGCTTTGAAGAATTTGTGACCACAAGTACATGCAAATATATTTCGTGTGCCTGAAGAGAATATCGATTGGACGACCGCTTCTTGACATATCACTCCACTTTTAGTACATATATATTAGAGTTCTAGTACAACTTCGCCAACGTACAACTCTTCTGTTGCAAGTGCTGGAACAGGACATAGACAATGTTATCCCTAACGAACGGTAATAGCAATGGGAATGGCAACGGGAATGGTAGAGGTCTTCCGAAGGAGATATCGGGGAAAGAGCGGAAGGAAATCGAAAGACTAAGGACGATTGCGAAGAGTACTTTGTCTTTTTGATTACCTACGTACAACACCAACACCTGTCTACTATCTTCCTTGGTGGCTGTGGGTGTAGCTGTAGGGTCTAGGTGAAGTACAAGGAGTTCTTATGATCAGCTTCAAATCTTTGTCTTTCTGAAGAGTTTCGTAGCCAGCAGGTCGTACCACTCCTGTGATATTTTTCTCACCCCTCTTCTTCTTCTTCTTCTTCTTCTTCTTCTTCTTCTTCTTCTTCTTCTTCTTCTTCTTCTTCTTCACAAATTACTTCCAGCAGGTCATAAATTCGAAGGTACCCCTGCTGTGATATTTTTCTCACCACTACGTACTGTGATATTTTTCTCAATAATAATAGTAATCTTCTTCTTCACAAATTACTTCTAGAAGCACTAAAATGAATATGATGAGGCACATCCGAAGAAACGAAGAGAAAATATGGATTGTCTGACGAAGATGTCATGGTTTTATGCAAGTATATGCAAGGAGCACTGCTGGATCTCGGAGATTTGGAAATGCTGTTGCCGCTGGTCTTTTCGATAAAGCAGCATATACAACAGTACTTAGACCAGGAAAATCTTAGACAAGTGCATACCCGTCAATATACATGACTGGGTATGTCATCATCATCATCACCGAGTAGATTCGAAGCATGCCATCAGAAGAGACCACAAACAACAACTTATATTGGATAGAAGATATCTAAAAATTTCTCTAGTTGTAGTCTTCGGATTCTGAGAAGGAGAGGAAGAAGAAGATATCAAGAACATGGCTTGATGAAAATCTCAAATTCATTCCCAGTCAATCTCTCTACTTCAGCACTAATTATAAACTTGCCCTTCTACTTCTTTATTCAGGTATCCCCAATTCCATTACAAGAAGGTGGGCCTCGAGATCTCTAGCGACTGGGAAGCCACGAGGTCTCGAATTTGCATAGATTATGAGTTGTATGGGAAATACATCTCCAAGAAAGTCACCTGGAGCAAGAAAATAAGAAGGAAAAGGAACGACCCAGATGATTCCGATTCGTGAGAGTAAAAAAAACCCGATGCCTCTAAATAGATGAGGGCGTCCGCAAGATGTACATCGCTATCCCGGTCAAAGCACGTGCGGACTATTCCAGGTGGACGATCAAGAACAGTCCTTTCGTGTACACTAGCCTCATAGAGGTGTACGAAGGCTATGGCATGGACGTCGAATTGCCAACAAAATTAAGGCTTGCCGTAATTCATCTAAGAGGCATCTTTGGGCACGATTTCAAGGGGAATTCACTTCAAAGATGCACTTTAAGATGAATATGGATAAGGTCTAACAAAAGTGGACTTTATCATCTACGAACCAACGCCAGAGGCCGCACAGAGAAGACAGCTCAGTCAGGAGGATAATTTCTGCTTGAAATTGATCAAAGAGAAACACTTGGTGGATCCGCATGCATGGAATAGAGTGCTCTTTATCTAGCTTGTTCTTGATGTTTGCTTTGGGAGCGAAGGCACGACGCCGACAAGATTATAGATTGCTTTCGTAACAGTGATGCATGATTTACCTTTTTTTATCTTGCAGAGCTTGCTCTTTATGGCGGATGCGGAATCAGAAATGTACAGGTAAAGAAAAATCACATCCGTCGACAAACTTGGTACGTCGGCACATAAATTATGCCCGAACTGAAATAGTGTTAGTGTTTCGTTTTTGCATCATCTTTTTCAATCGTAGTATCGTTAGCGCATATGAAATCATCGTTTTGGTCGAGGATCGATCCTTGGTTTAAATTTCCACTTGGTATCGCGAAATGCTGCCATATTGTAACCGTGAGCGTGACTGCCCAGGTATTACATAAGTAATATGAATTCTACATCACAACAAATCGCATGCTATTAACCCATTCCGACAACTACATACAGAAAGATATGGAAAGATTTCGATACAACAACTCGTGGAAGTCAATGAATCCTTGTCGTATAGAAGTACGACTCGTTTAATCGTGTTATCGACGACGAAGAATACTCCATTAGCTACTCTTTTTGTAGAACAAGATCTCTAGTACGGGCGTAACATCCTCGTGTTCGGGTCATCGATCCCAACGTACCTCGCGCGTCAAACCACGCTATTGTCGATCCGAGCCGCACCATCGGATGATCGTGCCATCTACTCAACATGCTGCAACTTCTTTCAAGGAACACTTCTGCTCACGAGTGAGTTGTGAAATCAGCAGGATGCAGCTGTAGTTCTCAGTGTCCTCTCTGCTAGGAGGACAAAAACACAACAAAAAATGGTCGTTGCTTCTGCGTACTTGGAAGTGCTGCTGGATAATGCAGTCTCACAACTACCAACCGGCAAATTGTCGGGACCTCGTTGCAGAGGTCCTGGCGGACATCATCATTTTACGACCTTCGCCAACGACGACTCAGAAGAACAATCAGGAGAACAAGGTACAGATGAGAGAGATGCTGGTGGGGCCGACGCCGGTGCCCCAGCAAAGTCTTCGTGGACAGACATCCAGAAGAGATGGGAGGACTACTTCAAGAAACACGAAGAAGGAGATGGGGAAGGAGAGTCAGGAGGTGCTGGTCGTGCTGGCGAGGCGAATGTTATGTTCTTATAATAAGAAACAGGAGAAAGGTGTGGTCGCTTCTTGGCCATCTCCATCATCTTCACACAAATGATACTAGAATTAGACTTGGAGTTACGTCATCAATAACATTTTCCATTTCTAATTCTCACGACGGTGAAGCCGCAGATGACGGAGAAGAATCAGCAGAGCAGGGCGACTCCACATCTTCTTTCTCCGCCGTTCGTGCAGAAATAGCAAGACTTGGAGCTCCTGGGGAACCCGGAGAGTGCAGATCAGCAACTATTCCGAACGACTACATCAAAACCCTGAAGCCTGGAGAAGATTTCGTCATCTTCCGTATTCCAACGGGAATCAATAATGAAAGGGAGTTCGCGGAGAATAGCAAGTTGATGTTGCTGGAGTTGCAAAGACGAAACAAGACAGTGCCAAAAGTGCCACCATCTAAAGTCATTTTCAAATTGATGCGGTCTGGCATGTCTCCGGGACCGACAGAGGATGGAACTGCAAATAGCACGGGCGATGGGGACAAGAGCAGTAGTAGTGGTACAGGCGCAGATGAAGTCAAGCATCATGGCTCAGTCGCAGCTGACCTGATGAATCAGAAGAAATGCAGCAAGTTTGAAGACGAGACGAAATGCGAAGAGGGTAATCCAGCAAGGGGGTATCACAAGACGAAGAAACAGGGTGAGGACACTAGTGATGATGGCACTACTCGAAATGAAGAGGAAAGTGGCACTTCTGCATTCGTGGAAAAAGAACCAGAAGAGACTGACGGTAGTGGAAAAAAACCAGACCCTGATGAAAACATAATGGAAGCTGGAGGCCAAGCAAATGAAGATGCGCAACCACGACCATCAGAAGATGAAATAGAGAAAGATGAAGACCAAGCAAATGAAGATGCGCAACCATCATCAGAAGCTGGAGACCAACCTCCAAGTCCAAGTCCAACGGGAGATCCTCAAGCTCAAGCAGAAGGAGGAATAGAAGGGGGAGAAGATACAACTGCTCCACCTGAAAATGAGTCGGCTGCTAACAAGGAAGCTGGAGGTCAACCAACGGCAAGGGAAGAGGCACCATCACAAGCGGAAAAAGAAGGTGCAGCAGCTGCCGGCAAAGAGGGTGAAACTGCGACAACTCGTCCTGAGAAGCAAGAGGACGATACTTCAAAACCACAAGGACACGCAGCTAAGAAAGTAGAACAACCGTCCTCTTCATCATCCTCTTGTGAGTACCACGATAGTGCAGAACAAAAGTGTTTACCCGCGATCCCTACTTTCAAACAGGTTCTGCAGAACAAATTCCATGTCAAAGTAGTTTCGTCGAATGGGAGGACAGCCGCAGATGCAGCTGGTGGGGCTGAGGAGAGTAAAGGCGAAGATGCTCCGGATGCTTCAGAGCAAAGTAGTGCAGATTCCACAGAACCTCTCGATTTTGCTGCTCTCGCCAAGAAAGCTGGAGTCGATGCATCACTATCAGTGGAACCTCCGAGTAATGCCAACGATCCAAGATTCGTAGAATACGAAGACAATCCTATCCGCATGGTCAAGGTTTACACTAGTCGACCGAGTCAATTGCCTGAAGTACCTTTGTACTATGAGGACGAGGGAGGAGAAGCAGGTGCGGGGGCTGAGGAGAGTAGAGGCGAAGAAGAAGCTTCCTCATCTGGTACGGATACCACAGTACTGGGCGGGAAAGGGTCATCATCCTCTGAATCTAATGCTTCATCTGCGGCCTCTAAGAGAGTAAAAACCCTCTACGACTACATGAAACAAGCTGCCCCAGAGGGCGATGAAGGTGATGTGTGGTGGCAAAACAACTCTTTAGTCATTGCTTTCCGACGCTCTGCACTGGAAACACAGTTGGAGATTCCTAAAGACATCAAAGAAAAACTTTCCAAATACTTGCCTAGTACAACTGCATCACCTCATCTGTGGACTGGACGAGCAAAACCGATCGTCTTAGGACTTTCCGAGAAAGCATACGATAATTTCAAGTTGGGTGCAGGCCAAAACAGCGATGACCGAATAGGAGAAGGACCGGGAAACGCTGTACGTACCTGGTGGTCGGGAGATACTGAGCACGTCGGTTTCGTGGAACCAGAGCAATTGGTGGCGCCGGTGAAGGCTAAGGGAGGAAAGGAAGTTATGTTGAAAGCCTTTGTATATTACGTCTTCCTAGTACAACTCTTAGTCTTACGGTGGTCGTTAAGTCCGACGTGTTGATAATCTTGTAAGTCACTACAAAAGATGGTTCCCCCCCGGCTGCTGCAGCGTTTGTGGATTAATAGAATAGTGATCCCAATCCTTACATTTTTGTATCTCTGCTAGAAATTCCAGTAAGTACCAGTTGATGTACTGCAACTACTACTAGACAGTTGTCCTCCACAGCTAGGCAGTTGTCGTCCATAAAAATCTCAAGTATTAGACGACGTCCCACACCGCCTCTCCCACCTCCATTTTCTCTTCATAATAACTTTTTCAGGGATTATCCACCCTTTGGACGACCCGGTGCGTGGCGTAAAGTACACTAGGATAACGATAAATGGAGAAGGAGATGCAAAAGACTCGCTGGACGTGGTGGCAGGGGAGGAAGCTAGACCCAGAGCAGATGGCGGTGAAGGAGATGATGGTGATATTAAAGGTAGTGAAGAAGGTGGCGGTGAAGGAGATGATGGTGATATTAAAGGTAGTGAAGAAGGAGATGATGGTGATATTAAAGGTAGTGAAGAAGGTGAAGGACGACAAGGAAAAGCCCCTCCAATAAATTTCTCAGTCGATTCGGTGAAGGATGCACTGAGGAATTTGTTCAGTCGTGTTCTGAAAGCATCCACTCGTGCTGCAGCTGGAGAAGGAGAGTTAATTAAGGGTAGGTTAAAGGTGCTTTTCTTACCGCTTTTTATGCTTCTCCTAAGGGAGAAAGGCATAACAAGCGGGGTAAGCGAGCACCAAAAACCTACCTCTAAGTTAACTACTGAGGGAGGAGGAGATGAAGAAGAACCTTCAGGAGAGCAGACAGGAGATTCGACGGCTGCTGAAAGAACACACGAGCAATCATCAACTGGAAGCAACGCTTTGCTACATCTAGACTCGTTGAAGCCGCATCAGCTAGTACATCTCTACAATGGTTTGCCGCCGAAAGTGCGCTACAACTGTCGTTGCAACCCTATGGAGCCGTGGAGCTGTTCACGTGTTTTGCGAGATTTCTTGTGGTTTCCTCAGGTTTATGGTTGGAGGGTGAATGTTTTAGCTTTTTGTTAGAAGTTGCATCACGTCGAACCTCTGGTAACACAACTTCTGTGTACGCTAGTATTCGTCACAACACGAACACAAAAGGGGATGTCTAGGAAGGATCTACGTGAACTTGAATTAAATCTACTCTATCCTGCAACTTCACTCTCTAACCATGCCAAAGACAGCGCGCACACCCCAAAGAAGTGATAGCCCTGAAACCTGCTGACCAAATCGAACGCGAAGCGAAAATAGTAATGAAAAAGGAGGATCGGATCGCCTGTGGCTTAGACGTTGCACCTGGTGGAAAAGTGGAGTTCGACGCAGAAAAATGTAAGAGCTTCAACCACATGACCTGTGCCGATGCGACTCACAAAGACCACTGTATCGAGCCATGGTGTAAGTGGGACAACGATGCGTGTACTGATGGGTACTCGCATGGAGAAGCTGCGGGACAGTATGCTGAAACGGAAGGAGGAGGTGGAGATGAAGATGGAGGAGGGGGCGAAAAAGAGGCAAAAGGGGGCGAAGGAGAAACGGAAGAACGAGCAGGAGAGCCCGCGGCGGAGGAAGACAATGCTGGTGGTGGAGAAGCAGAACCTTCTGCGGGAGCAGCCCAGGAAGGTGGTGGTGAACAAGACGAGTCTTCTGCGGGACCAGCAGGCAAAGAAGCATCTTCAGCAGAAGATAAAGCCACACCAGAAAAAGAAGGCGACTCTGCATCGGCGCCAGGAGCAGCGGATGAAACTCCCGCTTCACCAAATGCTGGTGGGGAAGCTACTGCAGACGAATCGAAAGGACAAGACGGTGAATCAGCACCAGCAGCCCCAGCGGCAGCAGGAGAACCACCTTTCGAAGAACCGAAGGCCACGGATCCAGCGGACGTCGCCGGCACAACTGCCGCTGAGACCTCCACACCAGCACCAACAAGTCCACCTCCAGCTCATGAGGAGACACGAGCTGCAGATCAGACACCAGCTGCGGGGGAGACACATTCAGCTGCAGACGAAACACCGCAAGAGTCTACAGCGGTGACTCCAGGTGCAGGGAAAACACCGGCTGCAGAGGGGAATCCAGCTGCAGCGGAGGCGCCAACAGAGTCTCCAGCCCCAGCAGCCGCGCCAGAAGCTGAAGCAGAGCCTGCAGCCCCGACGCCTTCGCCTGCTGAGAATCAGGCTAGCGATGCTGCCGCTCCTCCACCACCCTCTGCAGATAAATAGGGTCACGCTTCTGAGGTGGAGAATCCGTAAGGAGTAGGACGGCATTGAACATGCACAGAAATCTAATGAAAATGAGCAGAGTTCCTAACAGTCAACATGTACAGAACCATTTGAATGAAAAAATGAATCAGTGATCGTCGAACAATCGATCGTGATCAACCCCTTACAACTGTATCCCATTCCAAGAATTCAAGACACCCGCTTAAGTTTGGTTAATACAAGATGAATGACCTTGTTCAACACTGTTGTTGCTTTACAAGTGGCAGATGGCCCATCTTGTTCCGCTATCTCGCGAGTCGCACTTGAGCTTGGGATATTCCAGGATAGACTAACCTTGATAGACAGTACTTGGCTCCTAATCGTGAGAGACGAGGGGCCTCGGGTGTTTCGTTACAAAGAAAAGGGAAAATTGTAATTGGGACAAAAAGAAAATAGGGAAAAGCGACAACATAATCCTGTAAAACGCTTACAGTTGCTGTGATATTTTTATTGCATCTGTCTCTCACCACGACCCTCTTCATGACATTCTGATTCTAGTCATGCATCCCTTAAAAGGTTTTTTGATGCAAAAGTTCATATAGGCTGTTACTGAGAACCATAACCATTTGCATCTCGTACTCGCATTCGTACGCTTCCTAAGATTTTTAGAAGCTCGAAATTATTTTAGTCTTCAACCATGACACAAAAGTCGGGGTCGGCCGACAAGGTCGACACTAAGAAGGAGAATGGCGCGCCTGCCGAATCAGCAGCCGCAGATCCTTCTGTCAAGCCAAAGCCGAAGAGACGCTTCCTCGTCAAAATGGCGGAAAGACCACAGCAAGCTTCTAGTGGTGAGGGTGGAATCGCAGATGGTGCTGATATCAGTGGTGCTGTAGAAGATGGTGATACCAGTACCGCATCCTCAGCATCAACATCACAAACAACTGGAGGCGTCATAGACAAGCCATTGCAGGAGTTGACGGTAGAAGAGCTCAAGGAGATCGAGAAGCGGCAGAAGAAGAATCGACAAAGGAAGATCATGCGGAACGCTGCGTTTAAGATCGTAGCGTTTTTGGCGATGGTGGTACTGAGATAAATGTTGGACTTTTCTCACGTATTTAAGGTAGTACAGTTTTTCTTTTTTAAGGATCAGATTCAGACACATCATAAGTACATTCCTTTTTACTCCCACCTCGAGCTCAAACCACAATGAGTATTCTAAGTATTTGTTTCCACCAAAAACTACTTCTACTCATCTCTCCCACACAACTCCATCAGATGTTCGCTATGCTGATCAAGCAATTTCAAGAGTGGATGCAGACTACAGCTTGTGCGCGCGTCTATGCAGAAGGCACAGACTTGTTCGTCAAGGTGGAAATCCTGAAGGATCCTGAAGGGGAAGATTTGTGTATGGATGAGGTCGAATTTGCCGTGAAGAACGCAAAACCTTACGACGGTCCGCTCTTTATGGCGAGTAAGCCAGTTTTGAGGACTATCGCTGATAACGCGGATGAGGACACAATGCTAGATGGTATCCACGTGCAAGCGTGTGCAACGATAGCATCAAATGACATGCACGACACGACGTTCAAGACGGCAGCTTGTAGAGCTGGGAACGCGGCACAAGCGGTTGTGCTGTGTCATGGGAAGAGAAAGAGTACTTTCGTTTGTCATTCAATCACGAGTTCTTTACTACTAGGACATTTTTCTCGTGCTCTCGTCAAACCCTGTCAGACTTTTTTCAATGCGATGAAATTGAAACAACTCACTACCCAAAGCTAAATTCAGTACCCACTCCCGAAAAATAACTCCACATCTACATCAGCCGACGAATGGGATCACCAAAAAATTAGCGATATCTATCCTGATTACACTTTGCGCAACAAGTGGCTTCACATCGACGTAGACGAGGAATCACATCCTGACATCGTAGCCGATGTAGCGAATACCAACCTGCCATTAGCGGCGAAATACAAGGTGATCTATGCCAGACGCTGCCCAATAGAGGTTTTTACCAAGGGCACGGAGTTTGCGTCGAATGTCAAGTCATGGATGGGCAGTGGAGGGGACGGGAAAGGTATTTGCAGACTCTCTCGATTCTGATTGCTGTTCGTGTAGCTTTGGAAGTTTCTCTCTATTTATCTTCATCTGCCTTCTATTATTCATGATTCAGGAAATAGAAACTCACGTGAAAGTCATTGTCATATTAATTTGAATTTAATTATATCTTCTGCTCTTCTTTTATTTGATCTCCCTCCACCGCCCAACGGTCCAAAACACAGGCACTTCCGCGGAGCAGTCCCAGCAAGAAGACGACAGGCAAGAAGAGATCGACGTTGAGGCTCTCCTCCACCCTCGCGCCTCCGAAGAAGACGACGGCGCGCTCCTCCCGCCATTGATCAATGAGAAGAAACGGCTAGTCGTGGACAACATCCTATGGATGGCCTGGCGGTTCGACTGGGACATTGAAGACTGGGTCCAAACCAATTTTGGTCCTCCCGAGAAGTTCCGCCTTATGCGGTACAGCACGGAAACACTAGAAGTGGTGGGCGAATTTGACTCGAAAAACAGCAGTTGGTGGAAGGAAAAGGTGAAAGAGATGAATGCAAAGACCGAGAACGGTCAGAATCAGGCAAGGATAGAGGCATTGAGAGGAGAATGGGGATGGACGGTAGATGGATATGGGGCTATGGTGGTGCAGTTGTAAGTTGGAAGATCATGTGGTCTACTACAACTCGCAGCTCTTCGACATTCGCATTCATCAATCCATCCCTAGAATAGAATGCCAAATTGAATAATCCCAATCCCTATCCCATCCTCGAACAGTATAACGATCATATTCATACCTGAGTTGTAATAAATGCCTCCTAGTCCTCACCTTCATGATCCCCTTTCCTTCTACTCAATATTTTCCATCGTGGCAGCGACGACCCCCAAACACTTTCGTCGCAGTGAAGTCCACATCGACTCAAGAAAAATTCAAAAAAAAGAGACCAGAGATTTTCTTTGAAGTCTCCCAATTCCCAATCCCAACCGTGTTGTTGTTTGATAGTGCAGGACGAGAGGAATGAGAGGGAGAGGCATGCACCAACAACATCACGATTGCAGATGAGCACAATGGAGAAATCGAACATTCACTCAAGGTGAAGGTTGAGCGCACGTACTTAAACAAGAGAGAGGCAGCAAAATGCAGGTGAAATCCCTCTTCGTCTTGTCCTGCTGTGCTTTGTCACTTTTCGACGTGCACGTGCTCTCAGCTGTCGCCGCAGAATCTACCACTGTTGCTCCGAGCTGCTTCATCCGTTTTGTCCTCGAGGACAAACGCTCTGTCTGGATTCCTACAGAAGCTGAAGATCAAGCACCTGTACCGCTACTGCAGCAAGGCGACGAAGATGACACAACGAGAACAACGGACTGCATCGCAGCAACATCAATCTTCGTCCCAGAACTGATCCAGGATTTTGCTGATGGGACAGAGAGAATAAGCAATGCGGGTCTCAACATCACGGAGGAACTTGGTATTCTGTTGGGATTAAGGCTAGCAAGCGAGCATCTGCCTACAGCATGATCCTTGTTGTCTCATTTTCAAGAGGGAAATGGATCCACGAGGGTCTCAGGGATGCACGTTGGTAGGTAGCTCTAATGGGAAAGAGTGGGAGTGGAGGAAATTTGATGGAGGCGGCAGCTCCAGCAATAAGCTCCTCTCAGCACCACGTTATACCTCATCGCCATTTGGTCGATCCAACGATATCAGAGGATTCAAGAAACGAAGAGGATGGAAGTGGAACCCCACGACAACGTCACGAGATCGCAACCGAGATTCAGCTCTCGTTGACATCTTCACTAGCTGCAAACAAAGCAGATGAAAAGGCGTCGACGAGACCCTCTACTCAACAACGACAACTCGAACTCATCGCCTCAGCACTTTCCTCCTCCACCTTGTTCTCCGTCGAATCCTATGCCGTCCTCAGGTCTCCGAAACTGCACATCTTCACCTATGCTGACATGCTGAACAGCTACCTTTGCGTCTTGTCTCGTCTAGTGCAGCAACTACTTCCTGGAGGTGGCCGCTTGAACATCCTTGGTGGCCGAAAGATGCGCAGGCATTCAGATGCTGTGCTTTCCGCGCACGAACGAGGTGAAAACGCTGCAGGTTTGGACTTCAACATCCGCGGGAGTAAGTTGGAACAAGCTAGTCGACTGTTTAAAGTCTTGCAGGGCAGTCATTGGAGGGATGAAACTGAGCAAGCAGTGAATCAAAAATTGGAGCCAAAGTATCCGTTTCTTGCCCCTCACGACGTCATTCTGTTATCAGATGGCTTCGACGTCTTTGCTCAGCGCGATTTGAGAGGCTTGCTGAAGACGTACCTAGATTTGGATCCGAGTTCATCGGTTGTTTACTACGGAGGAGAGAAGAATTGTTGGCCAGCACCGCATCATAACATCACAGTACGGGATTTCGAAAGTCGGAATTGCCTAGTCGAACGCAGATGTCCTTTCGACAACGGCAGACAACCTTGGAAACTGTACAGTTTCTTCGATGTTGGAGAGAAAATTATCATGTCGAGGAACAACAAGACCACCAAGACGACAGAAGAATCCTCCACGACCATTACGACCACTTATCCAGAAAAACTAGGCCGTTCTATCCTCGGCAAAGACCTCTGCTTCCACAACCTGCGAAAGTACAGTCCGCCGAGAACGGAGAGCGTCAATAGGTTTCCGTATCTGAATGCAGGATTGTCGATTGGTTCAGTGCATAGTCTGCAGAAGCTGTCAAGACGGTTGTTCCGTCTTTACGCCGAGACTAAACAGTTGGACGATCAGGCGTTGTTGTTATGGGTCAATTTTAATATATGTTCCAGGGCTCAGGGCGGGAGGCCCCCCCCCCCCCCCCC